GTCATCAAAGGAGAGCTCAGTAGGTCACACCCCTCTAATATGGGCCGTGGTGGGTGTGGTCGAAAGTGGAAACAAATGAGTAAAATCCGTTTCCACCATGGTTTCACAAATTAACCATCCCTATTTAACGTAATTTTGACCGTGTTATCCACCTCAACACAATGACCTTATGTTGTATGACCATGGGGGCAGGGGGTGTGGCTATCAGCGCTTTTGTATCAACTTGATCAATACCTGGCATGCGACATATCATTTTTCTCAGCGTGCCGAGGTGATTACGATGCAATACTTCAAATTTGGAAACCACACCCCCAGTGGGTGTGGTTCCCGGCGACTTTTCCAATCCTTTGCAGATAGGTCATGTAGCATATCATTTTTCTCAGCCAACTGAACAGATTACGATGCAATACTTCAAATTTGGAAACCACACCCCCAGTGGGTGTAGTTCCCGGCGACTTCTACAATCCCTTGCAGATAGCTCATGTAGCATATCATTTTTCTCAGCGGACCGAGGAGATTACGATGCAATACTTCGAATCTGGAAACCACACCCCCTGTGGGTATTGTTCGGCGTGATTTTCAGATCATTCGCATATAAGGCATGTAGCATATCATTTTTCTCAGCGAACTGCATGGATTCTGATTTGATACTTACAATCTCATAACCACACCCCCTGTGTGGGTGTGGTCTTTGGCAGCTTTTCTCGTCCAGTAAATTCGGGCTGTCAATGTGCCAATTGACACGTCGACATATCATAATTGTCATAAATTTCAAATATAACTGACATTTAAAACGTGTCAATGTAAGTATTTGTCAAATTTGGTGACACATTGACATTGACATATTGGATATTTTTGACATTTTCACAAATCTGTCCTTCTGGCAACAATGAGTTAACTACAGTATCATGCATATATGATGATACAGTGTTTTCTACAAAATTCAAATTGTTGGTTCTCCAGAACAGCTTATTATTTTAATCTAATTTGTGCACCATTTATTCACAGTGGCTATGAGTACATATGTGCAAAATGTTGAGTTAATTGAATGGAAACTGAACTTTCTATGAACATTTGAGTCTCGAAAAACGTAAATTGCATCGTGCATAAGTGTTGATACAGCAAAGAATTCGTGCGAGGTTACCCAATTCTGAGTTGAACCCTGTACCGAGAAAATTATTCTGAGAAAGAACACATGTTGTTGCTTAAAATAAAAATAATTTCTGGAAGTTTCATTTCAAAATGACAACAAGACTGATGCACAGCGTCGAAATCCGAACCAAAATTGTATCGTGTCACCAAAAGGGTTTCACGGTGGACAAATTGGTGAAAAATTTGAAATCCCTATGTCGACCGTCCAACACATTGTCGACAAATGGGAAAATACTGATGCAGTTGTAAATCGTCACCGACAAGGTCGAAAACGCCATACCACTTCACGACAAGACACGGCAATTGTGAGGAAAGTGAGGATGAATCCAGGGCTGTCCGCCCAAAAAATTGCATCACAAGTGAAAAGCGGGTTTGGAATTAATTTACATCCTTCCACGATACAACGCAGACCAAAATCTGTTGAACTTTCCGGAGAAATTGCCAAAAAGAAGACATGGTTCCCAGAGAAAAACCGGAAGAAGCGTTAGGCCAGGGAACTGCATAAGGCTACTTGCACCGTTATCGACTAGAAAAATTTTTTGTTCCCGGATGGGACCAAAATTGTGCTCCTTGGTTCTAATGGAGTTAGATGAGTGCGGTGGAAGGCAAAGGAGACCTTTTTAAAGCGTAATCTTAGACCCACTACGAAACATGGTGGAGGTGAACCAATCAATGGTTTATTCGCTCAAAAGATTAGGTCTAAAAAACCGTTAATTTTGCATGAAGAGTCATGGCATGGGGTAGTATAGCTTGGAAAGGTGTCGGGACACTGGAATTTATCGACGGTGTCATGACTAAGGAGGTTTACCTGGATTTGTTAAAAATAAATATCCGCCAGTCTGCTACATAAGTTGAATTGGCTCGCAAATTCATATTCAAACAGGACGGAAATCCAAAACATAAAGCCAAAATCATCCGCAAATGGCTGAAGGAGACTAAGATAAACACGTTAGATTGGGTTACCCAGTCTCTTGACCTCAACCCCGTTGAAAACCTCTGGTCAGCACTGAAGCGTCGGATCGCGGAACCGAAACCCAGTAACCTTGTATCCCTAAAAGTAGTGATCACAGAAGAATGGGCAAACATTGGTCAAAATGTTACCAAAGGGTTAGTGGAGTCCATGTCGAGGCGCATTCAAGCAGGTATTGCGGCTAACGGTGGTCACACAAAATATCGAAGGGGATGACGTGGCTGTATCAACACTTATGCCCGATGCAATTTACGTTTTTCGAGACTCAAATGTTCATAGAAAGTTCAGTTTCCATTCAATTAACTCAAAATTTTGCACATATGTACTCATAGCCACTGTGAATAAATGGTGTACAAATTAGATTAAAATAATAAGCTGTTCTGGAGAATCAACAATTTGAATTTTGTAGAAAACACTGTATCATCATATATGCATGATACTGTATGTGGCGGAAATTTTAGGACCATACTTTTATCCTTTTTTTCCGTTTGAGAGTAAAAATTCTTGCATGTGGCAACGCAATGTCTTGCTGACAGTCCAATCCATGCTTTTGCGTTGCCACATGCAAGGACTTCGTCATTTGTTACACAAGATCGTTCGTATTAAATACCACATGAATTTTTACCCTGAAACGGAAAAAAAGGATAAAAGTATGGTCCTAAAATTTCCGCCACATAGTTAACTCATTGTTGCCAGAAGGACAGATTTGTGAAAATGTCAAAAATATCCAATATGTCAATGTCAATGTGTCACCAAATTTGACAAATACTTACATTGACACGTTTTAAATGTCAGTTATATTTGAAATTTATGACAATTATGATATGTCGACGTGTCAATTGGCACATTGACAGCCCGAATTTACTGGACGAGAAAAGCTGCCAAAGACCACACCCACACAGGGGGTGTGGTTATGAGATTGTAAGTATCAAATCAGAATCCATGCAGTTCGCTGAGAAAAATGATATGCTACATGCCTTATATGCGAATGATCTGAAAATCACGCCGAACAATACCCACAGGGGGTGTGGTTTCCAGATTCGAAGTATTGCATCGTAATCTCCTCGGTCCGCTGAGAAAAATGATATGCTACATGAGCTATCTGCAAGGGATTGTAGAAGTCGCCGGGAACTACACCCACTGGGGGTGTGGTTTCCAAATTTGAAGTATTGCATCGTAATCTGTTCAGTTGGCTGAGAAAAATGATATGCTACATGACCTATCTGCAAAGGATTGGAAAAGTCGCCGGGAACCACACCCACTGGGGGTGTGGTTTCCAAATTTGAAGTATTGCATCGTAATCACCTCGGCACGCTGAGAAAAATGATATGTCGCATGCCAGGTATTGATCAAGTTGATACAAAAGCGCTGATAGCCACACCCCCTGCCCCCATGGTCATACAACATAAGGTCATTGTGTTGAGGTGGATAACACGGTCAAAATTACGTTAAATAGGGATGGTTAATTTGTGAAACCATGGTGGAAACGGATTTTACTCATTTGTTTCCACTTTCGACCACACCCACCACGGCCCATATTAGAGGGGTGTGACCTACTGAGCTCTCCTTTGATGACCCTACAATTCGCCGTGATTTCGCCAAAAATTGGTAACCGAGCCATTATACATCCATTTTAAACTGAAATAACTAGTTGGAAAAATGTATCTCGCTTGTTGACCTTATGACCTCAATATCCGGGGGGTGTGGTCGAATTTAAAAAATCTGGGAATATATATTTCGCCCAACGGTCCAAGGCTTCAAAAACATTTGGAATTTTGAAAATCCATCAACAACATAAGTCACAAGAAATTTTCAAAATCTTGCATGTTTTTATTTATGGCCAAGTTCTATTGACCTTTGACCTCGGTTGGAGGTCAAACCAGTGAAAATCTGGGATCGGAGGTATGGAGACTTTTGTTCAGCACATCGAAGTCTACAACATATCAAAAATTCAGAAAATTCGACGGCAGGCAGGTTTCCCATAAGAAGGGTGCCTCCTCCTTTCCATTAGTTACCGAAATTTTGTCTCTAAAATTAAATATTTTAAGAATTTCGTCATCAGTTTTGATAATAATTATAAAAATCTTAATCCAAAATCTTGTAACTAATGGGGATTTAGGGATTTTTCCCATTGAAAAGTTTTCTATTGTTGCGTGACATTTAAACCACCCTGTATATTATTTGGCTTTTTCGTACAAATGTGTGAAAATTCAGGATAAAAAGCAGGTGATGGTGGCTTCCCATACTCGTGTATTTGCAAAAAGACCTAACTTATTGAGTTGTACGTACAATGTAACATGCAAATGTGGATGGTTATTACTATTGCTACTTTCACCCGTCAAGTTAAAAAATTCCTGGCTGTTAACAGGACCACGTAATTTCCTCATTTCCTTCATACAAGTTGTTATATTGGATGCAATGATGCATGCAAATCACGACTTCCTCATTTCCGCCATCCTTAATGTTTCCATCCTTGCCTTAAGTATTTTCAAACATGATTGGAATTTCGAGACAAGTTCACACTGATCACACTTCACGCAGCTCGAGATCACCTCGTCTGCCATCTTTTCCTTATTACACGTCCCTCACATTATTAAGTATTTGGATTGGATTTTGGTGATCCAACACACAGTTCACCCGAGTGAAAGGCGAATTGGCTTAGCCCCTCCTGCTTATTAATACTGAAGTGAGCGAGTGAGTGAACAGCACGGGAAAGGTTTGCTTTCCTCTTACAATAATAACTCACTCATCAAATTAATGAAATATGATGAGGCCACATCATAATTCCCAATTCCCAACCTACACTACTCACTCACATACTTTTACAGACACGTTTTCCTCTTGTTGGATAAAATTCGTCAGGATTTTCTTCCATTACCTTCTTGCCGCAAAACGGGGGCATCTCCAACATCTCGAGCCTGGTCAAGTTGACGGTGGCAACAATCTCTCGCAGCATTGCAGCAATCTGCCCAATCCTTTTTAGCACCTGCTGTATCAAACGTATCCCAGACGGGGCTCTCCACGTCGGATGCGTTGGCCAAGATCTGTAACAAAAATGAAGGAGTTTTAAAGTCTGGCTGTGATGTGGCAAGAATAATGAATAAAATATATATGTGAAAGTGCGGGCGACTGGCGGGTACACAACGCTAAATATGTCACGTATTTCAGCCAGACGCGTAGCGTGACCCTGTCATGCCACCCATTAAACTAATGGGACGAAGAAACTCCAATAAAAGAAACTATGTTTTTGGGAAAAAAAGGAGTGAAATGATGAAGCAGTAAAGAAGTGAATTGAATAAATGGGATAAAATCAGACCGTTGCAGTCAGTCATTTCCTGAAGCATTCTTCTGTTATGTGTTACTTTTTTGCGCATTGTTCAACATTTTATGTTGAAAGTGTACTCTTTCTCCTGCTTTGTTTTGTTTAGATGGCTGCGTTCTTTGAAAAAGTGTAAAAGATATGACCGGTGAATGAAGGAAGGACGTTTGACGCTGATAAAAGTTATGAGTTAGCACACTACATATGTATTTGTTGTGTGATGCATAGAAGAGGTGAGTCCTTGTGCAAAGAATGTGACACAATACATACAATACTGGTTCGAAGAATGGGGTAAGAAACATGAGAAATATGTAACTGTGCATTGGGATGATGCAACACACACAAAGTTTCAACTGGCTTCGTAAATATCACAAATTCTGGGATTAATGTTTCTACTTGACTTCATCGATTTTTAGTTATTAGGCATTTCGTAGTAGTCAGTTTTAGTGACATTTTGACGTTATTAAATATTTACGAATGCATGTCGTCTTAATATTCCGAAAGTCATCAAGCAGGTTTTGTTTTGAGTTTAATCAAAGTTAGTCATTGCTAATTAATGGGTTTTGAACTATGTGTATGGTGACTAATGGGAATTAAGTTGATTCACTTTTAATAAGCTTCCTTCAAAAATAAATTAGGTCAAGTAGCCATAAAGCGCAGATAGCATAATGTGCTTCATAGTTCCCATAAATATTTCTCCACCAATTTCTGTACCAACTTACTTTCACGGAAAATTGTGGTCCCTGAAATTCCGCAAATGCGTGAAACCCTACAAATTCTTTGTTTTTTGGTCATCTTGTAAGTACTTAAGTAAATTGTGCCCATTTGTTTCTCTTCATTGTTCAAACGTCAGTGCGAACGTTTATTTGTTTGTGCTTGAACTAACACAGCCTTATTCTTTTCCAGCCAACGTGATGACGGGTATTATCCAGTCTTATTTTATTTTACGGGTGTCATCAAGCCATTGTCGCCCAATAATGATGATGGTTGTTGGCGTCTCGCATCCTGTCCGTCATTTCCTCTACTGGTGAAATAGCCAAGTATGAGTGAAGGTAATGGGTGGGATGTGGTGGTGATTTCAACAAGGACAACAAATAGGATTACAAGCGAAACTCCAACGTCAATACAGCTTCAGTTCGGGGTCCGCCCTGCAGTCATTCAATTCCAGAATGGCAAAACAATGTCCCAAATATCATCGTGGGAGTGAATACGCGAACAACCAGCCAGGATAAGTACACCATTTCCGTTTTACTTGTCTCGACCGTGCTGATATCCACAATGCAACTATGTCCGTACATGTAAGGGCATAGCTGCATGTGAATTGCATAATCCGCAGTACGTGTTTGTTTATCGAATTCCAAAGGTCATAAGATCATGGAAAATAGTTTTTTTAGCGATTTTACAGACATATAAATGCGACGTAAAAAGTTGAATTTTTGAACCCTGATGTGTCCCTAATGTAGTGTAGTATAATTTTCACCATTTGAAAATTTCTACGTACACAGCATTTTGGCACTTGATATGAAACATATTATTCATTACGACATCATTTTGGCTCAAGTTTTCCATTTTATGAATGAAGTGATGTGTATTCTGTTGCAATGGGTGTATAGTTATCAAGTGCGTGTTGATAAGCCATCCTAGCCTTACCAAACCGAGATAATGGAGTGGATATGAATGGTAATAAATGGCCACTTACTACTTTGGACAAATGGTTCATCCATTATTTATCCCAACAAACACATTACATTACTTGCAGCCACATACAGACTTATGTACATACATATCCGTAAATGCGACATGGGGCATAAGCTCGTTGTCAAGTTGGGTCTTTTTTCTTCCGCCACGTCAACGTATTAAGCACATGACGAACCAAAACCAACCAACACTGGAATGATAACGAGCCACTTAAATTTTAATAACGACTTTTCCTCCTTGGCTGACATGAGAAAGGAAGAGGTTGGTCCATGCAGTAGTAAAAGGTTTATATATGCAAATTAATACTTTCTCTAGGGAACGTGTTTGATGAGATGTGAATATTGTGGTTGAAATAGTAATGAAAAGTGGAGGGAAAAAATATGTATATCTCACCAGAGAATTATTCCCAACCATCACCAATATTCGGAAAGTGTATTCTCCTTTCGTCCAGAACACGAGTTGGGTGTGGAATTTTTTGGATGGAGATCCAAACGTAATCGAAACATTGTGCATGTATCGATAACACCAGGCGCACGTGTCCCACTCGAAGAGGGCGCTGGGCAAGTAGGACTTGTGACGACAAAGGGGCACCTCATCCCCACCGCTGGAGGAGTCGGCATCGAGAAATGGGACGGTCACGTTAGAGAGCAGAGGGTTGTTCCACCCTTCCGGAAAGTTTGGCGGACGCCCAATCACCGTTCGTCCCGGAGTGATCATCCCCGCGAGGAGGACGAGAAGGGGAAATGTCGACGAGTGTCGCATAGTTATTGGCGAATGATGGAACCACAAACACAATGATTGCAACACATGTTTTATGAACAAAGGTTAATTTGATGTCTGTAGTATTTTTCTATTGTTCAGGGTCCATTTTCTTTAGTGAATCCAAGTTGAAGTCTGAAATGCAATATAAAAATAACACTGATTAACTTTGTATTAAATGCAAATTGCATTTACTGAGCGAGACAGTACTGACGTTTCATCTAGTTTATTTTTTTTAATTTCTCCGTCTGAGACCGAAAATGGGTAATGAAGTTAATTGCTGAAATCGAGTCATTAGAAAGTTCTGGCTAATTTTGCTCTTCGAATCATTGTCTACGTTCAGACTCATATGTACATTCATAACTTGCAAGAATACGCAGTTTAAAAGTAACCTTGATGTCGTATTAGGTTTTTTATAAGCGTTTCACATATATTTTGAGAAAGTAACCTTCAGTTTATTCTTAATGCTTAAACAGGAAGCCACAGATGCAATCTAGTTTTCTCTAGTGGGCCGGAAGGGAGCGAATTTATGTTCTTTGTACATGTTTGTACATGCAGCATTATAAGAATTTTTGGCATGTTGGCGTTGTGTCTCTAAAGTGAAATGATATCAGGCATCATCATGATACAAAAGGAGGAAGAAAGGCATCTGTGTTCCTCTCCTTGCTGCCCCGCGTTAGGAAAGCAAAGTGATGGATGTACATTGTTACATCTTGTTGAGAGATGGATGGCTCCCATTCCACCTTGACTGACACAAACACACATCCAGTGGATTGGATATTCTCTTCTTATCCTCCTACCAACTTTCTCCCAGTCTGACCCGGTTGTGTACGTCCCCTCCGAAGCAGATGTGATGTGATGAGATGTGATCCATTAATATCCAATCAGAGGGGCCATTACGCTAATAAATTTCCCACACACACACACAGCCACAAATCAGTGGGGGAAGCAATCACCTCCAAATTCCCTGAATTAATCAACATCCGCTTTGTACCCTGGCTCGAACATGGAGGTGTATGAGAAAGAGGTGAAAGTGAAAATCGTGCTGGGTGCCATCAGCAAATTGCTTAGTTTGCATTTGAAACGAATAAGTAGGAAGGCTGAGATTCAATGTATACGGGTGACGGAGTGCATAAAGTACCTACGTGCAGATACATACATGTAGAATAAACCAATTTCTGAATTACTTCCGGAGCTCAAGTTCTCGTTTTCAAAATATTCTAAATTATAGTTGGAAATTTACAATTTTGACAAAAACTAGTTTAAATTCAGAAACAAATCTGTCAGATTTAATAACGAGAGGAGAAGAATGTGACAACGGAAATTAAGTCACGTATAACGTTTTTGCTAAATTCAGTCGCGGTAGTAAAGTGAGCCCAATGTGGCAATGTGGTCTGAGGTTTTGGTGAAAGTCGTTAATCCGACACTTTCCCAATCCCAAGTGGTCCTGGTTCTACTGGTGGATAGAGCTTGCTGCAGTGTGAAAGTGTTTTTCTTCTCCTCTCAAGATTTATGGAGTCACCTGTCTTTGTAGGAGGAACAGATGTTGGGGCACTTTGCCAAGGTGCCTTCTTGTACAACTCGGTGGTCCAATTTTATTAATCTCCAAAGGGATCCCATAACTAGGCCTGCAATTCATTCCTCCATTTACGAAATCTACCCACAAAACAGAGATGAATTTTGAAAACCACCCGTAGAAGAAATGAGCCGTATTTGTTGTAAGAACTTTCTCTTCCTTCCATCCAACCCAAAAATCGTGACAAAGTTTCGCGAACAGCCGTACGCTTAGATATCTACGTTGAAGTCGGCAGTACTAAATGATGATGGTGATACTAAACACAGTGTAATAAAGCAATGAAATGAAGCCACTCCCTAATTAACGGATTGGCCTCGACATCATCCCCGGCATAAATCAAGGAAAGTCGCTCCCAATTATATCCTTGGACTTGGTCACGTTCGCGGAATAAAATTTGGCAACATTACGATGAGAATATATACGTATCTATAAATGGATCGTAATTTCAGATCATGAGAAGCGGCTTGATAGCATATGTACATGTGTAAGTAGATTCTTATCTGAGGAGAAAAGTATGTAATGCATTTACCACCTTACCAAATTAGGGGCTAATATTGTTTCCAAGAAGAAATAAAATAAATTAACGTAATAAAAAATAAAGCACATCCATCGCTTCACTTACATTTATATCGGCATCACATCTGCCATAAACCGAACCAGTATTTCGTCACGTAGAGAAAATTAATCATTTATGACCACAATTACAAATTATTTGTTGTCAGACACACTTCCCAAATATATTTTATGTATGTATTCGTATCGCTTGTGCGGTTAAATGTAGCAATTCTCTGTCTGCACTAATTCTGTTCACAAGAAGCCGTAACATAATAATAATGATGATTGTGCTGTGGATAATATCCTCGTTGGTTATGGTTTTGGTTGTTTCGAGTGGCTAAAGAAGGAAAGAATAGCGTTTTTAGAGCCGATTTTTATTGTTATATTGCTCTCAAGTAGAAGAAAGCAAAGTTTTTCTGGTGGCGTGGAGTGTGTGTTACATCTTTGGTGTTGTTTTTGATTTGTGGATGTTGTGAAGGCTGAAATTGAATTGAAGCCGGAAATCCTGTCCGTGTCATTTAAACAAATACATAAATGACGTCAACAACCAGCTCCAACTTTAGGTTGAGATGTCAGCATGTCAAAGAATGAGAGACGAGAAAAAAGTGAATTCTTTTCCTTGAGAGCATGATGGACTTTTGTGTGTGGGATGGAAAAAGGCCGAAAAAAGTTTCAAGTAACCTATTTGCACAATAGCACTAAAGTTTTGGACATTATCAGCACAAATAGATAATTTCATAATAGTGGAAACACCGCAATGTTTGTAAATCTAACAACGCCACAGCCATTTGAACAAAAGGATACACAGACGGAGCACAATATGCTCATTTTGTTTCAGTTTAGGATGAAATAATGCGTCATTTGTGTGGTGAAAGCTGCACTGGTTGCAACAACAAATGTGCGAAAATCAGAGCAATAGAATGACAGGGTCGAAATAAGTTGGGAAACAAAACATGGTGAACAACAAAGCCAGTTGATTCAGGATGTGAGCACAATTCTAACAAGCATGTCTGTCCAATTGGTGCTAAATTCTGATAAATTTACAATTTAATTTCCACCATTATCCTGATTAAACTTTGTAATCTGATCCAGATTCCATGATCATTACTCGGTTAGTGTCACCTACCAATATGCCTGTCACGTAACGTAACTCCCCTCGTGTGTGATCAGCAAAGGCGCAAATAAGCATCTCCTCATCGTCTTGATCCTCCCGATGGTCGGTTCCGTTGGCAGACCTAACGTGTCCGAGAAACACTTTCACCTTACGTCTGAGAGAAAGTAGTGGTGTTTGTAATTGTAATGGAATGTGATACACTGAGAAACCCGAGCACTTGCACTTTAGCGGAGGGAGAGGAAAGAACGAGTTAGCAACCCGAATAAGTAAGCTCATCCCTTTTATTGCTTCTGCAGCTTAAGAATAGATTTTTCCTTGGAGAGAATGAACAGACAAGTAAAGGTAAAAGGGTAATTAATCACGGTCTTTGAAGAAAAAGGAGAAAAGAGAAAGACAAGGACTAGATTGATTGTCTCACTTTTGCCCACTTTATTTTTACACAAATGGTAAACAACGTGTGTACCACCTTGAAACGGTTCCTCTTTCGCTGGTTAGTTGGATTGGTGGGAGGTAATAGTTACCGAAATCAGATCCTCAGGGAAAAACAGACATCAAAAGATTAATCAATGCATTGCGTAAAAAGCTAATTTGACTGCCAAATTTTGATATTAAAATTTTTGTTAAGTAGGTCGCAAAGCAGATTGCATAGATGTGTATCAACTTTGTGCGTATTTACTAAAACGAAACCCAGCTACTAAGCGATCAGAGCACCCACAATTCTTTAAAGGAACGACACAAAATACATCTACGTTTTCATAAGATGTGTAAGAGCAATTTTTACTTTGTGTCACATGAACTACCGCAAAATTCGTCTTATTATTTGCTTATTTGCCTACCCTTACACATAATATGCTCCTACGTGGTTTCACTTTTGTCGTTCAAATGTCAAGTCAACAAGGAAATAGCGCATACACACACAACCCACCCAACCAATAAGTAAATGGATCTCGTTCTTTCTCTCCTTGAAGTGCAGAACCAGTATCAGCTTACTCGAAAAATCAAAGGGATTTCCTCGTCGCCTTTTTCACATGCTTTTTCAGCTCGAGTGTACCTACACACTGTAAACTGCAAACTTTACCTTGATCTCACCGAGAGAACTGCTTGTAAAATCTGACACAAAGAAAGACTTGTAATTTCATACCCACGCGTGAAATTTGGCAATGACATTTTTTAAAGTTTCAAAGATAAATATTATGTCTGTTTTCTGTCAAAGGCTTGTTTCAATATGAGAAGTGATAGTGAATATGTGTTGAGTCTCGATTTTTTTACCTATTTCATCGTCTTACTGCAGGAAGTGTAAAACTTGAAAAATGTTTGTTGATTTAACTTTGTGTATATGTAGATCCATTCAAAAGGCAAGTTTCCGCTGGTAAATAAGTTAGTGTAAAATTGCAACCTTTTTGCAGCAAAATATCCAAATTTATTTTCCATCTTGTTGAGAGTATGTAGATATAACACCATGATGCGTGTTATGGACAGAATCTTATCTCCAAAAATGCTACTCTAGCTTTTCTGACGTCAATCACCATTTATTGATGGACCTCTCTCTCTTCCCATATTCTACTATAACTCTCTCTGCAAATACTTAACCAAGATTTGCGAAAATTCTTCATAGAAATATTGAAGTTTGTGTAGAAAGAATAAGCGAGAGAGAGAGAAAGAAAGCATAAAGTGCACCTGTTTCTTGAAGTAATGTATACTTACGTATAAGTCAAGCAAGAAACCAAATATGGTTGACTTGGACTTGGCACTACTGTGTTACATAACATAACGAAAAGTAGAATAATATCAACTTTTGGAAATATGATCTCTGCTACACCTGCACACTGTCAATACGGATCAATTTGTTTGATAGCTAAATACGTAAGAAGCTCAAGCTTACTCGTGCTGTTTAGCAGCCTTGTTATCTTTTTTGAGTATTTTGCTTTGCCAACCGGCTGTCAATAATAAGTAGTAAATGTGTATAAGTTTTCCATGTAGTTGGATTTGGATTCTGCTTCTTACATGAACTTTATTTAGTAAGCTTAAGAATATTTGTTCGAAAGATCAGGATCACTAATAAGTGGCGAACTGGACTTCGACTCTGCAAAGGAAACGATATAGATAAATACATATTAAGCTTTAAGTATAAATAAATGAAATAAATACGCATTTACAAATAATGCTGTATGAAAAATTACAAGGAATCTGGAGAAGAATTAACTTGAAGAATAACTCTTTTCGTCTAGTTTACCAAGAAAAAAAGGCAAATATCAATTTTAGAAAGTGCCACCATCCATACTGACATTCGGCTCACTGATTTCCTTCAAAGTTTGTTTTTGAAAAGAACTTTACACAGAAATGTTGATCCTTCGCATCAACTGGAGAAGGCGGAGGAAAGAAATTGTGTAAAAGTTTGTCGGTTGTTGGTTTTCTTTGCCCTTCTTATTTCTCACCCAAGCATGTCGCATTAATTCGTATGGTTTGCAAAAGGGCCATAAATATGAAAGAGTCGATATGCAATAAGTAAAGAGCGGAGATACATGATTTACTTTCTTGCGGAAGGATGAGTTGCACCATAAATTAAGTCGATTAGCCAGCCATGGAGTTGAAGAAAAACCAGAATCCCCAAATTTATGGGGTGGGAAGCATTCATAAAATGTGTTGCAAATATTTCGGGAATGTTGTGCAAGAATTTACATAAGAAATAATGGCACCAATATTACAAAGACATTCGCTACTCTTTTAAAGTTTACAGCAGACTCTCAGATTTGCTTGCGTCTTTAAGAATAATTATTTAAATGCTGAACCGTCCATGCGTGTAATCAACCACTGACCCCCAAACTGTCCAAACTTTTAGCACAAAATTCTCTCAAAACTGTGGAAAAATGTATGTGTAGAGCGTCCACCCAAGCGGATGTTGATAATGTGGGGAAAGAATGTGTCAAGCGAGCATTACTGCGTATAGTTACTTTTCCACCAGTTTCCTTCCTGTAATCTCCCCTTTCCGAATAAAATAAAAGCGGAATCTTCCCATAACACGATCAACTACTATTTATGCCAACATATGTATCTGCATACATATAAGACAGCTGAACGCTTTCATTCGAAATGCTTGCCGGATTTCAAAAGTTTTAGGAAAATCCATAAAAAGTACAAAAAAGACGTTGCGGTATATTTTTGTGGAAAAAGTTGACATATATTTAGCTTTTAGTTTGTTGGTTCAAGATTTGTGGTAAGAAAATTGCCAGTAGGCAGGCATCAGGCAGGGCAGATAAATAAATGGCACAGTTCAGAATTTCGACATATACTGCTTTGACTGCGTTTGCTTTGAGGCATCAACATGGACAGTGAGCTTGTGACTTGCATGGGGATGAGATGGCGACGCTAATGACCAAACTTGAGTCATTATGTAGTATCCTTCCACATCCACCCACCCCGTAGCACAAAGGCAGTTGCGGAAAGATGAAAAAGAAGAGACAGCAGACATTTACTTGCGACGAAATGATGATGGGATTGAATGGAAGGCTGATGATACGTAACGTATCATGATGCATAAATATCGAACTATTGGCACAAACATATCTTCTGAAAAAGTCGGATTGGCTTAAATATTAGCTCAATGTTCGAATATATATTCAGCGAGATTCTTAAAGTGAAGCATGCATACTTCGTTTCTAAATACTCTCAACTGAATAAGAGGTTGTCGAATCGTAACGAATTAAAAAAAGAAATCTAAATTAAGAAAATTCTCGTTATGACGTAATTTCAAACTTACACTTAACATCGTCAGTAGTTTTCCCCATATAATATTATAGAATCTGACGTCATATTATTTGGTCCGATTTACACCTACGCCCTCATCCCAAACTTCAGATCTCTAAGACACTTTATAAACATATACAAACATGCATATTTACCCCCACCACTTAAATGATGCCCAACCGTCAATCGAGCATGTACATCGTCGAACTCAACCAATGCCTTGTCGAGATACTATTTTAGAAACTAAGTTGATCAAAATCGGTTCAGTAGTTCGACCGACAATATGGGTGCCTAAACCCCGGCGAAAACTTCAATATGAAGCCAATCTTAATTTAAAACGGTGTTTGTTGAAGAATTAACATTGTTTAACATTGTAAAGTTCAGATTGTTTTTCATTTGATCCAATTGATTGAAGAAATACTTACGAAATGCAATGACGATACAGTTCACTTTGTTTCGTCTCCAGCAACTCTGCTGGTTTGCTACATGATCCATGATTCGAACAGGAGAAAGTGTATCTAGACATTTGTTCAAATGGGAGGAAAATGAACAACCCTGAATCTAGATACGTGCTGCTGAGCGACATGACTGGACTTTGCAGGAGAAAGTTAAACATTTGTAAGCTGCGTTGGTGTTGGTCTGTTGTAGATTTTATTTGTTTTGTGTTATAGTGTGTGGTTGCATGGTCTTTGTTTTAACAAATCTGGCTCGGTTACACAATTGAGCACCGGAATGATGTATGTATGCAGGACATAGTGCAAGATGCAGGTTTTTTGTTCTGGGACCCTATACTGCTTTCACGGCAGAAAGGAATGCAATCACTATAAAGGTTATAGAAGGAGAGGAATTTGAAAAATGTTAAATGTCCAAATTCCTCTAGGGTACTGGGCACAGTGTAAAACATCGGGGTCAACCCGGTGAAACAACTTCTCTACAATATTGGTATTATTCTATTATTTGTGAAAACACACAATTTTAATCAGATTTTCCTAAAATATAAAATTATACCGTCACGAAAGTCTGTAAATTCTTTGTGCAGTTGTTAATTTAAGTGCCTACGTCAGCGCAGTCATTTTATTATGATTCTTAGCAAAGGACTTTGTCTTGGAATCAAGTTCCCTTTAGAATAGCTGCCTGCCAACTAGTGCAACGTGGCATAAAGTTATTGAAATAACAGAGACAAGATAAGCCAAAGTTTAACTCTGTGCACGTTTTAACGATCCCAACTCGACCCTTATTCCTAATTTCCTCTCATGCTCGGCTGCTCACGGTTTGGTGGCGTTGGACAATTAAAATCCCGAGAAAATTCTCGGATTCTCTTAATCTATGTAATTACCAAGTTTCACATCCTTTCCTACTCGCCCATTAACGTGCATCCCAATTTAACCCGGAAAACGAAACTTTGGCGTGAGGATGATGATGACGACAAGATAAACGGGATTGTTTTCTCTCCTACAAAAATGGTAGAAACTGAAAACCTTTTTTTGAATATGTGCAAGCTTTCTTAATACAGTTACGTAACACGGCGTAATGATAAAAATTGAATTATGCTGACAGAACTGCTGCACATGCTGCGATTCATGTCTGCGATTCATCTTTTCATGGAATATCTTTCCCCTGCAGTGGTGCTGCGGTCAACCACATAATTAATTGTACTTATTACACCGTCTTATCTCACCTTCATCCTCATCCTTAATTAAATCTTTTCTGTCTTTTTGGTCCAGATTTCTCTCTACGTCTTCCTTGTCGGTTGAGTGTTTTATAGTAAAGTTGTCGTCGTCGTCCCTCGGTGGTTTGCTGTATAGCGAGTCTGGCAACACATTATCTGGAACTTTTCTTCTACGCTTTCTCTTCTGTCTCTGTCGTGCTTATTTTCTTCACCTTGAGAAGTTACATATACCTCCTCGGTTTTCAGGGGCTTATGAACCTACGTATAATCCACCTCTGAAAGCCACACTGCTTTTTTCAGGAATGATCATTAATAAGTGACAAGTTCTCTCCCTTTCATCTCAACTTTGTTAAAGAAGATGAAAAAGATAAAAAAAACTGGCTACTGTAGTTGGGTAATGAACCGTACGGCAAGTGCGGTAACAACCACCGCGTGACATTCTAACCTGGCCGTGGCTATCCAGGCTTACGCTCAAGATTACAATAATGACATGAAATGTTGTCAAATGTTTTTAAAGGTGTATAAAAGTTACCTTGATATTCTCCATTAATCTGACTTTGTAATTTTTCCAAAATGGCCAGCAACTTTTTCTCGGATAAAAGAAGCCAGCATCTCGGTCGGGGTAAGTGGAGAACTTTCTCACTTTAACTCGAGGGGAGAAAGATTCTCATCATTTTGTCTCTTTGTTCACCTTTCTTGGTAAAAGTGAGTGCAACCTGTTGTCTTGCACAGCGAGACTACGGATTGCCGTGTCACAAAGTCACTCTATTCGCCACAAGCCACAGGCAACCAACGAACCAACCTGTCTGTCACTCGTATTACGAGGAATTGCATAAATGAAATTAGTTTTTTGGGATGTCCACGTCAAGTCATGAGCGACTTTGTCTGTTGCATTTTTGGGGAAAAACTCGCGGAAATAAATATGTCACTCACTCTCTCTCTCAGAGGATGGAATGAAACTGAAGATTTTTCTCTACACTATGATATCGCCCCAAGAGAAGAAAAAAACAGCAACCTGAACTGGAGTGGATTACACTTAAAGGTTGAGAATGTCATAGAATGTCATTTTGCTTTTTTGTTGTGTGGCCGAGTACAGAAGGGATTTATATGTACTTACGCAATTCTTCCCCGTAGTATGGATATGACAAGTTGCAAAGTACACACACTTGGGCGGATGGCAAAACAGTGGCAGATAGTTGGTTTACACAAGTAATAACAAAGTATTGTGGTGCTGTATGACATGAATTAAGCAAATATCGCCCATCAATTTGCACCAGTAATTAGCAAGTTGTTTTTGTCGGAATAAATTTAATCTGCATTTCAATAGGTTGGAAAATTTCCTTTGTGCAAAAGTTTTTCTCGGTTCATCGAGTCAGAGTGTGGTTGTGTTTTTTATTTTATGTCTAGAGATTTTCAATTCGCAAAAAGTGGTGTCGTTGGCACTACGGGTGTTACCACGAGCGAGAAAATGCGAGGACGAGAGAACTCAACCCTGTGGAAGGATGAGTTGAGACTGACTGAGCATTTTCTCGGAGTGAGACACGATACCGTTCACTCCCCTGGTTTGGTGACCAACGTAAACTTTACTGCATGGGGTTTTATTTACCCGGATTCTAAATTTTGCAAAGCGAATCAACCCAATCGGGTACTTTACTACTTTCCCCGTTGTATACATGGAAAAAAGGGTGTCTAAAGTCAGTCAGTAAGAATCTTTTGAAGCCAGTTTTCAAAAATAAAGTGTTTTAAGATGATTCCTAAACTATTTGTTACAAAGCATTCTCGCCGGAAATCCCCAACTGCTGGCATTACTGCACTGCATTTGAATGGATGGATGACTAAATCTCGTGAGGCCAGACGGTATAAGTACATACATGGAGCAAACATAAAGTTTATAGGGCTTGGCATCTGGTCTGGCTTATACGATCTCTGGTCGCCGTGCAGAAAAATAAGTGAGTGGGTATGTAGGGTAAGTGGACATGTTAAAGTAACAGCAAAACCTGTGCAAGGAAAGAAGAAAAAAAAAGTAATGGAAAAAGGGATTTGCACATCGTACATCTTGGTGGCGAGGAGTGATGTGATTGTTTATATGTGAGTGATAATCCGAGATTCCGTTTGAAAGAAAACAGACAAATACATACATACATTTATAGCTACGTAAGTAGAAAGAGGTGCAGAGTACGTACTTATGTGCATACTCTATTGGATGAAGAACGGATGAATTTAGCCTTTATGGAATTGTATAAATAATTCAATGATTTGCTCCCGTAGTCTGAGACCTTGTAAATAGTTTAGCAAAAGTGATGTTTATTTTCAAAGATTTTAAAAGCAAGTTAATCCCAGGAATGGATTGTCTTAATAGATTATTAATTATTCAGAAAATAATTAGTTGCACGTGTAAAGTTGAACCTTCTCCTGGCAGTCTTGACATTCGACGACGCAACACCAGTGGAAAGCACAGTGACATTTCCATCTGCGCCACGTAACGTGAGTATTGTAACCCCGTCCACAACACAAAATGGAGCATGACCCTTCACTCGTGTCTTCGCTGGAGGGTGATTCTGTCGAAGACGATCGAAGACAGCGACGACCTTTCGTGCCCGGGTGATATATTCCCTCTTGTTCACAATATGTGGGTGAAGTGACCAGGTGGATTAGCTCTCCTCGAGACGGCTTTCCCCCATGCTGGTCGACAACTTCGAGATGCACACGACGACGTTTGGGGGACAGAGTTGAATTATTAATGCTCTGCGTAATTAAAATTTTCATTAAACAAGTGTTCTTAATTAATTAGTATCCAATATTTGCACCTTATTGATTCGCGTGACATGTCTCCCATCCAAATTATCCTGAGCTATGATAAGGCTTGATTTTTTGTACAGATTAAAGATCATTTTTCCAATCTTCCCAAACTGGGGCAATTTCATCCAGCACGTTTTCAATGTACAGCTCCCACTGACGCCATGACACTTGCAATCCGTATCCAAGCTTTTCGAAACAATCTGACAGAGATTACTCAACCAAATGAAATCGAAGTAATGCACACACACACGTACGTGTATGTATGCATCTCCTTTAGTTTACTTAAATTTTACTCACATTTCTACCAACTCGTTTATTATGTGCTACGACAGCGTGGAGAACATCTTTTTCAATCATATTATCTGCTGAGATTGAAGGGGATTTAGTCCGGATCATTTTTTGTGTTGATCTTCGAGCCAATTTTACAGCAAAGTCGACGTCAGCAGAGCAACCACCCCACCTCCAATATCCCCCTTGATGCAGGAGAGACGACGAGGCTAGACTGCCAGACTTGTCATAATTACCACTGCTACTACCAGATGACGATGCGATGGTGGTTGGTGGGGCACACCCACAGTTAGAAATGTCACCTCTGGCACATGCCTATTGGAGGAGCAGGAGAAAGTGTAAGCGCCGGTTAGAATTACAAATCGTTGGTTTATGTAAGTAAACACATAAATACATTACGAAACCTTATTGTACCTTCGCAATCGAGTAGGTGACAGCTGCAGACAGCGACGCAGTCATATAAGCATTTTCTTTGGTTCCTGCAGAATAAGTAATTGTTCTACATAAGAGTTTGTTCATTCCGAGAATTCCGCCCATAATTTCGGTTTTAGCTGGACGCACAAACCCGTATTTGCCATCCAAGTGGACTCTGAACAGTTCCAGCGACTCCACTTGAAGCGCTGTTGACAATCTTTACTGCTCAAGTGGACAGCAAACTCGATTGCAGATTGCAGTCCTCCTGCTTTCCCGTCGTCTTCTCCCCCAACGGCTGCCTCTTCTCTGGCTGCGTCATTTCCCTACGGAAGGCGACGAAGAAGTGGTGTTAGCAAGTTTAAATAACTGTCCCAAATAACGTATAAATATGCAAATTATCTCGTCATCCCATTTCTCGACCCATTAAACAACCCAACGTATGTTTGTACCTGTGTCCCGTTTTGTGCACAGTTCCAATTGTCACCGGAGCAGGGGAATATGTCGTCATTATTATTTATGAGAGAAGGATGAGGAGCAGCACCCTCATGTTTGATGTCGATCCAGGTTAAATTTTCAATTCCAGCAACGATGAGTGGACAATAAAGAATAATGCCAGCATAATAATGGGTGGCGAGGAGTTGGAGAAGGAAATTGGGGCAATAATTACACAGGGGAAAAAGATAGTAGACGAATAGGTCCAACTTCATTTGCCCACTCACGCCTCAAAATTCACAAGGTAACTTAATAACGAAAATTCAGTCGCATTCCTATGCAATTCTGCTTCGTTATGAAATGAGGATCTTGCCAAGAGGACGAGAGAAAGGGAGAAAGGATTTATTAGAGTCCTCAAGACAGAGAGATATGAAATGCATGCAGATTAAATGAACAGGTGGGTATTTACGTACGGTGTCCAGTTTAGAGTCTGGAGGTACATCATATATCCAGCTTCGTGATCCCTTTAGTATAGAAGATGAAGAGAAGGATACCTTTATTATTACAAACTCTCTCTCTTAATACTGACAAGTACTAGGAGAAGATCATTAATGGAAAGGGATCCGTACGTTATTAAGGGTAGGTAGCTCTCTGGAAATCCATCTCATCTCTTCCCGACAAAGGAAGGATAACAAAAACACAAGGATTCCCACAACCGTCTTCTGTAAATGCTTTACTTACTTACTGCGACTCCACAGGATTGGATTGGTTGGATTCACTATCTGATTTTAATAAAGGAGAGTAGATGCATGGCGTGGGTTGGATGGGTAGACAGACAAACTTAAATAAAGGCTCAAATATCACTTCATATAGAGAATAAGTGCATAAATTTATTCTGCGTTGTTGAAAATGTACGGAAATAGATTTTAAAATCCAGTAGTATTTATTACGTAGTAAAACATTTAATGTATTTATAAAATGTGCATATTTTTACATTTTCCGTATCTTTCGATAAAATTCAGTACTAAACATTTAACATAAACGGAATATTTCTTAAATATTTAGCTTAAGATTAAATATATAAAGGTCAATCTATTCTTCAAATATCTCACACGTGGGCAGATTCACCGTCACGAAGACGTTCATCTCCAATAATGAGGCAAAGACGAGGAACGCTGCATACATTGCTAAAGCTGCAAAGCCCACTTTCTTATCCAGATAAAACTTGTTGACTGCCAGAGTCCCATAGAGAAGGATCAGAGATACCATCAGAATCATGGCCGAGTATTCCAAGCCCCCTGAATTTATCTGGATGTAGTTCTGCACAGGGTCCGAAGCAATGAGGGAGCCTTTGATCAACCAGGGAAGACCGAGACAAACCTATTCAATGTGCACGATTACATGATAACTTAATTTATTACCGACATTGAATAGATTTCATTACCAAAATATCAAACGTATTGGAGCCAATAGAGTTGGAAATGCTCATGGTGCCGAGCCCTGTTAAAAATAAAGGTAGATGATGATCATTAAAAGACTTGTCAGTCAAGGGATGAAAACGCTCGCCTTTAATAACGGACTTTTCTCTCTCGAGGCAAATATAAAAGACAGGCGGAGTGGATTTGCATAACAAAACCTATATTAATTTTCACTTTTCTCGACAACACGACATGCAAACTTTATATACGGCAAATGACATGGAGGATGCAATATATGTACAATAACCCATTTTTCATGGTGGTTGTGAGCCAAGCAATAAGAAGGGTAACATATTTAGGTACATGCATATATGTAAGCATTATACAACATTATGCATAGTGCTGTAGGGTTTTTGGAGCCGTTTTTTTACGTCTCTTGTAAAATATGCTCTGCAAATCATGCACATATTGTGCATATAATAAACTATTTCCTGCTGCACGAATAAATAATCTGCACATGCTTGCTCACCTTGTCTGGCAACAATAACCGAACTCACGGCCTCTGGGATTGAAGTACCGGCAGCCAGAAAAGTTAGTCCCATCACACTGTCTGGAATTCCGAGCGTGTGACCTGGCAGACAAAAAATGAATATAAAGTCAAATAAACAAATAAACACAACGCAACGAACTTTTTTCAAGTATTTCTATCGTTTGGATATAATTCTAATGTAAAATAAATATTTGGACAGGTCTCTTATACGACAAACTTGACATTTACCATCCAACTAGACTTGTTACAGGGGAAAATAAAGCATAAAATTTCAATCTAAATATGTTCGTGTGCAAATTTCCTGAAATCATACAAATTTTTTAAGCCATGTTTTCTTGTTTACTTTCCCCCTCAAAAAAAGCACTAATGTTCAAGAACTCAGGCCAGGTAATAAAGAAAGAGCAGCATTTTACACCAAATTATGCAAATGGATCTCACACATTCTCATCTTCACCTCCACCCCACTACTCAAATGGAATAGTCAATTTGTTAAGAGGTTCAAGAACTTTGTATCTCTAGAAAATAAAGTAAATAATACGTTTCCATCCAATTTCACCCACCATCACGCGAAACGTTGACGTATGCTGTACATAGAGGAGCAGGTTTTGGAGAGAAATATTGATTATTGTGCAAATATCAGTCCCCACGCAGCATGGAAGAAAGCGATGATCATTAAACAAAAAGCTTTAACATCTTGGAAACCGTGTTCATGTAATACAATGCAATACATTGGATTAAATATGTAAGTAGGAACACCACTTAAATATGAGACACATGTATTTCTATACATAGAAAGCACTTGAAATTGTGGATAAGGTGAAAGTACGAAAGTGCTAGGAGGACAAGACGAGTGGGATGACAAGCACTTGAAATCATGTGCAAGTGTTTATCCAAGTATTCTTCCGTCTGTTCCAAGAAATTTTTTTCTACCCAAACAACAATAGCATTTGACACGTTTGCACATATTACATCTGCATATTCAGAGATGGATATTTGGGATAAAATTAATAATTTAATGTAAAACAACAATATGTCAGAGTTCACAATTTACACGGATTTTGCCCATGAACATATATCAGTATACCAGACGGCTTACGCAAGTATGTGAAAACCTTGGGATATTTCATTACTTTGCATATGAATGAAAATAAATTAAGACATGGAATTTCACAACTTTCTCCTATGTCTCGGTCCAGTAGAAAAGCACAATACGGCCGAGGACGATAAGTATGACGATGGTGGCACAAAAGAATAAAGCCTAACCAAACCGCGACACAAACAACAATGGGCGGACATGACAACAATACACAACACAACACGGACCTACTAAAGGTCGCTCGAGTTCTCTTTTCTCTCGTCTCAAATTTCTAATAAAATGACAAACTTTCAAAGCGGCTGGCTCGTTAGTTGTGGTGATCCTACAACTTTTCATTTGCATGCAATTTACTTCTCCGCGTATGTATTAGGTTGTAGTAATAACTTGAATGCGTAGGATTTGATTAGATTTGCAATGAGCGCTGGGTTAGTCAAAAGAAATTGTCTGATCACAATAGATGTATGTACCTAATTTATTGAGCTTTCATGTGGGTGTTGTCATTTATGCGACAATATACGGATGGCCTTTGTCTGTACCCCTAATTCAATAGAAGGATGATTGATGCACGTACGTAGTAGCATCAGAGTGATATGATAATGTCAACGAGTATATAAGTGACGACATCAACAACTACATACATACATCATGCAAATATGGATGATGTCCATGCAAATATTTTTGCGTCAATAAATGTCCACATGGGGAACTATGCGACTTTAACGAAAAACTGAAACTTATGACGATTACGTACAAAGGAGTTGGTGGATGATTTGTCACATTGTGCGCGCTAACCCGATTGATCTTCACCGCATCTGATGATATAACACATTCTTTATCGAGTTTCAAATATGCATAATATATGCAGTCGAGCAGTCATGCATCAAGTTCACTCACAAACTTTGGAGAATACTACGATCATTTACTACAGGGTGCCCACCAGCTATCGAGTTTACACCTCTACTCCACCTCAGTATTTACTATGCATGCTATTCTTACGACAGGCTTGCCCTCCTCCCCGTCGTGTGCATTTCCTCTGACAACAATAATTTATTCCGCCGATGTGAGCCCATTGTTTATCCCACGCGAATAAATTATTATCTCGGATAACACCACGCTACGACTACCTAGAGGGCATCTTCCGCCTCGTGCTTCGTCTAGAGTGCTCTCACTTTCTCTCACCACCATCATCATCACATCCGACATGAAAACCTATGTACGAATGCAACCTTCGTCTAATCTGGAATTTGGTATAATCCACAACACTACTATTTCTGATGGAGGACCAATTTTTTCCAAAATTTCCGACAGAGTTATTGCCCACTTTGTAGTGGTGAAAGTTTGGAGACTCGCCAAACCTAGGAGAGTCCGTGTGAACCCAATTTTGGTTAAATCTCAATCTGCTTTCTCCAAAAGTCAAGCTGCTGCGGCCGTTTCTAAGTGAGTGGAACATAAGTAAGTGAATGGCAGTGACGTGGACGAGAAGCTGACTACCCATGAGACTCTAATAATTTAATAATTCAGCCAAAGTTTGATCTGTCGTATCACCAATCGGACCAAAGGGAGGCGGAATGTAGGAGAGAAAGCACTACTGAGAGAGGAATAAGGAAGGCAAAGTGCGATGAGAAATTTGGGGAGAAATCTGATCAAACAATTTCGGGGCTCAGGGCAGTTGTAAATCTAATCTAATCTCAAGAATAGAAAGTTCCTCTGAGATTTACTGTATGGATGATGCAATGGAGAAGGAGCGACCCGACTACAAAGAGCCTTCCTTTACCTTGGTCGTGTTATTCAGTCAACTTTCTCGAGGAAGAAGAGGCCAACACACAAGTTTCTCCCTTCACCTCTCTACGTGGCATCGATGGACTGATATCTTTTCAGGATGAGCAAAATTATTATAATTATAAATCTACGTAATGATTCCCGTCAATATTCATTAACTTAACTTTGAGTTAAAAAGAGAAAGAGGGCGAAAAGAAGGAATTTTCTAACGAGTTTGTCCCTCGGAACTCCACCCTATGTGAGTATATCTAGCAAGAACATGGGTATATTTACATACGTATAGGGATAATTTGTAATTAATGAGACGGATAATGATGCGGGTTTGTTTGCACGACCTTCGTGGCACAATTAAAATGCAATTTGCAACACTGGTGGGATTGCAGAAAAGATGAGTCTGAATGTATGTAGCTGGGTGGCGACTATTATTAACTTGGCGACGAAGGAAGGAAACCATAAACTTTTTACTCACCTATTATCGTCATCATCCATGAAATCAGATACGACAGCGATGCGATCCAAACAATGCACATGAGGAAGGTCGCCATGTACCAAGAACGCCAGTTTCCTTCACGACAATCCGGCACAGTTATTCGAAGGAAGAAACGAGCCGGCCAGGTTACCGCCCAGAGGAAAATTATCCACAAGGACGCCCCCTTCGGAATGGAAAACACGGCCCATTCGTCTGAAAATGGAACAAAATATGTATTGTGATGATGACATATGTATAAATTGAACATTCTAGTATTTCAGCTACAAGAAAATACGCTCTTATTTATCCAAACTTTGTTTGTTGGCTTCAACAAAGACCTTCCTTTGTGTGGCTTAGACTTTGTGTGGATATTGATTTCAGAATAGTCGAGAAATTGAATGCATGGGATTAAATATCAGTCTTAATCCAGCCGACCCCCAGTGATTACATTTCTTAAGATTAAGTTATTAATTATGTCGGTATAAACATGGAAGCGTGTAGCGGCTGAGAGTGCTGAGAAGAAAATTGGATTCAAACAGTGAATGAATACACAAGTGATTTATTTGTTGGGATATTATGGATCGAAAGGAGAATAAAGTGTTCACCAGGGCGGAGAGGAGAGATTTGCGAAATTCATAGACTCATAAACAAAGGACGTGATTTGGTTCAGTAAGTAAACTCTTTACGTCTTAACTTGATACATTATTCCCAACCAAGCAAAGACAATAAGCCAGAATCTGGTGAGTTATCCAGTAGTAAGAACTTATCGCGAGTTTGCTCTAAATGTAGGCCACTGGAACATATTTGCTGGAGAAGCATAATGAGGGAAAACATATCTCTTTTTCAGGACATATAAGTACACAAATATGTAAGTACAGATAATTGTATATTAATGATTTATTTGGTAGAATTTCTACCGTAGAAATGAATTTCTCAGTGAAACGGCACACTCAATGTACACACAAATGTACATACATATGTAAAGAAGTGCCATTAATCTTTCATTAAAGAAATTCCAGCAACTTGCTACGAAAATATAGAGTATTTCCTCTCGCTCTCTCTCTCTTGCATCAACATTGACATACTTGCTACTTGGCTTTTCTACCTTGAGAGAGAAAGTCAGAAATAGCCCGACATGACTTAATGAGTCGGTTCGTCGGCGTGGGTTTGTTTTCTCGAGATTATTTTCAAAATAAACAGGTGCCGTCTGGTTTATTGCTGGAGGAATCGACGGACCGATAGGAGAAACTCAAGCCACACGGAAGCAAAAGTAAATAGCGAGTGAGCACCAATTAGTCAAAAGTGTAAAGAATCGGACAGGTAACCTAAAACCTTCTCGGTACATACTACTTAACTTGACGTTTACCATCATCAGCAATATTTCGCATGTCCTCGCACCACTCCTGCCGAAATGAGATGGTGGGTGGTGAGTGACTGACATATTTACAAGGCAGCGGAAGTGATACTAATTGAAGCAGGCTGTCAAGTGCTTTATTTTCAGGTCATTCATAAACGACACGACCCATTATCATTACAAGAAAAGGGATTTTAATTCAATTTTGTGCGACGCCATTAAAATTACTTGTCGCCTTACTTTTTAAGATATGTATGTGTGTAGTCGAATTTTGCATCCGGTTCTAATAATGCATTACATAATATATACTCGTACTACTTATATGGTAACAGGAAACTTTGCATGTTATTGTGATAACTCCGTAATAAGAAACTTTAATATTATTTCAGGTGGAAATTTACAACTCAATTGGTCGAACTAAGGAAAAACTAAACTAACGAGGTCCAAATTACCAAGTTTAAGCTTACCTTTCTCGCCTAATATGCATTTGTGAGTTTTGACGAATAGTGATTTTGCTGACAAGGTGCAAAATATTTGTTTCTTTTGATGCATTAATCAATACACAAAAATATATACAGTTGTTGTGGATTTAAGGCCCAATAGCATCTCATTTTACAAATATGTACATATTGAGGGTACAAGCATAACAAGTTTGAGAAAAATGCAAAGTGAACCAATTTGTTATTTTTAATTTTACTAACAAGTTTTTAGTTCTTACACTTTGTGAGAACTATGTAATTGTAAGAACATACTAATGTATTTATGGAAATGCACAAAAATATCCACGATAATCTTAACCGAGCGTAAAGGTGAAAGTTTACATCTATTAATGTATGTCTATATTAAGGTCACATTTTGAACGTCATGAAGCAATAACTATGAGTGAGCAAAATGTTGCAATACTACAAAATAATCCCCGCACTTGAGCAGAGGTCATACAACGTACTCCCCGTAATTCCCTCTCAGCAACAACAATCATGAAGGGATTAAATATATCGAAAGACTGAAAAATTGCCATTTATGTAGTAACTCAACCTGTTCTACATACATATTTTACGAGTGAAAGCATACGTAGATAATACTTTTGCTTGCCTCGGTTCATCAGCTAAGAAAGTTTCATGTGTAAATTTTTTGTCTCACCTTTCTCCTCTTCTTCCTGCTCCTGCAATGCTTTTGCGATCAAGAGTTCATCCAGTGCTTCTGCAGAGATATCGTCTCCCCGACCAGCCTTCGCTAAACGCTCATAACTTTGGCTGAAGCTTAAATGTCGACTTCGAGCGCCTTCTTCGTCGCCTCCTAAAATTTAAAAAATACATAATTTCATGAAAAAGTTTGATGTTTTTCCAAGTTTCAAATTTTGAGAGTAGACCGATTTAACTGTTAACAATTGGTTTCATATTTATGCATATCTGTCCTACGACGGTTTCAATTTGCCTCTATGGAGCTTGTGTATGCCGATCTTTGTGTTTCTTTATGTACAAGATAAATATGCTCCTGAAGAGTTCTTGGTGCAATTGAGGGAATCTCTTCAAGTGAAAAGAGAAGTGCAAGGTAAATTGGAGCTTAAACCACTTTAGCTGAGATAGAGTTGATAGATTTGAGCAGTTTAATGTTATTTGCACAATTTTGACAACTTCCTGGAATTTTCATTATTTATTGAAGAAAGTGTCATTCATGGAGTTACCAGCTGCGTGTCATAAAAAACCTAATGCACAGGTCATTATAATTACATAAATGTTCGTTGAGGGTGCCATCGTGTACAGAAATAGGTAAATTGCACATCAGTCTCAAAACCACTACAATGTGTATTCACTAAAGATGAGATATAAATAACATGGATAACTATTAATTTCAGTACGATGAAAACTTGGCTGCAAACTTTGAGACGATGACAAAATATGAATTTAATTAGATATTTTAGAAAGCAGAGTTAATTTCAACTTAAAATTTTCTTTGTCATCTCGTGTGTTGCGGACATACCAATGTTTTGCCTACACAAAACTTTTAGATGCGTATAATATTCTAATTCTGCATTTTGTAAATTGTTTGAAAGCAAATTTGATTGAATTCAACACCTATTGTTAAAAGGATAACACATGGACAGCAACATAATTAACCAGCATGTAACAACCACCTGTCAAATTTATCCCTATTTTTAGACCACCAACATAAACTATCCTATTATTCTTATTTTTCACTGCGTCTTCTTCTCCTGAATGCGCGTGAGGCTTCCCATTCTTCTTCATCACATGAGATTGGAATTGGTGCAATAATCCAGGAGGTAGAAATGAAAATGGGATGCATCAGCACCAGGTGGGCCCAATACATAATCAATCGTCCATTTTTCACCTCACTTCATTACTCTCTCTCTCTTTCTCTCTCTCTCTGTCAGGATGCAGGGAAAAGCAGCACAAAACCTAAAACCAGACCGATATCTACGTGTACTTTTGCACGCGGAGGAAATAAGTATGCACTGTATGCATTATATCATCATCCCTCAGCGCCCTCCCACTCAATTTCCTACTCATAGCACTTCTCTTCTCGCTCATTCAAAATCTCATCACTATTTCATATCATGCTTTCACTCTCAGACCACTTTCTCAAGGCTAAAAGGAAAGTGAGGCTCTGGGTTGAAAGTCTTTTGCAAAAATGATATGACTTTCACCACGGAAAATGTGGAGGAAACATACCATTGTAAACCCACTAAAATGAAAATCGGATGCGGAGAACGTACCTGTCTGATCAACTAGCTTGCAGGCATGGATCAACTCCATGCACCCGACTCGACCCAAATTGTCATTCTAAATATGTGCATGCATTTGGATGGGATCAGGAATGGACGGGCGGAACTTTGTGAAACAAAAATAAAGGGATATGTATTATGTAGATTTATTATATATTTGGAACATTTTGTCATGATGTGTTTATCTTTCTAGAAAAATCCGTTGGTGGAAGCTTTAAAATTTTGGCCAATGGGTGCATTTTTATGATGTAAATACGTATGCATGTTGGAAAATGACGCGACTCAGGTTATTATATGTTGCCCTTTCACTAACAGAACGTTTAACTATGAATGTATTTCCATGATAGACAGATGACAAAAATATTCACAACAGAATATTGCAATTCTGCCAACAGAGTGGTTGCAGCCATGGTTTGTAGGACTTAAAGTGTGTCTGACACGTGTAAAATGTAAATTATAGGATTGGTGTAGGATGGATGTGTGGAGAACCGTATGTGCGAAAACAAGGGATACGCTCGATCACAATCCTGAGAACCGTGGAAGAGGATTTCAATTGAGCAAATAAAAGAGATTGAGATGAGTTAAAATGCCTGGAGCAAACACAAATCCAAAATTCTACGATTTGAGCTTTACCACGAAAACATGCAGGGTATGGTTATCATCAAACAAGACAAACACACCAGCAGACCACTCAGTTTCTCATGACTGGAAAAATATAATAAATTTCAAACTGCAAATACTTCCTGGCAACATTTCAACCCATTTTAGAACATATATTCAAATATCATTCATTCATTCATGTTACCAATTAGGGGCGTCCTTTCGGTGGATGCTGTGAGTTCGGCGACAAATGAAGTTCGACGACTTGACCCCCGAGATTTTTTCTTCTTTATGAGCACTTCCGTGTCGTACGGATCGCTAGTCTTGCCACAACAACCCTTCGACACCTTGTCAACGAGCTCCTCTGCTTTCTTTTTGAGAGCCGTGTTCTTGTACATGACTAGAAAATATTCGACATTTTAAATATTAAGCCTTTAATAATGCTTCAAAAATAATTGTTAATGTATTTACCGAAAATGTATATTACATAGACGACAACAAGCACTAAGGCCTCGTACCAAAAGACCTTTCTATTTGTAAGAGCCACAATTAGTAGTATGACAGATATGGAGTAGAAAAAGCAGTCTCGCGTTAGCGGATACCACTCTAATGGGAGTGCCTGTATACATAAAATCATCAATGGAATTCGATGGTAAAACACGTTTTAGTAAATTTTTAGTATTTTCTTCTTACAGTTTGAGCAGCCATTCCACAAATTCCCGCAATCGCCAAAATGTTGAACACTGCACTTCCAACTATAAACATCAGCATAAAATAATAACTCTCAATAAATGTCTCAGCATTCAATTTATCAAATGTTTGAATTGTATAGCTCTCAATTGAAATGGAAGTCAAAAATTAACCAGCCACCCGAATACACAGTGAACCCCCCAACTTTTATATGCAAATACAAACTATTTCAAGCTAAAGTCGACTTACCTATTGTCCCAACCCCGATGTCACCCTTCGTAATAAAGGTGCCAATCACATTCGTGAACAATTCTGGGGATGAAGTCGCAATGGCCATGAATGAGGCTCCGGCTATTTTTTAAAGTAAGGGAAAAGTCTCACTTTAAGTCTCACACTGTGTCACACTTTAAAAAGTCTTACCCACATCGCTGGGTAAATGCATTCCTAAAAGAGTATAATTTTACATAAGGTCACTCGTTCATAAGTCATGCTAGTTATTAAATATGTAGCTACTTCCGTACCAGTACATATGCATTCGATGCTTGGCACGAAATACTCGTCGCAAACCAAAGCCAGAGCGTAAAACACGTAGACACTGACGACAAAGTGAACAGCAATCCAGCCATGACGCCGTTCTGATTGGGTAAACAGGTCAGAAGGAAAGTCGTCAATGGACGGCGGGGTGCAATCCTCCGATGGAGACGTGGGTGATGTCTGTGTCGTTGGATCTGGTTGCAGGGTGGACGATCTTGTGGTAAAGTTGGAACGATCTGCCAAAATTATATATATAAATTAATGTAATTTTACCCCGGAACTGATTTGTACCCATGTTTTGTACATGCCAATAGATGTGCTGAAACTGGAAGTGGGGGATATTGTTGATTGGGTGGAAACTGCCGTCATTGAGAAATATGCCATCAAAACGCTCCATAATAAGAGTTGAACTCGTCTCTTTATTCCACGTTTTTTATTCCGCAGTAATCGGGTTTCATGACAGGAAAAAGTTTGGGCGGATATTCCGCCCACTTTACTGTTTTGAGCCATTTTGGGACAAAAAATAACTTTCTACATGAAATTTTTTGTCCTGACTTATGTGTCACCAGGTGGACGAGAGCACACTTCACATAACTCAAATTAAAACAATAGAATGAAATCAGATGCCACGGGGTGAGGCAGATCAACTGATCAACTTCACGTAAATAGTCGAATCCGCATGATCAAAACCTGTGACTTGTTAAATAAATAAGCATGCCTGCACACGCGTTTGTTTGGATTCTCCTTTATCATATTCACGTTATAAACAATTTTTTTCCTCGTCGTGGGAATTGATAAGATAACAGGTCAATCAACACCCTGTTTTTTATTGGTTTGTTATATACTCTTTCCCTCCTGGATGAATTCGGAAGAATTGTTACATATAGGTACGAGCAATGAACTAATAATTAAGTTTATTTATTGGAAACTCCCGGTGAATATGAATTATTTTGAAAATTTCTTCTCATTCCAATTACTAAATTCAACATATGATCTTTTTGAAAACAATGATGCGCTCTATCAATATGTACATACATACATATTTAAATATATACATTTCATGAGTATGCAAAACACTCAACAGTCTGAAAATGAACTGCATGACTTCTTTACACAATACTTTTCAGAATAATAGGCATACAATACGAATTAATCCGAAATAAACACTTGGATTTCATTGTGTATATAGTTTAGTTTCAGGAAATTAATAGGGATATTTATATTATTATACCACATACAAGTGAAACTTTTGGAACCTATTAACAATGAGTGCATTCAATTCTTAAATTTAGCATTAGTGGCGTGTTATTGCACGTTGATAAATAATTCATTCTAAATGAACAAACAATCCAATTTAAACAGAATAATTATTCAGTATGTGACAACTCAATGTGAGAATTCGTATAGCAAACACTGACCTTCTTGCTCCCTGCATAGACGTACACAATCCGAGGTTGAGTATTTGCACTAATCTAAACGGATGAACATAGTGTCAGTTATGTCTATGATAATACATTTGTACTTGCATATAGTTTTCATGGTGGTGTTTCGTTAGCCGGTGCCAGGACTTATGTAGGTAACTGACATATCCGTCCGTGCCAGGATACGGCCAAAACGGCTGAACCAATTGATTTCCAATTTGAAATCTACTTTTAGACAGAATCTGAGATTTTCATATTACTTACATAATCATATTTATTAGTATACAAGCTTAAGTTCTTTTCGGGGAGAAAATTGGCCACGTGGTTGACCGAAGGTGGGGTTGGTTTGAAATATTCGGTCGTAGAAGGCTAATATTAGGAAAATTTGTTATGTATTCTACCTTTATTTTCACATATAATTGCGCACACGTTATCATATACATACACATTACACGTATGAAAAGCTGACTACAAATGAGTCGTACATTAAAAAATCCCTAATCTTAATAAAAAACTCGCAAAAACAATCTACAAGAATGAAGAAATTATTTGTTGTGTTGCATGTATGAACTTACTTACGAAAATTGATTTAAGTAGGAGAATGAAATTAAATAAGCATGAAGTGGAGGGGTGTACCAGATTTACAAACATTAAGCAAAGTTCAAGATTTTTATGCCATCTTAACGCAACAATAACGACCGTTTGCAAGACATCGATCTCATAGAGAGTAACACTCATATCATAAGTTTTCGAAGGTAACAGAAGGAAAATGGCTGACTCGGGCTATGCATGTTCAGTCTGGACTTTTGTAACTCGCAAAGGATTATACAATCTAATCTTAGTTGGCTGTGTAGCGAATGGACAAGTATTATATAAGTGACATTTTAGTATTGTTAATACCAGAGCTTTTTTCGAGAATTAATTTCGGCATAGCCTCCACATCATTTTATCGACATTGTTCCGTCTGCCAGTTGGTATATTTAACCCTTGGTAAAAATATTTTTTGAAATTTTAGGCATTGCAATATGTAAATAACTAATAATTTTTGGAACTTAAATAGTTTTGGAACGACAAAACCTGTGAGAATACAACAAGATGTGTGAGTCAATGTGTGCCTGCTGTTTTCCATGTTGTTTCGTCATGATAAAGCGTGGGTGCGGATCGGATTGCTGCATAAATTGGCTTCTTGGACTCCTGTGCTGCGTCCCTGCTGTGATTCACGCATGTTCATTCGTGGGGAAAGAAGACCTTCCACCACAGACCGTGGTGATTTTACAACAGCCACAACCCCAAGCACATCAAATAAACGTCAGTCACACCCAACGTTACTAATCCAAGCTAATCAGTTTTATTGGATCATCCAAAGAAATATGAAGCACAGGAAACATTTTCAACTATGCTCAATTTTGATCACAATTTGTATGAAAAAATGTTAAGGATTGGAATAAATTATTTCTGCTTTGCTAATTATCAGTTGAACTCTATTGCATATATTTCAGTTGTACTTAAATACCCCAAGTTTTAATAACAATTACAAAAAATAAACTTCATTTTATCTCAGCTAAAATGATGCATCAATTTAAAACAAGGTATCAGGTCATATAATTTGTATGTACATATGTAGATTTATGCATAACCATTTGAGTTTGTTCCCATATTACACATTAATGTAAGCCGTAAAACGAATTTGGATTGAGAAATTGAAAAATTAAGCTCTAAAACGTTAATGCATATCTACCAAAACTTTGCACTGATTAAAAACGTCGTCGCTCCCTAACACAGCTCCATAACTGGTATTAGTTCGATACGAGGCAAGTAAAGAGGAATCTTCAGAATGATGACCAACTTCAAGTTCGTCCTCGTTCTCGTTCCAGGTTTCCGCAATTTCAGAATATCTTCGTGTAGGTCCGCGATTCAAGTAGATTCTGTGCTCCTCTCTAAATCTTTGAATCCGGCGAATCATTATATACCCAAACAATGAAATGACAACCTATTTACAAGTATTAAATATAAGTCATACGATCTAAAAAATTTGCTAGACATTTAATTTTTAGGTCTTCACCTGAACAGGAACAATTATCGCTGTTACTGCCTTCTGGACCAAAAATACAGATTTGTACATTTGTAATTTTATATGCATATCCATGTAAGTAGGTCTATATTTGCATCTACATGTGTACCATTGGTGCTTCTATAGCAAAATGCGCGAATTTGATCCACGCGATTAGAATGAGATCCATACAAAAGAGAAACGGGGCGAATGTTTGTCCCAGAAAGCAGATAATGCAAATATGATCAAACAGTTGGTCATGTGGAGATGTGAACACTTCCGAGCTATTGGACCCCATTCCGCTGACTGCTTCGATATGGGGAAGGATTGTGGAGGACCCAATTTTTACTATGATAATTGTACAACGCCATTTATTATTATGCTATGATTTTTATGATTTTAATTATTATCGTGATTAAAATTACCAATGATTGTTGTCCCCACGAGCAGACAAGTAGTTACCACGTACGCAATGATTAACGGTTCAGATGCGAGGTCTGGCTGGATTTGAAGTTCGACTGCGGCAGTCTAAAATATATTATGATAAAGACATCCATTTACATATGTACATCTAGAATTAAGATGAGAGAAAAATCCAAGGTTTACTCACTATTGCGAAAAATGACATGATGTTTGTTATGTGAACTACGGTATTGAGATGAGATTGACACCAATGTAACCTTTTCCAAGAGTCGATCACTTCACTATCCCAAATTGGGTCGGTCAATTTTGGCGTGGAGGCAGGATCGAGGTCCACAGTGTCCCATTTTATTACTTTACTTGTACTCAGAATCATTTAATTTTTTATCGGGGTGCCATTATTTTAAAATCGGAAAAACGTTATTCTGTATGAACACGTGGTCCGGTGCTGAATGAGGATATTCGTTGAATGATAAGCTCTGTTGTGATAATATGCTCTTTTGTGTGAAACTGCGCAAAAGACTGATGTATTGTTTTATGTACATGTGTGAACTACAGGCGTGTTGCGTTATCAAGTGTCAAATGCTTCTTGATTTGATAACTCTTTATCGGAGTATAGATTTCCAGTACACATCCTGTACAACGTTAATATACAGTTTCTCCGACGTGTTAAAACAATCATATCTTTAATTTTATGTTTGACATAAATGGGTTGCATCACATTTAGAGCCGTTTGAAATTTTGTGGGATGTGGTACATGTGAATATGTCTTTACATATTTATTATTGCAGTCCATATGAAAATATTTGACTACAAAATTATCGAATTATTAAGATTCGTTTAAGATACTAATTATCTACCGATCCATTTCCAAATCATCTTTTGTCTCATCCCTAAAAATGTGTCGTTCCTACAAAACTTTGCTCAATATGAAGTAGTCAACTTAAATAATTCCTCCTTTATCATGTCGTTGATGTGTTGCAATTTTTAATCGTAGGTTGGAAATTGTAGATATTTTATATTGCAGTAGCTTTTATACAAATCAGTGTCACTACAGATTCACTCAACCTTTCATATGCTGTCATATCACTGCATGCATACATATTTACATACATGTGCATACGTATTAATTGAAAGAATTTCATGCTAGCAATTACAACCAATTGAGTTCTGGATAAAATATCAATGTTTCGACACGCATGGGAATTTTCAAGACATTTTTATTGTTTCCTCAAATACTTTGCGAACACAAATAGTATTGATTCAAGCAATGGTCGTGAACAATAGTGACACAATGCATATGATATAAGTACATATGCATGCACGTAGTATCCAGCAGAGAATGCTTCAGTGTTTCAGAACCTCAACAGGATGTTTTAATATTGAGTATCTATGTCGAGATTGTTCAAAACTGATAAAAACCTGAAATGTGTTACGTATATCTGGAAGCATTAATACTGGGTTGAGAAATGGGTAAAATAATGATATTCCTTCCTTGCATGAAATGTCTCATGGTTCAAGACTTGATTAATCAAGAATTTCCTCGTTATAAACAGTTCGAAAAGTCACCTGCCAGCATTTGAAGGCGCAGTTGTTGTTGAATAATAATAAAAGATGGAAAAACCTGATATCTGTCATACGTAAATATGCTAAGAAATATTTATATGCACTAAATTGTATCAGCCATGGATCAGTAATCAGGGTGAAGGTATGCAGTGGTCACCTGCATTTTGTTGTGGACATTACTGAGGTAATTTTTTGGAATTTGATTTTATAAATTATAATTTTAATTTTAAATAAATTCGTATACATATATGTATACGAATTTAATTAACTAATATCATTAGGGAGTTGGCAGTGGAATAAATGGGTATGGAATTTTTGTACCTTGTGTACAAGTCACGTGCAAACTTAAACTATATCGATAAACGGAAATTTCTAGTTCGATATGTACCCTAGATTTACTGTGATGTATATAATTATTAGTTTAATTTTCTCATTAAAAACTAAAAAAATATGCTAATATGGAAGAATGAAAGCAATTGCTACTATTTTATTGGAGTCAATTGCCACCACACATTTTCACATTTTATAAGGATTTCCTGACCGGATCTGATTACAATCTACTTTAATCGCAATTATGAAAATAATAAAAATGCATTTACTAAGTATTAGCTCTCATCAGTGCGGTGATAATACATCAGAAAAAAAGTGAGTAGCCAGCCAAGAATAATTTATACAAAATAAGGTTAAGGTTAATCGAGTACAAGTAAGAAGACAAAGCCAACAAAGTTTTGTCTGACCAAGTGCTTGAGCAATCACTGTTGCAACAGATTAACGTTAGACGTGAGCATGGCAGTTTTGGTGAGGAATGGTTTCAAGAACTACGGAACCACTCCCATTCTTCAAAATGTCAACTTGACCGTTGAACCCGGTTCCATGTAAGCAAACACACAATTCTATTCTACAAATCTGTTTTTATCAATTTTACTCTCAATTTTCAATTCGTAATTTTGTCGCCCAAATTAGTTATGGACTTCTTGGAGCAAGTGGAACTGGGTAACATTAATTGTCACCTACTAAATAAATTTCCAGTCTGACGATAATTTTCTTGTAGAAAAACTACGCTGCTATCATGTATCGTGTCGTTAAAAAAATTGGACGCCGGGAACATAACCGTATTTGGGAGGTGTCCTGGACAGAATCCAAGCCGATTCGTGGGATACATGCCACAGGTAAATGTAACATGAAACTGATTTATTTTACAGATTACGCTAAATAGTTTAGTTCACACAGAGGTTTCTATAATGTAACGCTGTACTTATTTGCAATTAGTACAAATGCAGACTAAATAGTAGAATTTTTCTCAGGCTACGATATGATTATGATAGATGTGCATATTTTAGTTGCAGGAATATTTAACAATTGAAGAAACCGGCTACATATTGCTTGTCAAGTCTGATAGTAATTCATTGATGGTGTTGTTTTAGGTGTGGGTTTGGAATTCTATACATGCGAGTTGCTTCATAATGGTCAGTTACATGTCTGACTGAGGTATAGAAAGTAATTTTGGGTTGAATTGAGGCAAAGGCCAACCACAAAGATAAATCAATTCATATGCAGAGACACAGAATCTTTATTCAGTACGTAGTAAATTGGTAGCACCACAAAGTTAATTTCTACTATTTAATGGATTGGCGATTGATGTAAATAAGCAATTCTAAGTCTTTATTTGTATTCATTTTTGACAAAAAAAACGCAAAATTCAAATGAATGTGTAACACGTTTCGCAATATTATGAATGAAAAATATCTGCAGTCATGCAAATTTAATTTTTATGTATTGTTTATATTAGGAGGTTTCATTAGGCCAATTTTTCACTATTGCTGAATGCCTTGCATACTATGGGAAAATATATGGAATGACTTCAAGAGAAATTTCAGACCGGACAGAATTTTTAGCAAAGTTTCTCCAGCTCCCGGATACCTCTAAACTTGTGTCGACTTTGAGGTAGAGAATATTTATTGCCATAAATTCTCGCGATTCGAGTTTATGACTGATTTTGTAAAGTTATGTAAATATTTTGATTAAGTGGTGGAGAAGGGCGTCGGGTATCACTATCTGTCGCCGTAATTCATTCCCCACGTCTGCTTGTACTTGACGGTAATAATTTGAGCCAACTTATCATTGAGATTAAGATACTTAAACTTACTGATGACCTCATTTTAGAACCAACTGTGGGACTAGATCCAGTTTTAAGACAAAAGTAATCAATTATTTTTGGATGTAATGATTCTGGTAATGCAGGCTAATTATTTCCTTTATTTTATTGTTGACACAGTATTTGGGAGTATATGAAGCACATAACGCAATTAGTTAAAGGCGAAGATAAAACAACCATACTAATTACAACTCACTATATCGACGAAGCAAAATTTTGCGATTCAGTAAGAAATTATTATGTTCACATTTAATACTGATGGTCAACCAGCATTAAAATAACGTTGTATAGGTCGGTATTATACGAAGAGGTCGTTTAATAGCTGAACAGAATCCGGAAATGTTGATGGATTTTTGTAACTCGAATTCCTTGGAAGACACTGTTCTCCGTCTGTGTAAGGAAGACGAAATGAAGTACAAAGATAATAAAATGGAAAATAGAAGCCTCGATGCATCCTTGCAACCTAAATCCCAAGATTTTACTGACGTTAAGTTATGTCGAGTTCCATCGTCCAATCCTACAACTGGATGCGATAAGGTCAATGATGACGAATTAGCTCATCACGATGAACCAATCCGACAAACGCTGAGGCATAATATAAACATCGTGGGCGCCCTGGCCAAAAAAAAATTTCTTCTGCAAGCAAGATATCCAATGTGAGAATTATTACTAATTCATTATTTACAATCGGTTTATGAAATTGAAACCGATTTTTGTGATTTTCAGAGCATTAATTTCCAATTTACTGCTTCCCGTCTTTCAATCCGTGTTATATAATGCAATTGTCGGGACGCCACCGTTTGGACTTAAAATGTCGTACGTTAGCAATGACTGGAATATGCAGAGTGAATATTATAGTACAAATCAGACGTTACCTGAGTTCTGCTCCAACATTTATAAATCTACTTCAATATCTGGGAACCCACAACCTTGCTTAACAAATGAGATGAGTGCTATTTGCTCGTTTCTTAATCAGTTTGACACAAATGATATCCAATGGGTATGATGAAAAAAATAACGAAAATATTGTGCATGCAATAACTACCTGATAAACTAACAAATAAGTAATTATTGCCTGCCTTTTTTACAAAGATACCAACTGCATCGGTCGCAGAATCTCTTAATCTCGTCAGAAATGGAGATGTCATTGGCTACTTGGAATTTCCTTCAAACTTTACTCACCATTTTAAGAACCGAGGGATATATCGTAACTTTGCAGATAATGAAACCCTTGATGGTTCAGCATTAAAAGTGCGAATGGATTTATCAGGTAAATTTTCAATCTCACTTAAATCACTGTCATTATAAATCGTAGTTTATTATGCAAAATACTGTTTAACTGAATAAAATTTTGTGTAATAGGGGCATTGAGTGCGGCTTGGTTAATTGACAAAATTTTCAACAGCTACTTAGCTTATGCCAAAGAGACTGTGACAAATTGCGGATTGGATCCTGCTCAGGCAGAGCTGCCTTTGAAGGTGCGAAAAATTAATTGTAAATACATACTTGGGGGATTTACAGATATTTGAAAACTTGCATTGACCTCGTTTACTGTTTGCAGTTTAACCCAATATATGGAGAGCTGGGTGGACAGAGTATACAATTCATGCAACCGGCCCTTATAATCACGTATAAAGTGGATCTTAGATATTATCCCTCAAAAAATTCAATATTAGTCCTAATTTTGGGTTCATGCTTACAGGGTCATGTTTATTCTGGCAAATTTACCAAGTATCGTTTGGGTTATCGAGAAAAGACTTGGGATCGTGGATCGAGACGCTGTTGTCGGGATCAAATTTGGTCACATAATCGCAAGCTCCTTACTCTTTGACACGATTATTATTTGTGGTCAAGTTGGAATCTTAATGTTTACAATGTCAACATTTTATGACATGAGAGTCGAAGGGTCTTGGGCACTGGCAGTGACTCTCTGTGTGATCACGTCCCTCTCCGGACTCGCTTTTGGTTACTTATGCGCCTCCTTCTGCTCCCACGAGATGAGCCAAATAATGATTCTCGTCTTTGTTAACTCACTCCTCATAATTTCAACAGGTACAGAGTCGTGGTGGCATGACGTAATAATTAGAATGGGTTGTTACATGACATGCACAAATCTATTAACTTTAGATAAATCTTGTGATGTGTCTACCTCTATAAGTGTAATTTCTATTTATTCCTTCACCAATTCAGGTGGAATTTGGCCATTGGAAGCTGTAGTATCGTGGTACCGGATTTTTTGTCTGAGCCTCCCCATCACCATCCCCATCACGGCGTTTAGAGCCATTATATCTCGAGGATGGGGTCTTGATCATCCATCCGTCATTCAGGGATTTGTCGTCGCAATGGGTTGGATCGTGATTGGGTTTGGAATCAGTATTGGTATCAATAGGCGTAAAAAGTAAAAAAAAAAGTGCAAAGTTTCGGTTTATGAGTAATACACATGCACATATGAACAATACAATGCACAATTTTCTTGACATGCAATGGGTCAGTGACAGACACGGATTGTCAGTGAGTGAGTGAGTCAGTCAGTCATTCAGTGAGCCAGCCAAAGAACGGGGTCTCTCTGCATTCATAAATTGAATATTTATAAATAAAGAAATGAAAATATTTATAATGAACGCGTACTTATTATATCCGTGTCCGCAATATAAAATTAAAAATTGCGAAAGAAATATAGTCAAATAAAAAATGCATAGGCACTTGTGTTGCAACCGGTTTGACTGCGATCTTTTTATTCGTGTTTCATCACTTACTACTCTACAAACTGCACACATTACAGTACCACAGACCACTGCACATTAACAAATTTCATCTCAAAACGGCATACTTATACTGTTAGTTAAAACTTAACTAAAAGTAAGGCGAATGCAATATATTGTTCACCCAATGCTACACTATATCAGAATGTCATCAACACATTGTTGTGTGTGTTACATTACCAAGCACTCATTCACTCCTTAATATTCGCATGATTCATTCACAGGAATTATTGCATTGAGTTGGTAGTGTAGGGATAAGCAGAATAATTTAAGGCCTTCAAATCGTGCTATCCAACCGGAGCTAATTAAGTAGGCAGCAGAACTGGAGGAGGAGGGCGAGATGGTGGTGAATTGTTAAAGGTCGTGATAAAAGTAGCATGGAGCCCGAACAAGTATCTTTTTTGCACATACCTGGTCACTATTTTTTGCCATACTGATTATCCTCACCTATTAACATGGATCTTTTTTCGTATTTAATAGGTAATAATTATTCAATTGGAATTCCTAAATGTCTTCAATATTTCGTTTGGTAATGAATCTAGGCTTATTTGCGAAGAAGTTGATCATCCACTTTTTATGCACGTGAGAAAGCTGAGACCACTAATAAAATGATAGCTTTCATTTTTGCACAGTCTCAGAAATTTATTATATTCTTTAGTTAATACACAGATGTAGTCGTACATATTTATTTTATTTTATGAGGGAGTGGTGGTCCTTACGCCGAGTAGTGTGTTGATTTTAGTTAGTGTATATTTTATTTATTAATACTTGAAGCCAAATTTAAGTGTTTGTTAAAACAAGTGGAATTATGGCTGTGGTGGTTCGTAACGGTTATAAGAATTTAGGAGCTAATATAGTCATCGACAATCTTAACATGACTATTGATCCTGGCTTAATGTAAGTGTATCTCGATACTTTAACTATCTGCTTTAACTAATTAATTGTCTAGTTGAAATTCGTAAAAAGATTTATTAAACTGTGATTTTTTTTTGGTTTTTAGATACGGATTAATGGGTGCCAGCGGGTGTGGGTGTGTGCTCAATAATTTAATAATTATTTAAGTTTGTATGCGTCTATTTACCAGATTTATTACTTTGCAGAAAGACGACACTATTATCGTGCATGGTGGGACTAAAAGAGCTAGATTCTGGAGAAATATCCGTCTTTGGCTCGAGACCAGGTCAACGAGGAAGCGGCGTGCCTGGTCGTTTAGTGGGGTATATGCCACAGGTAAAATTTACTGATTTAATCGAATGTACATAAAATTTAAACAGGGAAGTTGATAATGAAATTGAATTTATTTATTCATTTATTTTACAGGAGATCGCCCTTTATTATCAGTTTACCATATTTGAAACATTCGCCTACTACGGAAAGATTTATGGAATGACTTCGAAAGAAATTAAAAAGAGAACACAATTCTTAGTTGATTTCCTGCAACTTCCCAACACGTCGAAACGTATGGAAACTCTGAGGTGCGTAGAAATGAATTGAATTACTTTGTGCCAAATACGATCGATAATTATACATATTTCATTTTTTAGTGGTGGGGAAGAACGCCGTGTTTCACTCGCAGTAGCACTTATCCATTCCCCACGCCTTCTTGTACTCGACGGTAATAATTTATAATTGCGATTAAGATATTTATAACTTACTGATGACCCCATTTTATGTAGAACCAACTGTAGGACTAGATCCCTTGTTACGACAAAGGTGCAAAACACGGCTCGAATAATTGTAAACTTTTAGTATTTTTAAATTGGACCTTTATTTTAGTATTTGGGACCACATGGGCGACCTTGTTAGAAGCGAGGATAAGACAACTATACTCATTACGACGCATTACTATGACGAAGCTAAATTTTGCGACGTGGTACGAAATTATTTAATGATGACGATTTAAAGCACATATCTTTGAAAAGATTATGCATGCATTTATTTAAAAGGTCGGTATCATGCGACGAGGCTATCTCCTTGCGGAAGAAAATCCGCTCAAACTAATGTCCATGTACAATTCCATCTCTCTGGAATCCGTTGTTCTCCAACTGTGCAAAGAAGACGAAGAGAAAAATGGTTCTCAGTGGAAAATGAGAAACTTATCTTTATCAAATAACAAATCTAGTATAAAGTTTGGACACAAATCCGTTCATGCAGGACTCGAATATTACGATGATATAGCAGGAGTCGAACTGAAAAATGTGCGACAAGTTGCCGAGAGAAATAATGATTCAAAGTGTGTAAAAATTAGTAATAATTCGGAAAGTCATGAACCAAGCGAACTTTCCAAGTCGAGAAAGAATGACTGCAAAGATTTCGATATTATTTGCTCCTTGGCCAAAAAGAACTTTATACTTCAGAGACGACATCCATTGTGAGTTGAAGAATACTGTGTCTGACTGAATAGTGCTTTATTATATAATTAAAATTCTCAAATATAACTTGCAGAACTGTTGTGGGACAAATATTTCTGCCTCTGCTTCAAACAATGCTTTACCACCTCGTCGTAGGTAGAGAACCCTTGGGCATGTCAGTTGCATATGTCAGCACGGACTGGAACAGACATCAAGAAGCTTTGGAAATGGCAAACATTTCACAAACTCATCAAAGACTTATAGAATTTTGCAACGATTATAACTTATATACGAATGGGACAATGTCCTGTTTTCGAGATGGGATGACGGGAATTTGCAATTTTCTTAATCACTTTGAAATGGATGAAATTAACTGGGTAAATTTAAATTCATGATTTATTTTTTATGCTGAAATTCGTCATATTTAATAGATTTGAATGCTCGTACTCGTATTATTTGCAGGTTCCTACTACATCTTTATCTGACTCTATAAACCTTGTCCAACGTGGTGACGCCATCGCCTATATCGAATTTCCAGCAAATTTCACCTACTTTCTTTGGAATAGAATAGCCTACGGGAATTACGCCGACAATGAAACCGTTCAGGGTTCCTCTGTGAATTTCAGGATGGATGTGTCTGGTACGTATGCATATACTGAAATGATGTAAATATATAGAAATATTTTTAAATTTCTTCTTTGTCATTTTGCAGATGCATTGAGCAGTGGGTGGCTTAGAGATAGGGTGCTCAACAGGTATTTGGGATTTCTAAATGAGACCGTGACCGGCTGCAGCAATAACACAGCAATGGCATCAGTTCCACTAAAAGTATGAACTATTATATAAATCAGAATATCGCTGGATATCGCTACATATCGTAAATTCAACAAGTTAACAAATTGCGCATTTTAGTACAATCCAATCTATGGAGATATGGAAGATCAGGATTGGATTCAGTATATCCAACCATCTCTTATTATTATGTAAGCTGACAAAATATCCGCTTTTGCAAACCAGTATACATTAGCATATCTTAATTTACATAATTTAATTATCCCGTCCAGACTGATCTTCCTTTCTTCCAACATGCCGGGAATGATGTGGGCGATGGAGAAGCGTTTAGGAATAGCGGACAGGGGTGCCGCTGCAGGAATCAAGTTTGGTCACATCGTTGCCGCATCTTTTGCATCAGACACGGTCGTGATTTTGGGACAAATTGCATTATTTTTTATCGTTCTCCCAACTTTTTACGGAATGATTATGGAAGGATCGTGGACGTTGGCAATGGCGCTCGTCTTCATAAATTCCTTGGCAGGAATCACAATGGGCTTTATGTGGGCGTCAATATGCAACCATGAAATCGATGTCATTATGCTGCAAATATTTTTCAGCTCAATTATAACTACATCCACTGGTATTTCCCCGTGCAATAGTTTTACCAGATATTTTATACGTTACATGAAATGCATTATATAACTAAACGGTTTTTTCTCAACACTTTTCCAGGAGGAATCTGGCCATTGGAAGCAGTTGCGAGTTGGTACAAGGCCTTTTGCCTGTGTCTGCCAGTGTCTTCTCCAATCGCCGCGATGAGAGCAATCGTATTTAAAGGGTGGGGGTTTTGCCATCCCGTTGTATTTCAGGGATTTGCTGTAGCAGTGATTTGGCTCGTGGGAACGCTGGCGTTAAGTATTTGGATGAATCGACGCAAGAAATAATAAGTTTAGTTTTTATTTAGAACATGCATACATTTGTACTTTTGTATGCATTTCTTGACATGCAATGGGTCAGTGACTGACGGATTGCCAGTCAGTCAGTCAAAGGGGTCGCTTTATTTATTTGTAAATTGAAAAGCTGTGTATACCCGTGTTCGCAATATAAAATTTAAAACTGCGAGAGAAATATAGTCAAATAAAACAATGCAAATCAATCGTGTCAAAAAGTGAAATAAAATTTATTTTTATTTTTGTTCCGACTTGGGTCGCAAGCAGTAAAATACTTATTTGAACTGACGCCCATCGTAAATGATGATTTTATGTTCCGATTGGATGAATGGCCATGTCTCTCCCACCGTGTTTCCCAATACTTACAGACGGCAGACGGAAACAAAAAATTGGGAAAATACTTTGTTTTATCTGTGTGTGATTGATGAGAGTACGTTTGTATAATCCTGTTCATTAAGCATACAGTCAAGAGCAAAACTTTACGACATATGGAAGAGACTTTTGGGACATGTTATTCAAATGGGGAATTAAAGGCCGTAAAGTTTTGCACCGCGTACCTTTCCGAATAATTTTTTTAACGCTGTGATATAATTTTTATTGAATAAAGCGTGCAAAAGTAGGGGGTGACGTGGTAAATTATTTTTGTCGCCGAATTTTTTTCAAGGAACTACAAGGAATTGAAAGAATTAATTTTGGAAGAGACTTTTGGGACAGCCATAAGCACAATGTGTTGTCCCAAAAGTCTCTTCCAAAATTAATTCTTTCAATTCCTTGTAGTTCCTTGAAAAAAATTCGGCGACAAAAATAATTTACCACGTCACCCCCTACTTTTGCACGCTTTATTCAATAAAAATTATATCACAGCGTTAAAAAAATTATTCGGAAAGGTACGCGGTGCAAAACTTTACGGCCTTTAATTCCCCATTTGAATAACATGTCCCAAAAGTCTCTTCCATATGTCGTAAAGTTTTGCTCTTGACTGTATACTTAGCAGGAGCAGTTACACTTGGATAATTTTCTGTAAGTATATGGCGATTGCACTGGAACATACTATTCGATCTGCACAATGATCTTCTTATGGGAAGGACGCCTTGAGTTTGTTTTTGTGATAATCAAAGGAAGCGATGATGCAAAGTTCCAAGTGGACTGGGTACAACGCACAACACTTGTTACATTGCAAAGGTCGTGAGAAATTTTCTACAAAATTAACCATTAATTTATCTCAGCTAGATATATGATTAAATGATATTAAACTGTGTTCCCATCAAAGCACAAGCTTACGTTTACACATTTTGAACATTTTTTAGAAACCTACACAATAAAATCAGTGTTGGGTTAATATTGTTTTATTACATATGTACATACATATTTATCTGGATGTATGTAGGTACATATATTGACGTTCACAAGGTCGTGAATTACTTAATTTATTATCGATAATTCCAGGGGAAATTTTTTCTCATCGTTAATCCAGATTGAGACATATTTTATTTTTTTGCTAGTCATTTAAAATTTACTTTATACGTATGTTGAGTTCATATTATTATCATAATATCGTCGTGAGTTGACATGAATGAATTAATGAATCTTCACCATTTTTCATGTATTCAATGTTCATTTTATGACCAAAGATAAGAACCAGCTATTTTTTTCATATTTCTATTGGTTTACAGTTTGGAACATTTTCTATTTCTTTGGCCTGTTATTAATAAAGTACGAAAAATCACTTGTTCGCAATACGATAATAATGCATATCTATTACACGTCAGCATTATGCATACGGAAATTTATTGAATGCTGGTTAGTGGCTCAAACCATTTAATTCTTGCTGGTTGAACTACTTAATACAAGTTAATACGTTATGTAGCCAAATCCTGTAAAAACAGGACCAACATTTCATCAATTTTTCAATGCTAACAGTGATTAAAAACTGGTTTTTGCTTTGTCATCGCTTAATAGCTCCACGCGCTGGCTGGGATCACTTAATAAAGCTTAAATGTTTCAGCAATAATCACCCACTGCTTCATACAGTTTGCAATTACCAAAATCTTGGGTGCATATTATATGTACATACAAATATATATGTATATACATGCATATATGTACACATAGATGGTCAACTGGATTGAATATACTGGGAATTTGTTAAATTTTATTTCTCATGATTTTGCTCGAGTGTCAACATTCTTCACAAAAACAATTTATATATTTTGTTTACTGTGCAATTAACCTCATGCATACATTTTTCTTTTTCTTTTCTTTTCATTTACTATGAAATTAAAAACATGGAATGGATCTCTAAATACTTAAATCCTTTAAAAAAGATTATTTCTGTTTATGTGGCAATCCTTCGGGGGATTTCTAAAGTTCAAACTGTCTGGGTCATAAGCATCGATATGGAAAGATAGTGCATACATACTTCTACGTACATACATATATACATTTAGTTTACAATAAATACGTGTATAATTACTAGAAAAAGGAAGAGAATTTCCGATGCTTTAATTGTTTCATGGGTATACATGCATGTGTATAAAGTATTTAACAAAGTTTCAGTTTCACTTGGTCTGATTGAACAAAGAGGAATAAATACATATACATATATCTAGGTAGTTCACCAGTTTGTCAGAAATCATAGTAGGAATAACGTGATGGTAACGCACATGAACTCTGAAGCCGACCTCGCACTCCGAATAAATAAATACATGCATACATTTATTTGAACAATTACATAGTTGATTTACGACTTGAAGATAATTCAGAGCAATTCAGAGTCGATATGGCCGTGCTGGTCAGGGACGCATACAAGAACTATGGAACGGTTCCTGTCATCGAAAATCTAAATATCACTGTGCGGCCAGGTTCCATGTAAGAAATTGGGAAATGGAAATTTTTATTTGAAAAATAAAATAAATAACTAATTTATTGCAGTTATGGATTACTTGGTGCGAGTGGCTGCGGGTATTTGCATTATAAAATTTTAAAATTACCACGAATGTGCATATAATAATTGAAGCTAACTAATTTTACAGGAAAACTACGCTGCTTTCATGCATCGTAGGATTAAAGCAATTGAACTACGGAAGTATAAATGTGTTTGGACATCGACCTGGAGAAAAAGGGTCTGGAGTACCGGGCCCGGGCCTCGGATTTATGCCACAGGTTTAGCTATACGAATATGCAAAAATTTATTGCACATAATCCTACGCAATTGAAATTAATTGCACTCTGGTCATTTTAATAAAAGGAGTCTGCGCTTTATCCCATTTTCACTATCGCCGAAGAGTTGGCTTATTACGGGAGGATTTATGGGATGACTTCTAAAAGCATAGAAAAAAGGACGGAGTTCTTGGTAAAATTCCTTAATCTTCCCAGCGCATCGAACCGGATTGATACTTTGAGGTACTTTTATTCTAAATATGTACATACATATGTCAACATAAATATTTTATGTGTATCAAATTCTTACGACTTATTGTTCCCAAAGTGGCGGAGAGAACAGGAGGTATGTTTTACCCTTTATCACGACAAAAGTACATATTTAGAAATGTTCGAATAATTATAGAGTCGCGCTTGCAGTCGCCATGATCCACAGTCCACCTCTTCTCGTCCTTGACGGTAATAATTTGAGCCAAACTTATAATTGAGATTAAGATGTAACTTACTGATGACCCATTTTTAGAACCAACTGTAGGCCTAGATCCCTTGTTACGACAAAGGTACAAAACATGGCCCGAATAATTGCAAACTTGTAATACTTATTTTCAAATTGGAACTTTCTCTTAGTATTTGGAACCACATGACAGAGCTTGTTAAGAGCGAAGAAAAAACGACAATACTAATTACAACACACTATATCGACGAGGCAAAATTTTGCGACGTGGTACAAGTTCATTTCTTAAGTTATCTCAAAATATATATTCGCATAATTTGAAATTATGTACGTATTTATATAATCTAGATTGGTGTATTGCGCCGAGGTAGGCTTCTGGCTGAGCAGAACCCTCAAATTCTTATGGACTTTTACTGCTTGAATTCATTGGAGGATATTGTGCTCCGCCTTTGTCAAGAAGACGAATTAAAACATGGTCCCGCAAGACGAAAAGCTCTAAATTTATTAACAGTATAATGTTCAATCCTCTGGAAAAGGATGCCAATTTTTCTGAAGTCAAGCTCACAGGGATTCGTCAAATTTTATTCGACGACCATTATCCAATTAGCAACGCCCCACAAGTGACACAAAACCGCAGAGCCAGTAACATAAAATGGAAGCGATTAAGCGTGGGGGCGAATCCCTACCACCTTCCAAAGTCGAAACAAGTGTTCAGCAAGTATTTAAACATTGTGGCAGCTCTGACCAAAAAGAATTTCGTTGTACAAATACGTCATCCAATGTATGTTTCTTTCTTTGAGCAATTTTACTTTGGCTCTGCATAATTAATTGTTGCGTTGTTGAATTTGCATTCGTGTTCGTTTGTAGGACCGTTTTCGCTCAGCTTGTTCTTCCGATATTTCAACTTGCTTTATACAATTTAGTCATGGGGAGGGAACCGTATGGACTAAATATTGCCTATGTCAGTCACGATTGGAACAACCAGAACAATAAGACTGGAATTAATACTTCCTTGGTTGATTTTTGCTCCGACACGTATAATTCAAAATCTATTAATGGGAGCAAACTGGCATGCCTCGGAAATGAGATGACTGCAATTTGCACTTTTCTTAACCAGTTTGAAAAACATGAGATCACATGGGTACGCAGTATTATACACACAATCCGCAACGTAGCGATTGGAAACTAAATATTAATTTTTGTGATGAAGATATCAACTGCATCGATCTCAGAATCTCTCGACCTTATCCACAAGGGTGACGCTATTGGCTACTTAGAATTTCCTGAAAACTTCACGCATCATTTTCGGAATCGAGCAGTGCATCGCAACTTTGCAGACAATGAGACGATTGACGGTTCCTCTTTGAGAATGAGGATGGACTTATCAGGTCTGTCATTTTTGTTATTACTGGAAAGTCTACTTAATTACCAAGTCCAACTAATTGATTGAATTACAGATGCAATAAGCACTGGCTGGTTGATGAATAAAATATTCAACCGATACTTGAATTTTATGAAGGAGACTGTGATAAGTTGTGGCGAAGATTTTAGATTGACAGATTTGCCAATCAAGGTGCGACTACCATATTAATCACGGCATTAAATTTGTTGTAATACTAAACAGAATTGTTTATATAATTTCAGTACAACTCGGTATTTGGAGAATCGGACGAACAAACTTGGATAGAATTTATGCAACCAGGCGTTATACTAGCGTACATTCTCTACTTTAATCCTCATTTTTTCAACAATTGTATTCTTACATTACATACATAATTAAATTATTTAGGTTCATGTTTACCATTGCAAGCTTGCACGGGATTCTGTGGGTGGGCGAGAAACGCTTAGGAATTGCAGATCGTGGAAGAGCTGCAGGAATTACGTTTAGCCACATAATTTGTGCCAGCATCCTTTCCAACACGGTCGTAATTGTTGGTCAGATTTGTATCATTGTTGCCATTTGCGTAAAATTTTACGGTTTGACGATGGGAGGATCTTGGGCGCTGGCAGTGATTCTCATGTTCATCGTGTCCTTGGCCGGTCAATCTTTAGGCTACTTTTGGGCAAGTTTTTGCAACAATGAGATGGACATTGTTATGATTCAACTCTTTTATTTGACCACACTCATGACCTCGTCAGGTAATTTTGATCCTCGATAAATTTGAAACCGAGTACCACTGGAATATCCTGATTTCTTTTTCTTGTTGTGATTTAAGGCGTAATGTGGCCTTTGGAGTCAGTGGTGAAATTGTGGCGTACCCTGTGCTTGATGATCCCCGTCTCAATCCCCATCATGGCGTTGCGAGCAATTATATTTCGAGGATGGGGTCTGGATCATCCAGAAGTTCTTCAAGGGTTCGCTGTTGCAATTTGCTGGATTTTGGTCACGCTTGGAGTAAGCACATATGTCAATAGACGCAAGAAATAACATGCAGAGATAACTATATGTACACACATATGTACAAGCAAAGGTACATAAATAAATTTATATAGATATCTTGGCGTTAATTTGTTTAATTTAATTGGATATATTCATGTGATAAGAATTAGATATTATTTTTACGAATAAATGAAGAAACTCATGCGATTTCACATTGTCAATGCAGACTTTGCTAAGAAATATTGTGTTCACATCTGTAGCAATATTTTCATGAACTTTTTCTTACCAAGTAATTAATAAATATGTATGTGTGCACCCGAAGATATAAATCTGCAATTACAAATTGATTTACAGAAAAACTCAAGCGAGTCTTTATCAGAACAATGTATCCAATATTATTTCCCGTAATAACGATCATAGAGTACATAATTTATCCTTGTTCCTTACAAGAAACATTAAAAATTCTTCTGATGTGAGGAAGGAAGGGCGTGTCTAATGTAGAAATATTAGAGCAGTAGATTATTTATCTTTATTAAATGCATAAGCCGTCTTGGGTTGTACTTAACTTAAATTTACATATGAACAAATCATGTAATATTTATGTAGACACGTTTTCCTTGCTCAATGGACATTGACATTGAATTAAAAAACAACTCCGGCAAAATTATACTTATTTAATATTTGTATCCGTCCGTAGGTAATCCTTATGAAACAAAGATTTCATGAATAAATATAGGATTTACATATTTAATGGGTATAAGCAATCCTATAATAGTCTACGTATTTGCATATGACTTACATTGTTCTAAATTATTATTAGTTTGAATTATAACATTATGTATGTGCATGTGTGGTATCGAAGAAGCCTTCTCACAAGTCAAATGTCCCCCCAGTGATTTGGGTGTTTGATTTGCTTATTCTCAAGCAAACTCTAGAATTCTTGATTATTTTGCTTCTCATCGTAAAATTTATCCACATTTTCTCAAACCATGACCACGTCCAATCTACATGTATATTTTTTAGTACGAAACAACCCAACAGCATATTGTATAGTAGATATTTAATTGTCTAGATATGAATTCCTTCCATTCGTATTTGTCTTCCTACTTTCTTACTCTATATGTAGTGTGTAGTCTCAAACCTTTGTGATGCATATGTAAATATCCTTGTACTCAGGAGGTCGATAGCTTGTCCTTCATGTTGTCTGCCTGGAATTTGTTTCGGAGCAAATAAATTTATAATTGATGTTGAAACACTCTTCTAAAACTCCTTTCATTTCATTTCCTAACACTCCGTACTTAATTAATATTGAAATATATTGAATTGCAAACTTAAAAAATCCGAACGCAAGACAACTTTTTAATGACTGAAGATTTTACGCCGATTATGTATTACATTTTCCAGAAACTAGAAAATTAATGGTTTTCGCCTGATTGTGCAGATATCACAGAAATAGTATGACGTATAGGATCCGTGGGTAAAAGCAGGAACATACTCATTATAATTTACCTTTCATATTCATCATTCATAAATCATATTCAAAATTACATAAAAATATATATAAATGTTATGCAATCGATTTGGGATTTCCCTTGCTACATATGTACTTATATGTAATTAGGCGCCTCAGCCTAATGGTTTTTATTGAAAAAAATATATACTTAATAGCTCGGAAACATATGTATGCACAGAGTAGAAAACCTCATTATCTTTATGTGAGATTCAACTAATTTTTAGTTTTTATCGCCATATTTCCCCTGCAAATTTCCCTTCGCAAAAAAATAAATTGCCTGACCCACAGGCAAAAGAAAATAAATGATTTTTGGTAAAAAACATATACGATAAACTTTACAGGTATTACATACATTTTTTGACTTTCAATGAGATCAAGCTATGAACTGGATGAAGACCATTGGGGTTTATAATTCCTCATAAATGTAGAATTGCTTGTATTATTGAACTTATTGAAGTAATGTATGTACATACATGAATCTTTCTCAGTGGAAACTTCCCACGTTTGTTTTTACTTTTCATATATGTATGCATGTACATATGTATTAATATATGTCTATGAAATACTGATATTCATCAGATCCACCCGAGTTGAAAGGAACTGTTACCAAAGACACTGCACTATGCACAAAAAACCTTCACTGGATTTTCTTTATACACTGAATGCAAATTGCGGTCGTTTATAATTGATGCATAAATCAAGATTAAGCAAGCTTCCTCCATAATTATGGAGGAAAGTCATAACAATGATTGAAACTGACCACAAGTCACTGTGAATACTATGAATGCATGCATTTACGTGTATCATATCAAATGGGAATTCATCTTATGTATGCAACTTTAAATCCTCATTTGCTAATAGTTTTAAAGTTTATTAATACAGAAGCGTAATTAATATTTCAATTAGTAAGTAGTTGAGCATTGTTGAGCAAAACAACAATTAATAGACGGGAAAATACGTACCAAACTCATTGCGAATGCTCGGTGCTGTGACGCATATTTGCATATCATATTGCTGCGGATTAAAATTTAACGACTACATTTTGTGGATTTAATAATTCATGAAAATTAATTGTATCTTAAAATTGCGGTGATAACGAAGTTTAGATTAGAACAAATTTAAGATGGCTGTTGTATTGGTCAGGACCGCTTGCAAGAATTATGGATCAACTCCCATTGTAGAAAATCTTAATATGACTGTTAAACCGGGCTCCATGTAACTTTTTTCAAAAGTAATTTCAATATATTTATTCATATAGAACGCTGGTAGTGTGTGTACGCATGTATTTTATTTTGCAGATACGGGCTTCTGGGTGAAAGCGGATGCGGGTAAGGAAATGCTGATGACATGCATATTTTATGCATAGCAGATGAATTGGCATTTATTATTATTCAATTTTTAAGCAAAACTACGTTGCTTTCTTGCCTCGTGGGACTCAAACAATTAGATCATGGGATCATGAAAGTATTTGGAAATCGGCCAGGGCAGAAAAATTCTCGTTTAGTAGGTTACATGCCACAGGTGAGTGAAATTGACCAAATAAAACCGATTCCTGCATTATTTAATTGTATCGAATGTAAAAATAGAAAATTTATGCGTGATACATAAAACTTGCTGAGATTATTAAATCTGTGGACAAGTTTTAATGTAGTTTAAAAATGCATTACTTTGATCGCGTATGAAAAACATTGTGAGACAATCAAGTAATATTGTTTGCATCCCTTGCGTAGGAGACTGCACTGTATCCGATGTTTACCATACCGGAAATTATCGCATATTATGGCATAATATATGGAATGACTTCTAAAGAAATTGCGACCAGGATAGAATTTTTAACAAAAATTCTCGATCTTCCTACCAAATTAATACACCTGGACTCTCTCAGGTACTATTGATCATAAAATTGTCACACTTATGCCGTTTTTAATCAACATTCTTATTACCACAATTTTTAAGTGGTGGCGAAGAAAGAAGAGGTGAGAGGAGAGGTTTAATAGTACCTGTTAATTAATTATATTTTTTTCTACAATTTTATGCTTAAAAAAATTTTAGTTTCACTTGCAGTAGCACTTACACATTCTCCTCCCCTCCTCGTACTTGACGAAGCTACGGCCGGCCTAGGTTTGTGGAGATACTTTTAAAGCTCATGAAATAGAAATACATACATAGTTAATTAATTTATGCTAACAAGTTGTATTTTTGTTTGTAATCTCAAGATCCCTTATTGAGAGAAAGGTGCTGCAAAAATAACTTTGATAATCTTTCATTAATTATTTGGTCTTACATAATGGAGATATTTATGTATAGAATTTGGCAGTATATGAGCGAATTGGTTCAAACCAAAGAAGGCTCAGCCCCAGCGATAATAATTTCTGCGCACTACATTGAGGAAGCAAAATTTTGCGATGTGGTATGCTTAATTAACTGCTCATCCTACAAGCAGTTTGAAGCTTGAATTTATATACTAGAACATATACATATATCTCAATAGGTCGGAATTATGCGAAGAGGACGCCTCGTTGCCGAGCAGAACCCTCAAATTCTGATGGCTTTCCACGATTCGATCTACTTAGAAACTGCTGTACTCCACCTGTGTCAAGACGACGAAATTAAGCATGGTCCCACAAAGATGACAACCTCTGTGCATAATAAAGGGCAAAACTTCATCCCAATGCCAGATGATGATGATGATGATTATGAGGAGTATTTCGACAGCGACTTTTCTGGCATAAAGCTCACAAAAATACGGAAAGTTGTATATGACGACCCTTACGATTCAAATCCTACACCAAACAGTATCAAATGGAATAGAATTAATGATGAAGGGAACCGACTGACCAAAAACTTCAACATTGTGACGGCTTTGGCAAAAAAGAACTATCTGATAAAACTAAGACATCCATTGTACGCATTAATTCAACATGCCTATTTAATATGTGCATAACATGTGTGTACGTATATAACTGATGGTATAATAATGGTAATTAACTCACTAGGCTTATCATCGCCTTACTTATCCTTCCAATAATTCAAATGGTATTAAACAACACAATTATGGGGAAAGAACCATTTGGACTGCCCATAGCGTACATGAGTAACGACTGAAACATCTACAGCAGCACTCGCACCCTGAGCGATTATACCTTATTCGACTATTGTTCAAATACCTACACTAAATATAATAACGGGAGTCAAACATGCTTCAAGAATGAAATGAGTGCAATCTGCACGTTTCTTAACCAGTTTGATGCTAAGGATGTCACTTGGGTAAGATGAAGGATAAGGTGAAACCAGTTGAACTAAGATAAATACAGGTGTTTCATAAAGATACCAACCTCATCTGTGCAAGAATCGCTTAATCTTGTCAACAACGGTGACACCATTGGATACTTGGAATTTCCTTCAAACTTCACGCATCATTTTAGGAATCGGGCAATGTATCGTAATTTTGCAGACAATGAGACCATTGACGGAGCTTCGTTGAAAATTAGGATGGATTTGTCAAGTTTGTTTCTACTAATATTAAGTTTTGTTTGCTAAAATTTACCACTGATACCTATTACACATATAAATTTCAGATTCGATTAGTAGCTCGTGGTTGGCCAGCAAATTATTGAACCGCTACCATACTTTTGCAAAAGAAACCATACAAAGTTGCGGAGAGGATCCAAATTTGATTGAGATGCCGTTGAAGGTATGTATGGTCGCAAGCTTGATTATTTAAGCAAAAATTTGCATTTTCTGAATTTCTGTGTTATACCATTAGTTCAATGCAATATTTGGTGAGTTAGAGGGTCAGTCCTGGATAATTTATTTTCAGCCCGGAATTATCACCACGTATGTACATAAATTCAGCATTTTTGAAAAATACGAGGATTTAATTTTATCTAATTTGCTATACATAGATTCTTATTTGTACTAACCTCTGTAAATGGAATTCTATGGGTGACAGAGAAAAGACTGAAAATTTCAGATCGAGGCACAGTGGCCGGGATCAAGTTTGGTCATATAATTGCTGCCAGTGTAATCTCGGATACGGTCGTAATTATTGTCCAGGTTGGCATTGTCATATTCATGATGGTCTACTTGTATGACTTGGACATCAAAGGGTCGTGGGAATTGGCTGTGCTCCTAATGTTTCTTGTCTCATTGTCGGGACAGTCTTTCGGCTATTTATTTGCCACTCTGACCAATAATGAGATGGACATCATCATAATTTTGATGTTCCTCAACGGCGTACTCTTGGTCGGTTCTGGAGTAGTTTGGCCCTTGGAGACAGTAAGGATGAGTTGGCGTGTCCTATGTTTGATGCTCCCCGTCTCTATTCCAACGGCGTCGTTAAGATCAATTATATTTCGAGGATGGGGTCTGGATCATACGGAAGTTCTTCAAGGGTTTGCCGTCACAATTTGCTGGATCGTGGTCACACTTGGAGTGAATATTTGGTTGAATCGGCGTAAGAAATAGGAAGAATGCTGCTTCAAAAAAAATGTATATATAAAATAAAATATATAAATAAAATTAAGGGATAACTAAATTTCTTCCGTGTGTTATTTGGATTTTACTAAAATGATTTAAAATTTGATGCTAACTAGTTGAGAATTTGAAAAATAAATGGTTCGGCTCGAAATGAGTCTAGTATTTCCATAAGTACTCCATAGTATTTTCATATTTTCCATGCATGCTTGGCGTGTAAATTTGGCGTATTGCGGAATCACCTTAGTCCACATTGTGTTCGAAGTTAAGAAGATATAAGCTGACCAGTAGTAGTTTTTTCTCACCTTAGATAAAGTAAATTTTCCTAAACACAAATGTTCATTGGACACTGACAAAATCCAGAGCAAAATATACAGGTAAAAATAATAATTCTCATCATTATTCTTGTTTACTGTGAATGAAGTGGCTTGTGTGGCAGAAAACAATAATGGAAATTTCGTTAAAGGATTAAATAATGAAATCAGGATAATGATTTGCAACTGCAACTTTTAAGAAAAAATATGGCTTTATAGAAATTATTATGTATATCTTCCTAGTAGGAAGTTCCTACAGTTAAACACAACTTGTGCGCTTGCAAAATTTTGAAATTTACAATACTTGACATTTATCTAGCATTTACATAGAATTGCCCAATATGGCCAATCTTTTGTTATATATGTAGTTACGTGTTCGTTAATTGATGATTTTATACGTATTACGTACATACATAGGTATTGTGAACTTGTGATTATGAACTACTTTCCGCCCCTGTAATTTTGAACCACCCTGGGAAACAGGACCTCATTAGTGGGGCATAAGCTCACAAAAATTATGCAAACACGTTTCAAGATATTGTTACTTTTAATTAAGGAAATTGTCCAGTCTAGTTAAGATTATGGCCGTGTCTCAACGCATTAAAAAATAGTTCATTCAGCGTTGCATGTGTATAATAGATAACTCATATTATACTTCTGGGTCACTTTGTTAATGAAGCGATAGAAGAATGACGTGAAATTACAGTATTTTAAATTTTTGGAAATCTCTAGAATAATTTCCAGCAGATAACAAATATTTAGGAACAATCGATATTCATCAACGTGACGTGACTTGGAAGGTTTTGAAATAGTATATGTAACAATGGCAGTTCAAGTAGTAAATGGGTGTAAACGGTTTTCCTTAAAAAGTCCTCCAATCCTGAACAATCTAAATTTGTCTGTGCAACAAGGATCCATGTAAGTTTTCTAAAGCAGTAATTGGACATGTCCGTCACAATGTGTATCATTTAATTAAATTTACATAATTCTAGTTATGGACTATTAGGCGCAAGTGGTTGCGGGTATAGTTACATACATAACAATTTATGTACTTATTTACCGCTAGCCGATATTATAAGTAACAAGCTCATGGCTTATCTGGGTCTGAACAGAAAGACGACATTATTATCATGCATTGTTGGGCTAAAAAAGTTGGATTCAGGAGAAATATCGGTTTTGGGTGGTAGACCAGAACCTGGCTCATTGTTGGGTTATATGCCTCAGGCAAGTGAAATCAATTACTTAATTTTATGACTCAAATAATTACTTAAACTGTCATCGTTGATCTACACTCTGAAGGACATAGCCCTGATCAGTATTTTCACAATAAAAGAAATGCTTACATACTTTGGACGAATTTATGGCATGACTTATGCCAGTATAGCAGAGCGAATACAATTCTTGACGGAATTTCTCGAGCTTCCCGATACATCTAAACTCATTGCAAATTTAAGGCAAGAAATTACTTAACAAAAATGTAGCTAGTTAAGAGGACTGAAAAATGGAGAAAGGAAACTAATTTTTTAACATTCTGTGTTTCAAAGTGGGGGGCAACTAAGGCGTGTCAGCTTTTCCGTCGCCCTTATCCATAATCCTCCACTGATAGTGCTGGACGGTAATAATCTGAGCCAACTTATAATTGAGATTAGGATATAACTTACTAATGATCCCATTTTAGAGCCCACTGTTGGACTAGATCCAGTTTTAAGACAAAGGTATGGCGTTTTTTTTCGTAATAGTCATTTATTAATGGCAGGTATATCCGCACTATTGTTTTGTTTTGCATGAAAAGTATCTGGGAACATTTAGGAGCATTAGTAGCATGCGAGAAAACCAGTATCATCGTTAGTACGCACTATATTGATGAAGCAAAGTTTGTAACTTTTGTATGCTATTGTTACGAAAGTTCACTAAAACATGACTAACTGAATGAATTTAATGTGTTTTCTTAATTTTTAGATTTTGTGACACGGTACTAAATCATGTTAAATCATCGAGAACTACGCCATGATTACATCTGCATATGTACATGAATGTCAATTACTTATTTTAAGGTTGGAATTCTTAGAAAAGGTGCCCTTTTAGCTGAAGATTCGCCACAATCTTTACTAGCACTCCATCATTCTAGTTCTTTGGAGAAAGTGGTGTTGCAATTATGTCACGATGCTGCTGCAAGGAGACTTTCCAATCTAAAAAATAACAATTATTCAAACAAGAATGAACGTTTGACGACGGAACACTTCACTTTCATCGGAGTAGAGTTAACACGAGTAAGAAAGCTGTCGAATGGGAATTTTGGAGGAGATGACGTATTAGATGTGAAGAAGATGAACAATGGGAAACTTCAGATTATTAGAAAAATGGAGCAGTCCGGTTGGAAAAAAGATCTCAGGATTGTGGGAGCATTAATGAGCAAAACGCTACTGAGACAGATTAGACATCCTGCGTATGATCCGTTGTTTATTTTTAGATTTTAACGAAGCAAATTCACCAATTTTATTGTTCTGTAGTGCAATTTTTGTCCAACTTCTCCTCCCCCTTTTGGAAATCCTGGCATATGAAAATATAGTTGGACTTGAGCCTAAAGGTGCGATGGTTTAAAAGCGAAGAAAATTTTCAAAATTTTCATGAAAATTTTTAAACAAAACCTAAATTTTATGGTTTTTATATTTCGTTCTTAACGATGTGATTATCAATTAAAAGGTGCCATAATGGGAGTCGTGAGCAGTGACTGGAACGAAATTCGTGGTACTCATAGGGTCAACACTACCACGATGAATGAATTTCTGAGATATTGTTCAACCCTGTATGGTGAGGGGAGCTGTCTTCTAAATGCGGGTGACGATGGGATGTCTTCCATTTGTGGTTTCCTGAATGAGTTTGAAAAAGATGAGATCCGTTGGGTAATTTGCAATTCACAAGTACTTTTAACTTTTTGGGACCATTTATGCATCAAAGAATACTGTGATAGACTTACAAATATTCAACGAACGAAGCCTTGAAATCGATTCATGGTGGAAAAGCGATGGGATTTATCGAATTCCCTGCAAACTTTTCAGGTCATTTAAGAGATCGTATATTGGAAAAAAACTACATAGGGAATGGAACGTTGCTTGGTTCCAAAATCAATATTCGGATGGATGAATCCAGTGAGTACTTTTTCATAACCAAGTGCATTGAAGAGGAGTGTGTAAACGAAGCTGATTTTTGTATAACAAATTATGCATGTAGATGTTCTTACACGAGACTGGGTCCATGCGACGATTATGAAAAAGTATCAAGCATATCTGGAAAAATCGGTCATTAAATGTGACGCAGATCCGAGAACTGTTCAACTGCCGCTGAATGTAATTTTATAAGAAGATTTTTTTATAAGTGTACAAATGTTACATTTTTTCAATGTGATTTAGCATCACGCCATTTACGGAAAATATGATGGAGAATGGACCTTGTTCCTTCAACCGGGTTTAATAATATTGTGCGTGTCGTGAAAATACATATATATTTGGTTTTGAATTTTACAAGCGTATTCTAGTATAATTGCTACTATTTAATACATATTTAGATACATGTTTATCCTGGCGAACTTGCCGTCTGTAATATTCGTAATGGAAAAACGAGAGGGTGTCGCAGATCGGGGTGCCGTAACAGGAATAAAATTTGGTCATATCGTGGTCGCCTCTTTTGTATCAGATTCGTTCATGATTGTGGGACAGATTGCCGTCTTTTTTATTGTTCTTCCGGGATTTTATGGGATGAAGGTTGTTATTCAAGTTAGATATCGATGCGTATCTGAAAAGTGTTCTGACACTAAATACATGAATTAAAATTTAAAAAAATAGGTGGAAGGATCATGGGTGCTTGCAGTGGGATTGGTTTACTTGACTGCCTTATCTGGACTGGCATGTGGTTTGTGGTGGGCAACAATGGTTCACCATGAAATGGAACTCATTCTTGTCCTATTGTTTGTCAACATTACAAACCTCATATCAACCGGTAAAACTTTGAAATTATTTGTTGCACTAGCCAATTATTTAGTTACTAATCGTATGAAATGTGTATGATATCGAAGGAAACATGTGGCCGTTGGAATCAGTGAGCTCGATATATCGAATATTTTGTTGGAGTTTGCCAGCGTCCATTCCAATGCAGGCACTGAGATCAATAATGTTCAAAGGTTGGGGGCTGAACCATCCTCAAGTTTATCAAGGATTTTTGGTAGCAATCTTTTGGATTGTGATCCCTATTCTACTCAGTTTTTTATTTGTTAGATTAAGAAAATGACGAATAAATAATTTTCGCAACAGATATTTTCCGATTTACAATTTTTGTATTTTCAATCTTGCTATAATAATAATGTCTCGTAACCAGTACTAATGCAAACACGATTGTCAAATTTAAAAAATATATTCTAGCTACACTACTGATGACTCAATTGGAGGCCATTCAGACTTTACTTCATTGTGTATATCGTCTGGAAGCCATGTCAAATACTCTGAGAGTAAAAACGACTGGTCCAGTTTCCATCTTTCTTCTAATAGAGATTTAGAATGGATTCCATTTTTGGTGAGAGGGAGCAGCAATGTTTGGGTGCGAGGTTGTAACTTCGCCCAAGGCTTGGTCATCGTAATTGGCATTGATAACAGTTTCTCTCGCCACTTGCCAAGTTTTGGAAATACGAGACCCTCCAAAAGAAATTGAGCAAACAGTTTAAACTTTTCGAGGAATATGGGATATTCCGTCTCAACTATAGGAAGTTCCCAGCCTAAAAATATTAGAGCATGATATGAATAAATGTCTTTAATGGATTTAAAGGGCAACAAATTAAACTGAACTATACCTTGCTTTCCATATGTAGCTTTTACAGAACAGTACACGTCACCTTTATCTTTGTTGAAGAATGGAGGTGGATCTTTTAATGGATTTTCCAATTTACATAATGTTTTGCAAAATAATGGGATCCAATCTGGCTCTATTGCAGAGACGCCACGAAGGTACATTTTTCCATTGGATTCAAACACCTCTTGATAAACGATCCATTGAGGTTTCGTTGAACGGAGGACGGACGATGTGTGAAGAAAGACGGGATCTTCTAATTCATCACACCTACATATTAAAATTATTAATTTATTATTATTGTAATGAAGCAACTTCCTTTTCATTGTTCAAATACAAGCTCACACACCGATACGCATGTCTATAGACTTTAGGGTCTTCTCCTTCTCTTAATTCAGACTCTAAAATCTTTCGTCCCACTCGATCTGGAAGTCCACTGAGAATAATCTGTCGTAAAAGGACAGCCTGTTCTTCCGTGGGAGGTTCCATGTCTAAATTAATTAATTAATTATTGATTTAACTGAATTTTACCTAGTGGTTATGAAAAAAACGAAAAAAAAACTATGAAAAAAGTCGTCAGGTCATTGAACTCTGTTGTTGAGAAAAATCGTTCTCCTCTCCACACACTTTTAATTTTCCTCCACCTCTCAACCTCTCAACCTCTCGTCGTCGACATAATTTCGCCATTGTCCCAACACGATAAGATGTCGCAAAATCTGACCATCCCTCGACAAGAAGAAATGTCGAATGAGCGTAAGTTTTTCTGGTAATTAATTTTTAACTGATATGGCCATTAACTACATAAATCAAATATAGGTGAAATAGTCGTCCGAGAAATTGTTCCAGATTTCATTAGAGTAATGGTGAGAGCTCAAATTAACCTTTTAAAAACGGATTCCACCAATAAGGTGGAGGGCGATTTCGATCTCTTGGCGACGGACTACACCAATAAGGTGTAGGCCAAATTTTTCGCCTTAGCGACGGACTACACCAATAAGGTGTAGGCCAACTTTTTCTCGTTGGCGACGGATTCCACCAATAAGGTGTATGGTTACAGAATTCCGTTGAGACCGGGCTACATCAATAAGGTGTAGGAAAAAATAAAAATAAAATGACCGAGAAAATTTTCTCAGTTCCATTCTTTCCTCCTTATTTGTCGTTGGTTTTTCTTCAAGCCTGAACTAATTTTTTTAGAGTTTAGAGTTGTAGTTGTAGTGGGGGGAGGAACTCGGAGGAAGTGCATCAGAGGTCACGCCGCGCCCCCGAAAAATTATCCAACATTGGCGCCGCTAATAAATTGGTCGGCGTTGACCTCTGACCTGTATCATGTTGTAAATATGATACAGTTCATATTTTTTTTTAATTATCACAACGTTCTCTTTAGCTAATATATTCGCAATAGTGTCACCACCGATCGGAACAAGTCACAGAACACTGAAGGACAAAATTATAGCTAATAACTTGTTTAAAATATAAAATGCATCCCAAAATCAGTCATCAAATTGATGACATGAATGATGACGATTTATTCGTTTAGTTTATTTTTGTAGTACTATCAAAATCAAATCCGATCTTTTTATCAAAATTAATATCGTGTGTTCATTTGGTTCAGTTGCAATTTCATGTTAAAAATGTATTATGTTCTAATTTTTGTTGTCGAATCAGTTCCAGGTCTCTAATAAATCATAACTGCATCAGTAGAATATTCAAAATCGGTTTGCATTAATTCAGTCCCCAACTGATTTTATCACCTCCCCACAAGTCGGTCTCAATGGTATTCTGCCCCCCAGTAAATCCGCCCCCAAATGCAATAGAAACCATTTTTAATTCCGTTTTTAAATGGTATCCAGGTCAAAATTAATTAGTTTTTATAAGGTTAATCAAGATGGAACTAGGACAGGGATTGATGAAGATGGTAATAAAATATATATTATATTATTATTGTCCTCACATGCCGTTGAAGATTCTATATATATTATTAGTATTTATAAAGCTATATTTAATTTGTGTATAATTCACAGTCAAAGTAAAAGAAGAGTTTTATCAGCTTGTAAGACCAGTGATTGATGGAGACATCTTCTTTGATACACAAGTTCTCACCGATATCCCCATGTCCAGTGATGAGAAAGAATTGGCCCTTGAGATGATAAAAGCAGAAGGTGCTGATGGATTTCCGTGTGGAGACAACGGCTGGAGATTTGTTTGGAAAGAAGCTTGTCTTCAAGGATTTGGACAAACACAATAAACGAGTGCAAACTGCATGCACCCAATTGCATTTTTTGTTTTTCATTAAGAACAATTGAATGCAGTCAGTGGAGCTCCACTACTACCACCCCTGGTTGAAATGTCTGTGCCGAATTCTGCAGGAGTAGCCACAACTCCTATGCATAACTCATTATGCACAAAATTTGGTGCAGGTTTATGCACAATTTGACAAAGCAATCATGCCGACCAACTTGTGCAGAAAATTATAAGCATAATTATGCATAGAACTTATGTCGAGTTTATTATGCAGAAATATGTACCCATAATTGTACACGTGTCTCATAGTGTCTCATAGCGCGTAACTCGAATTGAGACGGCATGGGTTTATTCATTTCATTGAATGATTTCGCATTTCACTTTTAAATCCCTCTTTTATCCAAACTTTTCGATATTTTCATAGCAAATTAAAAAAAAGGATCAGTTATTTCTTAGTCGAGTGGGTTAATAAACTTAATACGGTGCGAGAACTGGGTTGACGGAACATTAAGATAAGATCCAAGAGAAAAAACCTCATTGGAAGGCAGCAGCATAACTCGCAGTCTGCGCCGCAGATACAGTGATTACCAAGATAAGTCCCACATTTAATATTTTCTGTAAGCCACTAATCAACAAAACCTACATTTTTCGAACTTGTATGTAGATTGCGTGTTAAAAAGGGACGAGTTGAAAATCCTCCAGATAACTGCACCAGAGCCGATGCTAAATTGTGAAGCAAGAAGACACTATCCGAGAAGTATCGCAAGTCACGCCGTGGGACTGGTGTTAATATTATTTAAAACAATTATATACTTATATTTATTACAAGTAAAAATAAATATGAATTTTAATTGTACTTGATGAATTGTAATTTATGCATCAATTAGGACATGATTTAAAATGCATTAATTGTCTGCATAAACCCGTCACAATAAATTGTGCATAAACCTTTCAACATAAATTATGCATAATATATTCTGCATAAAATAGATATGCATAAACAGTTCTGCACAAAATTGGGCCAATTTTAGGCACATTTTTTCTGCAGGATTCGGCTTAACATTTCCTGCATAAAATCGCCAAAAATTTCAACCAGGGACGTCCACGGGCATCCACTCAGTTATCCATACGAAAACCTACGTCTTCGAATGGAGGCTTCTCATTCTCGCCACTATGTACTTTTAATGGTAATGCTTCATGATAATTGAGTGACATTTGCATGAATTAATATATTGATATATTTCAGACTGTTTCTCATATAAGGGAACAAGAACTACTGAAATTATGCCCAAATGCCTCCGTCACAAAGGTCGTAAACTCGGTTATGCTGTTATCGAGTTCGTCAAGGAATTAAGAAATGGCTACAAATAATGCAGTCACTTTCTTAGGTCATTCATGTATGAGGAGGAAAAGAAGGAGGAACACTTGAATTTGGCTATTACATACATATCTAAACCAGGAAGCCATAAAATAAGACCAACTGAAGTTTTCCGTACAAGTGAACAAGCAGAGAAGAAACTATCAGTGTGGCAAACCGCAGCATTTCTAAAGAGTTTGAAAGATCCGTCCTTCATTTACAAGAACAACTCCGTTGCTTTAGCAATTGGATTGGAGGAAGAGCTGATTGAGGAACTTGGAAGATTGGGAGTCAAAATCACAACGACATGTACAGATACTCAACCACCGTTCCTGTTTGGAGAGAGAGCACTACCAAGAGAGAAGTTGCAAGACCTATTGGATGCAAAGAATGGAGGGCTGTACGTCGGTAGTGATCCCAATATTTTATACGGAGGACAAACTCAGCGATCATCCGGAGGACCAAATGAGCGGTGATGCAAAAATTCTGCAATCTAATTTTATTTATTAGTTGTAGTCGCACCAAGCCTCACTAAGATTTCCCTTTTTTGGGGCCTTGTTTATCTTTCAATGTTAAAACCACTACTTATAACTTTGATAAGAACTTATTGCAATTGATTGATGATTTCCTACAATATGAATTTGGTGTACGACTAGATATTAGTATTTTAACCGTTGTATAAAATTTAAGATTCAAATTTACAATATAAATTTAGAGGACAAGAAATGTCCTCTGACACCGTCAATCAAAATGAAAATATAAAACTTACTTGGATTAAGAGGCACTTCCTCCCCTTCTGACACCATCAAGTTTACTTCAGATGTGAGCTGTTTTCGAAGTTTTCTAATTTCATTCATCGCCTTAAATCTTAGACCAGTTTTTAGACAAAACTCAGGAGTCCCTCCTGAATATTCAAAAGCGCCAACTGCTCTCAGAAGTACCATACAATCGCCTAGACATAGTAATATTGACATCAAATACATATTATGTACATATGTGTTAATGTAAGTAAAGTTTAATTATAATAATGATCTTTGTAATGTATAGCAAGACCAACCTAATAGGAACGAAGAACCACTTCCAGCCCATTTTCTTCTCAGTACAGCCCAGCTAGATTTCACATCTTTTCCGGAATCATGTAATGAGGCATCAAGGAATACTTCCTGTAAGTAAATACAAGTGTCGAATGAGTAATTGAAAAACGCACCTTTAATGTTTAGTACCCCTCCTTTCTTCAAATCACCTGAACGGTTAGAGCAGAAACAAGTGCGATCGTAAATTCCACTAAGGAATGATGAAAGCTTAAGGCGAGCATTTTAGAAAATCTAGGACCCAGAGGAAAATGCGACATTGTTTTTCCTAATTCGCTTATTATTGTATTGTCTTCTAGATGAAGAGATGATTTATTTGACACCCTCGGCTTCAGCGTTGACTTTTCCTTAGTTTGCAATGCTCCCAAGGATAACAGTGTTTTTTCAGCAGCGACTAGTTGCGCAGTGGCAGGTGAGGAAGGATAAGGAAAGTTTTGGACTCGGTCTATCCCCATTGATTTCATTAGCAGCATCATATCGTCAACTGGTCTGACTTGTATTTCTGGTTTGGAATATGCACTAAACTCATCCGTAAATACAGAGGACGAAAAAAGTCGGTAGCAATGTCCTGGTCCAGTACGACCGGCGCGACCTGTATCAGTATTAATGTTATTTTTCATGCATCAATAAAGTGGCTTTTTATGAATTCATTGATCCAACTTTATTACCCGTTCTTTGTTCAGCGGATGCTTTGGATTCCCAACATATCTGAAATTGTTGAACTCCAGTAAGCTTGTCCCAAACTTTCTGCTTTACCTTTCCACAATCCACGACGTAACGGACGGAAGGAATTGTAAGCGACGTTTCTGCTACGTTTGTAGCAACAACACACATTCTTGTCCCATTAGGTGGCGATTCAAATACCTACATAAATTTATATATAGACAAACCAAAAATAAAACTTGCACTGCACTCAATCTCGTGAATTTGACATAAATAAATAAAGTTTTAAATATTTGAGCTTGCTCACCTTCTGTTGTTCTTTATTAGGTAACATGGAATATAATGGAAGAACATGAAGGGGTTCTTTTGGACCAGATATATCATCACCCCACTCGTTGTCCTCATCTTCAGACTCTTCAAAGTTGTCGTTTTCATCTTCCTAAATAGAAAAATAAATTAAAATATTTACCAATATGTTCCATAGAATGTTAAGATTTATTTGAGGACCTCTTCCTCGCTCTTCAGTGGGTTGGCCTGTAACTTTTCCAAGTCAAATGTTTTTAACTTTGAAGCTAACGTTCGAATTTCTTTCGACTTTTCTTTCTTCTTAAATTTGGACATGCGTTTTTTACTCGTAGAAGACGGCACAAACGATGAAACATCCTCGCAATCATCTTGTTCTGATGCAGACGGAAATATCTTGCAAAGTTGTTTTACAAGAGTTCTCACCTAAAATACAAAATCAACAGGCAATAGTGATAGCTGCAAGTTGATATTTACATAGTTCTTGTCGCATTAACATGCATATTATGGTTTGTATTTTACTCACTTCTTGTTGTCCCGTAAGGAAAATAAGAATTCCCCCTGGAGGGAGTTTTCTATGAATCTGAACCACCTTTTTATATGCGGCAACGAGATAATTTTCTGGAGTAAACTTGCTAAAATGCACTTGCACTGGGAATTGTCGAGTGGGAACGTGGATTAGACGAGGTGGAGATCTGAATAAGATGGCATTCTCAACAAAATCTTCTACTCGCATCGTAGCAGACATGATAACAAGTTTTAGTGGGTCATTCCTTTTTTTCCGGATGTGAACACAACGAGACAATAGTCCTATGAGCAAGTCAGTATAAAGGGATCTTTCGTGAGCCTCATCGACGCAAATGGCAGAGTATTTTGAGAGAAGAAAATCTCTTTCTATTTCCTGCGCACAAATAATATTTGCCGTTAGTTTATGAATTACACGCACACACGCAGCCATATTCATACGTTCTGCATTAACCTTTAGTAACACTCCGTCTGTCATAAACTTAATTTGTGTTCTGGGAGTTACATTTCCGTCAAATCGAATCTGGTAAGAAACCACATCAGTTGGAAGGTTAAGCTCTTTGGCGACTCGCATTGACATCGCTATTGCTGCAACTCTTCTCGGTTCCGTGACACCTAGATAATTAAGGTGTCACCGTTGATCATTGACAAGTACTAATTAGCCCAAGTTTAAAATTCCTTTAAGAGTTACCAATGATTTTCCCATTTAAAGAGTACCCGGCTTCATACAGAAATTGAGGAATTTGGGTGGTTTTACCGCTTCCGGTTTCCCCCGCTAGTACAGTCACAGGATTTTCCGTTATCGATTCCATAATTATCTAAAGACGGCAAAATATAGCCACATAGTCATTTTGAAAATGAGTAACGACAATCACTAGATTCTTACCTGTTCTTCAGGAATAATTGGCAATTTGCTTCGGACAAGCTCAATTTCTTTTGTTCGATGAACAGGCACAAATGTTTTTGCAACACGGGGGGGGACAATGTCATTCTTTTCAGATGATAACTGTTTTTTTTTAGCCTTTTTAGCCTTCTTGGATTCAGTCAGACCATTGACTTCTGGAGGAATTTCTCCTCCGGTGAGATTGATTACTTCAACAATGTTAGATTTTGTCTTAGCTTCTTCATCCTCAGGGACAATTTCTACTTGGTCATCGCCAGCAAAATCTTCCTCGTTATAATTCGTTGAAGTTTCTTCTTCCTTAATTGCTAGTGGTATGCTCTCCAAGTCCTAAATATCATTCATACCAAAAATACAAATACCCAAAATTTTAAAATTTGCAATATAACAAAAACATATATCATGCTCATACATACATTTGACACATCTTCATCAGAAGACGATTCTTCTTCAAATCCCAAAACTTTTGGATCATTTTTCTTATCAACACCTTTCACCCCAAATCGTCCACTCCAACTTCTAAACTTGTGTTGGTTTTGGTTCTTGAGCTTGTTGGCACCTTTGATACTGCTCTTTGGTCTTAATTTCTTCTTTACTGGTTCAGCAACAGCCAATACCCCATAATTAATATCTTCATCGTGATCATCCTATAAAGCAAAGTTTGAACTTAAGATTTTATATGTAAAAACAGCTAAGATAACGAGCAATTTCTTTACATCGTCATCATCACTTTCTCCTCGCGCTCGCTTATTTCCTTTTCGAACACGTTCCTTTTCGTCTTCCAAGACTTTATCCTTCTGGATCTGACTAAAAAGTTTCTTCAGTCCTTCTGTTTGCACTTGGACAAGCGGAGTAAGTTTCTGAAATGTTTCCGCAGGCAATTGATATTTCTGAAGTTCTTCCAACAGTTCTGCTCTTCCACTCTTTTTCTCTCTGCGGTCAACAATTTGCTGAAGTCGTTTCCGCTGCTTCTTGCTCAATAATTTTTTAGCAAACTGAACTCTGCCTGCACCCCCTTCCTCCTTATGTTGTCCCTTTTCCTTCTTCGGCTTTTGTGGCAAGAGTAATGGATTGGCTTCGTCATATTTACCATCAAATGCAGACGAGTCTACGGCAATCTACACAAGAATAAATGAGGAGATCATGATTTAATTTAGCTAGAAAAACAAGTAATACGATTTCAGCTTTAATGCAAATTGCGTAATACCTGCTGAGCACAACTCTTTGCATTGACATCACCGTCCTTTTTCTTGCCTTTCTTGCCTACACGCTGACCTTGGGGTCCCTTTTGATTGAAGCCCTTTCCTTTCCTATCTCCGCCCATTGTGGTAGATTCGTTATGCAAGAAACACACTTCAACTTCTGAAAATGGGCAAATAAACTAAAATTATGCTGTTTGACATACCGTAATCACAGCCAGGTTTCTCAATAATAAATAACGTTTTAGCTTACTTTGAATCCGTCACGACGCAATTTAGTGAGTTTATTAGTTAAAAAATTCTCAACAATTAATTCGCATGCACATTTCACATTTTTATCTTATGCAGAGCACAACAATATTCACGTGGAGCGATCGCAGTTCGCGGTGGAGAAAATGAGACACCGCCGGCACGAAGCATCATCAACGCTGCGGCGATGCAAATAAGCAGCAATAATTAGTGGACAGAAGTGCTTTTGGCTTGACTTTTAGAGAGGAAATAACAATTAATTTTGACATGAGCACGTTGAGCACTAGTTAATTTCAGTTAAAAGTCTATTTAGAGGACATTTGAACTTGAGTTGCTTGACAAAGCAAAATTTGAGTGAATTAAATTTGAAATCAAAGAAATTTTGACAATGTCATATTTTGGTGAGTTGATAGGTTTGCATTAAATTTTAGGTGCAGTAGTTTACAGTTGAGGTTAATTATCATTTAACTTACAGGTGGTGGGGGTCAAAATGGAGGCGCAAATCGAGGGGGAGCTGGAAATCCGCCTCAACAAACCACCCTGCTCACGGGTCCGCAATTGTTTGTCAACTCGGCGAGTCAACTACAGTTTCAGAGTGGTGGACAAAACTTTTTCCCACAGGGGGAAGGATCCCAGGTGAATATGATATCAATTATATATTCAAATAAGAAGACCATTTTTACTAATTTGTTAAAATCTTATCGCAGCAGCAACGTCATGTTCAGCTAAACACGGGTGGTGCCCCACTCCTCCTCCAACCCCCCGTAAATTTTGTGACAGACGGGTTAGGTGTCGGCATTTCACAATTGATAACACAAGGGAGCATTATGAACCTGGGAAGCGTTCTTATGCAAGATCAAGCGGCATCAGGACAAGGCCAGGGTCAATCTAAGCAACGTGTCTTTACTGGAATGGTGACGAAAATTCATGACGATTTTGGTTTCATTGATGAAGAAGTCTTTTTCCAAATGGGGTGAGTTTCATTAAGTTTAATGTATAATAATAATCATAGTAGTTGGTGTAAATAATTACAACTAAAATATTGACCACCTATGTTTTGCAAATCTTAGGGTCGTGAAAGGACCAATTTTACCTAAAGAGGGCGATCGAGTCCTAGTCGAAGCTGACTACAACCCGAGCATGCCATTCAAATGGAATGCGACCAGAGTCCAAATTGTGAATATGGGAGGCGGAGGTGCAAGTTCGGTATCCCAACAGTCTGGAGGTTATCAGGGATACTCGGGTTCCGTGCAAAAGCAAGTTCCTCCTCCTCCTGCGTTGGGTCCGGTGGGTGGTGGTGGAAGACCCCCACCGTCAATGGGGTCAAATCCGCATCAAATGTACGGTGCAGGTGGAGGACGACCGCCAAGTGGTCATGCGCACGTCTCTGGAGGTATGAATGATTCGTTGATGGGTGGAAGACGTCCAATTTCTTCACAAATGCCGTCACATCTTCAGCATCAACAAGACAATAGTTTGATATCATCAGGGCTCATGGGAGGGCTGCCTTCATTAATGTCTAAAATGGACGGCGGCAGGGAAAGGGAACGCGAAAGAGAACGAGACAGAGATAGGAAAGAAAAAGAACGTGTGCACAGGTTGGTGAACAAAAGCAAATTTCAATTGTTTAATATTCTACATTTTGATACGTTAAAAGTTGAAGTGACTCAGTGATAAATCTTGTACTTATTTTTATCAGATCAAGATCCAAAGAACGTGGAGGACGTGATCGAAGAGAAAGATCTAGAGATCGTAATGAAAGAGTTCGTCGTTCGAGATCAAAATCAAGAGAACGGCGTAGGCGGTCCCCATCGCCCATTAAGCGCAGGTCCCGAGATCGGTGAGTAATTTGGTTTGTATATATTTACCATATACCTGTTTTATTACCTTTAAAAGTAATTTTACCCTTTTGAAAAGCTAATGCACTCTGAATTCCATATTAAGTAAACTATATATACTCGTTAACTTGCTAAAGAGTAAAATTTACTCTGGATTTAGTATGGTTCACTTCATATAAAATTCAGACGGTATTTACTTTTAAAGGGGTAACATTAGTTTTAAGAATTTACGTTTCCAGCAGTGAAAGGAATGCTGTGACTTCTACGCGGGACAAAAGTGTTGACCGTGAAAGAGAACGAGACCGAAGGGATCGAAGTAGTCCTGTCAGCAAATCTCACAAATCGGACCGAGCTGATAGAGTTAAGCGAAGCCGGTCACGAGACACCATAAAATCCAGTGAAGGTAAAGGGTCTAATCTCAAGGATAAAAGTCGTTCTCCATCCCCAGCCAGCAGAAGAGGTGGGAATAAATCTAGTGTGATATCCAAATCTTCTTCTCGATATTTGTGTGACACACCGAAATTCTCCTTGGATGTGTGAGTTTTACATGTTATTTATTTAGTTATTAAGATGTACATTTTGTACATGTGATTATTCTTATTGTATATTTATAGGTTGGAATTGAATTCAAGTGACATGAAATCCCGTTACAAGAATTTATACGTTCCTTCTGATTTTTTCTTGGCGAAATGTTCATGGATGGAAGCCTTTCCATTAGAAAAACCTTATCAATTCAGTCACAATTCATCACTTGTGCACATTATGGGAAGAAGAGTGGAACGGCTGGAAATGAACTTTGATAATGATTCAGAAGCCAAGAAAATGCAAGAGAAATTTAATGAAATTCCTAATGTTTTGCAAGCCCCGGATTCTAGTTGCACCTTTTCTGTTAAGGTTGGCTAAAAGAAATGATCAAGAAAAATAATGCAAATATATTTGTACACAGTTATTCTCATCAAGTGTATTTTTTTGTTAGGTGATGATTTTATCTTCGCCAAGTTTGGAAGCGATTTTCCGTAAATCTGGATTTGTTTTGGAACAAGACAACCCGGAACCCACCGAAACAAAGGATATCACTACATCTGGATTTCAGACATTACAGAGACTCCTCAATTTTGTTGTCGGCGTAAAGGTGAGAAAATCATGAACTAAGAACATACTTTAGACGGATAAACAAGTTTTTAGACGCATTTTTATGGTTCATAATGTTTTCATGTAGACTGGAAAGCACGATATAATGGCGCTCGGTGGAAATTGGAGTTCTTCTCTGGATGGTCCAGATCCTCAATCCAATCCAAAAGTTTTAATCAACACGGCCATCAGATGTTGCAAATCCATGGCGTCAGTGGATCTTACTCGCTGCAAATACTGGTAACATATCTAATCATTCAATTTCAAGAAGACTTAATATATAGTGTCGTCAAAGGGTATATAAAAAATGACGAACTTTGGGGTTGTACAAATACGCTGGGGAAGTTGTGACCCTTTACGTGGTCCTATTGAATTTCATGTTGTTCCATAATTTTTTGCATTATTATTATTATAAACGTCTGTGTTTATCTTCGTTTCCCATTATTGGTTGGATTTGCTGTATATTCCTTACTTTAGGTATCGCTTTATGGAAATTTATTACCGACGCTCCAACGGCAATCTGGAAACGGTGGTGTACTTCCTTCCCGACCTCTCGTCCTGCGTCCCATCCTTACCCGAGTGGGACAAAATTACAAAATCCTACAGGATCGCATTGAACGGGCCTGATGCAGACAAGTTGGTGGCAAATGTGGAGGCTATTAGCTCCTCTATTGAAAATACAGAAAACAAATCACAAAAAGACACACCACCAGGGTCCTCTTCCTCAACTACACTTCCCGCGACGGCTGATGACAACTTGGATGAAAATTGGGAAAGTACTCCTTCTGGTATTATTGTTGGCGACGAAATCGTTCCCCCTCCTACTTGTACCACCACTACTTCTGGAGATGCTATTCCTGGGGCTATTCCACTACCTATCGCACCGTCACAACCCATCGATGCAGATGTAAGTAGTGCTGCTGCACCATCCGATGTGTCTACACTATCTGCAAGCAAAGGAGGAGATCACAAAACTTCAGAGCCGATGATGGAGGTGGAAATCCTTTTGCGTTACACAACTACACTCTTCATACTTTAGCATTAATTAATATCTGCTGAGAAATTGAGCATGCTTTCAACACTGAAAAGTGTTGTATCCATTGCAAAAATATTGCTTTTTCTTTATAATATTTTCCCAGCAATTTAAACGCGCAGTATGGGAACATCTGCAAGAATTATTTGCGTGCGTGCGTGTGTGCATTCGTTCTTTAAAGCTTATTTCAAAAATGAAAAGTTGGCAAAAAGAAATATATGTAATTGATATGTATTTCCGAGAATATTTCAAGTAGCTATTATTTCATTTCAATTTTAAATGTAATCATGTATGAACAAAATACTAATGTGTTTTCTCTTTGGACGTGGTCTTGCTCACCTCCTTCGGGCTGACCTTGTCAATTTACAGGTTCTAAGTGAATGTAATGGCGATGCTTCTGTGGATGTGGCGATGGAACAGGATAATGTTAATAATTTGTCTCTAAACAATGACGTTATTACCTCAGCGGAAATGAGTAAGGAAGCCGACGGGGAAGTCGATATATATGAAGATATCGTGGAAAGTCAGAAAAGTGATGCAAATAAGATTTCTTCTCCCGGAACACATCACAGTTTGTTGGATTTGAATTGCATGACGGTATGTGGTTCCTTCGCGAATTTGTTGAAAATTAGATTGTTTTTAAAGTATCCAATGGTTTTTAATTAAAGGTGGCAAAACTAAAAGAAGAACTGGCCTTGCGGAACTTAAATACGAAGGGTCTCAAAGCTCAACTGACATCGAGATTACAGGAGGCTATTGAGTCCGAGAAGGAAAAGGAGACACCATCTCAACCTGATCCTGCTGCAACTGTTGGAACTAAAGACGTGATCATTGCAAATAATGTCGCTCTTAAACAAGAGACGAAAGTAGAAAAAGAAGAAATCAACGAACTATCAATCGTTCGGTTGGTGGATCCTTCAACTATCTTAGAAACTTCAATAAATGAGAGAGACACGACCGAAGAAATTATGAACAATGTTAGTAATAGTATCTATGTGATTCCCTTTAAGTGTAGAGTTTTAATGTATTAAAAATATTGATGTCATATTATGTTTATACAGGATGAATCCAGCTCTCAGTTACCCGAGCAGGGAGAATTAGGCGAAGATGAGATTATTCTGAATCACCTCAAATCTACCAAGGGTGTATTAACCTATCCTGTTCTTCGACCTGACATGAAACCTGAAGAACGCAAGTTGTGGGAACGAAGGTTTGCTCTGCCAAACCATCCAAAAGTACTAATCTTCCCCGCAACTAAAGTTAGCTCGTCTTCATCCTCAATGAAAAAGACAATGGGTAGGAACGAAAACATACAATCCAGCTCGTATGTATTGTGCATTAATTACGCATGCACTTTAAACTAAATCGTAGGACCGTTCGACTGCTCAGTTATGCCACTTTCCTCCCTCCGGGATTATCGACAAATTGATAAACGGGAAGAATCATTTGAAGTTTCCTTATTCGCTGAATTATTTTATGAAATGGTAATAGAATCATTTATTTCAAGCAAATTAATCCAACATTTTATTTATTCATATATCATTTTATTTTACAAAGCTTCAACGAGATTTTGGGTTCAGAATTTACTCAGAAATTGTACGCCAAACTGGTTTGCTGAAGAACTCTGAAAAAGAAACTCAGGTAATGTAATGGTTTGGTTTGAATTTATCCTTATTTTCAATTACATGATCCCAAGAATGATGCGTTAACTATAACCAAACAATTGTAGGATGATGCTGAAACTGGCTCAAAGGAAGAAGAGCCTGCTATTAAAAAACGCAAAACATCACCATCTACTTCGATCGTTCCATCGGGAGTAGTTAACAACGTGGACTTAAAGGCCAAGGTTACAACGGTGGATCCGCTGCTTCTTCTTTCATTTACATTCTATGATGAGAATCAGCTTGGTTACATCACGGACAGCCACATCGAAGATATTTGCTCAGCATTGGGTTTAGGGCTTACAAGACATGAGATTCAAGGGCTTCTTCGTAATATTAGTGCAAAGGGAGGCGTACACTACAGAGCCTGGACAGACAAGTCGGAAGCAGAAACTGATGACGGGAATGAACAATCATTACTAATAGATGAAAACAAGAGTAAATTGGATTTTGTTATGCAGATTGCAAAAGGTTTTGATATTATTTAATTCAGTTCAAGTACCTACTACCAATTTTGCATTGGTGTTAATGAATTATTAAATGATTTCATATAGGAAACAAAAGCCTTCTCCCAGTTTTCACCTATTCATCACCCATCGTCGCCTTTGATGATGTAAAACCCACATTATGCGATGACCAGAAGGTCGACTGGACTGGAGAATCTGTTTTGGTCACGGTGGATGGAAAAGTTGTAGATGTGAAGAAGATTATGCACGAATTGGAAAAAGCCGAAAAGGAAAAATTATCTGCTGAAGCTAATGTCAATGCATTTAAAAATTCTCTCAGTAATATGATTAATTATTACTATACGTTACGTATTATTATGCAATCAGACTTACATATGCGTGTATCTTAATGATTTCAGCTGAATCTAAAAATCAAGTGGCCGAGTTAAAAAAGTCAAATGATAGCTTGGCTGATGAACTTAAGAAGTCAAAAGTACAGGTCAAAAACTTAGAAGCAGCTGAAAAGTCTAATAAGGTAACAAATTTAATTTACATAGCATTTTCACATTGTTCATGGGTCAGGTCGATTGTGACTTTCATATAAATATTGTTTTGACTGCAGGAAATAGTGGAAATTTTCAAAAAGAGTACAGAGAGCTTTATTTATCGGGTTAAAGACGTTGTTAAACTTCCTCAAGAAAAAAAGGTGACCTCAACCAACGCCGTTGTATCAGAGAAGAGCAAAACAACGAAAACATCAGAGCCTACAGAAACAAGCTCACTTAACAATAAAGAAGCAGATAACAATTCTAGTAGTGGCGTCGAAGCAAAATGAGAGTAGAATTTCTATTTTTTAATTTGTCAATTAATTCAAGTACAATGTACATTCATTCTGAAATGAGCATTGTTAATCTGGTTTTTTTTTTACTGATAATTCGACTTGCAGTTTGTATTACACTTGTGATGGCATCTTAAAAAGCTGATATGGCAATATTATGAGAGAATTTTCCTGCCACGTATTCTGACCTTATTTCAATTCAAGTCAATTGTGAGCCTTTCCCCTTTTGAATATCTTGATGCTTCAATTATTATTTTATAGTCAGTATCGTAACAAAATGTCTAAAAATAAGAACATTTCAATTGTACATGGTTGTTAGTAAAGTATACATTCATATAAACTTGATAAATTCGGTTAGCTTAGTTTATTCATATAACGGTTTTTTTTCCTGCACTCGCAGTTTTAAATTTAGATTGGTTTTGTTTATGGGTATCATGTTATAGATGAATGAATAAATGAAGGAATAAAATGTACAAGTTACGTTAAAGTTTGTTATCTGCAACCATTATTATTCTCTGCTTTCCAAGCGAACCCTAATTCCGTCCTTCGGTCGGAGGATAAGTTCAGCAAGGAGCACAACGTCCTCTGGTTTTTGCAGAGATGTTATTTTAAACTTTTGTAGCACTTTCGCCAAAACGATTTTTTCCTCCGTTAGTGCAAATTTTTGCCCTATAATAAAAAGAAAGAAAGCATCAATCTTTTATAAATTTAGGGTATTCACATATGTGCTTGTATCGTATAGTGTTTATATAAATATTCTAAATTGTAAGAAAACATACCTATGCAATTCCTTGGGCCTGCGCTAAATGGAGTGTATGCATATGGATGCTTATCCTGGTTTTCTTCAAATCGTTCCGGCTTAAACTTTAAGGGATCTGGAAAAACGTCTCCATCTCTGTGAGCATGGAAAAATGAGACCATGACGCGTGTTTCTGGAGGCACAATCGTATCTTCGTCTGAGACAAATATTAAAGAATCTCATTAATCTAATCTAATACTAATCTCATTTAATAAGTAGTTGAACAAAACGTGTATTAAAGTAGAAGACTCATCCTCAATGGAGAAATGTTCGTCGGTTCAATTTTCCCCACTCTAATTATCTCTAAATTGAAGAGATCTTCAGAGATCTGGAGCACAGGGGGTGGTCCTACACCCACAAAGTATCTAGCTAAATTCTGAATCCACCTTTCTTACGATAACCCACTTATGGAGGGCGGTGGGATTTGTCATTCTGACCTTTCGAGCCCAAAAACAATATCACACAGGTTGATTTCGACTTTAAGGGTAACTCATAACTTCTGTTCTACTACTAAATATCAGCAGATCTATCAAAAATTGTGAAAAATCAAATCGACGAGTATTTCCCCAATGATTGAGGATGAGTTGACCTTTGCATACCCAATTTTAACTCCCCAGCCAATTTTCTTCCAATTAGCGGAACACTCGGATAGATTCTCAGACTCTCCTTGATGCAACACTCGAGATATTTTAGCTTGGCCAAATCTCCCGAAGGGATCTTGCCCCCACTACCTGACCCGAGCACAGAATCAATCTCTTCTTGAACTTTGGCTTGGATTTTAGGATAACACCCCAATAAATAGAGAGTCCAATTGATGTTCGCCGCTGTCGTGTCGTGACCTTCGAACATGAAGGTGTCAACCTCCTCTCGAATGCAAATGTCACTCAGGGAACCTGGATTCTTAGCTTGATGGTCGAGGAGTAGGTCAAGGAAGGCTGGTTTCTTCCAAGTACTTTTCCCATTTTCATCTCTCATACGTTTCCTTTTCTGAATAACGGAGTCGGTGAAATTGTGCAAAGTTTTGAGCAATCCTGTTAATATATGTATGCATAATATGCATATGCAGATATATGTGTGCATGTATACATAGTTATTACGTATTTATATTACGTATCTCTTCTCGGCCAGAAGGACTCCAACTCCAAATGGTGTCATTGTGAAGCCAAGGACGAAGTTGGCGATATTGGATAAGGTCACTAATTCTGTATATAAAAATTCGTTTAGTTTTACATATATGCATTTTATTTTTCTAATGTCAAGTATTTTAACCTGTAAACAGCTTTCACATATTGGGAGTCGGTTTTCCGTTGAGCGTTAATCTTCTCGCCCATAGCAGTTTCTACAGCATAAATATGAGAGATTTATAATTACATACGAATTTATTAAATATCTGCACACATTAAGTAGTTCAGCAGTACGCACGAACCGCAAATAATGTCCAGAGCTGCTCTAGTTATAATGGGGAAAATGTCAAATTCTGAGCCCTTCTTTGTTTCCAAAACGTTAACCAAAATGTCGCCTTGTTCACACATTATGGTGAGAAAATCTTCCAAAATTGCAAAATGAAAAGCTGGTGTGAGAAGCTTCCTTCTCGAATGCCAGAGCGATCCTGTTGATGTCAGCAGTCCTCGACCAAGCCATGGCACGAGTAGGTCTAAATATATTATTTTGCAAAATGAAAAATATACAGCAAAAATAGTTTGAATTTGCTCAAATGCACTAATTTATTGACAAAATGGTCCATTACCGTAATCCCAACTTTTTTCAATGTGTTGCTGAGAAGATAAGACTTTCTAAGGAAGGATATTGAAAGTACTCATTTCAAAATTATGTTATTGATTTGCGGAGTGTAGAGACAGATAATAATATTTTTAAATGTACTTACTTCAATGTCATTTCCATTTGATATGATGAGATATGGATTCAATCCCAGCCACATTACTACTCGTGACCCATGCTCATCGCGGAATTTGGTCAAGGCCTTGACCACACCTTGAACATGTTTCAAGCAAAATGTTAATTTTTAATTCGTATCGTTATATATTCGCTGTTTCGGCGCGTTATTAAATAAATTTTACAATTTACCAACGTTCCCTTCGCCAATCAGTTCAAAGACATTGCCAAAAATGGGAATTCCCTTGGGACCATTAATACCTGCCAATTTCAGGCGCAGTTTAATATGTCGTGCCGTATAGAAAATGGCAGTAAGTACGAAAAATGCTATCAACAATGGTGGCATTGTAGCTTATTTACTAATTTTAATTCTATGCAGGTTAATTAAATTAACTTAATTTAATTCTAAAGATGAATATAAAATATTAAGTGATGAATGTGAATGATTGAATAAGCCCAGACGAGGCATACAATCGAGGAAACAAATAGATATTATTTCCATGCGATTTTTATGATTAAATCATGGATGGACATTGGACGGATAAGCAAAAAATTGATGTTGCATGACATTGGTTGCATGTAAGTAAGAAGCGTCGCATTAATCGTTTATGTAATAAGTAAATAGTACATATACCCAACCACACCATTCGAGCTGAGCTGATTTCAGTCCACAGTACACACAGACGATGCACTGTACTGTGTATACCATAAATGTGGTATAATGTAACTACATATTATGACTGCAAACTGTAGAATGGTTCGATAATGATAATGATGATTATACGAGAATTACTTTACGACGCTGGAAAGTGGAACTCTTTAATTGATGTGAACTGAGCGTTGTCCCATGACCATCCCAAAATTGTTGGCCATGCATGTATAGCAGTTGGACTAGGCGTTAGTATTTATTTGTTTTGAACCTTATGAATATGACCGTATAAGGATACACCTCCCTCATGCTTGTACCCATCTCCTAAGTTATTATTAATTTGATGAAATGCCTCTATCGTTTACTCCGCAATGAATTTCAGTAGGCGGAATAATGTCAGTTAACATGACCTATCGCTTCTAATGAGTAATAGATAACAATTTCCGATAGCTTTCCTCTCTGAGTTTGGAGTTCAACAAAGCAAACATAAAATCTATTTATACTGGCAACGCTAGAGCAGTAATCGATTGATTACTCTGGGTATAGAGTTGATGCGATGAAATGAAATGTTAAAAATTTGTTACATTAGCAATTACGTTCCTGTCATTATTAAGGTACACTGACAGCCCAAAATAAGTACATAAATAGTTACACGCAAATTTATACATGAATCCAGGGAAAAACTTTTGTAAATAGAAAGCATGTAAAAGCATACCTTTCTTATTTTGTGTTAAGTTCAATTTTAACTTTTAAAACTAGGCACCTCTCCTACTGTGTTCGGCTTCACTATTTTTTCAGGTGACCACTTTCTCATACCACTAATGGAATATCGAAAAAGGTATTAAAGCACACAAATCGTGAAGCAAGTGGACTCATTTTTGCTCAAACCTCCTACATACATACACACATACCTTTTTGCCATTAATCAAATGTGCACAATACTAGTTCTCGTGGGGCTGTCCATTAGCAAAATCTTGCAATTGCAGGAATAAGAAGGCCGAGTTTGCTTCACTTCACCACTTCCGGGGCTGGATTAGTACTCGGATCAATATTTCTTAGAACGGAATTGAGAGCAAGGGCATTCAAAGGAAGAAAACCTACTGCGTTTCTGAATTTTCGTCAATCAAAATCCAGTAGAATTATTTCATTACTTTCTCAGCTCAGATAAAATCATACAAATTATATCGTTCCAACTTTCAATCTGACAAAATCTAAGATGGAGGACGCACAAATTCCTCCAACGGATGACCAGAAGAAGGAAACTGCAAAAATCTTTAAGATGGGCAACATTTTGTTTATCGCTTGTATCATCTACATGGGAGCAACAGGGGGGCTATGTCTGACTGGAACGGTCAATCTGGCAGGTTTGCATAAATTACTTGCATAATAATATTTTAACTATTTCTGAACTGTTAGAATATGCAAATACTTGATAATCTTCACAGGGCGTACAACATCCCTCCCAAATTTCGCATCACGCTTGGAATTCACACTCAAATACCTGACGCTTCCCCTCCTTTGGCTCCTGCTCCTCATTTTCAACATCATCATCAATAGAGGGAAAACTGGAGCCTTGAATCCACTTGCTGGCCGTGACATGTTCTTCAAGAAACAATCAAACATTTTGCAAAACTCTTTCGAGCAGTTTATTCTCTCTGCATTTGCACAATTCATCCTTGTCTCATTTTTGGATGAAGTTTGGACGCTGAGAATAATTCCTTGGATCAACTTCCTTTTTGTAATTGGACGAATTACGTTCTATCTTGGTTATCCGATATACAGGGGTTTTGGCATGTTTCTGTGCCTACTCTCTACAACTGGAATGGTGGGGTTTGCAGTGTATAAGTTTTTTGAGCACTTATTTTTTTAAGTGGGCTATTGTAATGCATGCAATGCTTTTCTCTGTACTTGTAGTACAAATTGCGTTTAACAAAACTGGTTAAAGAATAGTTAGTCAATTGATTTTACCCAATTTATTATTTTAGAAAAAGTACATAAGTGAGTATACGAATCGTGTGACAATGTGGCATACTTACATACTTTTGTATATATGTGTGCACTGATACATACATACTGTACATATGCAATTATGTGATGCAATGTTTAGTTGTAGCATGATCAATTAGCACTTAAAACATGCATATGAAAATATTTATGACACGAATGTGACATTATTAAATACATATTTTGGAAGAATTGCAGATTTTGTATAATCAATTGTTTTAAAATCTGGAATGCAATTTGTTTTTTGTGCAACCAAATTACACCAGGCCAGGAGGTGGGCAAGTAGAATCTCCTCCGCCAATAAGGTCAAGGAAGTCCTGAAGAGTAAAGTCAGCAATTAGCTCGTTAATGGCAAGTCTGAACTTTTCAACGACGTCATCTCTATTGGCAGGGAATTCTGTGTCGACGCAAGATTTGATGTTGGAGGAGAACTGGGCCCAGTCGACGGGGGCACCACCAATGATGAATTCCGGTCCAAGATCGGCAGTCAAAGAGTCAAAGACAAGGTTGGGGATGGACAAGAGTCGGATCGAAATCCTGTCAGTGATTAGGTTAACGAAAATGGTGGCACTTCCGGAAACCACCAATCCAGCTGCAGTGATGGCCACGGGACCAGTACCAGTGAAATTACCGGAAGGAATGCAAGACTGGCTGAGGGGTCGGGCGTCAACGTAACCTTCAGCCGTGTAGGTTGAAGTGAGGTCGAATGTGGTCAGGGTAATCGTGAATTCGGCCGTGAGTTGGATAAGATTGATGGTATACTCGTATTGGAAAGTGGACAATCCGTTGATGGTCGTCAATCTATGGAATATGTACAAAAAAATTAGTGCTTCCTATTGTTTGATAGTACGGCAAAACTATTGAAGTACCCGTGACTTCCGCCAACAATAATTTGAGCAATTGGGTTGAGGGTAAAATTTAACTGATCGGATGGCTCGTCGATAAGTGGGTCGGCAATTGCTGCATATGAACGAATGCAAAATTGGTGTCACAATAGAGATTGACATTAACAACCCGAATTTTAAAAACTTTGCTTAGTTTTGACTTACGACAAGGGGGACCAGTTTCTCTGGTCTGTTTGATGCTATTGGCGAAAGCGCCTGCAACGAGGAGGAGAGCGACTGCTATGACCTTCATGTTTGAAATGGACAGACGGAGGAAAGTTCAGGATTGGAACCTTTCAAGGATATTAAAATCGGACTGATGAAGCCAACTGGGTGGGCTTGCTTTAAATAGCTGTTGGAAGTACATACGTATGTATGCATTCTATGCAATCCTATCCAAGGAAGGGTCACAAATGGTATGTGCCAATTAAGATAACGGGGATGTATATTGATGATGATTTTTTTGTGTTTTATCGAAACCAGACCCTGTAAATACTGTAGTAAATCATTATGTTTACTGTGCAGAATGCACTAATTTTACTCCTGACCAAAATTGATAAGCATATGTAAAATCTAATTTAAGCATCTTTTCACGCATTATATTTAAATCCGTCAATTCTTCGACTCATTGAAAAAGGAAAGAAATTGAAATTCATAATTTTGGGTCGTATGCAGCAGTTAAGAAATAAACTGACCCTGCAACTAGAACAATGATTGTGCAATATTTCCAAAGTCAGATGGACCGGTCAACATTTTAAGAGTGATAATTTGTGCCTGTTGCATTGTTCATCCTAAAAATATAACAAGAGTATCGTGTGAACTCATTCCACTTAACCAGGTCCCATTTATTTGTTTGTCAATTCCCTCGACTGGAGTGGATACATTAGGTTATCGATATCGGGTCACTTTTATTTTCTTTAATAAACATATAATAATGGACACCTGAACAGGGGCTGATATTTTACGAGTGAGGTGAGATACATACGTCATTGCAGGGCAACTGCTTTAGATAATAACATTCATTTTGATTGACAACTGGTATGCAATTATAAGTGTGGATACGTGACAGTTTGTTTGGGTGCACGAGTACGTGAATGCTGGTAAAAAACGGTCGTATGTATGTACATATAGAAGAGCATATTGGGGTGCAAAAATGAACCTTGAAGACATGAATTGTGCATTATCATGATCAGAAATAATCTGTATATTAAATTGTATTAAAATATCTACACAATTTGATGGCCCGCAGAGTTATAGAAGACACCCAACTATTAAGTCATATGTATGTACATATATATGTATGCACCACCTCATGGTCAAATAAGTTTTACTCGAGTTATCCCCATACAATAAGGACTGCAGAAACTCAGGGTCTCTGGCTAAAAATTTAATATTAAAAAAATCAAAGTTATACAACCCCTTATATAGCAATCAAGATTCCAGAAAAGTATCGATTTATGATTTTCTCAGCTTGCTGTGGGAATCTGATATTTACTTTCATTGACACTAACACGAAGTCATGCAGAAACAGTGGTCGTAATATTTATCTAATTAACTTCGTAAATCATAGAAATATGTCCTTATGGTATATGTGTGATAATAATTAACTCAAATTACAATTAATTCACTTGTATATTTACGCTGAAAGTTTTTCACAATTTTAGACCAGTCATGCAAGTTTCAGCGATGATGAATTCGTACATAAAACATGAGCATGGAATCACTGGAATCAGGATCAATGTGGTCAAATTTCGAGGCGAGGAGCAGCAATTGTGCGTAATTCCACACGTATTTACACAACATAGTATTTTTGGTCTTGACAAAACTGTAAAACTGTACCGTCCGTCTGGTTCTCCAAGTCCGGATTTTCTACATATTTTAAAAACTCGAGTAAGCTAACACCACTTGTAGAAAAATCGAACTAATCTCCCCAAGCAATCTACAAAGTGTGAAAACCTTGGGCTGGAATATTATTGGACGGAATTGGCTAAATAGGAATAATTTTTCAAGAGCTGCATTGCAATAAAATTAAAGTTACCCTATATGACGGAGTAAATAATTTATTACATTCAAATTTAAGGGATTGGTAAGACTAATGTTTTAACGTCTTTTTCATGAGTGACGCCGTTCAGGTTTTATACACTTTTATACTTGAGGTTCTTAATACTCCTCTTGCAGAGAATATAGGACTCGATATGGATCCATTCTTATCAAGTCCGCCCGATCCTCTGTAAGACTCACTTTTCAGAGCCATAAACCAAATAAAAACTTCAACCTTCGATATTAAGAAAACTGACTTGGTTCTAATCAGCTACTATGCGTTCACCAGAACTAATCAATATATTTTGAGCCTAGCAAGATTCAATGTGACTTTTATGTATGTAATTTTCTTAAGACAGGAGTTTGAGGAATGCATGTTCTTTGAAGTTGAAAAAACTAACTCTGAAAATATTCTGTCTGATTGGTAGAAAAACTGAAGGGATTCCGGATTATATTTTTAACCAGTATTGCGTTTATGTTGTGCATTGAATTTTCTGCATTTGCATGTAAATATAAAACTAAAGAAGCATGTTTAATTTCATACCGTCAGTTTATTATCCAAACTATTTATGTAATATCAACCAAAATATACAACTTTATAAATGCAGACATTACTACTGGATAAATTATATTAAATTATACCGATATTTTTACAAAAATCTCAAACACAAAATCAAAAATTTATATTTTATCTACATACACTTGGGTTACAAATTAAAACATGCTTTCATTAAAAAATAAAAATTTACATGGTTTGGGTTCAAAATCATACACAATTCAACCAATTCCCTATTTTTAATCCAACCAATCAGCCACACCTACCCGGAAATGTGCTTGAAACAACGAATCATAATCTCAGCACAAATGTACACACGTATCGTTTCGCTCTTCGACCCCTTAATCTTCATGGTACTGACACGTTGGTAAATTGACAACGAAGAAAACATTGAGTTCAAAAAGAGAGGCGAAAATTAGGAAAGAGAAATAGAGTAGAAGGCTTAAAAATCCAACTTTACGATCCAATACGAATTTGTTAAATGCAAGAATCGCGTACAAAACTGCGAGCGACGATATTAACATCATTGTCGAATATTCTAATCCATGCGAGTTAATCTGGATGTAGTCCTCGTACTTGTCTCCGATAAGCATTGAGCCTCGAATAAGCCAGGGGAGCCCCAAACACATTAAAACGTCAAATGTATTGGAACCTGGAATCATAATCATCGAAGCGTTGTCATTACATTATACTGTCAGATGGACGCATATTTGTATATGCAATTTAGTACTGCCAAACCTATAGAATTAGACACTGCCATTGTCCCAAGCCCTTGTCTCGCTACAATTAATGAGGACACAACTTCCGGAACCGATGTTCCCGCAGCAATAAATGTCAGCCCCATGACAGAGTCTGGAATTCTGCAAGTGTGCCCAATGATGGTCATCATCCAGTTGACCACGTATGAAAGTGTTCCGATCCACACGATGCACATGGCAAATGTAAGCGGATACCACTTCTTCCACGCGTCCTTCCTACAGTCTGGAATAGTAAACGTGAAAAGAAGGCGACACGGCCAACAGACAATGAATTCGATCCAGGACTTTATGCCTTCGCCGTGTGGGGGTTCGCAAAGGCCGGAAGCTTCTTCTTCCTCCTGTTCTCGTTCCTCCTAAATATTGAAATGTGAAAACGTTTATTAAGAAAATAGGTATTATCTGCGACAATTTATTAATTGTAGAGTCAGACCTCCGTCATTTTGAAGGGGGGTTGAACTTCGGCATCTTCCGAGTCATCATCTTGGTCAAGTTGCTCATTTGTTCCTGCAGATCCCCCTCCTTTCAGTGGTTCCAACTGTGTCGAAGTTCCATTTTCCCCAGCTTCCTTGGCTTTATCTGAAGATTGCCCAATAGTGGTGGAGCTGTACATCGCCTCAATCTTGTCACCCCCGTAGTTGAAGTGTCGGCGTGTTTTGAACACAAGTTTTTCAGCACGTTTCTTTAAATATGCATTCTTGTACATGACTGGTGATGTAATAAGAAGAACACGACATTAAAACCATGCCCAATTCCATCCATTCTCTTTACGAAATTCATTTCCGAGCTCATTTACCAAGAATGTAGACAAAGTAGACAAGGACCAAAATGAGGGCTTCGTACCAGTAGATTCTCTCATCTCGGAGGACAATGAGGAGAAGGACGACGGTGAAAAGGTAGCAGACGCAGTCTCTCGTGACGGACCACCATTCCAATGGAACCATCTGAAATGAATGCAGGTCAATATTTACTACGTATATTTATCTACTAAATACATACGTTTGTACGTATGTGTTTATTTCGACTTCACAACAGGTCGAGATTAAAGCGGTTATTTCCAGCGCAATAATATATTGCAGACATGTATTTATTTGCGAGGAAATAATTGCATCGATATTTGCCATGTCCATTTCACACATGACGATATTATTGCGACTCGGCCATACAATATTATTATTTCAACAGAATTGTTTGCAAAAGGTTAACAAAATTGTAATGAATTTGATGAACAAAAACTATGTACGTACGTATGTATGTACATAACCACCCATTTTGCCATCTACCATTTTGCGTGATGATACACAGAAGAGGGACATGACATCCTAAGGATCACATGTAGTAGTGAAATTTAATCCAGCGTTTACACCTTCTCGCTTTATCTTTCATTCGCAATTGTGTTGTGATATTATCACTGCGGTTAAAATGAAGTTGACGGATGAATTCATGTTTGGATTAACAATATCAATATGTACATGTACGTATATATATACATAAGTACGGAAAAAAGCATGGGTCGGATTTAAATTTATCATCATCTGACTTCATTCAGGACGCACAACACGTCGTCACGTGCATATTGCAGGCATTTCCCATTTAAATAATAAGTATATGTAATTCTGCCATTAAGTGAATTAATTTTAATGAGATGCAATAAAATTTCGGATTGAATGCCAGGAAATTAAAGCTTTCCACCAAATGCTAAGATAAAATAACTTATCGTAATTTGTTATCCTGAAGTTCATTTGAAAATCGTTACAAAATCTGGATTAAACCGAGTTAATTGGGAAACAACAAAACCGCCGTACGTTTGTATTTAGTATTTCATACAAAATAAACTCACCATCCCTGCACCCAGGCCGCACACTGCAGCGACAGCCAAAATGTTAAACACTGCACTACCGACAATTGTCCCCACGCCGATGTCCCCTTTGGTGATGAAGGTCCCAATGATATTTGTAAACAGTTCTGGAGCTGAGGTCGCAATCGCCATAAAAGTTGCTCCGGCTATCGCGTTTTTTGCACAATTAATTGCACAATTAGCACCAGCTCAATTATCAATTCATAATTCATAATGCAATATCAATACATTACCAACGTCGGAGGGTAAGCTCATTTCCTCACAGATTCTCTCCATTGAAGGGACAAAGTAGTCATCACAAACTACAGCTAACCTACCGGATAAAATAAATTGGATATTAAATGGTTCTATGTAAATGATTTGCAAGTATACAAATATTTGACAACAATTAAGTTTTAAAAATTGTAAAAATCCGACTAAGGAATATAAGGATTTTAAGATAGTGGTTTGTATAGGCTTTCGAACTTTCACTTCACATTTACTTAAACGCCTCACAATTACGCACCCAAAAATAAAATTGGCGAATAGTTTCTTGTACACAACATATAATTATAGATAACAAACAGATTTCACCACAAAATAGAGAAAATAATAATCACAAACCCCACAAAGATGTACAGGGAGACGAGAAAATGGATAACGACAAATCCAGAGCGACGCTCTGCTTGGGTGAAGAGATCATCGGGAAAGTCGTCAATTCCGGGAGGGGTGCAATTAACTCCAGGTATCTCCCATTTTGCATATTTGTGGATTCGGTGACGCCATTTTCTTTCTATCTCTTCATCTGCAGCAATATCCGAAATGTCGGGTACTTCCTCCGGTGGAATATCGTCTGCAAGATGCATAAAACTCTTTAGAACATGTCCAAATAGCTGAACATATTGATGCATGCGTTTGACACGGCACGTTCCGAAGGATTACATATATTTGTGTCAAGGCTATCTTCATGAATTGCAGCACGTAGTGAGCAATACTTACATTACATAACGGACACTAAAAAATAAGTTACCTCCTGCAAGTGCGTAGTCATCATTGATATTGGAAACATCGTCGTAATGACTTTCTTCCTGAGAATCGGCTGGTCTGGGTAACGCATTTCCACTCGAAGCAGTGTAATAATATGCAAAAATCACCGTCCACAATACTATCAAATAATCTCTTCTGAACCTACGGCGACGAATGCGACGCCCAGCTTGTGATGGTAAATCTGTCTTCGTGACTGTGCTAATTTTCTGCATTTTCTACGATGAGCTCTTCCACTTGTTACAAAATTCAACCAGATCAATTCTTATTTTGTACAATAAAATTACACACCTCACATACTGCAGATATTTTGTTAAGGTGTTACAGTTTACGGCCAATTAGTTCTTCGGTACGCAGGGTTTCTTCGCTCCAGAAGCAATAATTTACTGGAATATTTAACTTTGTAATTATAAAATAATTATGATTGTGAAATCTATGAAAAAAATTAACTCTTTTCAATCAGGGTTGGTTGACTGCTCGAGTGGAATTTGGCACGGGAATGGATTGATTGAGTCGAGCTAATATAAAGGTATACAGAGAGCTTATTGACATGTTATCAACTTTGATAAGTCAGTAAAAAAACAGATAACTTTTGTTCATTCAGTTTATTTGTGTGTGAGGGGGTAGCTTAGTTATGGGTATTAATAAAGGATAAGGAGATACGTGACCATTAAATATTACAACATGTCTTGGTCTCGGATAACTGCGACTTTTGTTTAAATGAACGCATAATGTTAAAAAAGGATTGATAACACCAATTGTTTGCGCCGGTTTGTGGTGGTTGTTTTTTAGGGAAGGAGATGTGATGCATTTTAATAGCTGGGAATCATTAAAATACAATTAGTCGAGACAGGGTTAGGACCTTTGTTTAATTGACAAGCTGTAATATGTACAGTCATATGTACATACGTACTCACCGCATCTTCTGACTGAGGAAAGTACGATTTATGATGTTTGTTGAATTGAAAAACAAGATAAATCAGAGGCGTTTAGGGCACGTGTCATTTATATCGTTGGAGATGTATTTATGTATGTATTATTACGTATATGTATAAAGACCTACATATGCATCTAGGTGTACATATGTACAATACGATGCAAAATTTACTGCAGCTTGAGAATGATGATGAATTGCATAGATAATAATAAAATAATGCTGACCAAGTACTACGTCAATAAGTACTGAATCCAAAGGTCAGATATTATTACATAAGTAACATTCTAATTGTTCTTAAAACTTTTAATTATTGCATCGGAAAGTTTATGCAGGTTCGTAATAGCATTGTTAATGTTATGACACAGTCATGATATGAAATTTTTGCTTGTAAATCGGTCAGACGTGATTGTAGATATCTCGTTGTTTCGGTGTCAATGTCAGTCTAGTAGTCAGAGCCATTCTACAGCGTCATAAATCATGTAATCCCTCGTTTAACAATAACCGGAATGAACTGAACAAAAACTTTTACAAGTTATATAAGCACAGGTTGAACCCGACTTTAAATTCAACAAACGGATACTGGAATCCTTTAAAAAAACTTCCGTAAGTAAATATCAGGAAAAAAATTTTCGCGATATTTACGTACTTAATTGCATGATATTACATTACATGTCCCGCAACACACTTTCGAACCTTATCGAAATTAAAATAAAAAATAGATGTGACTAAAAGTATGCAACGCCAATTTGTTTTATATTATGTATATGTATAGAGACTTTCTGCATTGTATACTTGTCATTGTACTGGTGCGTATTAAGTACGTATCTGCATTGCGATGTTTTATTATAATGATCAATTATTGTAGCGCATAGACATTGTGGTGGTAAGAATAGTCCAGTATACATATATTGTCCAGTGAATTATTTTAATACTATGTCCAACTGTAAGCTAATTGTGAAAGTAATATCATATGAAAAAGAGCGATAAAGATATACTTAATCAATTTATGTAAAGTGAATAATTTTAATTTGAAGAGAAAAACAACTTTGTAGTGTGATAACTATTTAACAGCGAATATACATACGCAATCAGAGTCGGTTTTAACAAGTTTTGCAGTAATACCTCAACAACACTTGTATTGGACACCAGTAGTACCAGATGAAGTGGTGCAATATCTGTAGCATTTGGAAGACCGACCATTACATAATTTTTCAGGGTCGGGACTTTTATACTCTCCACTGGCCATGGGGTCGTAGCATTCAGAACCAAAGCATCCGTTGTCATCTGAAATAATGAGGTTAACAATTTTTATCCTGTTGTGAATAAGTTGATCATTGCTTACCAAGAGGTCCATCTGGACAGTAGCCATTGTTGTCAGCTGAAATAATAACCGTTGCAGCAACGATTACCAATAGGGTCACCAAAGTTTTCGTGAGCAGGGCCATTTTCGTAGCTTATACTTTATCCAGGTGTGCTTTATTATTAGGAAGAGTGATACTGTGCTTCCATCATGCGTAATCCGTTTATATACTCGACAATGCTAAAGTTATGCTAACCACATAATGATCATAATGCCACATTCTTGACCGCGACCAGTGCAATTTTTGGAGATGAGAAACAATAAACTAAATTTACAACATTTTCCTGGAAATTTGAAGCACATTACTGTCAACCACGTGTTAGGAATGTGTCCCCAATTCTCGGTAATTCCTTAATACAAAATATACTTTGTATTTGTATGTACATTTATTTCTGAAACGTGTGTTAATGTTAATAAAGTATTTACTACTAATTTATTGATTCTCCGAGTTGGATCGTATGAAATATGAAACATGCCATTAATTTAATTTTGTGAAATTCCAATTATCTGGGGCAATGATCTCATACCTATATTAATGCGTAAATGTTTACCATTCAGTGTATGTACATACACAGGTGCATAGGCATACACTAGTATGTACAACAAAATAATGGTGTGAATTATCTTGTAACGACTATTATTTAAGTTTTATTGAATGTTTAATTGCAGAAGTTCTGGGTAATACGAAATTAAAGAGTGGTCTAGTTTTCATAAAAGCTTATAAAATATATTTCAAATTGTTTTATTTCTGCTTCTGGGACAGGTAAAACTTTAAAATTTCGATACCGCAATATTTTATCTGTACTTTTCATTCAACGTTTCTCGTGTCGCACACACATTCGACATCATTCATTTGTGCAGTATGCATCTACAAGGCATGCAATGAAATGTTACGAGAAAGGAGATGGGAAAAATGACATTTTCTGCGTATTCTGCGTATGTGCAAAAGTGAGCAAATCTGCAACTTTCCTTTCCTAAATATGTGCATATGCACACAACGTTGGCTAAAAACGTCGAGTTTGGTGGTGGTGGCACAACGTTGGGCAAGAATTCACACACTTCATGCTTTGCTATGTAATGCATACACGACAGAAGATCACTTTCTTTTGTCCATTCATTGAACCAGGTTCTATTGCTCTGCAAAGTGAAAATCTTGTCCAATTTCAAAACTTGCGAATACATAGTAGCACCAAAGAACATAAAAATGGAACTACCTGCTTCTGCCAACAAAAATATTCCAACTTTTAAGTGTATCCTTGTGGGTGATGGGGGCACTGGGAAGACCACATTTGTCAAGCGTCTCTTAACCGGAGAGTTCGAGAAGAAGTACATTGCAACTTTAGGCGTGGAAGTGAGACCCTTGACCTTTAACACGACCCGGGGGCAAATTACTTTTAATACGTGGGATACGGCTGGTCAAGAAAAGTTTGGAGGCTTGAGAGATGGTTATTACATCCAAGTAACGCGAAATTGCTTACAACCGTGTATTTTTCCTGATAATTTTAATTAAATACGACATGTTCACTTTTTACAGGGACAATGCGCAATTGTCATGTTTGACGTCACTTCCAGAGTGACTTATAAAAACGTCCCGAACTGGCATCGTGACTTGATCCGCGTCTGCGATAATATTCCAACAGTGCTTTGTGGTAAGTGCAGACTTATGTATTTATTAAATAAAACCATGACATGGTTATGTGAAATGTGTGCACATATTTATTTTATTAGGAAACAAGGTGGACATCAAAGACAGAAAAGTGAAAGCAAAAAGTATTACTTTTCATCGGAAGAAGAATATCCAGTATTTCGATATTTCTGCAAAAAGCAACTACAATTTTGAAAAACCGTTTTTGTGGCTGGCTCGGAAACTTGTGGGTGATCCTCAACTAGAATTTCTCCCCATGACTGGACTTGCACCACCTGAAGTGCACATTGACCCTGACATGAGGAAGAAAATGGAAAAAGATTGGGAGGTAATTAAAATACTTATATGAGACATTGATGGTTTGTGAGTATTTAAGAATTTGAATTATTTTATATGCCGTTGTTTATTTCTTTTAGGAAGCAGAAAATGTGCCGATACCGGAGGATGATGATGACGACTTGTAATTATATAAAGTATTTATTGTTAGCATTAATATAAACGAGTTAAATGTAGATTAAGGTTTTCTTGAAATTAAACAATTTTGTTAAAGTTACAACTTCTTGTACCCGAAATCATTATCTGACAAGCTTGATAAACTCCGATCTTGATCAGCATAACCACCACCAATATCTACCAGGCACTCATTATCATTATTTACCTGTTCATTTGCTATTAAACTATTGCTGTCCAAAGACTCGAGAATATTCGGAGTCTCAATGAAGCTCGGATTCATAATGGTAGAACTACTGGAGTGAATTCCGTTCCCAATAATGACACCATTTCCATTCGCAGTGGGAGGAGGAGGAGGATGAGAAGCGTTGTGTTGCAAGGCTCGCGTCCAGTCGAGCTCTTGCGACGACGTGGGGAATGTTTTACTTGTCTATTTATCAATAGAACCAGAATTATAATCAATTTTTCACGTGGTTATTCTTAAATTAGTCATGTTACCTGCATCTGAACTTTTTTGTACAAAAAGAAAATGACACCCACACATCCGACACAAACAGCCGACAGCAAGACCGTTACAACGATAAATCCGGAATTGTTTTGTGATGAGTTATCCGTCGATGCTGCAGAAACATGGTGTGGGTCATGAGTCGTAGGTGGGGTTGTGGGTGTCGTGGGGCTATGCGTTGTTGGCATTGCAGGGGATTGTGTCGTAGTCAGGGTCATATTTTGAGGTGGGTTTGGATTCTCTGCAGGAAAATTAAAATGCAATTTTCTTATTAAACTAAGATTTAGCTTTAAAACATATTTCTTAAATACCGTAAACCAATTCGAGTGTAATCATAGTCCCGATAAAGGAGCCATCTTCATGGTCCGAGCAGAAAAATATTGTTTTGTTCCCACGTATTACTTTTCGGTATGTAACGTCTATTGAGAACCCGACCTTTGGGTTAAACCGCAAGTACATCTTGTTGATTGGTACTTTCTCTATGCGTTCCTATTTATGATAATCATACGGTAATTATAATTATATTTTCATATGTACGCATATAATTTTAGACCCATACCTCTTCGGGAATGTCTAGAAACAGGAATGGTCTTATATCCGGAGTGTTCAATCGACAGGGCAAAACCACCCACTTTTTTGTATTCCAATCGTCAGAATGGTTAGTCCACTGGTAGCGAATTATGTGATGTTTTCCTTCATCTACAAAAGTTGTCCTGTTTGATGGGCTCATCGCGTAAATATAAGTTGACGTTTGGCGTGACTTATGTGGTGAGATGGATTGACAAGTGTAATTCCCAGTAGCGTTAAAGTCACTGATTTTAAAGCTAACGGTACTCTTGTACAAATAACGAACGCTAACGATTCCGTCAGAACGTTTACAGTTGGCTCGGGAAACACGAGCGGCTGTGACCTGGGTGAAAGTCGAATTTATGGATCATCTTAAATTATAATGGGTAATAAATAAATACGTATGCATTACATTTACTCCATCTTTGAACCAAATCACTGGGAACTTTGCCATGCAATAGAGTGAAACAGAGTCTACAGGATCGAATACGAGAGCGTCCCTGCCATCCACACGATGTGGAAGACGCACTCGAGTTCTGCTTAAGGAAGAACTATTGCGATACATTACAATGAATGGGTTGGACTTCGTTGGGCATCTGAAATGAAATGCAGTGAAAATTCATCCAATAAATTTTACTAATTTCCTTAATTGCAATAAATAAAACCAAAATATTTTACTGCGGTGGATTTTCAGCGACGTCAGCATCTAATAAAAATATTATAAAGCCAGTTAAATCTCTAAATTGACACTGATAACAACTTTTCTGACCTTCAATAGTTAATTTTATGCTGGCTTGCGCCCAGGTTTTAGAGTCCCACTTTGGCGCAAAGCAATACAACTGTGAACCATTTCGTTCCGGAATTGTCAAGTATGTCGCTCTCATGGTTGAAACAATTCTTTGATTTAACATTAGTCTGTCGTCCCATTGATAATTGTCTAAAATAATTGTATAATATTTGCAAAATTTATAAGTGCACATACTTTAAAACATCGGCCTTTCTTACCAAATGCATAATAGGAATAGTTGAAGGATCCATCGTCATATTTAAAGCCCCAAATGATTGGATTTACCACGTCAGAACTTGTACCCAAGCAAGAATACAGCATTCTATCACCCGTAAAAACGTGGCTTTCACTGGATCTTAAGTGCATAGTTTCTACGTCACTTTTGTGCGAGTCGTCATTGAAATCTAATCAATATAATAGTTTGCTTGATACATTTTTTCGGTTCAGAAATTGAATTTTTTAATGTTTCATATAACTTACACATTCCTCCTTTCCAATCCGTACTTATATTTATATTTGACAAATATCCATCAGCATTGCACAATATAATTCCCGGCATAAAGCTAGTTGCTTGGGATGTGCGATTAGAAATTTTCGTCGTTATGAATGGGTAGCGATGATAGTAGTCTGACGCGAATGTAGCACAGTTTTGTGGATCCTTGTCACAAGATTGTCGAAAAAAGGCACACTCGGTTGGATTCTGGCAGTGATGAATCGTGAAGTCGACTGAAGTGGCTTTTTCGTTGTAGCACGTAATGTCACTGTAAAAATAGGGAGGATCGAAATAGTCCCAGTCCATATTGTACCTGTTGTGCTCCGACGAGTCTGGACTTTCTCCAAATTCTGGTTCTTCCTGAGAATAAGGGTAGTAATATCTCCGGTCTATGCACAATTTAGTTTTACATAGATCAATTTTTAATCTGCATAATTTAGGTATTTTGTCAATTTACTATATCTGTCGTTGAAAGTGTTGTTCCACTCGCACTTGCAAAGAAACCCATTGTCAAAGGTCCATTCGTGCAAGTGTTTCGCAGTACTGGTTTCAACGCACCCAATTCTTCCAATAGCTTTAAGATCTTTGGTGGAGAAAGTAGCTTTCGCTCCGTGGGTAAATCCCAACAAAGCAAATTTCGAATTTATAACTTTGTCAATTCTATCCAGTTTTGAAGATGGCTCCAACACCCTCAGGCTTACTGGTGTATTAGCGTAACACTCAAAAGTTGTACTTCCCGTGTCAAACGTAATATTGGTTTGGTTGGGAAAGACGAGGAAATCTTGGAAAATAGTATTCCTTGATTATTTCCGGATCAAGTATATTATGCAGATTTTATTTATTATAGTATTTATTACCTGCATGCTTCACCGTTACATCCTCCGTGGTGAGACTATTCACATCGACACAAACATATTTTCCGGTAACTGAGGTCATTCTCGGTGATAAGACTAGTGATTTGTGAGTGGTGGTGCTAGTTGCGTGAGGGTCCGAAGCATCCGAGCGTAATGTCGTTGACGATAGAATTAGTGGAGGACTAGGCTTCGTATAGTTCACTATAAATCCTTGGTATGGGTCGTACTTTACTTTGAACCCAGCAAAACTTTCGACCCGTCTCTCGTCCGCGGTGCCCTAATTCATAATTTAACACGATGTACATACATATTCCTGTATAAAATTGTTGATGTAAACCTACCGTCTCTTCTTTCTTTAGAATGGTATCTTTCACAGTTGGTTTATTCGCAATGCAAGGAATTACAAAACTGGTCACAGAATTCTCATTCACGTAAACGACTTGATCTTTTCGAATATTGAATGAACCTTGATATCTCCAACCCCAACTGCCTGTATATAAGAAGTCATTTACCAATTTTAAAATGGCGCAAAGTTGTCTGTAATTGATCATGGAATAAATTACTCTGGGCAAATATGTATTTTGAAGACGACTTTGTGGGATCGTGAATACTTCGACAAGTAAAGTTTCCTACAGGACTGACCGAATCTCGGTACAATTGTTGACTTATTTGGATCACGTAGCAGGCATTTGTCATGTTTTCTGGGTTGGCGTTGGCCACTAAGAATCTTACAGTTGAGAGAAGTGCCTGTAAAATGTGGAGAATTGCCAAATTGAAAAACTATACAAGCATATATATGAATCAATATGTGGAGGTAAATTACCTTAGCTCCATCAAACTCTACTGCAACTGGATAACGTGCCACACAGTAGAGTGAAAAATAATAGCTAGGATACGAATGGGTCTCATTGGAAAATGTAAACTTCGGATTTTCATCAACTCGAGTTGGACAATCCGAATCGGTCAAGCTTGTTCCGTAGTCATCCCTGAAAATCGTGCGTTCCGGTTCGTTGAATCCAACACCCAGTCGTTTATTACCCAAAGATGGAGAGACCAATATGCTTGAAAGTATTAACACAAAAGAAAAATGTCGACAGACTAAAAAATTCTTCATTTCACTCGAAAATAAAATCTACGACGTATTTATTCGGTATATATACGTATTAGGGCGTATATGTACATGCATGTATCCAATGTGATCAGAAAAACTGGATAAACTACAACCTCCCACCAGCAACAAAAACTCAATAAGTATATTTTTCAGATCAATCTGAAACTGTGAATACCGGAAGTTAGGTTGCGTGATGACGAATTACAAATTGAACATAAAATGAATTAAAATAAGAATAAATCGTGATGTCAAGCCAGTACAAATGCAGTTATTATATTATATATACATACTCTGTACATCATAGTAAATACACGCTAAATACATTAAAATACAAGTTTAAATGACACTGAACAATTTGACCTTCGCATTAGCACGGGTCAACTTGTCATGATACAATGTCATTGGTCATTTTCTCAGTATAACGAAAAAATAATGGAAATTCCCAAACAGATAGATTTCACCTACAGATAATAAATAACTATATTTAATACAACGTAAATAATGCAACACAATTCCAACAGCACGTAGAAAAGGGATCAAATTCTTTAATTGTTCACCGTCCACCGTAAACCGACTCGTACGGTTGCGTCCCACATGGAAGAAGGGCCGTCAGCAGGAGTACCGTGACCAATAAAAGACATTCATTGCACCCGACCGCAACAAAAAATAGGTGTTGATGAGCTTCCTCCAAACCCCTCAAGTTGACCAAGGCACCAAACTTTTTCTTCAAATAGGACGAGAATCCAGAGAGGCTGAAGTGTTTGGCCTCACTAACATCGTAGCTCAACGGAACTATGAGACCGAGGAGTCCGATGAGAAAGATGAAAATGCCTGAAATTAGCCAAGCTTTCACGTTTGATCGGAGACGTCCCTGTGCAGATAATAAAATTATACACAAATTTTAATAAAATATAATTTTTAGCGATAAAGCACATTCTGCTGAACTCACATTACTGCAAGAGCACACCACATACGTTGAGCCAATAAACTGGACAAATCCTAATATCATCATCGCCAAGAGGCACAAGATCAAGATGAGTTTGTATGTGTGAGCCCCTTCGAATTGGAGTGGTTCCTTCTGACTGGTTTCATCGCGACACGTTTCTGGACGTCGACCAAAAGAGTACGAGTGGTTCCCCATGTGATAGCCCGTACAGTCAATTTCCTTGATTAGATTGATCTCTGCGATTATTTTGTTTTCCATTTTTTCCTCGGAAAAGGTTAGCGCAAAATCGTATCCAGAAATGGCAATGAGACCGAGACCTGCAATCTGTTGAGACATTTTTAGAGGTAGTGCCTTGTTATAAAATAATGGCTTCTATTTCATTTACCGCACATGATCCTATCAGAGCCAGAGCGACAACGGTATACCAAGTGTAGGTGGATTTGGCCATTGTTAATAAATCGTTTGTAAAGATAAAATACTGGAGCAAAGTTAAGAAAATGTAATTATTTAAGAATGAAAAAAGTGGGGAGAATAAAAAGGAATGTGTAAAGCGTCATACGTCATAACCGCATATTGTGGTATCCAATATCCGGTCGGGTTTTGGAGTTTGTTGATTAATTCTTTAATGCCATACATGCAATTAAAATTAACCAGTTTGTTAATTTTTTTTGGATACATATATGAAGAAATGTCCATGTTTTCATCTCCGTCTCAATTTTCCCATGAACCTGAAAAAGCTAGTCCGTCTCACCTTTCCCACTATGCTGCTAACACAGCGGTCTCTCTGCACCTGCTTCTCTCAGGATGAGCAAACGAATCCTCAGGAGGGGAGCTTGCGAGGTTGATAATAACAGATCCTGATGCCCTTTGGATATGTGGTAGGGTCTCATGAGTGTACTAAAACCCTGAAGTGGTTTGACTCCATGGCCACATTTGCGCCCGCCACACCCACTCAAAAATGCTCAAAAACCGCTTTCACTCCGGTTTTCACTCACTCAAATCCACGCCAAAAATCCAATTTTGCTCGGATTTTGAAATTTCTTTCACCATTACACTCCCAGATAGTTGCTTTCTTCAATTCGATATCAAACTCAATATTTTCGAAATTATTAGTATTTTTAAAATTTAAAATTCTGAATGAGCATTGTTGTAGTAATCCACAACGCAAATTATGCCTGCGAAATAATCATCATCAAAATTGAGTTTGACATTGGATTGAAGAAAGCAACTATCTGGGAGTGTAATGGTGAAAGAAATTTCAAAATCCGAGTAAAATTGGATTTTTGGCGTGGATTTGAATGAGTGAAACCTGGAGTGAAAGCGTTTTTTGAGCATTTTTGAGTGGGTGTGGCGGGCGCAAATGTGGCTATGGAGTCAAACCACTTCAGGGTTTTAGTACACTCATAGGACCCTACCACATATCCAAAGGGCATCAGGATCTGTTATTATCAACCTCGCAAGCTCCCCTCCTCAGTGTATTCCTCAGTCAGCATTCAGCAGCCAGCTCAGCCTAAACTAAATTCTTGGAGAGCAATTAGTTATCCAAGTTTCCTGAAATTGGTAGTTCCAAATCTGGTAAATTCAGCGTTTGTTTATTTGCCAGATTGAATAGTTCTTTTTTGAACGAATTAAATGCAGGCCGATGTTTAACTTAGTACTAATTCTAAATTAAATTCTAAACAAAACAATATTTTAGAACCATCTTCGACGCATCATGTCTTCGAGTAGTCGTCGCTATCTTAATGCTGACGAAGAGTCGGTGATCAGTATGAGTCGTCCCTCGACCTCCATGTCGTCAGCATCGTCAACAATTTCCACAAGATCCAACTTGAGCCAAGCGGCGCCTCGCGAGTTGACATTGGAGGAGCAAGAAGCGCGCAGAGCGGCTGCTGCCGAGCATGAGGAACGAGTTCGACGTTTCATGAAGGGAGTGGCATCCATTCCCGTCGACGTAAAAGCTAACGGGAGACTGGTAGCATGCATGATTTGCTCTTTGATAAAGGTCAGTTGTGGTTGTGTATCAAGTTAAATCCAATTTATTTTCTTAAAATAAGCCTTTTATTTCCGATCGATTCAGAGCCTGGAAGAGTTTGAGGAGAAGGGATGCGACAATTGCGAGCGAATTCTGAAAGTGGCAGGTCAACGAGGGTCCCCGTATTTGTATACGAGCGAGAATTATGAAGGGTATGGAATAGATTTTGGTTGATAATATATTACTTTATGTGTTGTTGTTTACGATTATATTTTAATTCTTAGGATGATTGGGTTGATCAACAAGGATCAAAGCTGGGTTGCAAAATATCAACATCTTGGTAAATACTTCAATTATAAAAGCTATGGACGAATATTAATAATTTATGTCCTTCTATGATATTTAATTTATTATTGTAGATTCATTGAAGATCGGAGTCTATGCGGTGTCGGTTAGAGGACAATTGTCATCCGACATTCGACAGGAACTGGAAATGGCTAACAAGTATTACCACAATCGTGACAAGAGTATCGGAAAAGATGAATTAAAACAGCATGACCTGGAAATGGAAATGGAAGCTGATGTAACTTCCAAGCGGAGAGCTGTACGAAAAATTCGTCGTCGGCAACGACGTGTAAAGAAATCATTGAAGAAGGCCGAAAAGAATAAAGCGAAGGAGGTTGCTTCTTCGTCTGCATCAGCCGTCGGAAGTGGTACGTATAGCGTGCCTTGTCAATTTCGAGTTGGTTATCAATGTATTTATTGTTCCCGCAGATGACAAGGAGGACGACAACGTCGACGAAGAACCCCCGTCACTTACCATAATTCACGGCGATCTTGAAGGCAAGGGTGCGGATGCGCTCCAGGATTACGAGTCTGGTGCTTCTGAAAGTGATGACGAGGTTCTGAGTACTTGTTCAAAGACTTGGGTTATTTCCGAAGATCAGCTATCTTCAATTGGACAGAAAGAAAACAATAACTCCTCGGATGAGGAGGATATCCGCGATATTTAATTTTCCAAAGATATGAATTGTCTCATTTTTTAACTTTTGTCAGTCTGTATGGGTTTGTATTTGTTTCTAATAAAATTTGCCATAACTGAAAAAAATAACGAAAAGTTTCTTTAGCTTCATAAATAAGCTAAAAAGTAATTAAACCTAGTTTTAAAACAAGAATAATTTAATAAATTTAATAAGTTTATTGACATCAGAATCAATTTTAATTAGTGTTTGCCAGATGATTTCCAGTAACTTTGTTTGTCCATTGAGTTATCACACGCTCCACTTTTCACGATGCGTAGTCCTTAAATTAAACGTTAATTTAAATAACCTTGTGTATTTTTATCGACACCTAGCAAAACTCACGAGGAACTCTCCTCTGTGCACATTCGAATCTGCATGTGCTGTTGTAGGTTACACTATTTGACGCACATATTTTATCGGGGTCACGGTTCTCATCACAGGCGCAGGTTAATGGGCGTTTCGTGGTTGATTTTGGAGGCAGCGTTGGTAATGGATTAAGAGTTTTCTAATGCAAAGAGGATTTTCATTGATGAAATAAAATAAATAAATATATAAAACCATGTTGACTTCATACCAGAACCTTAAGATATGCCAAATCTGGTTCGGTCCCTGTACCACAAACCATCTTAAATTGATGGAACGTATCGAAAAATAGATAACACATTAGGAGGAGAGTTGTTTTAAAAACTGCATGAAAATGCATCTTTAGGGAGTAAAGTTTACTACTGAATTGAAAATCTCCAGCTGTGTTTGAAAGGATGTACCATTTGCAATTTGCATGTATTCATACTATTTCATACACATGTTTGGTGCAATTTAGTTAATTGTTCACCCCGTAAAGTGTCGAGTAATGACATAGTTCATTACTAGAAAAAACCTACTCATCGTTACGTTGGGGTATCTTAAATGTTACAGGTTCCAAGTAATGAATGAGACTCCACCATGACGTACAACTTGTGGACTGGACTGGATATACGAACATAAATATTTTTACTGCTAATTATCTGGATCGCCTTTATGATTAACATTCAAGCTGATATTTGATAATACGTTCGGTGCTTTCGATTTCTGGGATTACCCAATTGTTGTTACTGTATAATTGCATTACTCATCTTCCTTCGATTTCGAGACATTGCATTAGTTAAGCTATTATATATGTAGGTGGATATTCATTTAAATGAAGCATTTCGAAAATAGGTCACAAATCATAGCACTAACAATAGGCGGATATCAATCGGCAAGTCTTCAGCTTTTTAGCAAATTAGCAAATCCAATAATCTCACAAATTGCATGCGTTTCCGAGGTATAAAAAAATACATAACCTAGAAAGATGCGTTTGCTTCCTATGTGTGCATATGTACTTACAAATATCTTGAAATCGCGTGGCATCATCACCATTCTTTGAAATTAGTTGTGATGATGTGATGATACATGTGTTTCAGACGGCAACAATTTAATGTCTGTCTACGAAAAATCTATCCTTCTGATTTCCATTCATGTCTGTAATGAGTACATTTTCTAATAACTCAATTCCCAATTTAAATGTACAATTTGACTTATTGCTTATTAGGGGAGGAAGGTGTTAAACTCATGCCGACTGGCTGTTCAATTCCATTCCCACAAATTTATATCATGATACACGCAATCAGTCTGAGCTAAACAAACTCGTGTAAAAACAAATTATTTAATAAGAGGGCGACCCAAGTTAATAATTCGGTATAAAAATGCAAGTAAAAATTGCATAGTGAAATATTTAGGTATATAATTTATAACTTAACAAGCTCTCCGAGACCGTAACTATAACCAGTCAAATCTGCACGCAACTATGTAGAACCTAGTAAATAGATATTTGCCAATATTCATTTTCAAGGTATCCCGTGAGACTTATTTCACGAGCATCAAATAATCCTTCAGATAATCTGCATTCTTACGAAGGTAGTAAATTATTGTCTCATGTTTTTGACACAAATCATATTGCATCCTCATTATATGCATACATACACATACGATATTTTTCAAAACAATAGCCACTCACTTGCACTCAAATCCGCTCTACTTTGGCAGACAAAGTGACGGAAGTTGCGGAAGATGAATTTTTTAAAGCTTATAAAGACTAGTCACTCATGTGACTTTAGTACTTTGTCGCCATACATATGTATGTATCATTCATAAGCACCCCGCCTACACATGTGTGACGTATATGATTTAATTCAGCCTTAATCATAAATATGCATCGAGCTTCGGTTTCGATTTTTAAACTAATCTCTGTTTAACAAAAATTTATACTTTTGTGGACGACTTAATTACTTAATGTGGGCAGGACTGATTGCATTTTGTAAAATAATGTAGACTAAATAGCAGTAGGAAAATCATTAATCTCATCTCATAAGATGCCCACTTGAGGTTAATCCAAGTAAAATTATAAAATTTTGATAATGCCTTGTTGGCAAGGAATGAGCCCGGTCCGACTCATTTCTCACTTCCCCATAAATATTCTGTATACTGGATATTTTTATCTTAACAAAAATACCTGAATTATTTAACAGTACTAGAACAGTACTAGAATTATTGGCTAGTTTTTTTCTTATCATCACGATGTGATGACTTGAGTGAAGAAAATGCATGCCTTTTATTATTATTGCGTGGTACGCATATTGCAAACAATTAAGATTGAGATTAACCTACGTGATCACACAACTAGCCAACAACACTTGCTACAATTATGTTACAATTCGCTTTCATTCTTTGATTATTATCCTCCCTCGCCATCGCATCACTTTGCATCGCATGCAGTGACACATTGACTACGAAAATTGTTACTTACCTACATTTCTTAATGCACTGCAATGCACTTAGAATTATTTAGTTTTGCACAAAGGCATCATATTTACTTATCTTACACGTGCATACATATGACACTACCTTGTAAATCTGCATGTACGTACATAATACGGATGGAGGTAAAGGATGTTACCTTATTTTATTGTTGAGGTAGTTATGTATTGTTACATAATTCAGTCTGCTCCTTATGCGGTAAACCCTAGCATACGTTTACCTTCTTGTCGTATGTATATGCATACCTTCCTCCTTTGTTTTGTCGGCAGAGTAAAGTACACATGTAAATGAAAATGGAAGCGTTTTGATACAATCGTCGTAACTTGTGTATATGATGTCATGCTACGAATAAATATATGTATAAAACTTCTTTCCATCGCATGAATTACATGTGACACAATTTCATAGTCATCTTTTTAGGAATGCATTTTTGTTTTAATTTTCAGTATTGAGTTGAAAGTCAGCAAATATATACATATTGTATTCAGCTTCCGCCAAGTGATCTTGTAAAAATATAACGATGCATTCTGCCATAAAAGTGAAATAAACTCGTCATAAAATAAAGCTCAAGTTCGTTCGATTTTATTTCAACAACGCCTTTCATGAAGAGGTTTAATGTTTAATTAAACTTGGCCTAAAACAGAATTATAAATATTTGGAGAGGGTGTACACACGTACATAATCTTTGTTCGAGTTTTGGCAAATTTTTGGCGCAAGTGCATCTGCAAACAGTCATGGGATAAACTGGACAACGACATGAAGTGAACATTTGGAACAATTGTATTTAAGGGTGAGGTGTGGACGTTCCAATCTTTTTGGAGAACAAGTTTGAGATTGGGTCGATTTTGTGTGCCAATCAAAAAATTGTGTGTGCGTAAAAAATGAGTGGATCAACACCCTCGCTCATGATGAGCGTTCTGCGGAATCTCAATCCCATGCGAGCATGGGGTGGGGCTTTAGCTCTGGGGCCACTCGCATTTACGCTGGTCGGAATGTTGGGTATGCATCGTTTAGTAATTAATTTTCGACCATGTTTTCGACATTTAACTGCAAAAACGGTACCAGACTTCCTTCTGAATAGGTCCGATGTTGGAGCTTTTCATGTCGATGGACAGAAACTATGACAGAATGATGATGCGTGTCGAAGACGGACGAGATCTCTTTGATTTTATTATTGGCGAGTGCATAATGGAAATAAAGTTGTGTTACCTTTTAATCTGAGTGGAATATTTTCGAATTGAATTCTCACGTTTTCAGTAAAAATGTGAGATTTCGATGAGTTGGGTATAATACTAATGCTTGGGAATTTTAGTTGGGGGCGGATCTACGGGTTGCGTCCTGGCGTCAAAATTGTCAGAAAAGTATTCCGTCTTGCTGTTGGAGTACGGAGGCGCACCCACAATTCTTCAGCATATTCCAATCTATACTTTTTATCTGTATAATGAGCCCAGTATTGGTATGTAATCGTCCTGTAAATCGAATAAACAATCCCAGAATATGTATAATTTAATAAATACATGCAAATATAGATTGGGCACATTACACTGTGCCACAAAAACACGCTTCTCATGGTCTCATAGATAATGTGAGTCGGATAAAATCTATTAGATATTGCACATGTAATGTCTAATGATGGTTTTGAGCAGTATCATTTTGATCTATTCCAGTCGGTCCTGTTCCCTACTGGGAAATTGCTCGGAGGTTCTAGTCAACTAAATGCGATGATGTATATTCGTGGTGAGTTTAAGAGAAGAAAATGCATACATATGTGGTTGTATTGGTTAATATTTCGTGAAAATCAGGTAACAAATTTAAAATGTTTATAATTCGTCAATATGCATTTATTTTCCTGAGCACGGTTAAACTTGTTAACGGCAGAAACGAGATTTTGAGTTGATGGTCAGGGAATGAACTGCAACAAGCAAGAGGAGAATGCAACGCTGAATTCTTATCTAAGCGTCCTTTCTAGATGCAAAGCGTTGTTTATTTTTGTACCATTTTGTGTCTAGGAAATGTGCAAGGTTTTGATGAAATTGCGAACAAGACGGGCGACGGGAGATGGGCCACCAAAAATATTTTAAATTATTATCGTGACATGGAGGATTACAACGGATGGTTTCCCAGTTGTGAGTTGACTTTATGGATTTTTTTTGTAATCACATTATTTTACTAATTATTTTTTGCGCAAGATGATCATGGTCGAGGCGGTAAAATGAGTGTTGAACGCCCGAATTTAGCCAGGTTTACCAAATATTTGATGAAGGCTGGGGAAGAGCTTGGCATTAAAATAAGAGATCCCAACCCTTACGGTCCTTACGTGGATGGTAGGACTGCATTGATTTAATTTATGAACGAAAATAAATTTTAAATTAAATTAACGCATATTACAAATTATCCAGGCATTTCTATGATGGATTTGTACATGAAGAATGGGCGAAGGTCGGACGCTTATACAGAATTCTTGGCCCCAATAATGGGAGAAAGGGGGAGTCTAGTCGTGCGAAAGTATGCATTCGTACATCGAGTATTATTTGAAGAAGGTGCCAATGGTCACCTTAATATTGCTCGTGGCGTTGAATATGAACGGCACGGGAAAAAATTTAGAGCTTGGGCCAAGAAAGAAGTCATTTTGTCCGCTGGGAGTCTTAATAGTGCCAAGTTGCTCATGTTGTCAGGTTTGTAACGGCTTATAAATTTACCTTAAAAGTGATTTTAGTAATTTAGTAAACGATTGGATATGTAGGTGTTGGACCTTGGGGTCACTTGCAGAGTGTTGGGGTACGAAGAATATTTAGCACTCTTAAGCCGAATACCTACGATCTTATCAGTACCGGTCATCAAACTCTTTTCAAACTCTGTCTCATTTTGATTCTGCAGATTAAACCAAGAGTGGATTTGCCAGTTGGGCAGTACTTGCAGGATAAATATGGTTGTATTATTGGGCCATTTATTGTGGACAAAGGTGCAGCCATCCGGTATGACCGGGACATATCCGTTGGAAATATTATTGACTGGTGGGCTGGTGGAAGGTCAAATGATGGGGGAGCATTTCGTTCCTCCCTCGCCGAAGGAACGTGGGCCATAACAACAAAGTCTGCAGTGGAATCTGGGAGAACAACTGCTCCAAACATACACGCTTATATTCTGTCGATGGCAGTGTCCAAGGAACTGGAGTCCGGGGCGTCAAAGAGCTTTAACATAAAACCCGAAGTGGCAAGGTTTATGAGTATGACAAAGGGAAAGGACTCGTTTTTGCAGGTTTCAAAATGCATAAAATATAATTAATTATGTCTGTTAAATATTTAGTCAGTAAAAATATATATACTATGAATTTTATGTAGCTCGTCACACTCAACAAACCTCTCGGATATGGGAACATTCTGCTGCGAGATGCCAATCCTTACAGCCCCCTTCTCATCGATCCACGCTACCTTGAAGACCCCAGAGATTTCGAGGGCTTAGTTGAAGGGATTAAGTTTGCAGTGGAATTAGTGGAACGTACTCACGCTTTTTCTAAAGTGAGGGGACATCTCATGCGGAGACCAATCCCAGGCTGTCAAGAAATCAACTTTATGAGTGACGAGTATTTTCGGTGTTTGGCTAGACAGATCACAGTGACGGCGTATAAATATTCAGGTATTGATCACATTGTGTACAATGGATGGATTGAAAATTTGATGGGTTGTATGCATATTTGTGTAGGTACTGCTCCAATTGGGAGGCATCCTTCCGAGGACCCATGGGCGGTGGTCGACTCGCACTTAAGGTTCCGACCTGATAATATTTTTTTATGAAACTTGAGTAATTTTCTTTTACTAATGTTTCAGAGTATATGGAACTCGAGGATTAAGAGTCATTGATGGTTCTGTTCTACAACAAAAGCATGTTTCGATTAATGATGTGACTTGCAGGATGCTCGGACATGTGGCTGCGGACATTGTAAAACAAGACTGGTTCTGATTTACATGAAATTAATACATGTTAGCTCATTACATACTCAAGTACAATACAAAATATAGTGCTTCTTATAATTGTCAATTTGGGCTAATCTGTCTTTCAAAGTTCAAAGTACACATATAAATCGAAGTACTTTAGCCAAAAAATACAGCATTAACAAAACATTGTCCCAAGAATGTTCCTCTTTCAACATTAAATCTATGGAACAGACGGGTTGTTTCAATTCGAATTCTCACAAGCTTAATGTTGTTAAACAGATCGATTAAACCGTCGCATAAGTTATGAAAATGTATCCTGAAATATTATTTTTTATGTAGATTTGAGTTATGAAACTTGATATGTATATTTGTACATTTTTGGGAGGGTAGGGGGTTTGGGGGATTTAATAATATAAAATATCTCAACGAATTAGGAAAATTGTTCTACACCACTAGTCAATTAATTGTATAAATAAATTTCGAATAAATAAATATAACATGTTTGGAGGTGTAACAAAACTTGCAGATGAATTGTTGGGTTTAAATGGATCATCTCATTTGCATACACATTACATGAAATATGTTTGAACTGTCCAAGTATTGATTTATCCGTAACAATACATTTTTCATAATTCATTACGAAAATGTTGAAAAAAGCTAATTCAATAAATTAAAGGCTACGTTACATACATAGCTTGGATTTTCCATGCTCTGAAGTTTTTACTGATTTATTTATTCTTTACTGAATCGCTTTTGACTAATTTTTAAGATCAAAGTGTAGTATCTGCTCTTACATATTTTTAGCATTCTTTGACGTTCGAGATTCCAAAATATTTCCATATACTTGTATACAAATAGAGCCCCCAGTTTCCCCGTAGTGAAGATGTACTCGATCAGTTGCGATTAATTACAACATACTGCCATATAATTTAATGCAAAAACAAAAATTAATATTTAAATAATTAAATAGCGGCAAAACCTGCATTATTGACTACATATAAGTTATAGTGCAGTAATATTGTGTAGTAATGGCTGTTATTTTGAAGTGGTGGGGCATAGTGGTGGTAGTGATGTGGTTATTAATTGTCTTACACCCGGTCAAAATTCGTAAGCGGCAGAGCTATCTCAATTCCATCCTGTCGAGACTTGTATTTCTTTCAAGTAAAACGTGCAGTTGATGGACGGCTGTACACCTCAAATTAGTTTATTGCTCTCTGCCTGCACGTTGCTCGACCACGCTTCCCACTTACTTGCCTCGTCGTTTTTGAGTGAATCAGCAAGAATTGTGTGAAATTTGCCTACTAATTAATCCATCAGCTTATCTCCGGAGACTTATCTGAAGTAGGATATCATCAGCTACTCCACGGTGATGGTTAGTGTCATGGGTAAGATCAAATCATTAATCAATCAGTATCTTATCTTTAGTCATTCACTAAAAATAATTTAGCGTAACATAACTGGTCGTTCAAATTATTATTCAGACTGGTTTGTATATTTTTGCATATTTCCGAAAGCGGACATGGTTTAAAATCATACAACCATTGATTTTATATGTTCAAATTGATTTTTACATATCACGAGTTACTGTATCACAGCACAACACTATTTATAGTCGAATGATCATCTTTTTCATGTTTTTTATTGCGTTGGATTATACACTTTTCTTTGCAGTATATTGTGTCCTTTATCATTTTATGTAAATAGTGATTTGATATAGAATTATACTTATGTATGTAGTTCTCGCCCTGGCTGGCGACAAAGGATGAACGAAAACGAAACCAATGCAGATTTATATTCCTTGATTTTGCCCACTTCTCAGGTACTTATGCAAGTGGGTGGGTAGTCTTCATAACTGGGGTACCTGTTTTGCAACCACAGAGTACATCTATTGGCAGTGCTTTTGAATTCCAATTGTAAAAAAACGTTGAGAGGAGTCATTTTCCGACTGACTAATATAGGCAATTACATTACGTCATTATTTCAAGGTAGGGGATTGATTAAAATGACTCATACGACAGACATAAAGAGACATAAAGATGTTTGATGTCTCAAAATTTCAGTACACAAAATGCATACATTTCATTCATTGGATGGACGAAATATTTCCGATGACAGATGTATTCATGGAATATGTAAATACCATTTCCTGTCTAGCTCATCGTCAGTTACTAATTTCTTTCATTCGCCAAATATTTGGAACACCAAAATTTGATGAGCAAGTGGATGCATGACTATCATACAATGTGCATATAAATAAATAATACGTCTGGTATGTATTTACAAGGTAGTATCACTTCTCTGACTGAGCTGCCTGTATAGCCTCACACACCCCAATTTCTTTCTTTCTGCTCTCTTTCGGTTCTATTTTTGAGATATTTTGGGACTACGTACATACTGCTAGGCAGGAATTGATGATAGAGCAAAAAGTCCAAAGGTAATTTTAGTTCGAGTCGGAGTATGTAAATACATACGTAAATGCATATGTACGCATGCACATAAGTTAGCTTTGCTGCCTCTCATATCATCACCACCATCATCATGAATCTCTTCACCAATTTCCCGAAATATACCCGGCCCTCAATCTAAATCCAACTTCTCCCGACTCTATTCATTCGCATTATTCTAAAGTGCAGTGATATGAAATATTATACATACACGATGCCAAACGAGAAACTTGCTACCAGATTGAGGAGAATGCATCAATTTCGAACGTTTACATGCCAATAAACCATAATATTTTGCATGCAGTCCTAAATTTTAATTCTCACTGGTCCCATAGCCCAGCATTTGAGCTACTTTTACTTTACTAAAGGGTAAATTCCTGGTAAACCATTTTTACCTGTGGATGGAACCTTATTTCTACTAAATTGTTGGAGGGATTAATTCTATTGTTGAGCCAGTTTAACCACCATTTTTCAGCATGCCTTAATATTCTAACTATTTCTCCACGCCTTTTCCACCCATCATATCACTTATAATACCACTGGCTACAGTGGACGATTCCTTAACCAACTATTTGATAGCAGCTGCACACACATTGTAACGAATAGCGTGGCATAAATGGAAGGGAAATAACCGAAGCCAAGGGCACAAAATGAATAGTTCTTTGTTAGAGTTGTTGGAGGGGTTCGAATGAAGCATCGCCACCACCACGACGACCACCACCACCACCATGAACCATGATGAGAATTGTGGAGGATGTTATGAGCTCACCGAATATGTACAAGTAGTGCTGGCACTACTCCTGCCTCATGCTATTTGCTTTACTTTTAGTAGGAAATTGTTCAAGCCAAAAAATAGTTGGCTCTCTCTCTCTCGCACCAACCACTCTTCGCATCTTGCTCTCACTCGCTCACCAAAACTCTCCAGCCAGCTATATTATACAAATCCGAAGCAGACTCAAACCTTTTTATAACTGGTAGAGTTTGAGTTGGTTTTGGTTTGGTAGTGTTGTCTCACTTTTGGGAGTATTCGCAACTTTTGTTATTTCAAAAGCCGATGATGATAACGGATGCAGGTTTGGTACATGAATTGAAATGAGATAATGTTAACGGATGAGATGAGACTTATTGAGAGAGGAATGATTTAGTGTACGGGGGACGATTGGGGATATGATTTTGAGAAATATGGGTGCTGGGTGGGGTCAGGTTTACGGCGGAAAATTGGTGGCGTGGCGAAATTTTGGAATTAGTACGACTAAATTGATGGTGACTCCGCGGACGGACGGAGTGGAAGGCTGTGTGGAGCTATAACAGCGAGCGTAGAAACTTACTTACCCTGTGCTTACTCTATTCTTCTACTATTCTATCTATTGCAATATGAGACGGAATATTAATAGTCAATACCCACTCGGTCGGGTCGGGAATATTGGAGAGCTACAAAAATACAGCCATTTCTCCGCTCCTTACTTATTATTACACTTATTCTACTTATTCGCTCCATTATAATTACTTTTTATCCACGCCACACCACGCTCTCTTCGGCAGGAATCACTCTATCATGCAATTTAGCCAGTATTACTTTTATAACCTCACAACAGCTATTAACAAACAACACACTCAAGTATTATTTTTTAAACGTATCCCGAACTGCATTTTTTAGTTAGAGTAGCAACAAATTTTTAGTTGGAAGACGAGACGAATTGAGGATGAGTGGAGGGGAAACAAAGCAAATAATAAGTTAAATAAATAAGTAACGGTGAAATTAAGTGAATCTTCCATAATCGTGTCTAAACGAAAGGTCATCTTAGAGTGGTATATATATGCATCGTATTAAATAAGAGACCCATTACTATACAGTTCTTCCAAATACAAATGACAAGTTTGAGATTATTAAAACAAGACAACGATCTATAATTAATTAAGTTGAATATCCTGCTAGGTTGTGAAATTTTATAATAATTTATTTACAATTTCCCAAATCTGCCTAATAAAAGACATGGGGACTGCGTCGGAGGAAGGAAGCTCGGACATGGTGTCACGAAAGGAGTTTGAAGAAATTTCAGACAGATATCGCAAATTGGAGGAAATAGTTTTCGAGCAGAATGAACATTTGCAGAGTGTGGCGACAGAAATCTTAGTCCATCGGGACTTTCTCCAGAAAAAATTCGGTAAGTATATTAGAGCGTTTTTTTCCTGAGATCAGAGGATTATAAGTATCTCAATGAGAATTTCAGAGATTGTGCCACTTGACACGAAATAGTATTGCAAATTACTGCATATTAATGCATGTGAGAAATCAACAAACAAAGGAAAGTCGATTAAAATGTTGTGCGTATTAAATTTCCAGATAAGTTTTTGGAATACATCCAGGAGCGTGGTGGAGATGTAAGCCACACAGAAAATGGAGAGCCTGGTTTGTTCATCCCATTCAATTTGGGGGTCACTGGCTCCGAGGATGAAGAGGTATCAAATTATAATCACTTCTTGCATGTTCGTGTTTGTTTAGAACCGAGTGAAGCTGATATTTTTTGTGTTATTTACATATTTTATGCACTTCATAAATTACTGCGCTGTTATCATAGTTTGTGTTGATTAAAGTACAAAAGATGACTCAGAAAAAGGCTCCAAGTAATGTGTAGAAAAATTGTCTTTATCTTTAGCGAGGGATTTATTAATTCACATTGATTACGGGTGTGACCAAATGCTATTAAGAAAAATTTGGCAAAATTTTAGTCAGTAAATTACAATAAAACGGCTTTAGGGCAAGGTGCAGATTATACTGAAATTATGGCTTAAATATTTATGCTAATATGCGTTTTTAATCGATTATGTTTCAAAACATAATGTGAACACTTATCTTAAATCGGTCACTCATTATTCATCAACTAGTAACAAAATTAAGAATAAGTCTTAAAACTTTGGCAAACTATGTTTCTTATAGTCGGATACAATTTTAAAACGCTAAATTCATTGATAAGTGGCATAAAAGTACAATAAGATAGCATTCAAATTATTATTATTTTCAGGACGAGAAAGGACAGGAAGAAGAAAGTGAAATAATCCAACCACAAGTTCTCATTACCAGCAACGGTACTACTACATCATCCTCAACTTCAAACAACTTGAATGGTGGGGCTGCCTCCAATAGTTCTAGCAATACAGTTACACCAAAAACTAACGGAGTTACAAATGGGCACGGAGGAGCATCACAGGTTCAACATAATAAAGGTACAGGTGAAATTATTTCCCTAAATCTAGAAAAAGTGGATAATAATTAGAAAGCTTTCGAAAATATAATTTTCATTCTGATTTATTGCATAATATTGCGGGATTTTCTAGATTTATTTTAAAAAAATTATGTTTGTGTAGGTTTGCCAAAACGAGAACAACATGCTGCACATCATGACGACGGCGACTCTGACACTGACGCTGTGCATGCAAATGGAACCAGTAATGGGTACCATGCAGAAGCTAATGGCAATGGTTACGGTCAAGGAAGTGAGGGAGGCGATTACCAGGATGAGGAGGACGAAGAAGAGGACGAAGGACAATACAACAACTATCAGTGTATGTCAATTATTTTATGGATTTAGTACATACACGTCAACTCCTTGGAAGTGGCAGGATGTGCACACATTCACTTCAGATTTATATTACACGCTGAAATATAAAGTTAATCTTTTCCTACGCCATCAAGTTATGATAAACAATCAATATACTTTAAAGTCATTGAATTTTAAAAATAGATGTATTCGAGGCACACCGCAGTTTCTTAAATAAGCTGTATTATTTCAATGTATTTGTCAACCTTTTATCTTAAGTCCAATCGGATTAAGTAATGTATTGAATATGTTGATTTTATTTTATTTCCTTCACTTATAGATGGTTATCAGCAAAATTACGGATATCCTCTCGCCCAGTTTGGACACTTTATGGACGGAGACGGAGAAGGGGAAGGCGATGGCCAAAATGATCACGATATGAACGGTGATCATGACCCACTCGAAACCGAATATAATGGTCAACAACAACTGCCGATGTCCAGCTGTAAGTTGAAAATTAAAAATAAAAACATCTTCAGCACACTTTTCAGTCAATCTATTAGATAGTCAAGTATTATAATCCAGATTGTGTGTAGTCATTACAGTTTACTTTTACTTATCTACTGATGCATCTCAATTAAATTTTTGCTCTTTGTTTAAAATTTAAAAAATCAGAATGCAGAATGAATGAAGAATATTGAACGATATACGATAACGAGTATCTAATTGTTCTGTGTAGTAACTGGTGGGCCGAGACGTAGAACATCATCTGCTACCCCTGTCGACAACCAACATGTTTGCAGATATTGTGGAAAAGTATTTCATTGGAAACAATCTTGGGTCATCCATGAAAGGTGATTTATACCGAAGTTATGGCTTAAGTATTTATGCTAATGTACGTTTTCACTTAAAGGACCCACACTGGGGAAAAGCCTTATTCTTGCGCCTGCGGAAAGGGTAAATTGACCTATAAACTTATTTATATGGATACTTTCGTCATACTTAATTAACAAATTATTTTTGTGTTTTTATAGCGTTTTCACAGAAGGTATGTGTTCTATTCATAATTTCCTAAAAAATTCATATTGCATAAAGGAATATCTGACCTTTGATATGACCAATGTATAGGCGAATATGAACACGCATTCGAAGCAATGTCCACAAGCAAAAGCGGTATATAATGGAAAGACGAATATTTTTGAGATGAAGTGCTCTCTCTGTCCGACAATGTTTACTTCAAAGAAAGCCCTCGATTCGCATAAATTGAAAGCACATCCTGGACTTTCAAGCACACAAAGCAATAACACAACAGTCATCAATCTTAGTAATGGCAACAATGGTCTTAATACTCTGGCTGCTCTTGGTCGTGGGGCTCCATCCATCCTCCGATCCCGAACAAGCTTCCAAAATAATAATACTCAACCGCAAGAAATTACAACGGCAGCAGGAGATAGCCCTCCCCAGTCTCTGATGGCCAAGACGCTGGCTCGATATATTGCAAGCCAACAGCAAATGGAACAAGTTCGAGTTGGAGGCAGTAGTGCCGGAAGTGGGAGTGACGAAGGTGACGGTGAAGGCTACGATCAAGACGAAGATGGCGAGGAAGGTACGAAATCTATAATGTAAAAATAAAATGAAACAATCCACATTTATATTTATGTACATTATTAAGCAATAAGTAGCGTCAGCTACTTATTGTGATCGTTTTATCCGTCTGTCCGTAAGCAGGATATCTCCACAACGAGTCAACATAATCAAACCCCTGTTTCGCCATTATGCTTCTAATTTTTAGTTCTCGGTAAATTTCGAAAATGGGGTCAATCGGACCACACCCCACAGAGCCAGGGGGTGTGGTCCAAATTAAATTTAACTTTAATTTTCATATGGGGTGTCATTTTAAAGGAAATTTGACTTCGATTTCCATGAGGCTAATATTTTTGACCTCATGACCATGAGGATAAGGTCAAAAGATACATAATTGTCATATTGGGTGTCATTTTAAAGGAAATTTGACCGCGATTTCAATGACGTTAATATTTTTGACCTCATGACCGTGAGGATAAGGTCAAAAGATACATAATTGTCAGATATGGTGTCATTTTAAAAGAAATTTCGATCGTTCTGACGCTATTTTTTTTATATTGTAAGGGTTTATTTATTTATCATCACAGGAATGGAAGTCCCAGAAGGAGGATTTCCTCCAGGAAAAGCAAAGCATTGCCGATGGTGTAACAAGTTTTTCAGCAGAAAAACTTCATTAAAGTAAGTTTCCTATTTTCCAAGCTGTCGACTTGGTTAGCTTCAATGATGAATTGGCAGATCTAAATATATATTTTTTTATTTATGTTGACGATCGCAGAATCCATGAAAGGTGAGTTATACCGAAGTTATGGCTTAAGTATTTATGCTAATGTACGTTTTTAATCGACTTTATTTCACTTATAGGGTTCATACTGGTGAAAAGCCTGTACGTAATCAACAACAATAGCCAAAAATTTAAGTAATTTTATAATAAGTTTAGTCATGTTGTTCTTATTATGCTCTTTATTAACGTTTTCAGTATGCCTGTGGATTCTGCGGAAAGACCTTTACCCAAAAAGGAAGTGTCAAGTTGCATTGCCAGCGAGTTCATAATTCCGGCCCTCTTACCTACCCAGCAAATTAATTTTTCTTAAAATAATCAGTTGAATGATAACAAAAACCAATAATTTATTTAAAGGGTTGTTAACATTATGCAAATCTACCAACTACCAACTCTTGTAACCAATGATCTGATTTTTCCGATTATTAGAAAGATTTTACAGCTAAAAAATAGGTCTTTTGTAAATAGATATGTTAGTGTGAGTAATGATGACGGACATCGTGTTTTTTAGATATTGTTTTGGGAGATGGATCATGGTCACAACCTTGTATTGTTCTGTTGAAAAACTGTTATCGATTTTGTAATTTTATTTCTACTTATTCATGCCTTTTAATACCGAAACTTTTGATTTGTCTTCAGTGTATGTTCAACGTCGTCGCGTGTACATGTTATGTACATACTTCAATCAAGTAAGTGTCCAGTCCATCTCCCACGATGCAACAAAAGAGACTAATAACATAGTTGTAGCCTAGTGTTAAGGAATTCAACAAACAAAAAATGCAACTAATTAACTACCGGCAACATGTTTTTTGTATGTATAAGATAAAAGATGAGGATTACCTATTACTATGATGGAGTGAGGGAACGGGGAGCGAAGGAAACCTTAAAAACGTATAGAAACCGAACCTACTTAACATGCTACTATGCAGCTAAATGGACTAAAGTTATCACAAAATGAGATACGGATGCAAATAATTGCAGGCAACATTATTCAATAATGGCAACTAATAAGATTGCAGGCAGTTGTGTCAAGTTATAGCGTATGTAGTAGTGTAGTTGTTGTCTCTTATATAAATAAGTTACCAAATCGAAATATGCATTTGTGTTTGTTAAAAACTCTCACGCCATATAAAGTAATGTAAAACTGCAAAAACTACTCACCAACAAGACTAATGTTTTACTTGTCTAATAATAATTGTTTTACGTATGTAGGTATTATTTTGTATGATAAATATTAGTGTGATGTTGTCTGCCATTTTGTAAGTGATTTTGTTTTCTCACAACACATTTGTTAATTAAAAGTATAACAAACATGCCCCTTAATTCTTTTTGTATTGTTTTCTGTATGTCTTTGATGATTATTATTATCTTAATTGCTGTATTATTTGTGACAATGTAACGAATCTCTCTTATTTATTGCTACTTATGTGAATTGATTTGTGAAGTAGAAAAGTATTAACCCTTCTGCAGACATACTTACATACATACGAATATAATGATGATGGTTAAATTACTGTACAAAATACCCTGATCAATAATAACCAATGCATTTAAGTAATTTTACGGTTTTATTATTATTATATTGCATTATTAACAATATGTTCTTTACTAACTTTTTTTATTTCATAATTATGCAATAATTATGTATTACTTAAATTGTGTATGTCTTGTGTGTGTTATCCTGTTATAAATACATACGTCCACTTCTTTTATGTGTATTATCTATTAGATTGCTTGTTATTAGCTTAGTCAAGATAACACTTTTTCAGCAAAGGAAAAATAAACATACATATAAAACTAGATAACCAAGTAAATCATATTGTCGTTACACGCCAATTACTATTTAATTTACCCCCAGAATTTTGCAAGTATTTGCTCTAGGATTGGATTACCACCCAACACTTTAATTTCTTGTGCAATTTCCTCCTTCAGCTGGACTAATCTTTCCTTTGTGTACTGGATTGCTCCGCTTTCTTTTAAAATTTCAAAGGCTTCCTCTTTAAGGGCGTTACTGGTTGTCTTCATATGCAAAATGGTAACCAGCCGGAGTCGTTTTTCGAAGGAGAAAGTTCGATTATTGAGAGCATAGACGACAGGGAAAGACAACTTCCCCTCGGAAATATCTTCACAAAACCCCTTTGTTTCCTTGTACTGCAAATTAGAGAGTAAATATCATCCCACTTATTTGAGATTTCAACCCGTTTTTACGAATTCTGGTCAATAAACTCACCTCGGAAGAGGTAAGGTTCATCAAGTCATCTCGAACTTGAAAGCACAAACCCATCAGTTTTGTAAGTTTGGTGACGTTCACACTTTTCTTCCCACTTCGTTCTCTTAATAAATCCACGAGTAAAACGAACAACCCGGATGTTTCTATTCCAAAAATAGTAGAAATATTCATTTTTGACATTTCATAATGAACGAATAGGTTTACATATATCACAAGTTTAAATTTCCAAGCATACTTTTAACAATGACATCTTGATACTCCTTTTCCGTCGGGAGGGACGAGGTTGTTGCGCAGGTTGTTGGATTGTTGGCGTCACCCTTGGCACACTCATTGCCATTGTTGTTTTCCTTGGTAGGCAGTTTATACTGGTGCCCGTCTCGCCAGTATAATTCCATCCCTTGGCCATGATGCAAGGCAATCATTTGATTCGCATATATTTTTGCTGCCTAGTAAAATTCAGTTTGTTGTGGTTATGTTATGAAGTATAGGGAATACTACATATATTTATTTATATACCTCAATAGTCCCAAATTCCAGCACTGTTTTCAGTACGTCGAAATATCTGAGTTGTAAGTAGTTCATTTGTTATTTTCTTATGAATCAGTTCAGACAATGTTCAGACAATAGTAAAATTTACTAAAAAATACTGGTAGCATAAATTATGTAAACTCACGCGTAATTCGCCGCATTGATTGACATGGGAGTCTAAATAAAATAATTTTGCACAATTTACCGCAACGCATATCTAACTTCATAAATGGGAAACAATTGCTGCATAAAATTATAAACATACGCCATACACGAGGTGCGCCGTTGGAAGGGTTCGTCGCAATTCGCTGTTATCTTCAATATCATCAATTCTGTAAATGATTATGCAATAGCGTAAAATACAACTTGTGAAAAATGTGCATAAAATATAGGGAAAACACTTGCTACTGTCAGAATGATTTTTTAAGAGAAAATACCATAGGAAAGTGAACAGGTACATATGTATCTGATTTTCCCAAGCTCTACTCCCCAAGCGAACTAGATATTTAGATACTTGAGTGTCTTTTGGTTTTTCAATATGTTGCGTTAAAATTAAAATTAATTAATAAATAGGTAAATGACAATTATCTCTGTATCTAGTTCCCTCAAACTTTGCATATGTGCCCAAGTAAATGTTCAGCTTCAAAGATATGTGCATATATGTACTACCAATTTCAGAATCTCGACAACTCATTTAAGAATGTAAACTTACACCAGTGAAGCATTATGCAGTTTGTCCACAACTTCAAGAACTTTATCCAGTGTTTCCCCTTTTACACCGAACCAATAATTAATCCCGATACCCAACTGCCTTCGAAAGTTCTTTCCCTTCATGGAGGCCACGTAGGTGAAGGGTTCGAGAAGCTTGTCCCTCTCCAAGTTCTCCAAGTTCTCGGATTTCTCGGCAACGGAACACTTTGCCATGTCCACCGCGACGCCATTGTTGGATCCTCCGGGAGGAAGCCCGCTCACACTCGGTGCCACGTTAGCAGACATGTTTTGCTGTGAACAAAGCTATTATTGCACGAAATGGACAACACCTTCAACAATACTGAGGAGAGTTCCGACTATCATACGATGTTTTATAATCACACCACAAATGTATCGTTTGGACGTACAATTGTATTGCGAAACTCGTCCTTTCCACCGGACTAGGAGATATCTCACACTGATGAAGAAATTGTCTCAGCTAATATCTATGTATGAAAATCTATTTTATATGTTGTTACACCAAAACTGCTAAACCATTACTTAGTTGATGGATCAGAAGGAAGTTGTATTGTGCTGAAATAAATTTTTATGTTGAACATCTTTTTTTAAGGCTACTGTGCAAATTTAGAGTGTTACATAAATCAAGCCATCAACCTGCCCGATGGTCAAGAACATTCTTCAGGATGAGTTGACTGGAGAACCTACATATTTACATATATAGTAAATATGCGTCAGTTCATGTTTGTTCAACAGATAAATAACATACGTCATTAATTTTGACGTTAAAAGTATTGCTCAATATTCTAGAGAAATGGTTCTCAAGACATCCATAACGGTTGGACGATGTAGTCCGTCCGTCGCTAATTAAGTCTTCGCAGTGAATGAGTATTTGACACAAGGTTAGAAAGAAACGTGGGAAAATAAAAACATTTATCTACCTATGTATCGCTTTGTGATTGAAATTGAAATCAGTTGTGGGACATTTCTGAAATATTCTTCAGAGATAAGTTGAACCTGTCATAAATCCCGAGTGGCACACAGTAGGAGGAAATGCGAATCAAGTATTTATGGATGCTAAACAGTGATTTGATTTGCTCAGTAGTCAATATACTTACATTTGCATAAATTATGCACATTTTAAAAATAGTTAAATGCAAGGATAACTTATTTCCAATCCTTTTATTTCCTGCGAAAAACTGGAATGATGAAATATCTAGAAGAAATTCAAGCTATCAATAGATTATGTAATGCATTAAATGTGCATACAGGACTCCAAGTGTAAATCACGCTTCCTCATAGATTTCACACAAGATAGAAAAAAATGATCTGGTTTAAATTTTCACATGGGGTGTTCTTGAACATATACAAATGTCAAGCAAGAATGGGAAGTATAATGTATATTCAAAAGTAGTCGGTTCTATCAGTTGATTTAATATATTAACATGTACATAAATAATATATATCTGCACGTCTTCCATGATTTCGCCGAAAAGCGTTTATATGTACAAGGTTATATGTGATGAAGAACGAGGAAGTTTGGATAAACCCTATTTTATATAATTATTTATTTTTTAAACGTGGCGTTATTGCAAAATTTACCATGCAAAATGTTACAGCTCATCAAATGGATGGATGGACTGCAAAGAAAGGTAAAATGTGAATAATTCGTATAAGCATTGTTGGTTACTAAAAATATATACCAACTAACGGAGGCTCCATAAAATTTGAAGTGCTCCATATTATGTGCATACATATCTAATAAAGTAAATTTCAGGAATAAAAAGAAGCAATTCACTTCCTCAACCTCTCCAGCTTCACGTCACATAACTTCGTTACATAACATTGCTGCATATTTTTAATGTTAAATATGCATGTATTTATGTAGGAACTCCTGTGGGCTTCTGAAATACATGTAGAAACTTAAAGAATAATTCTCGGGAGACATGATTGTAGAAAGAAAATTTGTTTATTTTCCAAGCTTTCGACACTTTACTATATATATCAAGTAGTTAACATAACGTAAATAAATAGTAGATCACCTGACGGATAACCATCCTTATCCAATCTAGTAAATATGTATGTACTTACAGATCAGTTGTTGTAGTTGTGTTAATAGTAACACAAAGAGCTCAAAAGTAATCAGCTCAGTTCTGATGTATACATAAAGTATAATGCTTGCCTTCATAATGTAGATATTTGTACGCATTATTGATTGCCAATTTATGCATTATTGTGTGACCAATGTCCATAGGTTGAAAAAATGTCATCAACTTCCAGATATCAGATTGTACACCATCCAATCAACAACATAATTGTTTTTATCAAACTTTACTATTCTTCCATGTATCTATGTAACTAATCCTATATAAGTATAGGAGGACACATATTGGGCAGATCGCACGTGTTATGATACTCCTTCAAACCAAATGAATTGGTTTTGGTTACATTCCCAACTCTTGAATGATGGATGATAAGCAACGAGGGTCCGAACCCAAGTTATTTTTGTTGAGTGTTGGACATTGGACAATTACACATAGCATGAACATAAGGCCATTTACATAGTTGACATATTTATAAAATACACTCACTGCACAGATAAGTAATCATAAGTCTTCGCCATAGTCGTCGTAGGTTATGGTTTCAGTCCTCTGCGTAGCTTGCAGGAAACAACATATTAAAGGTCGTCATCATGATAAAAGCCATCAGCGCCGGAGCGGCCGTCGTGGGTTTTGTAATTCTCATCGTGGCCGTCGTCGTGGGGTGGGTGGTTGCACCCAACTTGATTGAAAATATGGTTGAAAAGGTATAACCTAAGAAAAAAATATGCTTGGACATTTTAGCCTTTGCTTCATAATTAATTTGCTTAAATAGGAGACGCAACTCCAAAACGGGACAGATATTTATGAAAAGTGGGTCAACATTCCAGTACCAATTTATCTCAAGTTTTACTTATGGAACGTAACAAACTATGAGGATTATCAAAATAATAAGGACTGGAGTGCTAAGCCAAATATTTCCGAAATTGGGCCCTACATTTACAAGTAAACTGTTAATTTAGTAATACATATGTATGAAATTGCTGTCCATTACGGATTTTGTGCTCTTTTAATAACAATAGAGAGAATAGGACGAAATACGAAATAAGATCCAACCCCGACGATGATACGGTGACCTATCGACAAAAGATTACTTATACTTTCGTCCCAGAAATGTCCGTTGGTCCAGACACTGATGTAGTAAATATCATAAATGTTCCTTTATTTGTAAGTTTTTCTATTCCTTGTCAAAATTCTAAACGTGAGAAAATCCTACACATTTACATAAGTTAATGGTTATCGTGTTCCAGTCAGTTGCTGCCGTTTTAGCCACCAAGAATCTTATAATTACCCCACTCGTGCTCCAATTACTTTTGGGACCTCTTTCAAGGGAAAGACTGGTTAAAATGGATGTTCCCGTCAGAGATGTCATTTTTGGCTGGAGACTCAACTTAATTTACGACATAATTGCGTCTGTCGGCACCGAGTTGGGGATGCACTTCCCTCCAGGTGAGTAGAGACAAGTTGTGAGAGACAAGTTGTGAGAGAATGTTGAAGACTCAAGGAAAAGATAAAGCCAAGACGTTAACTTCTATGGTGGCGTCTATGCTCCAGTTTTGTGCATTTGTGTTGAGTATGATTTTTGTATCTTAACAGAGATGCAGGACGGAAAATTCGGCTTTTACCTGAATGTAACAATACTTTGCTAATACGTCTAAACATTAATTTTCTAAATATATACGTGTGCAGCGAAACAACACAAATGCTGACGGTTTGTGGGAGGTTTACTCTGGTGTTCGAGATTCATCAAAGTTTTCCATTATTAAAACTATCGAAGGGGAGTCTCGATTAGATGATTGGTGGGATGACGAATGCGCCATGATAAATGGTATGGAATAACTACACATATTACGTAATAGCGCACATTATATCGTACATTATACTTTTATACACATTATACTTTTCTAAGGCACTGATGGAACCATGTTTCCCCCATTTGTGGAAAAGGACACCACACTTTTCGCATACATTCCAGAAATTTGTAGATCAGTGTGGTATGTATCTACATATTCGACGTGCGTGAAGTGCGTATATACATATTTCTTTGTTTAAATAATGTGTTGCACATAGGTTAAGATACACGGAAAAGACGGAATATGAAGGGATCCCCGGCTACCGGTTTCGCATTCCGAACGAACTCTTTACCTCTCCCCACATTCACCCCCCTAATTGGTGCTTCTGCATGCCCGTGAAGCCACCTTTGAATCAAGATTGCGATTTTACTGGTGGTGGACGAATATTTAGCTGCAAGAGTGGTGAGGAAATTACTGATTAAAATTGAAGTGTCCCCTATATCTCTGACACTTATTTTTAGACGCTACATTATTTTATTAGGAAATTATGAAATTTTTATTTTTTTTAAGACGTTAGACCTTTATTGAAACCGGTTATAATAAGCGTCACTGAAATTATACCTAAATCTAAATCCATGAAATCGATATTATAAATTAAAAGTATCTAAAACTCGTCTCTTTCTTTCATAATTTTTAGATGCACCAATTATAATTTCTAAGCCCCATTTTCTTGATGCACAAGAGGATATATACACTCAGATGGATGGTCTCAAACCGGAGAAAGCAAAACATGACACATTCATCGACGTGGAGCCGGTATAATTGTCAAGCTATACCTGATGCAATAATGCTTTCGCTAAAGGTACATGTTTAAATGTAATCATCCAAAGATCACGGGATTTCCTCTACGTGCACAGAAAAGGTTGCAAATTGGAGTGGAATTGCAGACTCTCTCGACTTTTGGAGCTCCATGGAACACAATTAATCATGTCTTCTTTCCAGCAATCTGGGCGGACGAAGTGAGTTTGCTTTTAAAAGTATTAAAATTTTCGCTATTTGTTTCATAACATTTTCTTGGGAATAATTACAGGAAGCTGCTCTGGATGACAAATTGGTGGATGAGATCAAAACTAAGCTTATTAAACCTTTGAGACTGGTAACCATTGGAAAATGGAGTGCGGTGGGTGTGGGAATTTTTGTGACAGTAGTTGGATCCACATATTTCTCATATTTGATGTGGTTTAAAAAATAGACAAATATATAAACGAATGTATTGTAAAAAAGAGAAAGTACAGATTATATTACGTAATCGATTTTGCAATGAACATACATATTTACATACTTCCGTATCAATAACAAAGAGAATTAAGATCAAATAAAGACATATTTATGCACGTATTTATAAGAGTACTTTCTTTGACGATGAATAACTAATGTTCAATAAGTAATTCCTTTGAATATTATATTTTTAGACAAGTGTAGTTCAGGCAATCAATAGGTAAATATTTACATGAGTACATACATAGGTAAATAGGAGGTTCATATTCTCCGCAGTGGTGAAAGCATCGTCGCAATACTCCACACTACAAATTCCGTACACTCGCACCCAGAAAAACAAGATTCCATACAAAAATGATTTCTTTAGAGGAAATCCCTCCCGTAAATAAGACAGAGTTTGAACTAGCCCTCATGTCTTCCATTAAATGGCCTTTGACCATGAGCCAAGTTCTGGGATACTTTCCCTTCGCTGTACGTAACCGTTTACCCGATGAGAATAATCAGCCAAAACCATTGCTAACACTTTGTTGGGCTTGGTGCGTCCCTCCAGTATTGTTCCTCACAATTGGAACATATAGTTTTGTTGCTTTCTTCATGAACACGACCGAAATACGAAAGTGGTCGACAGCATACAGCGACAAAGCGAGGTAAGTAATACATAAGTACATATTGTAACCATAATAATGGAAAGCTGGAATTTTAAATGCATTTTTTTAGTGACACGTATTTCCTGGTCTACACCTTGTCTGTAGTATTAGTGTGTGTTGGCTGTGGGGCGACCCGTTTACACCTGATTGTCCTACATCAAAAATTTCTTGACTTTCACTCAAATTTTGTGAACTATCTTTATTCTCTTTTATGCTCTTTGGGAGCTCCAACATCATTTCTAGCACTTGACATCATGTTTCGCTCACTGAGAAGAAAGTGGATTCCGCGATGCCTTCTTTACATGGGAGTTTCTTTACTTTTCCTGATTATGTTATTTTATTCGATGTCACTTTTCGATGGTCACATCGTGCCGAGAACGGTCGACGTAGTGGGCGGAATTCTTTTCTCGGTTTCTCGGTTTCTGGAACAAATTCCTCTGGGAGAAATCTCTGGTGTGTCGGAAGATGGAAATAATGAGGAGGAAAAAAATTGTTGCCATTTTCTACTGAACCAACAAGACGGACCGACAAGTCGTAACAAAATGTACACTCTAATCCACTGTTTTTCTAAATTGGAAGAACAGGTAGATTGAAACTGACATGTGCCTCCTAAAATAATAGATATGCATTTATTAAACTGTGCTATAACAAATTTTCAGGTTGAAAATTTCAATGCTCTATTTGGATGGCGATTAGTCGCAGAAATGTGGATGTTTTTATGCTTGATCATTTTCAGCATTTACTTTTTCGCAACTTCACTCGATTTTGCGGAAGACCTTACCTTTGCAAATATGTTTCTTACATTTTATACGTTCGTCCCACTAGCTGTCATCGGTCACTCAATATTACTTATCTGCCAGGCATCCACAGCACTGACCAAAGGCAGCATGGAATTTGCTAAACGATTAGATCATACCATCACTACGGAATGCATGGGGACCGTGTATGTGGATCAAAAGTACAATGGTGACGACAATCAAGCCTTCATAATTGCTGTAAAAATATACAAAACTTAAAATTTGAAGAATCCGAAGAATGAATATGGCAAAAATTAATTTTAATTTTAATTTTATTTATTTAGTTACAAACTACGATGAGTCGATTGTCGACACGACCAGTGCAAATTTCTTGCAATTTCTTTGTGATGAACTCAGCTCTTCTTACGTCGGCAAGAATTCCAAATTTTATTGTCATAATACGAAATACTATGACTTACGTATAAGCATATGTGCATAATAATGAATGCTTCTCTTATTTCTCTTTAGATCTTGGGAACTTGCACCATGTATTTAATGATTTTGGTCCAGTTTCAAATCAGTGACAACGATAGCCTGCACAGGATGAAAATATTAAAGAATTTCACTAGTTTTTAGAAAAAATTTGTGCGGGTATTACATGTATTTTAATGCATATTTACATGCAAATTTAATTATATGTGCCGTGAATCTATATTAAATTGTAGCGAGGAGCATTGTAGTGCTGATATTGTTAGTATTATTTTTAGCAAAGTAAATATATGTAATGCGTGGTTGTCTTATCGGAAGTAGTAATTCGATTTCCTAATCAATTAGTAGAGAATGGATATATATTTGATTGAAGTACAAATATTGACACAATTGATTTTTTGTCTTTTCTCTAGCATTAGAAACTCATATCTAATTTCACTCGAAATCATCATTCCGCAATTATTAATAGTAAAGGACCGAATATAATTGAATATATTAAATATTATTATCGATATATGTAAAACTTCCTAACGTCGGAACGTGCAAAAATTTACTACCTCATCATGGAAGACATAATCTCAATTTCCTTAGCACAGTGTGAACAGAACCTTATAAATTCAGTGTGGATGTCCCTGAAACTATGTCAATTTCTGGGCTACTTTCCCTTCTCGATGGAACCCTCTAAAATGCGACCCAAAGGAGTGCTGACATTTTCCTGGATCTGGTGCGTTCCTCTGTTCGCTTTTATCGCAATGGGCGTCTACGTCGTTATCACTTTCTCCATGTTTACGAGTGACATACAAAAGTGGTTGTCCAATTTTAGTGACAAGGCCAGGTAAATCAAGTTTTAAATGACTAATTAAAGATTTACATAGGGTTTCAAACTGTTAATTATACATCCCTTTCTTGAATTTATGTAGGGGTACCTATTTCTTGGTGTACGCCTTTTGGGTGATGTTCAGTTGCATGGGATGTGGATCAATCCGGCTTCTCATCCTCTTTCAGCGTAAAGACTTTCTCCGCTTTCACTCCAAATTTGTCAACAACTTGCATTTTTTGTTGCAATCAATTGGAGCACCAGCAATATCAAGCTACCGAGACATGCTTCAATCCTTCAAACGGAAGAGAAACTTTCGACTGTTCTGCTATGTCGTAAATGCATTCGTATTCATTGGAACTTTGTTAATTGCAATTATCCACTTCGGAGGCACTTCCTGGGCGACAAGCGTAGATGTCGCCGTCAGTATCCAATTCATGTCGCACTTTTTTTCTCGAATCCTCCTCGATTACTTTCTCCATGTATCGGTATGGAGCATGACCCTCCTTTTGGACAATCTGCCAGCAATCAGTCAAAATTCTAAACCAAGCTTGGAGAATAATTCAGTTGAAGACAGTATAACAAAAGTCAAATTCCAGAATGACCTGCAGCAAAATATGGTAGACAAGAAACCAAATTCGACCACACTGTACACCTTGCTACACTGTTTAAAAAACTTGGAAGAACACGTATGTAACTCTTCACATAACGAAATTTAAACTTTGTGTAATTTAATATTGTATAAAATTCTATTAGGTTGAAGAATTCAATTCCCTGTTTGAATGGAGAATGGCAGCGGAAATGATTACTTTGCTGTGTTTCATTGTTTTTGATTTTTACTTTCTTGCAATTTCAATCACTTTTGTGGACACCATATCGTTTGCATATTCTCTCGTTATGATATATACCATTGTTCCAGTTGTCCTCACTTGGCACGTGGTATTTGACATTTGTCAGACATCTACAGCTTTGACCAAGGGAAGCATTGAGTTTGCACGGAGATTAAACCTGATTATTACCGATGCGTGTAAGGATAATCCCCCAAATGAAAATATGCACATTTTAATAGCTGTAAGCATTAGATAACCATCAATTGTTTAAAAATGGTTTATTGAACTAAAACACTTTTTGTCTCACAGTTGCAAAGCATCGTCAGTCGCATTTCTGGAAATCCGCTACAAGTTTGTTGCAATTTCTTCGTGGTGAATTCTAATCTTCTTACGTCCGTAAGGATATTTTATAATTCTACAGCATTAACTATGCATACATACATAACGATTCATGTCCGTTATTAACCCGAGCCAAGACTGATGCATATTATGCAATATCGGTCTGTCAAAGGTCGTAATTAGTATTTCTTCACTGGCTATGTAATCGAGGCTGCATTATAAATAAGTTTTCAATAAGATCTTTATTACCATATTGATTTCCACGCAGATTTTGGGAGCCTGTACAATGTACCTGTTAATCTTAGTGCAGTTCCAAATTGGCGACAATCACCATTCACTAACGGGAATGCTTCACAACCAGAGTTCCAGTTAAATTTTACATGCAAAACGGATTTACATGTGTCTTTACTCGGCGTATATAGGTAATTTCACTATGTTTGGAGTATTGTTTTGATTAAAGTTTACAAATTCAATGGCAACAACCTTCGACAATGACAACAACCATCCCAAAATGACATGAAAAAATAATCCTTTTACTATAAACTTTGGGGATGATCTAAGGAATTGTACACAGTTTAAGGAATACGCATTAATTGCTTTGAAAAATAATAGAGCAGACATTTTATGAAGACATCAAAGTCCAACTTCATAGGTTTCAGATTGTTTATAGTTTTTCATGGATAAAGTTACTACACACATGTGCTCCTCTTGGTAATCCGATATTACTCTGGATAATTCTTTAGTAATAGGATTATGGTTGAGTATATATGCCTTGACAATTCTGAAATTGGAAAATTCTATATTTACATGCTTTGCAGAAGTTGGTCAATCTTCAACGACTTACATGCTCGTGAAAAATTGCGTCCTCATTATGAGTATTCCTGTAACATGTGGATACCTCCAAAAGATACAGGCCACTGATACATACATATGTACATACATGCATACATGCAAGTGCAGAATAAAGGCACACATAATTTTGTACAAGATTCAAATGATTAGCTATTTGATTCTTCTTCTGAGCGAGCTACATAAATTATGTATAAACATTATGCACAATTATCTATGTTAGCTCTTGTCTAAATCCATCCACATCCACAATTTTTGGTTCTCGTCCCCACTGTGCTGTCACAAGGAAAGAATTTAGTTGTTAGCATTCCCACAATGATCATGGTATCCTATAGTGATCTGTATTCGCTGGCATTCCCATATCAGATACGAGCACTTGAGAGACAGGTGAATTTTAGTCGTGTTTCTTATCCTAAACCATGCAATGCATTTTGCATCCATCTTTATTGCCTCCTCGTCTTTTGCAATATGTTGGCGTTGTATTAGTGATTTCGTAAAATACTGTGCCCTTTAAGCATATATGTACAGACGTATGTATGTACGTGTGTATGTACATACGTACCTACGTATTCTATATGAGCCTCACTGAGGAGATCTGCAAATTCATTCTCAATCGTTCCTCCTGAATCTCGAATCTCTGTCCTGCACCCAAACACTCAACATTTCATTGTCGCCCTAATCTCGAGTTAGAGATATCGTAAAGTTTCGTTAGGTGAGCGACAAGAACGAGTAGCATTGCATGAGCTATGTTGTGCGAAAATCATCATTCGACTTAAAACTCTGCCTAGCAATAAGGGTTTATTTTGCCACTTTAGTTGCTGCTTCGGACACTATAAATATTTTGGCAACATTACAGCTCAGTAATTAAGCATGTTCCTCATAAACAGATGTAAAATAAGCTCACAGTTTATAAAAATGGCTCGAGTGAAAAATTTGCAAACATGAATCTGGATGCACCACGACCAAAGATGTTTGTGGCTGGGGGCAAGTAGCGGTACTCGCTGGGGTTGACCCACACACTGGTTCTGCAAGTAAACTTCTTCTTCCTCAACCCACCACCACCGCCATTCCTTCACCACTGTTAACCATTACCAGCCAACAATATGAGACTCGACTCAGCTTCAACAATGAACCCCAAAAACCCTTCTTCTTAATAAGTAACTGCCGATGCGATGCAGACAGGTGGGTTACCTTGTTTAAGTCGAATAGTGCATACCTGTCCTACACATTAACAGCCCTGTGTGCTGCATGCTTCTCTTCTCGAGATTGCTTCAAGTTCCATTCACTTTTTACTGTAAGGGCTGCCTTCAACCGATCCATCTCTCTCCCTCTTTTTATCTCTGGGATTCAGCGAGGAATTTAAGGCGTGAATTATCCTAAAAATCGATAAATGATTTTTTAGAATATAGATTTTAATTTGTGAATCTGGGTGACATTTGGCCATTGAATAATGTGAACACCGTATTTCAGAACTTCGGAACAAACAAGGTGACATAATATAAATTCGTGCTAGTGTATGTATCGATATTTTGCTCACTTAGCAAGATGTAAATCAATCGTGGTACAAAATTGAGACAGAATTGTTAAGTAAAAACCCGTGCGTGGATTCGACAAGTGTAACCTGGATCACTTTTTGTTGGACCTAAGCAATAGGTATGAATCTTGACTTAAATTCATAGTGTCGTTAAGAAATAGAACGTATTTAAAATCAGTTTAAGGAGTTAGCCATAAAACGAAACAGATAAAGTAGTAAATTTATGTATTCCAAATTAATAATTAATTTATCCTAAGCGATTCATAAGTATATTGTTTGAGAAAAAGTAAAATGGACGGATTTCCTTCCTTGAACTTGCAATTACGGAGTGAATGTAATATGAACTCCAATAAAATTGGACCCGATTCCCACGATGTGCAGTCGATATCATGCCGATAACAGAGAATCACTTTCTTCTCATCCGTCCATCAAATGAACATTCCCAACGCAAAGTGGGTTGTTGTCTACCTGATAAATTTACTGCGGGTAAATATTGTACACGTCGTCGAAACCAACATATAGCTCACCACACAATTGACGACATTTAGCATCCTATTGAGAATTGACGTGTCCCAGTTCTGAAATGGTCGGCGTATCATCGTTCCATTGTATACATTTATGATTATGACGACGAGATTTCCCTGCAATAAAATGTATGTGATTGAACTCTGCTGCTAAACACCACCAGATACTTTCTCTACTAAAAAAAACTTTAGATTTCTTAATGTTTCCAAAACATGAAGCAAATCATCCGGCTAAGCAAAAAAAAAACGTACGTATTTGTGTAAATGGATCAAAATGGAAGTTATATCACGGGTGCGTGATGATGAACAATTTTTACATCATCAACCAGCAGCATTTGGCAGAGAGTTCATCAAGGCAAATGATCACCGAGACCGAGACGAATTGATTCCATTATTTCATTGCTTGCACACCAAATTTGCCCGGCTCCCAGTTCGTTAGATGTTGATTTGCTTTCTTGCCAAATGAATGGGTTCCGTTATTAAATACATATAAAACATTCCTCCTCCTTGGCTGCGATGAAACCAGCAATTCGATGGTCTAGCAGTGCAATAAAAGTAAACAAACCTGTCCGGCAACTTGTACAAGGATTCGCCATTGTAATGTGGATATCGCAGGTTGAGAATAAAAACCGCATATTTGCACGTCCGGCTCACAATTCCCAAATTCTCGGCTCAATCTCGCCCACCCAACAAAAACCAGCAAATGTTATGATTTCTACTATGCGTACATAAAATTATGAATCAATTCACAACCATTTCATTATGAATCATGCATGAAGACGAGCAAATACGTAAGCTTTCTGTAAGCTCGGAAAAGAAATCGAGGATAATTTTGAGATACTCATATCCACTCCTTATTATACCAAATTCTTAACGCGTATCATGAAATTGTTGACACAAATGACATTTTTCATTTTCCCCTTAACTTTATAATACCTCAGATGAGTGAGATCACACCAGCAAATCTTTTCTCATCCCAACGAGATTAAGGTTTTTAATTTAGAGACGTTTTAAAAAATCATTTCCGTGTGGCTGCCCAAGCTGAGCAGAATAACAGCGAGAAGAAGACTCCGATGCGTCCGTGTAAAGTGACGCCTTGAGCGCAGTTAACATGCAAATAAACTCAAATTCAATTACTCGCTTGATAATTTCGTTTCGTTTTGGGTGTAAAAACCTCAAGATTTAATTACAATTGGTATAAAAGATAGATTAACATTTTACCAGAAAGATAATAATGAGTAGAATGCGAGCATATACGAGTGTGTACCTGTATGCTGCATATTATAATTTATAATGCGGATGAAGAATGAGGATTTCAATTTTTTCCTAAAGAAATTAATCCCCAGTTTCAATTTCATTCCACTTTTTTACTTGTTGCTTAAAATTTAAAATACAAAACTGTCCTAAAGACTTTTTCTTTGAGGAACGGCTACAATGTGTACAAAACGAGTAAATTTATGTTACGGATAGAAAAGACGTTGTTTGTCATAAAAATGTGAGACGTTTCATTAGATTGCACATTCCATTGCTGACAGGCTATGAATGCTGTAGAAAGGAGGTGGTTACAAGTCGTGAGTAATTAATTTCCTTGTGCCAATTTTAAGACTTGCCCAGAGTTTTGCGCATTCGCTGCTACTGATAAAATGTTTAGCATGGTGGCAAAATGTGTACATGGGTATGATCACGATGTCAGTCACTTGTGTTGTGGTAGATTATTACTTGGACATGAATTTGACAGAAACAAACAAAATGAAGAGAGGAAAAACTGCATACAACTTTTTAAAATATTTACCTATGAAAATGCATACGTTTGATTTCCCTGTTACTTTGAAAGAAAACGTAGGGATTCACAATATTTGGAATATTACGAGACGATAATTATTGTTAATCTAATAAGAAATCGAAACTGTATTTGCATACCTTTTTTAGAATATAATAATCATCTTAACAAGTTTATACATGGGAAGAAAGTAGTTCAACGATTTTACACGATTTATGTCTCAATCCTTCGTTCTATGCAAATGGGCCAATCGTAGGGATGAGATTATTAAGAAGTGTAAAAGCGATACAAATTTATGCACTTTTAAGATTTATGATTTACATAGATAGGTTTGAAATAAGGAGCAGATTTGACTTGAGAATATTATACGCTTTTATTTTAATCGGATTGTCATTAATAAGTAATTTGACAACTGAATATTTAAGACACTCCCTGCAACGACTTCATCCCAGCTTATATGCATATTGAGTGAACTGGATTAATAAAAATATTTGAACTGCAGGATCTCGGCTTAATTTGCGATTATCTATTGAAGAAAGATTGGGTGCAAGATTAGTAAAGTAGTCCGTGAAATCGAAAATTGTTTGCAAATTTTGTCCTCCGTTCCAATATTCAAAAAATAAACGATAGATAATATATTACTACTGACCGAATAATTTTTTCTACAAAACTCATTTAATCAAATGTGTACATAGTTTTTGTTGTACAACGCTCGTAGAAACTGTGTGGTACGCATAAAAAACATAAACCATATTACAATATTTCATATTTGGTCACCTTAAATCGAATGTAATTCTCGGCCATTGTTAAAAAATCCATTTATTCACTTCAGAATTAGTTCAGAAAATCGCAAAGCTTTTAATTTTCGATACCAATATTCATCAAGTATTTATATACATGTTTGGTCCCTTAAATGGTGTTAATTTTTGTGTATCGCCATAACCAAGCATCTCACCGAGTTATTTCATTTGCCATTTACGTGCACATGTATGTTAAAGAAGTCGGAAAATAAATAAACAAAATAGCGTGATACTTTTGGTCCAATTTTTTCTTTTCCACTTGCAATTCGAGAGACCTAATAATCCCAGTTGTTAATATGTATAAAAAACACATTGCGGGTGACGAGGTGGGACCGTGATGGGAGGGAGGTCTTTTAATCTAAGCAACAATTGGAACGGATACAGAATGCCGTCGTGTGGGTAATATTCTTCTCTCTTGCGGCGTAATGATAATGCTACGAGATTCGCCACAACTCGCAGGTCCATGCCACACATTTTGTGCTTGGAATTTGAATTCAAAGACGAGAAAATAAAGTCCCGTTACCACTCCTCGTTACGTGCAATAACAAGCCAGGCAAGTGTTGGTCGTCCATACATATAGGTACACAGATGAGATGTGTGTAAGAAAGAACGTCGTTACAGTAGTGGATTTCATTGAATTGGTCAGAATACATAAGTAAATCTACGGACGGACGTACATAAGTTGGAGATATTAGCAAGTTTTGATTTCACAATAATAAATACTTGGATAGAAATGACTCCTGATGCACATTTATTATGGTGTCCATTTCATATTATTCAAGCATTTGCCTCACGCAGACGAGACAACCGCAATTGTTGTATCGATGAAATTATAATGTCTGATTCATTTCACGTATTAGACAAGGCATCATGTTTTCCCTTATTGTTTTTCTCTACGGTGCAAACATTGTCAAATCAGAGTGTCACAAAGTAACGCTGATATTCTAGTTATGGTACCTTGAAAGGTGCTGTTAAAAGGTGTTTTCTCACTTACGACTTCACCTCAAAAATTGGATAATGATATTATGGATCTCTTACAAATTGGACGACAAATTGTAGCATGCGAATTTCACGAGTGGCAGATTTTACGGTATATACGTTGAGAAAAGTGCAGGCCCCATTCTCAGAATGAAAAATGAATTCGATCCACATCAAAAAGTGAGAGAATGCTTAGGCCCATCCATCCATCCGACACCCTGGTCATTACTGCAACTGTGTAACAGTTTTTTGAATGGTAAACGGCTAATGAATATGATTTGAAACGAAGTGTTCAGTTCTTATTTCATTTACAATGTTGACGCCAGTAATAGAATGAAGATAGGATTTGCAAACCTATTGCAAAAGCAGAAAATCTCATCGCACAAAGGAATAGCGCAAGTCCACGCTTCACTTGTCACGAAAACAAGAAGAGATTCGAGAAAAATGTTGAGAAATATTTTTTTGTCCTTCTTATGCGAATGCACTTATGAATTGGTAGGCAGCATTTTTGTAAAAATGGAAAAGTGCTAAAACGGTTAAATAATACCAATTTCGTTACGCTATGGTCGAGACAATGTTTTATTATAATTCACTCTTGCTCATAAATAAGTGAGTACAATGATTATGATTACATCTTTTTTTACGATTGGTTATTTTTAAAGTTAGTAATTTCTCCAGGGGTGAGTAGCTAGAAATGCAATTAGGCTCAAGGCAGACCACGACACAACTGAAAATAAAGATATTTATTATTAAATTCCTTTAAAAAATTGAGCAGTAAGTGATTAATCTTACGTTGGCGAAATTTCGAGTGAGACATTTGACCAAGGGATCGTATGATTTGCAAAACTCGTCCTGCTCAATATTTTTACCTATTAAAGAGAAATATGTAGTATTTGAAAATACCCTTATTTATGGACTGATAGCAGATTGATGCAATTATTTAATTACCGTCAAAGAGTGCAAGGCATGGATTGAACGTCTCATTAGCTCGGTCGATTAGGGACGGTGGAAAATGTTCCATTACGTAAATATCAAATTGTTCTGCAGAAAGCTGTCCATCTGGTTTGATCTGATGGACATTACAAAATTTTAGACTTGGGATAAGTCAAGATTAATATTTTTCGCAATTTACCAAACTCTCCTTTGTAAGAACACATTTCATGGTGCACTGTAACACCAAGTAGTTAAAAATATAATTATTCGACCGGTCCAAAATGATGCTTAATATGTATGTAATATTTATTAATTGTTCTTTACCGTGGATTTCTGACTCTTTTCTCGTCCACTTTTGTACCCAAGTTCTTTCGTGCAAACATTGATTTGCTGCAGCTCCCTTTTATTGAGATCAGTAAATACAGTTCTACATTTGCGTTCTGGTGGCGCAGGAGTGACAATCTGTTTTATAGCAAATTATGAGAGGCATGATTATTATAATTAAATTTTTTGGGGGATATGATGGCCATAATTTTCTTACCGAAATAACAACTAGTATAGTTAAAGTGAGTACAATGGCTTTAACAGATTCCATCATTTTTACAAAACTTGTTATAAACGCTGAAAAACAAAACTATTGAGCAGCAAAAATGGAACTGATTCTATTCTAATGAAAATATCAGGTTTTATCCTTTCAATATTTAAACACTCCTTTATGAATAGGCGTCAGTCGAGTAAACTAAATTACGATTTTTCACAATCAACACAACAAAACAATACGCTTGTTGATTTTTTCAATGTTGCGTTGCTTCTTTGATTAAAGTTGAAATTCCAGTATTTGCACCCAGCAAGTAAATAGTTCCGTCACGTAGTTTGCTTAATTTTTCACGTAAGAATAAGCAAGTTTCCCGAGTGGGTATAAGAATAAGTATATTTTTTTTCTTTGACGCAATATGAATGATAAATTAATATAAATATGTACGTACGTCTGAAGAAGGAGAGAGAACAATATGAGATATGGAAACTGGTTAGGAGATGGATTAGATATGAATGGTGCCCAGTGCTTAAGAGCTGCTTGGTTTTGGTCAACATGAGGTCGCTTTATTGTTTTCCTTGGTACAACAAGAAAAATATTCCCATCGGAAAGTAAAGCAAGACATACATGCGAACATGCGATAATTCAAACTAACAAGTAATTAGCATCAAATAAATGTTAAGGAGAAGATGAGTCAACCTTCCATTCGCATAAGATGAGCCACATGTGTATATATCTCTCTCATACATACCTATGTACATACATATATACATCGATTTTATGTGCACAGACCACAAATCGTATACTTGACCTGACTTGTGAGACATTATTATTAGTACGACCTTAAAAAAAACTTTTCATGGAACAAGTAGCCATTACATTTATTTTATGTAAATGCCAGGATGTTCCGATTGCGAAATCCGTGCAATAATCCAGTCTAGCAACCATGAGATAATGTCTAAAGTATTATGCAATCGACAATGAAGCTTCCAATAAGTTATGTATACCATACCCTTGATTATTAATGTTTCATAAATATATTTTTTTATTCGATTTAAGATTAAAAAGGGATCAAATGACGACTTTCCGGCACAAAGAAATGATTAAGCACGTGAAGAACAAGAGGAAAACTAATATGAAATTGAATCGCTTTTACAAAGGACTTTTACTGCCAACCTCATGCTTACTAATTTTGGCTATCCTGCTGCCATGCAATTTTGTGGTATGTGGCACAAATACGAGGAAAACGTCGGTGGAAATCTGACGAATTTTAATTAATTTGATTGACATGTGATGAATCTCTAATTTTAGAATGGAATGGTTGAAGTTCCGAATGATGAGGAGTGGGTGAGTTGTGGCGAGTTTAAGGAAACGGCACAATTGGCACAATGTCTCTGCTATGTGTCGGAAGATGAGGGGTTCAAGGTTAATTGTGATCATGTCGTTTTCCCCACGGATTTTCCACTCTTGCCATTCCGTCAACCCATTACGTACTTTTCTCAGAGATTTGTCAATTACCAGACATTACCGCCACAGGTGGGTACTTATTGGACATGTGAATATCTTATCGGGATGAAATAATTGATCGGTGGAACTATAATGCATGATATTTCCCTTAAAGGCCTTCCTTGCCAGCGGCGTCCCCCTTCAGACGCTCGATTTATCAAATAATTGGCTTCGTCGTCTTACCGAAAAATCGTTGGAAGGGCTGACCGAGTCTCTCGAAATTTTGGTACACCTTGAATTTTTCTATTGTCTCTTTTTATTAATACGCCAACATACACATGTAGTAATGAAAACACTAAGTATCCAACTTTTAAGACCACAATTTTCAAAATCTGAATCAATGTGATGCAAAAATTCTGAACTGTAAATTTGGCTTTAAAATTTATTTATCACTTGCGATCTCACAACGCCTCATTAAGATTTCCCGTTTTTGTGGGATGCTTTTACATATAAAATAAAATTAGTAAAAAAATTTATTGTTGTCTGTGTAGGATTTAAGTCAGAACCGCTTTGGTGACCAGCTCAACCCAATTTTTAGTACGACCGAGTTCAAGCGTCTCCCTCGACTTCGTGCCTTAACGCTGGGAAATAATATGCTCTCTCACTTGGATGGAGGAATAATAGACAATGCCCTCAGTTTGGAAGAGTTTTACTTGGATCACAATGAACTCAAGGGAGTCCCTTCGAAATCTTTGAAGGGACCAAATGCCTTAAAAATTTTAGACTTGAGCTACAACCAAATTGATGAATTAAGACCGGACGATTTTGCTCAAGCAGTTTCTCTCATCATGGTGAACATGAGCAAGAACGAAATTGGGGTTATACAAGGCGGAGCGTTTCGTGGCATGTCCAGCTTAAAAGTTGTAGATCTCTCGTGGAACAGATTGCTAAGATTGAGTTCGGATTCTTTCATGGGTATAATAATCACAGTTTTAATGATGAAATGAGACACAATTTCATTAGGCTTTGTCTGGTTTTCATTGTGCAGGACTCGCGTCAATCGAAGAAATCGACGTTTCAAACAACTTTCTCAGCCAAATACCAATCACTTCAATGAAAATTTTACCAACGCTCAAAGTACTACGAATGGGATCAAATCTTCTTCAAAATTTGGAGGGGACAGTGTTAAAGCAGCTCCCCAATTTAGAAATGGTCGATTTAAGTCGGAATAGATTGAGTGAAATACCCAAAGGATTTTTCTCAGGCCTTTCACGACTTCGCGAAGTGAACCTGGGAGTGAATCAACTAAGAACCGTGAGATTTGAATAATTACTAAATAAATTGCTGAATACAATAAGCGAACAAAATATTTTCGATTGGTTCGTAGATCCCAACTACGGTTTTTGAAGGTCTCCCATACTTGGAGAAAGTCAATTTAATGGACAACAATCTCCTCACTTTCCCCGCTGCAGCTTTGGAAAATTTGCATGGATTGAACACTTTAATTTTGGACTATAACCGAATATCTGCACTTCAGCCAAGCCAGCCCTCAAATCTGACGGAATTATCTCTAGCTCATAATTTGATTCGTGAAATTCCACCAGAAACTTTCAAGTCTTTTCCAAACATGACGTACCTCAATTTACAAGGGAATCAGGTTGCAAGTGTGGAAGAGTTAGCGTTGCCTCTAAGTCTCCTTGAACTCAATTTGGGTGACTATTTTATGACAATATTACATAATCGTTGAAACGACATGCGATGTGGGCAAATCTTAAAACACTTTGTATGAAATTTGTGCAGGGTCCAATCAACTTCGGACAATTCCTAGATTCCAGCTGCCAAATTTAGAGATTCTCAACTTGAAAGGAAATCAGGTTGGAGCGTTACTGCAACACAATTTCGTTCTTTTGGGAAACATTCGCGAACTGAATTTGCAAAACAACATGATTTCATCGTTTTTCTCAAATTCATTCGACGGTCTCGATGCCTTATTGGATTTGGACATGTCTGGAAATAAATTAGAGTTTTTACCCAAATTTGGAAATTTGCTGGATCTCGAGATTCTAAACTTTTCAAGGAATCATTTGAAAGAGGTAAATGAATTGTTTTTTTTTTATTTTTATTATTCGTTATATAATCCCAGTATTACATTTGGTATGGCATTTCTTGCTAGATTGGAAGCATAGAAAATATGGACGCATTAAAACTCTTGGACCTGAGCTCTAATCAACTCACGAATTTAAATGCAGACATATTCAAAAACACGTCCAGCATAATATCCTTATACCTTCAGGACAATAAGTTAACTTCATTCCGCGGATTTAGTGGAAAGTTTGATCGGCTGAAAACATTGGATTTGCACAACAATCAAATTTCTTACGTTTATCCAAACAGCTTTGAAAGCTTTGGGAATTTGTGGAATCTGAACATGAATCAGAACCGATTTTCTCTATTTCCAACAGAGTTTCTGAAACCGTGTAAACAATTGAGGTGAGTGACAAGAGACGATAATATTATGCACATGCGTACTATGAGCTCTACATGCATAATTATATTCTCAAATTTGCTGCTTCTAAAATTCTAGATACATCGGCCTGTCGAAAAATCACCTAAAGAATTTAAACGAGATGAACTTTTCCAATTTTCCATTCCTCCGTGAGCTTGACCTTAGCGGAAATGCAATAGAACTTGTAATTCCAAACGCCTTCTTGAACTCCACACAACTGCAGAAAATTAATTTATCCGGAAACAAATTAGAGAATTTGGATTCAAACATCTTCAGGGTATGCAATTTTTTCATTCATTACATGGCTTTTTTGATATTTGACTATAAATGTGCTGTTTATTTGACAGTAAGTTGAAAATAATTTCACCAAATGAAATGACAAAATAATCAATTTTATTTTTAACCAATGCACACGTAGGGTCTCCTTCGACTTGAGCTTGATCTTTCTGACAACTACTTGAGCAGTCTCCCTCCCACGCTCTTTGATCGGGGTCATGTCCAAAAATTGCAAGAAATCAAATTATCTCGCAACTCGTTTGCTTCCATCCCATCCGACGCCTTACAAAAACAATATTTTTACCTGGAAGAACTTCACTTGGCAGAAAACAAGATTACCTCAGTAGCACCGAACCTGAACATTTTAGTGAATGTCAAATCTCTCGATCTTTCATTTAATCCGTTGGACGATGCATCTCTGAAGAATATACTTAACGAGCCCAAAACTGTTCGGATTCTCAACTTGGCAAATTGTTCTATTAAAGCGTTGCCCATTTTGGAAATGCCATTCTTGAGAGAACTAAATCTCTCTGGGAATAGCTTGCATTCTTTTGGAGACACCGTTTTCCAGGTTGGTTCAAGAAAAAAATTGAGAATCGCACATGTAAAAGACGCTTACTGATATGTATGATTACTTGTCGAATTTACAGAGATCGACTCTACTGGAGAAGATGGATTTGTCCAAAAACCAGTTTGCCAACCTCGACTACACACTTCCTCCAAGTCTTAAACAGCTTTCACTCTCTTCAAATCCCTTAACTGTAAGTAAAAAACAGCAAAGAACTCAACTTTGTTTTTAAGTCTAGTCGAATAATTTTGGTATGTAACAAAAAATTCTGTAATTTGTCTATTTAGGTAATTGCTGGAGGAAATTTTCCCCAATCCCTTCAATCACTTAAACTCAATTCACTCCCTTCGTTACTAAAAGTTGAGAAAAGTGCCCTTGTCCTGAAAAATCTGGTGGAACTAGAATTGTACGACTTGCCCAAACTGGGTTATCTGGATATTAGAGGAATCCTCACCAATGTCAATTTCCTCGAAGGATTCGATTTTGAAGTGAAGGATACCCAAATTGTGGATCAACTTCATCCAGGTCTCACTGCAAGAGTAAACCGAATTGGACTTCGGGGTCGAAGAGTACGTTCCATTTCGACGGGTGCCTTTGCTGGACTGACGTCACCGTCGATATCAATCTCACTCATTAATACGTCTCTCTCCCTCCTTCCCTCCATTCTCGTCCCTGTGCCAATGTCATCTCAAGTCATGTTGGACTTAACGGGGTCAAAGATCACCAACCTTAGCCCACCATTCCTCAGCCAAAATATTCAACTTAGAGGACTTGTACCAACGTGCGATTGCAATGCAGTCAATCTCGTGAGATACTTGCAGGCCACGGAGACTAACAATGTATGTACAAGGCAATTATTTCTTAGATAATTTTCATAGTAATTTACTCATAAATTTATCTGTGTAGGTATTCTGTGGAGCACCCAGAAAACTGGAGGGCACATCCGTTCTCTCTTTGACCCCGGATGATCTGACCTGTGACTCTGGGTCCAGCACAACTTCGCCGCCAGAACCTTCTTCTATTTCTACCACTACCACGACTTCCACAACGCCCACCCCCTCCACAACCGATGACATTATCTGGTCTGTTGCCCCCAGTACGAAATCATCCTCCAAATCTGGGAAACAATCTTCAAAGACAAACAAGAAAGTTCTAGACGCCAGTAACAAGTCCAAATCAGAAGTTAACAATATGGACTCTCTCATTTTCGGAATTGTTGGTGGTGTCATTGTTCTCATCGTCCTCTTTGTCATCATTATTGTCTGCTTCGTCAAGCTGAGTAACAGTTCTTCATCAACGGATGGTATATATCCCCCCGCTGCTCCCTCAGTGGTTAGTATGGGTCCACATCAAATTTATGGGCCCGTCGGCACCCTGGGATCTAAATGCACGTGTTCAGGGGGCAATAAGGGTCATCCTCATCACATGCATCCACACGGGGGCTACATGATGACTTCGGCAGGTCCGTATGGGACTGTGAGGAGCAATGTGGGGAAAATATACGGGGGTGGTGGGGGTATTTATGCTGTCCAACAAGGACAAGCTGGTCCTCCCAGTTTGCACTCCCTTTCCGGAATGCCAATGTCAATGGGGCCTCCGAGCCTTAGTCCTTATGTCAATGCAACTTATGCCAACTCGGGACCTGCGTCGCTCAGACATCATCACCAACAACAACATCATCACCATCAGCAGCAGCAGCAACAACAAATGCAGTATAGTTCCAACATGCAAGGATACTATGGTCAAGATAGTGATTATGAAAGTAGGAGATAATTAACAAGTCTTAGTTATTCTATAGAAAATACTTGTGGAAAGTTGAGTCATTTTGATAATTGTTGTAAAAGTAAAATTAAGTGTGATTGTGAATGAACTGCGTATGCATGCAGAAGTCTTATTTATGTGTGTATATAAAAGTAAACAATGCAATTCTATGTATCTAATTATAACTTTATAAAAATGATATTTGCATGTTCGCCTTCATTCTTTGTAAAAATATTTTGCAAGATTTGTACGATTTTTTATGGGAGACTCGAGATATGTATGTACTAAAATACGGGACAGTTATATAGCCAGAAATAACAATTTAATTTATTATACATACATATATTAACGTATATAGTTCTTTAATTAAATGTGCCTTATTTACGGGTAGTTGTTATACTTGCTCAAACTCGATATACTTTTTTATGGTGTTTAACTTATAAAAGGGCAATAAATTTGAGACTCATTGTTTAAGTTATCCTCTGCATTGAAAATATTAATTAATACGCTTATGGCATGAAACGAAACCTTAGGATACAGCCGAAATTGGTTGGATATTATCTGAAGAATTAATGCTTAGTGCCAGTAGACCTTCCAAAATTTATCAATCAACAAAAACCAATTTTATTTCATATCAAGGCCTCCAAATATTTTATACTTTAACACATTACAATCTTGGAAATTCATAAATTCATTAACAAAAGTATAAAAAGACCTGAGCAGAGTTTAATTAATATTTGAAGCCATATTGTTGGTGAGTCTGCGGCATGACATACTGAGGTGGGGATTGAGCTTGTGGGCACTGCTGCTGGAATTGACCCCCTTGTTGTGGTTGAACATGAAACTGGGGCTGTCCAGGCTGTTGAACGATGACGACGTTGGTGACCGGTTGTTTTGGTGGCCCTATGTCCTCTTCCCCCACGAAGCAGCAGGCGTGGACGACGGTCGGGACGCAGCACAAAAGTCCCAGCAACCAGTTGATGCAACAGTCAGACCCACATCCCTTGATGATTGATTAATGTTTTACTACCTCGTCTAATATTGCTTATCAAAAAGTTCATGGTTAATTATTACAAACCTTCTTGGCGTCATCATCACAGTTGCCAGTATTGTTGGATACAAGTCGTCAGACCACGATGCCGCTCTTCAAGTCACTAGATATATGGAAATATGTAAACTTGACGCTACTTCCTCCCCTCCCGCCATCATCGTCATCACCCCCGCTGCCGCTGTCATCGTCCCCGCTGCCGCCGTCATCGTCCCCGCTGCCGCCGTCATCGTCCCCGCTGCCGCCGTCATCGTCCCCGCTGCCGCCGTCATCGTCCCCGCTGCCGCCGTCATCGTCCCCGCTGCCGCCGTCATCGTCCCCGCTGCCGCCGTCATCGTCCCCGCTGCCGCCGTCATCGTCCCCGCTGCCGCCGTCATCGTCCCCGCTGCCGCCGTCATCGTCCCCGCTGCCGCCGCCATCATCATCCTCACCACGACCACATCCAGGACCAAGAAAGAAGAGGAATAAGCAAAAGAAGAGGACAGGACCAAGAAAATGTCCTCCTCCCACATCCTCCCGACCGCTCCCCCATACCACCGAGGGTTTAAATCCCGTTTCCGATGACCTTTTCTGTCCGGTGTCGGGCTGCCCAGGACCATCATCTTCAGCAACAGATGAGTGGATAGAATGTTCTGCATGTCTTTTGTGGTATCACACCTCTTGTCTTCTTTTGCAGGCCATTCCTGAAGATGACTGGTTCTGCGCAAACTGTCCCCAAATACATACACAAATAGGCCCCCAAGTAAACTCAAACACACCGTCGCCTGCAAATCAGTCTACTCTAGGCACACATAGTCAAATTACACAGTCAAGCCCCTGTACAAATCCACGTGCATCACAACCAATTTCTACATTAAGTACACCACTTTCAAATTTTATATCTAGCAAAGCAACATGAACATCTCTCACATTAGAGTGGCTAAATAACAATATAGTCCCAGGAGGTATAATTGAGAAAAATCTGTTACATGAAGCGTATAGACAGGACTCGTTAGGCATTTTCAAACCCTTAAACGATGGAGAAATTGGGAAATTGATAAAAAATTCATTTTCAAACATTAGGACCAAAAGACTTAGGACAGAATTTCATGGCGCTTCGAAATATCATTACGTAGGGATCCAGTTAAAATCAGAACAAGTTCCAGAAACTGTTTTTGATTTCAAATCTATTATTTCCTCTCTTAGGCAAAATTGTCCAACTCTCAAACAATGCCCCAAGGCCTGTAGAATTCCGGTAGCACAATCAATCAAGTCAGCCATAGATAAATGCATAACTGAAAACACACCAGAGGCATGGCACCTTCTTTTGACTTTTCCATATGTAACATTACAATGTGATTCAAGGGCAAATATAAAGAATGGTCAAAGTCTTAACAACAAAATTAGAAATAATTTATCTATTTTTGAATCCTTAGATAAAAATACTTATCAGGACTATCTCATTTCACTTTCATCCAAAAATTCAGTCTTTGATAAGTCAGGTAGCAAAATCAACGACATAGGGCCAAAAGTCATATCTAAAGTTTCCGAAGGAAATATTCGTGGCGCGATACGGCTTTTAACATCAGATGATGTTGTCGCTCCCAATTCTTCAGCGACTTTGGACACACTTGTAGAAAAGCACCCACAACAATCTTTAGACAATTTTACTGTTTTAGATGAGCCTAACATTCCACCATTTACTACGACAACAGAGCAGGTTATCTCAGCAATATTCTCATTTCCTAGTGGTTCAGCAGGGGGTTTAGATGCATTACGACCACAAATTCTGAAAGATCTAGTTTCACAACATACTGGTGACGTAGGAACTCAATTGTTAGAATCTCTTACAAAATTTTGCAATTTTATGTTAGCAGGAAAAGTTCCTTTAGATATTTGTCCTTTCATTTACGGTGCAAGTCTTACGGCCCTTAAAAAGAAATCAGGTGGTATTAGACCTATAGCGGTAGGTTGCACTTATCGTAGAATAGTTTCAAAGATTTGTGTGAAGGTCATGAATCATGTCTTTCAGGATTATTTTAGTCCAGTCCAAGTAGGTTTCAACGTAAAAAATGGTGCTGAAGCAGGAGCACACGCTGCCCGTAGATTCTTTTCCTTTCCACATCAATCACCTACAGCCTTCCTTAAAATCGATTTTAAGAATGCATTTAATATGGTAGATAGAGGGAAATTGCTTTCATCCGTTCACGAACTTGTACCAACTTTGTATCCTTATATTAATCAGTGCTATAGATTCTCATCCAGTCTTGTGTGGAATTCTTCTTTAATTGATTCATGTAGAGGTGTTCAACAAGGAGATCCGTTAGGTCCACCACTTTTCTGTTTAACCTTGCATCCAGTCATTTCAAATTTAGGGTCAGAATTTAATATGTGGTACTTAGATGATGGTACATTAGGTGGCAATCCTACTACAGTGTTAGACGATTTTCAACATATTATCTCATGTGCAAATGAAGTAGGTTTAGAATTGAACTTTGATAAATGTGAGGTTTCAGTTTTAGGTCCACAAACTAACACGCAATGTATACTAGAATCTTTCCAATCAGTTGCACCAGGTATTTCATGTATGACTCAGGAAAATGCTGAACTTTTAAGTGCACCTTTGACTCTTGAATCTATTGAACATGTTTTCCGCAAAAAGATTCACGCTTTTACTAACATGGCTGGTCGATTGCATTCCATTCCAAGCCATATTGCGTATTATCTCTTGAAACATTCACTAGCTATTCCACGATTAGTTTATCTACTAAGGGCAGCCCCTATTTTTAAATCTCCACATTTGCTAGAGGAGTTTGATTCATTGCTCCATAATGCCTTAGAACAAATTACAAATTGCCAAATTAATCCTTTGTCTTTAAAAGAAATTGCATTACCAATTAAATTAGGTGGTTTAGGAATTAGACAATCTGAAACATTAGCAACTCCATGTTTCCTTGCATCTTCATTTGCCACCACTGACTTGGTTTCTTTAATTTTGCCCTCGTATGTCACTGCTTTGTCCGATTCACTTGTGACCGAGGCGCAGGACTTGTGGAAGTCAATTAGTTGCGAAGAACTACCTCGCAGTACAATTACTTCTTTTCAATCATCCTGGGAAAGTCCAATTTTCAATTACGTATCTTCACGTATCCTGGAATCATCCACCACCCCAATAAATACTGCTAGGATTTTGGCATCAAGGTCAAAAGAATCAGGTGCATGGTTGCAAGCTTTACCATCGAGGAATTTAGGCACACTTTTAGACGATAATTCCTTCAGGATTGCAATAGGTTTGAGGTTAGGGTTAAATTTATGTTTCCCTCATAAATGTGTTTGCGGCGCACAAGTAGATGAACATGGTCTACATGGTCTTTCATGTAAAAAAAGTGCTGGCAGGCACTCTAGACATACGCAAGCCAATGACATTATAAAGAGAGCCTTAATTTTTGCAGACATACCAAGCATTAGGGAACCATTAGGGTGTTATAGGACAGATGGAAAAAGACCGGATGGTCTAACACTAATACCTTACAAACAGGGACGCTCACTAATATGGGACTTTACATGTACAGACACTTTTGCCCCCTCTTATCTCTCTCACACACTTAGACATGCTGGCACAGCAGCAAAACTGGCCGAGACCAAAAAACACAAACTGTACTCTGAACTTAAAACAAACTATATCTTTGTTCCGGTGGCTATCAAGACATCAGGAGTATGCGGGACGGAAGGGTTGAAGTTCATCCAAGATGTTGGGAGGAGGATGAAGGATGTCACTGGACCAATGTCGACAACTTTTCTCATTCAACGGATTAGTTTGGCAGTTCAACGCGGGAATGCGGCATCAATCATGGGAGCTGTCCCCAGTCAACGAGGATTAGAAGAATTATTTTATATTTTAAATGATAGGTCGTTTTATTTACAAAAATCATGTAAGGGGCCGAATGGTGATCTCGGACGCCTATCCGGATCAAGTAAAGGTTTTCCCAACCCACCAACATCGGGTTTTTCCTCTACTCCCCAAGCCAACTAAGTGTATTTCATAGTTTATCAATGTTTATGTTAATAATAAATAATTCTTCGACAAACCTTCTTGAACAGGACGAAACAACACGGGCAGCAGCAGGCACAAATTGACTCGCACATCTCGGCTGAGTAATGTTAAATAGCAGGTGGCTATTTAAAAAAAGGGAAATAAACACCCATTATTATTTATTTTTAATTTTTGATATCCACTTAATTGAAAATACTTACCAAATAATCTCAATAAAAGGGAGCTAAATGTCTGGAAGACTCGCGTATTTAATGGCTTCACTTGAATAACAAATTGAACTAGGAATTATCAAAATAATTAATCTGATCAAACTTTGATCGTCGTCATAAACATCATCCAACCTTCCTCTCTCCGAGCTCTTCTCCAACTGATCGTGAATTCGTGAGACAAAGACAAGTAGTTGAGCAAGCAAGCACTTGCCTCGAAAGAGAAAGAGAGAACGCCGCCTACTGTGGGAAACTTGGGAAAACTGAGGATTTTAAGAAAAAGACGCCCATGAATTAGACTCGGATAATTCAATTCGTGTCTAAAAGACTGTAACTGAAATTGCAAGCATTTCATTTTATTTAGCAGTGTAAATCATAATCTTCAATATCATATTCAATCATTAATATATTTTATTAATTTGTTATTTATACAAATAATGGCATTTTTACGGTATAAAGGTACATGAAATCCAGCCAAATGATGTAATCGAACATTTTACTAAAGTTCAGATTGGTTTAAAAAAGAAGTAGATTTTCAGTATCCCATATGTATGCATTTAATTGTTGCTAATGCAAAAGCCAATTATTTAAGGTGACTTCATACATATTCATATCTGAAGCCGTAAATTTGATATATATAATCGCCCAAATGATTTTAAAATGACAGATTTGAATGAAACAGAGCATTCCACGGACGGAGACAGCATAAAAATCCATCAGGTTTTTTGGGCAATGAATAAACGATTAAGTTCAAAATATGAAAGTCTGTCAGCACAGGTATAAATTGACGTCAACCAGGAGAAGAGACATTTCATATCAGTTCTCGTCGAAAGATGAAGCCAACTAAAGGTTCAGTCGAACTATCTTTGCTCGTAGTTTTGGGAGTTTTCCTTGTAAACGCCCAACCAGGAGAGAAATGTTCCACTCGAATTGCGGAGCTTTACCCACGACAAATGCTGGACTTGGACCAGGTAATTTTTAACTATTAATTTTACTGGAAAATGTTTACATACGAGTTTTTCCTACTTGCATTCAATTTACATAAAGTAATCCTGGTCTCTGTGTGACGCATAGATGGTTGGAGAGTGGATGGGAATCCAAATGGCTTGGAGAGATAGTTCTCTAGTGACACCACAATGGGCAAAATGTGCAAGCCAATTTTTTTCCAGGCAAAACGACTCCATAAATCTCAACATTATTCTAAAGTACGAGTAGTCTACTGTACTTAATTAATCCTAAGGATTAGCTGAATAAGGTTTTATACTAATGTGCACACCGCTTTTAACAGGTATGATCTCACTACAACCGGGAAACATGTAGAACGCGTTGGACAAATTGACATCGGAGAACATCCGTCTCATTCCCATTGGAGAAAATGGTTTTATGAAGATCCGAGTTAGTCTAAAATATAAATATGAGTAATAATACGGCCACTTATTGAACAAGGTTTTATTCATCTCAGGTCGATGGTGGGAGGAGGTTGTGATTGCAACAGATTACAAGAACTACTGGATCCAGTACGAGTGCGAAATAAATAATGATGGGATTCGTGTCGAGACCGTTGTGATGAGGGCAAGAACGAGAACGATTACACAAACGGAGAAAGAAATCTATGAAAGCATTGTTGAGGGCTTGGGCTTCCCTCCTGCCAATTTTGTAGGCGTTCCTCAACCTATCAATTGTGGTCATGCAAATAGTACCACTGGTAAGGTCGAAGCAAAAAAGCCACTTTGGTGGACACCAGATTTTTATTAAATTTATTTAACATGATGAGATTGACTTTGAAATTGTACTTTTGTTTTGTTTCATATACACAAATAAATAAAAATCCGATTAGCAAAGGTTTTAATATTTGTACTACTTTTTAACTACTTCTAATACCAAATCGTATCTACTTTAGAAACGGGCTAATGAGTGCTCATTATATTTATGCCCTTCAATAAGATCACGTAATTACTTTCAAGGTACTAAATCATCTCATTATAAATATGTATCTGATCCCCATTTAATAGTACAAATTATTCAGTTGTCCCTGACTCGAGACTGCATACGTTTCCATGTGCATGATGGACGATATTTCCATTCCTCGAAGCGTTTTCCTCCGCCTCCGCATCCTTCCCACGGCCCTCGAACAGAGACACTTGACGATCGGGCATCGCTGAAACCACTCCCACAAATTGAACTGTTGTTGAGCATAGAGGAAAAAGAGGGGCTGCATTGCCACTTGAAGTAGAAAACCGCATCGTAAAACGAGTGGAAAATCACGAGGAGTTTGACGCTGTCCTGGAACTTGACTTTCCCCTCGTTTGTCAGTTAGTCGAACAATGTATATTGCTGGTCCAGGAGCGAGCCAGAAGACGATGAAAAATACAGTGTAAAAAAATATCCACCGAATTTTTCTCACTTTTTTATGAAGTCCATGGGGAATCGGCTAATAAAATAATGCATTGGAAAAAAAATCTCTTATACAACATTTTAGACATGCTTTCTCCTTCTGTCGTAGATAGTATTGCGTATCTTACTTGACAAAGGAGTAGGAGATGCATCCTGAACTTGAGTCTGTGAAGGGCTGATATTATATGTAAAAAAATATTATATGTAACACCAGCATTGCATCATCATCGTCCTCCCGTTGTGAATGGACGGAAACGTGATGGAGATGTTACATACGCTACATTATTATTATGTATTACCACCAAGCATGAAGAATGTGGGTAGGACGGATATAGAACAAACAAAGAGACCCTCATACAAATTGGTAAGTAGCTGAGAATCCAGGATGAAAACCTGACAAGGAGCATAATAATACAGCTCTTAGCAAATTACTTGTAATAAATATAATCATCCTGCTCTACGTGATTTTAGTGTCGAGTTTTAGGGATGGCATGTTGTAGCATTACTTCCATTGTACTCTCGCGAGATGAAATGTGTGTCATTTTCTGGGTTAACGGGGCATTATAGTTTGCTCTGGCTGCTCTATCAGCCAATACAGTCCCTCGCTCAATATTTCTCCCGTATGTTACCCCATGCATTATTTTTTGCACAGGTTTTTGATCTTGTAATTCGAAAACCGAGATTAAATGTACACTCAAAAATGTGAAGTATGTTGGATTATAACTAGTAGTTGTTGCACAACAATAAGATAAGGCCCTTGAAGGAATTGATAAGCTACTTGTATTTATATTAATCATCGAATCTCGAGGAAAGCAAAATTTAGACGAAACTTGACATTCGTCGATTAATATAAATAAAAGTAGCATATCAATTCCTTCAAGGGCCTTATTTTCTTGTTGCGCAACTATCACTAGTTTTAATCCAACAAATCTCACATTTTTTAGTGTACATTTAATCTCGGTTTTGGAATTACAAGAAAAACATTTTGCAATTTTTCCTGATTCGTCTCATCTCGTCATAGAGTATGTGTGCCGGGAAGCCACCACCACACATACTCTTCCCATTGGAAACCACTAAAAACATAAACAACTCCAGATGAATTTTGCAGTTTTTTTGCAAAAAATTCAAAATTCCCACCAAAGCTCGTAAACTTTTTACCCCACCGAGTTCATCAGTTTCGCCACTATGTGATTTATGAGGATTAGAATAACATAAAATATTGTCAACTCTTAAATTTCAGTGATTTATGCAACCACACCTAATCATTAGCAACCCACACACTAAATGCGTACCAGAAATATGTATGTATGCATTCCCTAATGGAAGGCATTAGCTAATTTGAAAATTTCATGCAATATTACATAACCTAAACTAAATATTCGCTTACTCTGCTGCAGTGGGAAAGCGTTGAAGGGTTTACGGTGTCCTCAAACTTGTACGTTCCCATTGCCGGAATGCTGATAAGGACAGAGGAGAACCAAACGGAGAGGAAAATTGCTACTTCCAGTCTCATCCCACATTGAACCAACCGTTTCGCGTTGATCATTTCCATGAAGATTCCAACCATGGTGAACGGAAGGAGGACAATGCACAATCCTGAGCGAGAGAAAAAAAAGTTGATGGAATATTTAATCAAAATTATATAACCAGTTTAAAATACAAGCAGATGGATTATTTACTAAAAATAGCACACAATCCCAAATGGGAGCCAGAGGCAGCAGAGTTTCGTTATCTCATGTATTTAGGCATGTGTACAGTGTCATTAGTCATTGTGTACAGTGTCATTAGTCGAAATTAAAATTTCAGAGGAGTGATGCATGCAAAAAGTGTATGTTATCCACCCGCTGAGATTCGCTTTGATAAGATGGTCCGTCAGGCATGCATACAAAGTAGAAATAGATAGGCAAGCAGTTCAGTCAATAACGAATTGTGAGTGAAGAATCATGTACATAAACAAACAACCGCGATGCCACTAAACGATATTACACACTACTGTGGATGAAGTTCTAACCCTGCAGACTTATTACACCGCTTTGTAGCATTAATTTCACGACGTCACCGGTCAAAAAAATTTTTTCCTCCAAACTGGTCCAAAATAAAAGTCTAGCATGGGAATAGTATAGAAAAATTATTTTTAGCGTTCTATGACCCCTGGGTCATGAATTAAGGGCCCCTGAAGGGTCAAATAGCGTTCCCTGATAACCCCATGCAAACGGGGTATCAAATTAATCCCCTGGACCAGGGGAACCAGAAAAATATTTTTATAAATTTTTATGACCCTTGAGTCGTGAACTAGGAGCCCTTGAAGGGTTAAATATCATTCCCTCACAACTAAAGGCAAGTGGGGTATCAAATTAATCCCCTGGACAAGGGGAACCCAAAAAATATTTTTCTGGATTTTTTTGACCCTCAGGTCAAGAGTTAAGGGCCCCCGAAGGGTCAAAATAGTAACCATGGTAACCCCATGCAAGTGGGGTATCAAATTAATCCCCTGGCAAAGGGCAAGCATAAAAATATTTTCCTGAATTTTTTTGACCTATAGGTCAAGAGTTAAGGGTTCCTGAAGGGTCAACATAGTAACCATGGTAACCAGGCTTCATAGCCTGTCTCAGGCAGCATACTTATGTTTGTATAAACTGGTCCCTTTCTCATATACATATCTTTATGCACCATCTTGTTTGGGGAAGGATTGGGTTAATGGTTGGGGTGATGAATATCCCCTAAAAACTGATGCATTATAAATATATGAGGTGATGGGAGACCCCTTATCCTTGCTGGCTTCTCCGGTCGACATTTTGAAATTTAAGTTTTGGAGTTTGTACTTACTGGTATCCGCTCAATTATTAATTTTTAAAATTGAAGATGACGTTGCATAACTTAATTTATGGAACACTGTATGTGTTATATATAGTTCATTGTGTTTGTGGTAAAAGTTGCGCGAATGTCGATAAAATAGAAATAGATAAACAGGTTAAAGTTGTGTGTGATGAGACGGATAACCTGGGTGGATTGGTTATCTGGTTCAAGGAGACATTACCATCCAATTGCAGTGGATTTCTGATATGTAATCAAACGATGTGTATGGAAATTAATGAAACTGTTATGTTCTTCAGTGACACTATCAAAATTGAAGAAGTAGAGTATGAAAATAAAAAGATACGGATATGGGGAAGTGAAAGCTATGTAACTTTTTATTTTAAAAGTTTCGTGGATGCCAGCCGTTATCTACTAAATAACATCACAATTTCAAACGCCAACCACACATTTCCATCCAATAAACTATCCGACTTAACTCAGGAAAAAATTAGTGACACTTATTGTAATATAGCGGCTGAAACGAAGAACTGTACCACCAAGCAAGCAGTAACTAAAGCTATTCAAGGCACTACTCCTCTTCCTTCTGCATGCACAGTTCTAATTCTGTGCAACCAAATATCATGCATCAGGTTCAACTACACAAGTCTCCTGCATTCAGCCTTCTTTGCCAGAAAGCACACGTTTATTCCTACCAACGAAGGTAAATTGCCATCTTGCTTTCATCTTCGTCAAGATGCATTTTTCCATCCTGGATCTCTCCGACGCCCACGTGGTATTATACTTTCCTTGGAGAAAGCTAAAGTTAAAAAGGCGCCAAGCGGATTACCTTTCAATCTCCCTGGATATAGGTAATTGGTTATTTTGGATGAGTTTTTTTATTTTTGAAGTTGCGATTGGAATCTTTATGAAATGATTCTTTATTAACATAATTTTATTATTGGTATTAATTAAGATATTGCGGGCCTGCCACCGATATTGAGAAGCAGGATGATCTCGGTGGCCCAATAAATGCTGTTGGTAATTGTTGCCCAATTTATGCTCATACACTAACCAAGTCAAATTTGTGAAAATTAATTTTATAATTTTTGTGTTGATATTATTCACAGATGCAGCATGCCGCAAACATGACGTCGATTATTTGCTAGGGGTTCTACCATCAGAGGCAGACGAGGCACTTCTAACTACTGTGCAATTACATCGAAAAGATCTGTTCCCACTTTTTGCGGCCGCAACGAGTGCCAAAAAATATTTCGAAAGTCAAATTGGAGGGTCCTATACATCCTTCTTATATTTCTACCCAGCAGGATTTTATCCCAGTTTAACTTTGCATTTTGCACATGAAACGGTGTACGATAAAACTTCAGCAGGAACACTAACAACTGCTCGTGCCATCTGGGAAGGCCAAGCTCAGGAGTCAAAGTGGATAAGTATTCTGCAAAATATTTGGCTAGGGAGCTGCTACACGGTGGATCCAGAAACTAATGTAAATCCACCGCATATCGATGTAAGATTATATTTTTGCACTATTAATGCTAGCTCAGATTCATCGATTTATTGTCTGAGAGCACAGACGCATTTCATACAAGTTTATCACTTTTAGCAAAAACAGTCTGACATGAATTCCCTCGTCATGCCATGCTCAAATGTGGATGAAATGGACACCAATGCAGACGCACTTGTGAGAAATATTGCAACATATTTATAAATAGCAGCGACCGCGGATGTTGTGGGGGACATCGTGAAATTGTTATTGTAGTAACAAGCTCATGTACGTTTTTGTTCTGATCAATACAGGAGGATGGTGATGGAGATGATGAACGTGGGCACTGTGGACAACGTGAAGAGTTAGGGGAAGGGTCAGCTCCTGGCGGTGAATCACCAATGGACACTTCAAATACAGAGTATGCATCCAAGAGTACAGAAGGTGAAGATACATGTGTGGGAACAGACATTTACCCAACGGCCCCTTACAAAGGGGGATGTAGGATGATTTTGAACGAATTTGCAACCAAGAATGATGATAACCAGATTTCGTTTATTGAACATGTTCGTATTTGCCCAAAAGGCGCTCGTCCTCCAAAAACTAATTCACTTAACGGATTCGTTGAAATAATCCTTGTGGGCGGGATGACTATCCACCAAGTAATGTACGCATCTTTCCAGAACAAGATCTTCTCAATCATACAAGAGAAACAAACTACGCAACGCAAAATAAAAAATTTCTACTTTGTCCTCGGATCGAAACAAGTTGCACCAGATATGTTGTTTTCTGACAGCCAGATTACTAGTGACCATCTCGAAGGAATCTTACCTGCCGAGTCATTGACGTACTGCATAATTTTACTTCACTTCGGACACAATCAAGGGCAATTTCATCAAGCAGTTCAATCTTTTTCACTAATCCAAAATGTTCCACCCGGCAGTGACACGGTAGGCTATCTCCCAACCCCCATAAACGACGAAAAGATGAACCTTATAAACGAGTTCATTCAAGATGTCCTAATTGTTGGTCCTCCTTGTCCGGATTCTGAGTGTGGATATTTCTATTCCCTTCTCAGAGCTAAAGAACAGGTATTGGGGGAAGGTGAAATGCGAATTCCTTTATCTGATGTTCCTAGACGGAATGATGGAACCAAACCTTACCTTAGTCTTTCGAGGTGCAGTCCTACGAGTTTTCCTATGCAACAATTAGCCTTTGAAATTGAGAAAGCAACACCGAAAGCGAAAAACGACTGTAAACAACCAAATACTAAACTCCCATTCCAACTACTTGGTGTTTCACTACAGGCGACAGCTCAAAAGTTAATTGTCAACGCCAAAGTATTCTTTGACAGTAACCAGGTACAGTGTGAAATACTAACAGGAAACTCTGTCACCAAAACTAGCCAGATTCTAGGAATTGGAGAGAGAACAGTTTATCAGACAATGGAGAATTACAAAACGAATAGTATAAAAACACCTGGTAAGAAACGTATTAGACCAACGCCGGTGATGGATCAGTTTGACGACTTCCGAACTGAGCACGTTAAACGAATCATTCATCAATTCTATGCTAATAATCAAGCACCAACAATGCATAACGTATACACAAAACTGATGGAGGAAGTCAAGGAAGAAGAAGATGGTCGGATAGCCCGAGGAGAAACTCTTACAGCGTTCAAATGTTCCAAGTGGACGTTAAGAAAACTCATTAAGCAATTAGGATTTAGATTCAAAACTGTTGATAAGCGAGCAGTTATCCTCATGAGATCAGACATCGTGCAGAAGCGATATGAATATCTGTCCGTAATGATTAAAAATCGTCAGTCCGAGAACCCAAAATGTGTTGTCTACACAGGTTTGGCTGATTAAATATCAAAAATGTTTTAATTTAATTTAATATAATTATTAATGCATTATATTTATTCAGATGAAACGTGGGTCGATAGTTATGCTAGAACTGGAAAAGGCTGGGTTATTAATTCACCAAAGTCATTTCATGAAGCGGCTTTATACTCCTTCCAAAACCCGAAAATTTCTAGAGGACCACGTATCATTGTGATGCATGCAGGTGCAGTTCAACTATCCACATTAAATAGGAAATTATTTCAAAATAATAATTATCTTCACAGGTGGAGAGGATGGATTCGTACCTGGCGCTATGAAGGTATATCCAGTATCAAAGAAGAAAGTCCAGATGGATTACCACGCAAACGTTAACGGTGTCGCTTACATGGCTTGGTGGAAGGATCTTAATCAAAAGATAAAAGATAATTATGGTCCATGCATAATTGTTATTGATAACGGTAATATCATCCAATAATTTGTATTTGTAAATTCCATTTTAATTTGAATTTCATTTATTTAAATTTGTCAGCTCCGTATCACAGCACCAAGGAAGCCCCAAAATCTACATCCCGAAAACAAGAGCTATACGACTGGCTGAATGATAATTTAGAGGGCCCTGAAAAGCTGAAACTAAAACCTGTAAAGCAAATGAGACGACCTGAATTATGGAAAATGGTTCAAGACCTTAAAAACGGAAATGAATATTACATTGTGGATAAGGAGGCATTGAAATATGGAAACACTGTTGTCCGGTAAAGTTATTTTCTATTCATGGGTAATTTACTAATAATTTGTAATATTTATTTAAACACTGTATTTACGTATTTTCCAGATTACCCCCATATAACTGGTAAGAACTGGTAATCATAGGTAACGGTAATAAGAATATTCATGTAATAACTATTTTTAGCGACTTGAACCCAATTGAGTACGTGTGGAAAGACATCAAGCACGCAGTTAGGGCTGCAAACACACAGGGGACCGCTGAGTTTGCACAAGCTGAGGCTGAGAGAATTATGACAACATACACAAAGGAACAATGGCAGAAACACATCAAACATGTGCACCGGTTCGTAAAACCAAGATTCGCTATTATGGGAATAATTCGCAATTTCTACATTATTATTGTAAATAGATTGGAGGACGAGTATTGGAAAAATGATGGACATTTTGATGACTTCCATGATGACTTCCAAACACGTTTAGCTTCAGCCAACCCCATTCGAGTGAGTTCTTGGTGACAGTAAACTATTAGTAAAAAAATACATAACTTGTACATAATATACAGATTACAGCAGCAGATGATGTGTCTGACGACGAAGATGAGGACCCTGACGATGTTGACGAAGTAGTTGATAGATTCCGAATGCAAATACACAATGATATTGAATACTCACAGGCTGGGGAAGAAGAAGACTTGCCTGAAGAAGAATGTGCAACTTCTAGGAGGAGATTAACCTTCCCACCAGAATCAACCTAGATTTTAACTTCAATGGATTCAATACATAATAAATATTATAAATAGTGAATCCGATTTGTACATAGTGTTAAGAATTATTATTCATTAAATTTGTACGAAATTTTCAAAAATATGCCTACCCCTCTCTACTTAACATTCTTGCAAAACTGAAAACTTTAAAATAATGTCCCGTTTAGTAAAATACAATAAGTTATTATTTGACCCTTCAGGGGCCCTTAACTCTTGACCTATACGTCACAAAAACCAAAAAATATTTTTCTGATTCCCCTGGTCCAGGGGATTAATTTGATACCCCATTCACCTTAGTTACCATGGTTACTATGTTGACCCTTCAGGGACCCTTAACTCTTGACCTATAGGTCAAAAAAATTCAGGAAAATATTTTTATGCTTGCCCTTTGCCAGGGGATTAATTTGATACCCCACTTGCATGGGGTTACCATGGTTACTATTTTGACCCTTCGGGGGCCCTTAACTCTTGACCTGAGGGTCAAAAAAATCCAGAAAAATATTTTTTGGGTTCCCCTTGTCCAGGGGATTAATTTGATACCCCACTTGCCTTTAGTTGTGAGGGAATGATATTTAACCCTTCAAGGGCTCCTAGTTCACGACTCAAGGGTCATAAAAATTTATAAAAATATTTTTCTGGTTCCCCTGGTCCAGGGGATTAATTTGATACCCCGTTTGCATGGGGTTATCAGGGAACGCTATTTGACCCTTCAGGGGCCCTTAATTCATGACCCAGGGGTCATAGAACGCTAAAAATAATTTTTCTATACTATTCCCATGCTAGACTTTTATTTTGGACCAGTTTGGAGGAAAAAATTTTTTTGACCGGTGACGTCGTGAAATTAATGCTACAAAGCGGTGTAATAAGTCTGCAGGGTTAGAACTTCATCCACAGTACATTGCACTAATACAAATTGGAAAGAAAATCGGCACACATCAGCGTTCTTTTCTCTTCTTTCTGACGTAAACCACGGTATATGCTCTGCAGTGAAAGCAAAACTTTTTGACTCGAAGCAAAGTTTTATTCTTTATCTGCTATAAAACCAGGTGCGAAAATACAGTCCCGACTACAAAGTATTAGTTACACAGGCAAACTGGCATTCCCATTTGTGATTTAATATTTGCTTGAGCTGAAGCAGTGTAACCAAAGGTAAGCTTAGAGCATAGTGCATATATCTAGCTAGTGTTACCAGTGGAAATGGGATGTCATTTGTACACTGATGACAAATTGAGATTGAATTGAAATCGCAATTGAAATTGAATTTCTGAATTTTACAGAAATAACGTTATGCAAATGTATACCTATATTTTTAAAATAATGGCAATTGATATACCTGAATGTAAGTACTTGTCATTTTTAAAACGCTATGCTTCAAAGATTTATATTGCATGAAATACTTAGCTCATGCAACGACATGAAACTTACTTGAACATAATCCCCAGCCATTGCAAAGCCATAAAGACTCCGAGCTCAGAATTTTACTTTTCTTGAGCGTCTTTAATATTTGGTAGATCACAGCCAGCAAAGACGAGATGAAAAGGTTGACGAGAGAAAGGAATGTTGGTGGTCTGGAATATGTAACAATAAAATTAAAGTGTCTTGGAAATTGTTATTTCGTGTATTTGTATGTACCACACAAGTAAACTATACCCTCGCTTCAACCTGACGATACAAAATGCTCCAACATTGATGGTCATGCAAAAAGTTCCCACCATAACGTAGATGCAAATCTCGTAAAGGTAAACTTCATTGAACAAATAGGTCGTTGAGGTGCGACCAGGTGCAGGAGATGTCGAGTTGGCGAGATAAATCTCACTTTCACCGGTGCAAGATAAATTGAGACTACCCATTCTTGCTATGTCTTGCCACAAGAATAAAATTTGCCGTGTATGCAAGTACGTAAATGTGTAGGTAAAGCCGAATTAGGGAAATGTTGTTGCACAACTTGTTTCTTGAAAAGGGTGAAAGTCTTTATTACACGAGTTTTACAAAATTGCACCACTTGATACAGGACTTTTCTTTCTATTGTGTAGAACTACTTTTTATTGCCAAAAACTCGATACGTTTACTCTCGACGACCTCTCAGAGCAGAATGCTTTCCCCAACCAACTTGTTGCTCAATATCCTTCACTTTGTTTGAGAATGAGAAAGAAAGAAAATCTCTCAAGATCTGTCGCAACCGCACGACTGAAAAGAAATCATTGAACACGAATCCAACAAAATTGCAGTACGGCAAGGGCGAGCCTGGATTTCAGAGTGAGGATAGGTTTCAATCTTGCTTGATATCTGTCTGTTAGCTACCCGGCCGGCTCTCACCTACACAAGTAGTCAAGCTGAGGATGAGTTTACGTAGGAGAAAGCTGGTGAGCATATAATGCGAGTTCTGTCTGTTTCGCAAATCTACCGAGTTACATAGATTTCTCTGCACTTGAAATTTTTCAAACGTATATAAATATATGCAAAACCGTTATTCCGAGATGCAAGCTGGAAGATTCGGACTGAAAAATAAATTGCGATAGTTGAAATGGTTTTAAGTACCTTTTAAGTCCTTAAAAGTGCACATACTGCATGTATAGTGCTAGGTGAAAGTTACGTTTGACTACGACAATCTATAATTCATGTTGTAGCATATTTCTTTTTCTAAAAATTCAATTAGAGTATGCAAATCAGGATGAAAAAACTTTTATATTAAATATTAAACTTGAAGTTTGATGGTGAAGGTGAAACCTTGAAAGAGGATCACTTTCGCCAACTCGGGCTTGATTGTCAAAGTGAAAAACGACCCGTACTTACAATCAACTCATTTGCAAGACAAAATAATTTTGTTTGAACTCTTCTAAACTGTTTTATTAGAATTTCTCCATTGAATATTAAGAACAAAACTAGTACCAAAAATTTATCGAGACTGGCTAAGAACACATGCACGCATTACAGATTCATACATGTTTCATGTTCCAAGTAATTTATCAATCGACGAATAGCAAGTCTGTTGATTTTGTAACTAGATTCAAATGAAAATTAGGCAATACGAGTAAATCAGTAGATATTTATGGTCATCTTAGGATTAGTTACATGGACACCACTTTCACTAAAGTTTCTATGATTGGTACTTTTACTCCTGTTTGAAATTGCGTATTTTATTCTACCGCAACGCAATAGTGTCAAATCCTTGCTAAACTAAATAAACTCATCTTGACACGGAAGATTATATACGCAATTAAGGTATTGGACAGGCTTGACATGTACACGACTCGTTTTATTTTAATGTGTAGAAAGTAATGAGTGACGAGTCTCTTGTCTCATGGACTTGCCATATCACATGCACTTAGGCTTACAATTAGATATGGGTACCTACAAGTAACCCGAGTACATAGACTTAATTACGCCCACGATGGCCACAAGTTATAAAACAACTCTCAATTAAAGTACTTAGATTCCTTTCCCTGCGCAGAGATCACGTAGTATGTAAGCATTATGTATCAGTTTCAGTTTGGAGAATATTGTACATGGATGTGCCTATAACGTTTTATAGCATTTCAAGGACCGGTGGTCGTTACTCTTTTAAGTCGCGTAATGCCGTCAGTCAGACTTATCTGTATTTGTATAAGGCTGCGGCAACCGTATCGAATTCATCGTCGTCTCAATTTCATGTAATCCTTATATAAGTCACATGATCCTGTACCATTTGGACTGTAGGTATGATACATAGGTTTACTGGAAACATAGCTTAGTAACCACGATTTGCTCCGAAAATAGCCATGTAATAAGGCTAATTCATTTCATATAAACTCCAACATAAGTTCTAGATAATTGATTAATTAGATCAAACTTGTTATTGTTCTTTTGAAACTTTCTTTCTGAGAAGAGGAGAATTCTACAAATGACTTCTCATTTCATATCTGCTAGCTTTATCTTTCTTAATAAATTGTTTTAGACAACTGGAAGTGAAAAGCCTGTCTTCACACATGAACTCAAATGTCACTCTAAATGTCCCCATGTTATCCGATGGCAAAATGCCCATTCACTGCCATTCCTGCAGGCAAATACTGCCAAAAAATCTGCCAGAAATAAACTTCCCTAAATCTTTAATGACTAAGCAACTTACGTACGAAAGTAATACATAAGTATGTACAAACCCACTTCCCAGTAGTATAAATGCTTCTTACGCTCAAGATCAGTGATATTTTGCTCACCTTATCATTACCACCACCATGTCGTGGAAAATATTGTTCTCGTTTGGATTTATTTATCTCTCCCTTCTGATAAATCCCTCAACCCCCCAACTAGCGCTACCATCTCCTTCACCCATCTCCGAAATTCAGCCATCCCTTGCCATCTATTCCCCCACCGGAAACCCACCTTGCTTCGTCCTTCCCACAAGCACATCAAACTCTCCAGCTTCCTACAACTCGAAAGACTTTGTCATCATTGCAGGTGGTCATGGGGCTTGGCTCGTCCCACGCGTAGTCTTCATCACCCACTCGTTCAAAGAAAATGGTGACACGCCATGGCTCCACGTCCTGAAGAACGCTATTCTGCAGGCACAACCACAAACGACGGTTGTCCTTGTGGGATGGGGCGGTGGAGCTGATTCTCCATTCATCAAATATGACAAAGCTGCTGGAAATATCAAAAGTGTGGGGGCATGGTTGGGAGATATTGCTGACGAGCTGAAGAGACTTCATCCGCACTTGCACATTTGGGGGATAGGCAACTCTCTCGGTGCTCATCTCTTGGGGGTGGCCGGACGGAGAAGTAGGGCTTGGGACAGGATTACCGGGATTGATCCGGCAGCACCACTTTTTCACGGGGAAAGAAATAAGGATGTCCGATTACAAATTGGGGATGCTAATCTTGTTGACGTTATCCACTCGGACGGCTGTAGTAGCAAGACGACGCCAAACTGTTGGGTGGCTCTGAACAATCATTACGCTTTGTTGGAGCCGATGGGGACGATTGACTTTTATCCGGGATACGGCGAACTTAACCCGACGCAAAGTCCGATGGACATTGATAAAAGTCATACGAGAGGAGTTTACCTCTTTATTGTGAGTGTGATGAATAAAGGACTTTTTAGGACAAACATGACGTTGGAAGGTAATCGAATCAAGAAACAAAATTAAATTCCAATTTATGTGCATGCAAGGTTTATATACAATTGGATTTATGCACATTAGGAAACCCAAATCCCGGTCCGATAGTACCGGGACAGCGCAGTTTAACAATTATTAAAAATGTGGATGTCACTGCTGAAATGGGGTTTTGGCTCGAAATGGGATTTATCCCACGACCGGTCGACTCGAGGACTAATTTCTACATTGCGCCGGAAACTTTAAAGGTTTTGAGCAGTATGAATGACCTGACGAAGATAGGAGGAGGAGGAGATGGCAGTGTCATGCTCATGGGTGGGAGGCGGAGGCGAGAATTGGTGCGAATGGTGGATTGTACTATTGTGCCAAATTGTGGGGATAAGGCTATGGCTGGACTTGACACTCTTGGAGTACTTTTACTTTGTATGATATTCGGGAGGTCTTTGGACGGCATATTTTAAATACTTGATCAATTAATGTTTGTTATTTGGATTCAAAATGTACCAAAATCATGAAATAAAAAATATAAAAATGTTGTATTATTATAAGTGTCCAGGTTCGGTTTAAATGCAAGATTAAATAATTTACACCATACTATGCATGTATTAAAGATGAATGTATTATAATCAGTCTTACAGAGAAAATTGATTCAAAATTTTCACAATTGTTAATACATACTAACCGATCGTCATAAGGCCAAGATACATTAACACTTCGACCATTGCATCCAGCTTTCCGAGTTCGATATCATCGTTAAATTTAAATACAGTTGTCTCGCGAACTCGAGTGAGGGGAATTTCCACTCTGTAAACAATCATAAAACGAGGTACAATAATAGGACTCATTGTTTCCTCGTCGTTACTTTCCTTTTGGCGTTTGCTATCTTTGTCATCTTCGTCATTCGAATCTTCGTCATTTGAATCATCGTCACTTGACATTTCAAACTCGTCAGGTTCGTCATTGTAATCATCGAATTTTTCCATTTTAAAATCGTCGTCGAATTCAAAACGCTCAAAGGTCTCATCTTCAGAATCTTCATCCAGATTTTCAGTTTCCGTCTCCCCATCTTCCTTCACTCGTGATTTAACTACATGTGTTGTCACCAGTAATCCAAGCTCCTTTTCTATAGCCTCAAAAAATCCGACAATTCCATTATCATGAGAAGTTTTCAACTCCAACCATTCTTTGTATTGCTGCTCTGGTTGGCCCACCTGAGTATTTTTAAAAAGAAATAATCATTACACACCTTTTGCAAAGTCATTAACTATGTTGTATGCTTGATTTGATATATTTATGTCCATGTATTTATAACTTACAACTGGGTACTTTTCGTTTATTTCGATTGTAAAATCAACCAATTTTTGAAAGTATGGACCTCCAATTTGTCTCAACTCTTCAAATTCATTGACTTTCATCTTTTCCATTGAACTGTAGTTGATAAAGTCCTTGAAGGTCTTCTTTCGATTTATTTTAATATCTTCCAACGACAAGTTGATTAGCTCCTCATCTAGAGGGAGGTCTTTCTCGGATGACGCTGATGCTGATTCTGCGGATTGTTTCTATTATAATTAAAACGAAATTATGTAAGTCAGTTATAATTCATAAATATAAATTAGCTAATCTTGTAAATTCATGAATAATAATTAGTAATTCGTACCGTTTCAGGGGATGGAACTTGGCGACTTTCAAACTTCTTTCTCAGTTCCAACATCATCTTTTCGGCAACAATGCGTTTCGCTTTCTTCTTGTCGAGATGAATTCCTCGGAATTTCAGCTTTCCAATAGTGCATTCCATGCTAAGAATACGACGATGTGGCGGACCACAGCATGGACCCTCCTGTAAATTTTGAACAGCATGTTATTTCAAGAACTTGCAATAAAACAAATAAACTCAATTAATTAGCAGCTTACCAGATATTCTGGTTCAGGAAGTTTATTAAGATCACAAAACGCCGCAAGATCCCCTGAAACAACAATATTTTTTTTGTTGTTATAAAATGAAGTGTTTTATCTTAAATTAAATTTGTTTGAAGTTAGCTATTATAGCATATCTCACCAATGGGGTTTCCCTTTTCAGCATATTCTGATAACATGTCTACCACCAAGTCCACGGTTTCTTCAGCATCGTTAAATTTGGCGACTTTACTTGGAGATGGTCCGGCCGATTCAGTTTTTTGATCAGCAATTGCAGCCACCACGGCTTCCTCGCGACGGTCAATAATGCCCAAGATGCGTTTTGTAGCGGGGTCATTCATGTCAAGAACCTGGCTCAGCTGGTTGTACACCATATCCTCACAAGCTTTGGTTTTTGCCCCCTTCTTTGTATTGGCATCCGCAATGGCTGATAATTTCAAAATGTGAATAATTACATCACAAACTATACTAATTGTTTTACACATAATAAATATGTCTTACCTGAATAAGTCTTTCCTTCAAACGTGATTGTGCACGTAGTTCTGAAAACTGAAGGAACTTGGTTGGGAAGTTCGACCTCGATATACACGGGGATCTTACCGCCCTTCATGCACAGTTCCTGAACAATCATCACCGCATTCTTGGGGCTTCGTTTTTCCATGTCGAATTTAGAATTTTGAGGATTTTTGAAACACTGGTTGAATATTGGAGTGAAACGTATTAAAAAGAAACCTTGTGTTCGGTCTGATATGCGCCAACCCACTCAATTAAAAGGAGCAGCCGTTTGATTGGAGCGTACAATAGAGAGCACCGAGTAAGATGAGATTCACGCTCAATAATGCGTTATCGTGCTGAATCTGAATAATCTGAAATTCAGATTCTGAATAAGTATCCAGGATAACAACGGTTATCTGTTATATCTATCTAAATTATGCGTTTATTTAATTTTCCAGAATTAATTATATAGATTAATATTTTGCACCACGATTGCTTGACTTTAAGTATCTAGGTAACGTTTGAATACGTTTTAATAACTTTTGAATCGGCAGACATAGAGACTTAATTCTTGAGGATGAAATCATCGTAATTTTTTGATTGATTTTTTAAGCTAAAAATCTCGAGAGTACTATTTCGAAAATTAAACTTGAAATCTCCAGTGAGCCCGAGTCAGACTCTGTGGTTGTCGGTCAAACCAACCATTTTCCATGAAATTGTAATGTACCAAATGCATTTAAACTTGTGGAGTGACATTTTTGAAAAATCTGTATGGATCAAGCCCTACGGTCTCACCCGTTCTGAAAATTTCAGCTAAATCGGTTCAGCCATTTTGGCTATCGTGTTCCGGAAGGACATGATGGTTCCATAAGAACTGACTTAGGCTAAAAAGGCAACAATTTTGCAGAGCCTTGTAAGATGGCATTATTCTGAGAGCAGGACTCGTAATGAACGATGTGCATATAATTTTGTGATTTATTTTTGGTATATAAACCATTACAAAACACGAACTTAATAAACTCGGAAAATTTTCCTATTGAAATTCATATTGTTACGATTAGTTTTACGACATAACAAGACGCAAGACGGACAGACGGATATAACGGGTACATAAGCCCTGATTCGGGCTAAAACCCTAAATTTAGGTAAAATTTTCACCAATGCATAATATGTATGCACGTGCATAATACACATTGTATATTTGACAAAAACAGGCGTAAAGTGCATTAATAAAATGCATTTGCAAAATGGTCGGTTTGACCGATAACAGGGAGCTTGACTCGGGCTCGTAAAGGCTGCACACTGGAGATTTCAAGTTCAATCTTCGAAATAGTACCCTCGAGATTTTTAGCTTAAAAAATCAAGCTAAAAATTACGATGATTTCATCTTTAAGAATTAAGTCTCTATGTCTGCCCGTTCAAAAGTTATTAAAGGTCAAAGTAGTTGGTGTATTTGTAAGGGACTTTTACACCAACTATTTTAAAAATAATTATTTTATTTGTAACTCGACCATTTGTCGCAACCGTTAAGGGTAACTAGGCACTAAAAGTCAAGCAATCGTGATTTTGCACTCTAATATATAACATTTTAATATTTTTTGAGTATTATGTATTTGTGGATTTGGAGGAAATTTTCACTCTGGTGGTTTGGTCGTGCTTGGATTGCCATGTGCGATGGCAGGACTGGGCGAATTTTCCTGAAATTTGAACTGGGCGACACATTTATAATACTTTGTGATAGGGTCCGTTTCCACCATGGACAGAAGTTCTACCCCTTCTACTCGTTGATGACCAAAATGAGTGTGCTCATCATCACGCCATAATTCAATCGGGAATGATCGTACTTTCTGCAAAAAAATTAGCACTAATCGTTATCGTCTGTATCGATGTCGATATGGATGGAATATTTCGTACCTTTTTATATAATTTCTTTGCCTTTGACATTTTGGCAATAGTCATGTGTGGCTTGAAAGATTTGGAGTCGCCTTTAAATCCGGCACATTCCAGTTCTTGTTTGATAAGAATTGATAATTTTTCAACTTCACGAATGTGCTGATCCCCATGAATTTTTGCAAAGAGAACCTGCAAATTGCATAAACTTTTGTTAAGAATAAAATTATCTATGAAATAAGTTAGTCACTAATAATCAACGCGTCACCCACCGAATTTCTAAAATGTCCAATGCCCGTAATAGGAATATGTAATGGATCTCTGATAAAATTCTCTTGAACACGATGAACGAGCGATTTAAGGACTTCTGTAACCCTGAAAAAAACATGTAATAATTTTTAAAACTCAAGTTTTATATGTAAATCTTAAATTATATCTACTTTATGTGAACTTACGTTGAAATGTGGCCTGCAGTTTGAAGATCCATTACATGCAAAGTAAAATGCAGTTTTTGTACTGGAATAAGCGTTTCTTTAAAAATTTGACCAGACTTGCAGGTCACTAATGAAGTCACAGATCTGTTCAAAATACGTTCTTGGAGTTTTTGAATGTTTTCCCAAATCTTCATAAAACAAGGAAACATTTTGTTAAATTATGTAGTCTGTTTTTGTATGTTACAAAATTTTAAGTCAGTGTACCTCTGAGTTTGAAACCCTAAACGCCACAAAATAATTAGGTCTGAAACCATCATGACCTGAGCTGTGGCGTCCTGCATTGTCCATTGTTTCAATGCCCATTTCGCCCATTTTATTCTTTGCCTGTCGTTTTTCTTTTGCCCGAAGTCGCTTTTCTTTTCTTTCGTCAAACGTTAGTTTTGGTCGTTTTGGATGTCTTGGATGAGGAAATGGCGAGTCGGATGAAGTCGAAGCCGTAGAACAGAACCTGGATTTTAAGAGATTATGATTAGGTTAATTGCAGAAGCACAATTTAAATACAATTTTAAGTCTTTCTCTTTACCCTCGTTTCAATAAGGTACTCATGTCATCCCCAACATCCGCTACTGTAATTTCCTCTGTCGTACTTTGTTGCACATTCTCTAGCGTTCCTTCCATATTGATAATTAAATAATCTGTGTTGTTTCTGTCGCTTAGGAGGATTTCAGTCTCAGGCTTAGGTAGGGGTGGTGCTATGGCACGTTTCCAAAAGGTGGATGTCAAGTAGGTCAAATTTCGTCGCAAAAGAATCGACATGTCGAAGAAGAAACGGGTCACTTTTTCCAGTAACCAGGCTAGTCTCATATTTTATACCTACGTTAGATAGAATGTCTATATCAGCCGTATCAATTTTTCATTTGATATTTCGTTCAAGATTCTTGAACCAAAAGTATAACGGAAACAAAAATAAACAAGTTTAGTTTACTCACAAAACAGTTACAAGAAGTATTAACAAATGTATCTGCTTACCTTATGAATCCAAACCATTAAGGTTCAAGGTTAACTTAAGTAATACAATTGTCATTGTAAACAATTTCAGAATTAGTTTTGGTATTTAAACCAAAATAAACTATGAGACAATCGGACCAATCGCAACATCGAACATCTGAACGATGGCAAATCGCATGCACATGAATAACCCAGGATTCTCTATTTGAGAGGAACTTGAGACAGAAGTTTTGAGTAATGTGAGTTTTTCCCAGTTGCCAGTCTCATCCTGGTCCTTCGCTTGGATATAACATTGCTTCGCCTGCATTGAAACAGAGCACAAAATCGAATTAAAAAAATTCGAAACATTGTAAAGCTTTCTTCTTGATTGTCTCGTATTTTTTCGTCCAGTGATGATTTTGAAGTTTGAACAAAACCCATGCAACAAACTACAAAATTTCAAAAAACTAAGATATTCTTTGGTCTGTGGATGATGAGTTGGTGGTTTTTACACCCCACAAAGTATATTTCTGACTCCATTTGAGGTCACCTTTCCAATGCTACTCAAATTATGTGGTACGGTGACAAAAAATCATGCCTAGTATCATAGCGCACAATTTCATGAGAATCAGTCATTAAGCATGATATGCAATCAATCAATATGCCTATTTGTCAGTATTTCACGATCATGTTATCGAAGCGTGTTGCATAGAATAAATATTGAGAACCTTCACTCAACAACAAAAGGTGATACGCATTCAATCTACAGATTAAAGCATTACCAGCAAAATATTGAGACTTCAAAGTTCATAATTGAATAATTGGAGAATAAATAATAAGTGAAAACATGGGAAAAATAAAATCCATACTTTCCATCACGACATTCTTATTAATAGGATCCTCAACTATTTTGGGACAACAAGAAGACCCTGCCGTGACCAGATTTAGAGAATATCTTAGAATTAATTCCGCACACCCAATTCCAGATTATGGTGAGTTATTCTTAAAACCCAAGATAACAATTTTCAAAATTTAGAAAACTTTTTGTACATGTTGACCGTAATTATTGTAGACAGCTGCATTGCCTGGTTGAGAAACCAAGCTCTGGAAATTGGCCTCTCCTTCAATGTGGAATACTACGATCCTCCAGAACATTCGTTCTCGGTTTGGATGACCTGGAACGGAACTAACCCTCAGCTAAAGTCCATCCTTATCGATTCGCATATGGACGTGGTCGCCGTGGACGAGGTAGTAAAAAAGTTCAGTACAATTATATAATTTAGTTTCTATATAATTCAGTATGTTCAATGGACAATAGAGCCAGTGGGATCATGCTCCGTTTGAAGCGTTCAAGGACGCAGAGGGGAACATTTTTGCGAGAGGTGCCGTTGATATGAAATCCACCACTGTGGCAGTTTTGGAATCTGTTCGGAGGTTAAAAGCGTCAGGGTTCAATCCATTGAGAACGATTCATATCATGATTTTACCAGGTTAGTGAGACTTGGAAATTTTGAAAAGGAATGCAACTCACTATAGAATTGTTGAAATTTCTCACGTTCTTTCTTCATAATTGTTTTATTATGTTTAGACGAAGAATTGTACAGCCGAGGAGTGAAAGGCTTCGTGAACTCTACAACTTTCACCGCTATGAATATTGGGTTTGCACTGGACGAAGCAGTATCAAATCCAGCCGATGAGGATAATCTTCTTGTCACCTATACAGAAAAATCTGTTTGGCGTAAGATAAACTTTATGGCCACGCCTATTTAAAATTATAAACATACGTCCACATATTTATATTTGCTCGTTCTTTTCACCACACAGAGTTCAACTACACCGTTTATGGAACTTCCATGCATGCTTCTACATTGCCGGAAATTACTGCTGGCCAAAAGTTGCAAGTAGTTATTGATCGTCTCCTCGAATTTAGAGCGTCTCAACTTGACCTTCTTCAACAGCCAGGAGTTACATTACAAAATTTGACGACCCTTAATTTAGTGCAAGTCGGGGTAAATGAGTCTTGCGACATTTTTATAAATTGTTCACATGCGCAATGTAAGGATAAAATTGGCTAATTTTACGATTTAGGGGGGACTTGGAAATAATATAATTCCTCCAGAACTCTGGGTGTCCTTCGATATGCGCATCGTAATAAAACCTGGATGGAATTTTTCTGATATAGAAAATATGCTGGATAATATCGCTGCAGAATCAGGCAACGACACTGTGATCACATATCTTGTAAAAACAATGGATTATGGATTAACCCCAACAGACAATTCTAATATTTGGTGGGTTACGTTGGAAAATACATGTGCACAATTGTAAGTTTACACTTTATGCATACATAATTATGACCGTTTATTCATTGACGGTTATCGTGCAGAAATGTTAACTGTACTCCAAACATTCCAAATGGTGTAACGGATGGGAGATATATACGAAATATGGGAATCCCAGTGTTCGGACTGAATACTTTCACCCGAACCCCATCAATGGCACATCAGACTAACGAAAGGATCAATGAAAATGTTTTACTAACTGGAATCACAAGATTTACAAGATTCATTCAAAATTTTGCAATGGTGTCCGAAATTTTACATCCTTAGAAAAATATGTACTGTTGATATGACCATAATAAAATGTTAATTTGAAGTAGTGGTTCTAGATAAATTTTCGTAATCACCAAAATTCGCTATATTGCCGAATTTGTATTGCATAAAACCGTGTAACAAGGATTTTCACATAAATACGTAGATTCCATAATTACTGACGAAAGGATCGAAATCAATATATTGCATAATAATAGTTTGTCAATGGCAGTGATTAAAAAATTACGGTTGTATAACACAATCTTACAACATGTGAGCAGATTATCCGTAGTTTATGCATTTTGTGATATTCAGTAGGTATGCAAACATGACTTGAACATCTGACTGTGACAATTGACGTCAGTCATGTCAGCCAATGAGAACAATCGTCACCAATAACGTCAACCGTCCATTAAAAATCAACGAACCCATATCGGTAAGCGAGGACTTGAGGTGTCAAGGATCGTCAAGATTGTATCTGATTACAATTTATCAAATAACGGAATTTTAGTCGACAGCACACAACATAACCAAATCTGATTTATCATACTTACCCATCAATCACCTAACAATTACTAAAAACAACTTGACAATATATCTCAGTCGTTGGGTATCTGGGTTTTACAGCATCTCACACATTTTGACAAAGTCAAGAAGGGATCATCTCGCAAAAAAATGCTGCGTGTTGTTATTTTTTCGTTGTGCCTAATCCTCGCTCAGGTACGATTTTCATACATGTAACTCAATTTCATTTCCTAATTTATTTTAATTTGTCGATAGTCTGACGACTTGGAGAATGTATGTATGCCAGGAGACGAGTTTTCGCCGCATACAGATTGCACAAAGTATTACATGGTTGGTTATTAACTTACTTATAATACAATTGACCTTAATTTGTTGTACAAAAAGATATTAAACATTACATAAATTTACACCTTTGCTATAAGTGTAACAATGGAATCCCAATCGAAATGACTTGTTCGTCTGGCCTCTATTGGAATCAAGCAAAAGGAATATGCGATTTTCCAAATGAAGTGCCAGAGTGCAGTGGTGGAACTAGGTATGTAAATTTTGGAATCTTATCAGAATATTCAATCTATAAAATTATAACAAATGATGAACTTCTAGACCCCCTGTTGGGACCGATCGGCCCACAACCACGGTACCAACTACCACGGCACCCACCACTACTCCCCCGACGACGACAACTGTGCCTACAACAACACCTCCCCCAACAACCACGACTCCAACAACTCCTCCACCTACGACAACTACGCCAACGACAACTACTCGACCAACTACAACCACCCCCACACCAATCACACAACCGCCAACGACGACGACACAACCTCCGACTACTACTGAGGAAATCCCAGAAACAGAACTTACCAACCCTCCCTCCACCCAGCCTCCGTCGACTACGACCACCACAGAAGCGCCAACCACGACACCTGAGCCTCCCACAACGACAACGGAAGACCCAATTCCAGCAGATTGTCCCCCAACCGGGATGATCCAACTTCCCTACATAGGAAATTGTACGCTGTATCGACTCTGCATTGACGGTGAGACCATCATTTACAGATGTCCGGAAGGGAATCTGTATGACACGGAGCAACTGAGGTGTCGTCCTCGAGGGGAGGCGGTCTGCACGGTGGAAGGAATTGTCCTTATCGCAGGTGATCTTCAATTTGAAATCGACCAGGAAGAAAGAGGCATTGACATGATTCCCGAAAATTGGATTGCTGAAAATTTTGAAGAAATGGCTAGAAAATTTGCTCCATTCAGACTAGATTAATTTAATCATTTGAAATAACGAAATAAAAAATTTAATTTGCAACAAGTAATGTAAAGTGTTAAGTTATACACGGTTAACAATGTCTCATTCACTATACGCATGCAGGGAATCACACTGAATTTTTTATGTTTAATTCACAATTTAATTGGCCGCAGTAATATCTATGTGTGTATGGTTTTCGTCTTTGGTTTTACGCTACTCGTAATAAAACCATAAGGAAATATTTTGCCTAAAAAATACGAAATTCACACGAACAAAGGCATTATTGGCCCTGACTGAATTATATTTTCTTTTAGCAAAATCATTTGCTCATAATTTGACTATTCTTGAGGAAATCGGGGAATTAGCTGAGAAGGAAAATAATAAAGCTAGATACATTTTTTCGTGCTGTTCGATCTTTCGCTAATTTTGTTATTGTTTCGCTTCTGCCTTTAAATTATTTGTCCGATTTTGTCTGTTGGGGATTGCCAACTTACTGTTACTAGTTATTATTTAAGTACTGTAAATGATTTTGAGCACACTACTCTGAATAATGAGCATATCATGGCATAGGTACATATACAAGATTTAAATATTGAGATACTTTAATGTATTTATTTCAGCTCAGGCAGTATACGTTCAGTACACGTTACATGAATCTCAAGTCTTAACATAAATTAATTACAAATCCTAGAGTAAATAAGGGCAAATATTGATCGATTATTCGGGATGTGACGCGACTGATAAGATAAGGTTCACCTTGATACCATACCGAAATGAATACAGTCCGTACCGGTGCCGGTGTAACCGAATGCAGAAATGCAAATCTTTGTAATAATGTATTTATATTCAGACGTACACTCCACATTCATAAATATTTAGGGCTCACTCCCAGAAGGTTGTAAGTACTGCAGTAATTATTCCGGTATGGACGAGAAAATTGTCAGTGTGCTGGTTGAGAATAGCAGAAACCAAAAATGCGCCCATGCACCCTTTCCAATTAGAGGGGACATACAAGGACCCTGCACAGCTTGTCCTCAGCTTGACCCCAGTCAAGCAGAACTCTTCCAAGAAATTAAGCAACTCCTTGCAAATATTTCCAAGAAGAATTCCGAATCTGCGTCAAGTTTGGATACTCTTCGATCCCATTTTTCACAGGATAATTCAGATCGGTCATACTTTGAAATTTTGAATTTGCACAATTCTTCCAAAGAAGGAGGCTGCGAAACGTTGCTTCATCTGGCATCAGATGCCTCGGAATATGAAGCTATCGAAATCTTGCTTAAAGCCGGAGCCGATCCAAACGCCACTAACCGGTGGAACCAACTTCCATTGCATACCGTTGTGGACGAAGGAGATGGTATGAAGATAATTAATTACACATTTAAGTAAGTAGGCATTTTGATAATTCTTTATTATGTAGGATGTTACTGCCCTGCATGCAATCAGAAAAATGCAAAGTGTGTAGAACTCCTTTTAAGATATGGGTCGAAAACGGATATAAGGGACTGGGAGGAAGATACGCCCTTATCATGTTCGGCATTAACATTGATGGACGACTGCGCTAGCGTACTTTGGGAATATGGATCTAGTGTTCATACCCAGAGGTGAGTACTTATATATTTACATACGTACGTATGTAGTTCAGGTAGCGTACACAAATATGCGTAAAACTATTGGTCTTATGGTGATTTTGGTCGGTGAAAGTTAGTAATTCTGCTTTCTCCTTTATTACAGTAAAAGGCATGGACGTACTGGTGAGCTAGTAGCAAGTTACATTCCAGACACGGTGTGCGGCTGGATGGATAAGGCAATCCAACAGCACGACAAGGAAAGGCTGCAATTACAACTCGATTTTGGGTAAGCTGTTCACCATGAGCTCCTTTCTTATCAGTTTTCGTTCGCCAACCTTAATCCGTGCTACCATAATTTATTTCCAGGGTGTTGATCGGAAGCGTTGAAGGAGATGGGGCAAAGTACAACAAAGAGACACATTTTCTGGTGTACATGAGCAATGTGCATCGAAAGGCGAAAGAAATGCTGCTGCTCCACCCACTTGTCCAAGCATACGTGTCCCTTAAGTGGGACGTAATATCAATTCTCTTCACTTTCTTGGGACTCGCTTACGTAATTTTATATACAAATATTTACTGGTTTATAACATTGTAATAAGTGGTTCTTTAATTTAGCTCGGCATTGCCCTCTTGTACACCTGCTTCATCATTTCATTCTTTCTGTACCACTGTCCCTATGAGGAAGCCTTAGATGAAGATCTCGACAACGGGACTTTGAGTAAACGAGTGACCGCAAGTCAAAAGGCTAAAATGGCACTTGGACCTTGGGACTTTAGCGATGGTAGCGATGACCCATGTCATGTGACGCCTTGGATTTACACCATGTCTGGTTTTCTTATCTGTTTCTTGAGTTGCATGGTCTTAAATGAAATATATGAGATGGCACAAGGGTTACAGCGATACTTCAAAAATGGACTCAATTATGGGTGGCTACTCATGATTGTGACTCTTACGTTAAATGTGCTTCCTGTTTTTGTCAACTTTCATGGTCATTGGCAGTATATCGTCGCCTCGGTAAGAAAACTTGTTGAACAATGTCAAAGGGGTGGGCAAAAAGTGAATGTGAATATGTGTACTGTATTGGACCCAAGTCTAAACATATTCTTATTGCCCTTCCCTCATGCATACGTATAAATATACATACGTCGATTTTATATATGTACCTAAGGTTAAGAAAATAATTTATTTAACTGGAATTCTTATATGTTCGTCCATATAGTTTGGCGTGTTCTTGACATGGGGAATGTTTTTGACGCAAATAGCTCGACACCCAAAGATTGGAATTTACGTTGAAATGCTCGGTAGTATTGTGGTCGAATTCTTGGTCTTTTCTGTGACTTATTTCTCTCTAGTAATTGGATTCGCGATGGCGTTCGCGGTCTTGTTTCCAAACGTGAGCTCAATACTTAAAAATATTTATCTCGAATATTTCAACTATTAAATTCGAACTTAAATGATTGCTTTTTTTAGAATCCAATGTTTGAATATGTGTACGGCTTTCTCCCATTTGTCAAAGCACTCCTAATTATGACTGGGGAACTAGATTACGAGACTCTTTTTGATGACGCTGAGAATCCACGTACCGATGATTTGGAGTATTCGATTGGAGCTCATATAATTTTTGTCGGATTTATAATTATTGTCACCATACTGTTGTCAAATCTACTGATTGGCTTGGCCATTTCAGACGTTCAAGACCTACGAAGCAGAGCAAACTTATCCCGGACTGAAAGGTTAATTCAGCAAATTGACTTGCTTGAGACACTATTTCATAAGGAGTGGGTACCTTCGGGTTTGAAAAATTGGTACAAAAATCGTTTTTCAATTAAATCTGTGTGCGACTTGACCTCTCACGAGGACGAGGAGTATGGGGAGCAAGAAGAACAGATAATTAACAACAACGACGAAGATGAAGCTAATAATTCGGATAATAATCAGGACTCGGACAAGCAATCACCATCGGGTGGCTACAAGCGGTGGGGATATTAAATAGTACTAATCAATAGTAATGAAGGTATAAATTAATCAAGGGATTATTTATTTTTTAGAATTATAGGTCCGATTTATAAAGGATTTCAGCCACTGAAAAAGGCGGAGAAAGCATTACCAGCGGAATTAAAAGAACAGTTTATTCGATTCGTTAATAAGGACGAGTGTAGTAGTAAAAACAAAATTGTCGAAGAAATTCAAGCAGGAAAGTCAAAATTCTGTAAAAATTGTACATTGTTGTTACAGTCAATGTCGCCAATGTAAGGAAAAATTTAATTTGCAAATAGCATAGAATGATAAAGTGTCAAATAATATTGATATAATAACTGAAAGCTTTAACTCTTAGCTTTAAGAATTCGCCAATTTAAATCACCTAAAAATTTCTTGGGGATATTTTAAAAACCTTTTCACCCTTGGGTGGAATTCAATATACGTTAGGCAATGCTTAGGCAAGAGCAATTAGCCTAAGCAAATTGAATTCGATCCAAAATATGTATGTATCTTTGCCTATCTTAGCTTGAAGAAGTTTGGTACATGTAAAGGAAAGCTTGCCAATAAAAATATTATAACAACCAATATTTTAAATTTATGTCTTCTACAACTGATTAGATTACATATATCATTACGAACAATATGTATATATGTATGTATGTTACGAAACTGGTCGGATGTAATTCACATACAAATACATAACTCATTTCTAAGGATCAAGTTTAATTGCATACTTATCCAGATTGCGACCTTTGGTAGAAGTCGAATAAATAACATAATCAAAAAAGATAATATATGTCATCTTAAATGTCACTTATGCATGACTATAAGTTATGAGCCATAAATTTGTGTGAGACACTAACATCGCGACACGACGCCATGCATGATGGGTCTTTATATATATACATATTTATTTATTGGAATTGCAATAGTGTTTATATATGCATATGTACATGTATAGATTCTGACAATATTTTATTTTGGTATAAATTTTCATTGTTAGATAAGAAACCAAGAATTTACATTATACGACATTTTGAATCCCCGTTTAATAATTATCCTTCATAATATTAAATTTCTTATTCCGTCCTTTATAATCTTCCGTCCCTGCAAGGGGGGTGTAGTAGTCATCTTCAGACTTTGGGAGCTCGTCTGGGTAATAAGGATATACTGGACAAGGGCGAGGTTTTCTCAAACGTTGGTAGAGGCACGGACATTCCTCGTCCAAAACAACGGGGGGACCCAGCCAAGATTTGCGGCTTTTGTGATCTTCAACATCAAAGACAGTAAGTGGATGGACAAGGACGGTTAAGCTCCCATGATTCTGGGTAAACCATGCATGTGCTGCAGCAAATGATGTCTATATTGACGTAACGACATTAAAGGGACCAATTAAAATTGTAAAGACAGATTTAGTTACCTTGTTGCAACACATTTCAAACTGGGACACGGGATGGGGACCTGTTAAAAATGATACATAATATTTTGTTTAGAGTTAGAAACCTGCATATTTTACCATCCCATCCCACAAAAATTTGATTGAGGGAGCATTGCTTCAAATGGCCGTTGTCAATATTGGCTCGTAAATCTTTTCTGAATTGGATAAGTATTATTCAGTATTATTCTTTTAAAAACATAAAAATTATTATTTACCTCATAGTTAACATTTCATTTACACTTCGGTTATTAACTTCAAAGAAATACGTGTGAAAATGCCAGGCTTGAATGGATGTTTCGATAAACTCCATTTCTATAGCGTCCTCAAGCCTTACAGAGTTGTCGTCGTCGTGTGCCGTCGTAACGGACACAATGGACACCGTTATGAGTAAAAGATTTTGAAAACCTGTGATTTGCATTGTGCTGAGTCTTCAATAAGTATTTCACTAAAATGTAAAGGATATCCACAATTCTTTAAATACATGGAGATTAATTGGTAAAATGCAGATGGTTGTGGTCAAACCCCATACAATTTGCTTGACGTATATGAAAACTAATCCTAAGAATTGACGCGTGCATTAAAGTACTTATTTAAAAAAAGTGTGCTGCTCAATGCCACACATTTGTCATTTTAAGTACTCCAAAGTAATAGATGTGCAACAGCCCAAAAATAATTTTATTGTGCATATTTAGATTCCAATTACTTGTGAATTTGTCGAATATAGGTTGTCTGATCAATAACAGATATAATTATTCCTTATTAATTACAAATCAGCCACCTTCACAATTGCCTTGCCGAAATTTTTTCCTTCCAACATGTCCACAAAAGCTTTAGGAGTATTTTCAATTCCAACGGCAATTGTTTCTCGGTACCGCATTTTACCTTCTGCCAGAAATTTGGCAAAAGTTGGGATGCACTTTGACCCACACTCTGCAGCATGATCAGAGACGATAAACCCACTTAGCTTGATCCTTTTGGAAATTATTTGAAACATATTGTGGATCCCTTCAGGATTTTCAGTGCGGCTGAAATTAGAAATAATGTGATAATCCTTATCGGCACCTTTTTAAAATACATAAGTGGCAAATTATATTTTACTTGTATTGCGAAATCATTCCACAGACTGCGATTCTGCAAAAATCATTTGCAACCTCGAATACAGCTTCAAGCATTTTGCCTCCCACGTTTTCAAAGTAAATGTCAATTCCCTTGGGACAGGTTTGTTTCAGAATTGAAACAAAATCGGGATGTTTCTTGTAGTTGAAGGCTTCGTCAAATCCCATTTCTTTTAGGAAAGCAACCTATGCAAACAGAAAATTGGTTTAAATCGAAAATGTTATTTTAATTAAAGCATTTTAACATTGGTTAAGAGAGAGAAATTCAATCACCTTGTCGTCCGATCCCGCTGATCCGACAACTCGGAGTCCTAAAGCTTTTGCATATTGACCAACAACTTGACCAACAGCTCCAGCAGCTGCCGAGACGTACAAAGTCTGACCAGGGGTCAACGGCTCGCAGAATTTGTGCAAACCTTAGCAAAATAATCAAAACATGCTAATCCAGCAATTCTTTAACAATTAACCAATTTATTTATATATTTATTACCGATGTACGCTGTCAAACCCGGCATTCCCAAAACCCCCAAGTAGTACGAGAGTGGGACCTTTGACTCTCTTGGATTAGGGATTGTCACAATGTTGCCCATCGGAGAAACGGCTGGAATCACGACGTACTCCTCCCACGGCGAAAACGTCACGAGAACTTGTCCATCCTTAAATTTTGAATCCCCAGAACGAATCACTTCCACCACGGCGCCCCCCATGAAGGATTTTCCCACCTGCGCCGCTGGAAAGTATGACTGGACCTCGGGCTTGCGCATCCTGGCCCTCATGTAAGGGTCGACACTCAGGAATAAGGTCTTAACCAACAAGTGGCCATCCGGAACGACGACATTTTTTGGGTCAAAGGCGACCTTTTTAATTTCGAATGTTTCTGAAGGGTTGGGAAGACCGGTGGGTATTTTGGTATAAATAACTTGGGTATTCATTTTAAATTGTTATGTAATAAATACTTTGGTGGACAAAATTTCTCACTGAATGTTATACTGGACGGGCTGCAAGCTAACTGTCATCAGTTGTGTTCATATGAAGTCAAACATTATGCATATGTATTTATTCAGTTAGCGACTATATGCATATCCATACGTAGGGATGGACTTTAGACTTTCCAGAATCATGGGAGAAAGACAAGGTCGAATTGAAAGAGATGGTGGCTTTGCATTGTTATGTGATGATAATCAGATAATGTGACCATACTATTGAGTATGGTGATGGTTATGGTAATGAAATTAATACAAAGTGCAAGTCATGAAAAATGGCATTTCAAACTTGCTCAATCATGGAACATATTTATGTATGCACATACAATCAAATATCTATATACATGTACAAGAGAAACTAATTAAATGATATCACCTATGTCAACTAAATACGTGGTCAGCACCAGTAACTCTAATTAAATGATCAACTTGATTAGATAACAGATAATAGTAGTTTACATATCTCCAAGTATTAGTAGTTTTAATCAAATATTAATATCTATATTATTGTCATAAGAAGTGAAATCATACTGGTACAAAATTATATTTAGCCTAAAAGACGACATATGTATATGAAAATTAAAATGCAATTAGCAGAGAAAACTAATAAACAAAGTCTAATTATAAATGGAATTATTTTTGTCAAAAAAAACTTAATATTAGGAGTTACTAAATACAGGATTTCGTTCAAAGAAAAAGTCTATGTACATCTTAATATAAAATTTCAAATTAGAATAACATTTAAGTTAAAGCTAAGGCGTTAACTTTTAAACCATTTACAATCTCAAGAGACTAAAGGGTCGACTAGTTCTAAGATAAATACTTTTGTGTTCGAATGCAGCATTGGCGACACTTCTGAGCATCAGGATTGTCTGTGCAATAGCAACCGGGAGATGCATTGAACGGACCAAGAGGAGTTGAATTCGGAGGGGTGCACGCTCGTGGCGACTGCGAGAAACTTCTTGTGAGATCAGAATGTGTATTTAGAGAGAGCTGTTTATGGTTGCGATTGAATGCATCATAGGGCCGGAATCCTGGGGGACATAGGTAGCCCGAATTGGCAGAGGGATAGCTGCTTCTGTAGGTTTTTTCTGGTTCAGCACGGCGAATGGGGGGTTGCATGGTATTTGCACCATAGAGTTCATACTGCCTTTTCCAGTCATTAAAGGGGGGTGACAAGAATGTAGCAGCATTCTGTAGTGTTTCGATGGTCGATGGAACCATAGTAGATGGATGTATGAAATGATAATCATTATTGTTTGAATGAGTCGCCGAGGAGCTTGTACCATTCACCCAGTCGTAATTATAGTCAAATGAAATTTTCCAATCTTTCATAGAACGGATAAATATTTGCTTCAGATATGAATAGTCAGGTAGATCTTCCATCTTGAGAGTTTTAGTATAAATAAGTAATTTTAAAAAAACCATTGGCAAATCCTGTCGAAGTATATAAATTTATAAAAAAATGTGACCTATTCATTTAATATAAAGACATTCTATTTTAGCTATGAAAACTCACGGGACAAAGGTCAGACAGTAACATTTGTGACTTCATTTCTAAGATCGCTTGATTCGATTTAGAGTTCGTACTACCCAAAGTTTGCCACGGAAGACAACCTTTCAACAAGTAGATGAGGGTATATACCAGACTCTCCAAATCGTCCTTTCGTCTATTAATTAAAATATAAAGTATTGCGTAAAAAGCACTACTACAAATTTTATATTATCATTGTATTGAATGAACATTTTTACCCCAGCTCATCACCACGGTGGCTAGCAATCGATGCAAACCTCATAGTTCCAACAATAGACTTGGACTTGTGATTTTGTGGTGGAATATGTTCAAGTGTGACTGGATGGCGAAAATTTTTTGCAAGCCCAAAATCAATAAGGTACGGATACTGTAATGATTAACGAGTAAACAATGAATACAAAATATTAATTGAACATGATTTTGATAAATTATGTATACTCACAATTGAAGATTCGCCAACCCCAATCACGATATTTGAGGGCTTGATATCCCTGTGAATGACGTTCCGATAATGAATTCCTTCCAAGCAGGACAAAAGTTGAATCGCCTAAATAAGACATTAATAAATACAATGTAAATATTGTGTTAAAATAACTGCCATCATTGACATACCAGCATGTGTACAGTTTTAATAGACATCTTTCCTCCACAAACAGTCAGCAAGTCCTTGAGTGAGGGTCCTAATAATTCCATCATCAAAATGGTGTCAGTTCCATTACACCCAAAGTTTCTGAAATGATTAAATAAGCAATTATTATTAAGCTGTATGCAAATTTCCAGCCATTTTAAACTAATATACACTTACATCCATTTCGGTATTCCCAGCAAACCCTGAAGCTCTTTGAGAATTTGACTCTCTCTTGCAACAGTGGCAAATTTCATGGCAGAAAATTCCTTTTTGATTGCAACTGCCTGAAGAAAAATGAAAGACGACTAAGTAATTGTATCAAATTTAAACGTCATACTACACATTACTAATTAATTCTCAATTTACGCAAAATTACCTCATTTGTATCTACATTAATCCCTTTAAAGACAACACCAAATGACCCCGATCCTAATTTTTCAATTTTATAGTAGCTTCCAAATGCATTCATCGGCTTCACCTCTCCAGTGTCGTTATTATATCCGCCATCCAGCAGGTTGTCCCCTCTAAGCGCTTCTTTCTTCACAGGACCATCATATTGAGGAAATATTTCTCCATCATTCGCGTCATTGTTTACCCTATCCTGGACAAACCACATACATTATGATTATAAAAATTAGTGACTGTTCAACAATAAAACATGATGACAAACCAATTACAAAAAATTACTTACTGCATCCAAGCGCCTCCTCCGCGAGACGATAGTAGTAATATTTCTATAATTTCCCGCAGTCTCAAGAAGTGAGCAACCGTTTTGACCTCGACCTTGACCTTGATCAGTCGCCGTATTTTTCTCCTCTTCCACGACTGGAGCACGACACGACGGGGTGGCGGCATCATCGACCATTTTTGCCCGACTGCTTGTCAACTTTACGACTGGACTGGAAGGTATTTCTGTAACGGAGATTGAGCTTCCCATCACTACAGGAATTTGCCTTCCACGCCCCCCTTCCCCCCTGACTAACGATGACGATGGAGATGACGAAGACGAGGAGGGAAATGCTGACTCCATTATCATTTTGTACTCAATAATTCAGCTATCAATCAAAGGGGAGGAAACCATGAGTAAAGTGACAATTGGCAAGGGGCAGGACAATAAACTGACAATTTTTTGAAAATGGAAATGAAAAATTGAAAAATGAAAATGACGAAGCTTCGTTTGTCACTGTTCAGAAACTTCTGACTCCGACAGTGAAAGACGAGGTATTAAACAAACTGGAGGGAAGAAAGGCAGCCGCATGGATGACTGATTGTTAGATATGTATTTCATGAGGCAGCCGGCTGTCTGTTGTTGTTGCCCAGACTGTCGGCGCCGGAGGGAAAGTAGCCAGCCAAAAGTCGTCTATCTAATTTAAGTACGGTCGGTCTAAATCTTATACACTTTGGGACCAAAACCCAAATTCGCTTAACACAGCTTAACTATTAAAAAAATAAAATGAAAAACGACTTGCATTGAGTAATTTATGCATATGAAATTCCCATTTTGTGAATCATAAGCTTATGAATGACATATTTTAAGCATGTATGTCTCGAAAGGTTGAGACTTCATTCGGCTAAGAAAGGAAAGTACTCTCCAAGGCTGGTTTTTCGGCCTGGCTCAAGAATTTTATTTTTTTAATTGATAAAATATACGTCATTGGCAACTATTTTGTGATATGGTTCAGAATTTAATGAACTTATTTCCCGAGTGTAGGCTTATGTAACCATGCAAGTCCGTCTGTCTGTAAATTAATTGTAAGTCCCGTAAAACTTAACCGATTGACTTGAAATTTTTTGCACTATGTTTAAAATTAGGAATTGAGTTAGATAGAATATGGCTCAAGTCTGTTATCAGGGAGACCCGTGACTCTATTTAGGTCCTGTTGACCATCATTGAAACTTAATTTAGATTAAAAAATTTCAAATTGATTTCGTACTTTATACATGTGAATTTGATTGACTCATCGGTCGAGTATTCAAATCCGGTGAGTTGTTGGTTCAGTATATTTGAAATGGTTGAGACGGCTAAAATTCGGGACATTTGTGTACTAACGTGAAAATACAATGTAATCGACCAAATTGGCGACCCCACATATTTTCGAAAATGGACACAGAAGGCTTAAATTTGCATGAAGTTGCTGGGGCAGATCAGATAACAAAGAAGAAATTTGTAAATTGTAAGATTTTTATGCCAGGGGACCCAACAAGGTGACCCCCACTGGGTTTGGTAATTGGTAGAAGCAGATGAAATTCGGTATCGAGGCTAGTTTAAAGAAAATAAAGTAAGGTTTATGAATATTTTTGTGAGAGGGTGACCCATACTGGTTTTTTGAAATTAGTCGAAAAGCTGATATTTTACATGCTGGATTATAGGAACATTTCTGACGATTATTATACGATAATATTAGTTAGTACGAATTTCTGTCAATATTAATAGTCCCAATTCCTTAGAAAACTTTCTGAAAGGCTATTTTGTTTTTGGGAAATAAAACAAAATAAACCCTTACAAACGAACATAAAAAAGAAGCGTCAGAACGCTCCAAATTTCCTTTAAAATGTCACTGTATCTGACAATTACCGTATTTGACCCTTGACCTCTCCTCAAAGTCATGAGGTCTAGGAGCAAAACGGGGATTATGTTGACTCTTTCTGGAGATATCCTGCTGACGGACGGACGGACAAAACGATCGCAATAAGTAATTGAAAATTCTTGTACCATTATATATAGTCCCATATAGTTGTTTTAAAATATCCTACATCAAAAAATATTTATACTTTCAAAAATTCCATGACCAGGGATAAATGGCTTCGAAAAAATTAACATTTCATAAAGTTGAGTTTTAGATTGCATAAAGAGAACAACTGTCTGGAAGTACAATGGTGCAAAATTTTCAAAATCCGAGAAAAACTGGATTTTTGGCGAGGGTTTGTTTGTTGATTGAACGAGTGAAAATATGGGTTTTTTTCATTTTTTGGCTCTTTGTCAAAGAGTCTTTGAGTGGGTGTGGCGGGTGTGATCATTGAGTCATGCAACTCAGAGTTGGGACTTTTGATCAGCTCCTCACCCTCCCCTCCCCTCACCAATTCCTCAAATTTTAAGTCCTCACCCTCCCCTCCCCTCACCAATTCCTCAAATTTTAAGTCCTCATCCTCCCCTCCCCTCACCCATTCCTCAAATTTTAAGTCCTCATCCTCCCCTCCCCTCAGCCATTCCTCAAATTTGTAGTCCTCCTCCTCTCCTCCCCTCACTAACTCCTCAAATTTTTAGTCCTCACCCTCCCCTCCCTTTACCAGTTCCTCAAATTTCTACTCCTCACAGGGTCGTGAGATGACAAAACCGTTGATTTTTGAAATCCCCGCTCAAATCTACGTCTAAAACGGTCGAGACGAAAAATTCAACAATTTTCGACTTTGGCGACATCTACACGGTCATGGTATCGTCGCACGTCGAAATGATGGCGATTTTTGAAATCCCCGTCTAAAAATAAGTCTAAAACGGTCAAAATAAAAAATTCGACATCTTAGACCGTTTATGTCATCACCGTAGCGCCGTGACTTTATGACCTACGACGCACACCTTCGAACTCATCCGTACTTCAAAATTAGAAACACGTCGCGAAAACCGCATAGCGAAATTTGAATCCGTTCTAAAGTTATCGTGGATAAAGGCAGACAGATAGACGGACAGTCACAGAGCGGACAGTAGTATATATCTATCTGTGTCTTACTCCCTCCTTTTACTCGAAGAGGAGTAAAGAGGACGAGGAGTAAATTACTCCTCGTCCTCTTATCCCCTCATCGACTCCTCAAATTTCTACTCCTCGTCCTCCCCTCTCCTCACTAATTCCTCAAATTTTTAGTCCTCCTCCTCCCCTCCCCTCACTAACTCCTCAAATTTTTAATCCTCGTCCTCCCCTCTCCTCATTAATTCCTCAAATTTTTAGTCCTCCCCTCCTCTCCCCTCATTTTGGAGCAAAAACACTAGCTACTCCCCCTCTTTACTCCTCCCCCTCACTCAAAAATGAGGACGAGGGGCAAAAATCCCATCACTGATGCAACTTGATTGTTTTAGTACAACTCATGTGATACTACCGCATGTCAAAAAGGCATCAATATCTGTTGGCAAGTAGGGAAGTTACCCTTAGTTGGGTCATCTGACAAAATTTTAGAGAAGGTTATGACCCTATATGTTTTTCGACTAATTTCAAAAATCAATGTGGGTAAACCATTTAGACCTTGGAAAAATATCCATAAATTGACTTTCTTGCAAGATCATTTTTAAATTCTTGCAAATTGGAGGAGGAATTTGATAACCAATTTATCAAATTCCTCTTCTATTTCTTTTTAGCAAAACTATAAGGTTCTATAGGGTTAATATCCTAACTGAATTCGTTATTGAGATATATTAAGTGCATACAAAATTACAAGTCAATCAGATAAGTTTATCCAGACCTACTTATCAATTTGCCGAAGGACAGACGGACATAGTTACATAGGCTCGGGCTATTCGAAGTAGTCTAAGAAGGGGGATAGAACTTCAGTGAAAATAGGTTGTTCACGACAACGAAACATTTGTAAAATTTATTTTTTAATTATTTTTTATCCTAAAAAGTCAAAATCCGACCTGACTTTGTGCCGCCGTAGCGGTCTTTGCCAAAATCACCTTTCTTAGCTTTTTCGCTCAGAGCTAGTTAATATTATAAACTAAATTTAGAGTAAAAATCTAAGAAAGGTGATTTTGGCAAGACTTGCTGCAGCCGTTTCAATTTAGCCGAAAATCATGCCTTGGACAGTACTTATCTTTGAGATTTGAGATAACTTGCGATATCTGTATGCGACTATGAATTGTAGGAGGATGCTGTTTTGCATATAAATAAAAGCAAAATTTAATCTGACTTTGAGGAAGATCATGTTGGATAAGGTGGATTGGGGAATTTGATAAATTTTCTAATTTTCTGTCATTTCTGCAGTGCAGAAATGCACCATTCGCATCTGATCCAATCATGCAGTGCGATGCGAACTGTGTGAGGTGAGACTAATCTCCGTCTCATAATCACGCGTTGCCCCTCAATCTAATTATAATGCCGTTTGATTCCACCATCCCATTGTTATTTCGATGTTTTTATTGCCCTATCTCTAAAAATAAAACTACTTATCACAACATATAGTGAGCTTGACTGGTGCTGTACGTATATATGCACATGTATGAAAGTGAAGTGATTTTGGTCAGAAAGAGTTGTTGAGGAGATGATAAGGATGCTGTCTCATTGAGACGGCATAAACCAAAAATTTTACACAAGTGCGTGTGGAAAAACTCCAATTCAAGTAATAAAGGGTTCGTCTGCAAACTTTAGATAAATGATCTTCATACGTACGAGAAGCTGTTAATTAAATAATTGCAAAGTAAATATTGTTGCATGGTAGATTAAAATGCATATCTCGATTTGTCAAGGTCTCTAGTAAAAATATGGATGGGTTTGGTTTAAACTGAAAATGTGTGTATTAGGATATTGAACCAATAATTGAACCCAATGAACAGATGACAGTTCACTCCATGCACAAAAAATTCCAGTACTTATTGTCAGTTGGTTATCAATTTCATCATAATGATTGAGCAAAATGAGCTCAGCCTTGGTTGGCATTTTAGTCTATGTACATTTCTCTGTATTCTCAACCACCGTGATCTGGATGAGTTCTGCTCAGAGCCGGATTTGACAAAAACAATAAACGAATGATGATTAAACAAACACTTGTTTAAATTGCTCGCTCGACAGAGTCACACAGTTTATAATTAGACATGACAAGAAGAGCAGTGTTAAATGCTTATGTATGATGATCGATGAACCGTTGATGTAACATGGCTAGACTGGAAATAATAATTAGGGACAGAACGTGGATGTACAGATTTCAACTACATAAATAATTAAAAGTTCATCATCATGAAATGGATTTGTACATACGCCCAGAAAAGGGATCATCGCAGTTGGTCAGTAAAATGAAAATACGCACACATCCAGCAAAGTACCCGGTGCCCAGCCTCAGAAATTATGCCACTACCAAAACTCGTGATGATTGATAAGATAGCCAACAATTATTAACCTTCACTAATTTGACTCATCATATCAACATACAAATGCATAAAACTTGCTAAACTAGTGAATTGACGTAATAAAGCTGTAGACTTTATCAGTATTTATTACTTTCCAGTTTTTGCTCGTTTAATGGAATGTCCCAACTATGCACGTACGTACATATTTATGTAACGTACTCAATGATCGATTTTCCAGTATTTTGGGGAGATGATTGGCAACCTGTTTTCAGCTTGTGTGTGCATAAATATTACTTCAGCTTTCCTCTCATCTTGTCAAAATGAAAAGAGATGGATGGAGAAAGCGGGTTGCGAAACAGGTATCCTTTGAAATGCAGCCAGTCAGCCAGGTGGTTATGTGAATTGACACAATCCAAGTAACGCTCATGAATAGACAGATATATATATGGACAATTTTGTATCATATATATTCTCTAAATTTCCACCCAGACACTGAGAAGCTGCATGATATATGTACATACGAACACTTTAACCGTCTCGACTTTTCCACCACCCTTGGTTTAGCAAAGATAGCAGGAATGAATTTGTAAAATTGAGACGGAATTGGCTAGACAGAAGCTCTCATATCATGTCACAGACCAATAATTATACGTCCGAGGAGCAAGGAACAGGATCGATCAATTTTGTAGTCTGCTTTCACCTTTAAATAAACAACGCGCCGGGTAACGGGTACTAATATTGCTGGGTCTGGGTTTCAGAGCCATGCCATTACAGCATGACCTTGACGATTCCTTTGCAAATTAATGCAAATTCCAACCTTTCCAATTCCACACAGAGTTGACCGAGTATTGAAATACAAGTTATTTGATAGATATATACGTACGTATGGTAATTCCGAATTGAAACATGACGTTTGTTTAAATATACTGTATGCCTAAAATTACTTAGTTATTCAGCTGCATGAAACCGATCAAATTATTCGCGACCATAGAAAGACCATAGAAAATGTTGGTTGGTGTGGGTCGGGTTTTTTCTACATAGTTACATATATCTTACCGCTAATTTAAGCCTCATATACATTCATCCTGATTTAATACCTACTAAGTTATTGCATAAAATTCATTACTCTCTCTCTCTCTTCCACACACACCTGAGTCGGTAGTTAGTGAGTCTTATTATAGAATTTGAATATGATATTAATGCCCGTTACCAAGGTTGATGTTGAGGACGTACGTATCGTATCATGTTGCGTTACTTCTTGGTACAATTTTTTAATAGTGCTTATATGCAGCTCATCAAATTGCTCCCTCATGCATGTGCACTATAATAGAAATTGGGCTTATGTAACTTGTTTATTTCGCGTGATTGCATGCAATTGGTGGTTTTTAATTCAAGATCAGAATCCGCTCGAGAAGAATTAATATGTATGCTAACGTCTTCAAGTGATATACATTATTGTATGTAACGTAAATATGTGAGGATGCACAAAGTTACAGAAAAAATAATCAGTCAATTGATGAAAATATTTGAGGAATGCATATGTATTTAATCACCATCATCATGAACCTTCACGAAAAACATACGCAGCCAACGCTCTGCTCACAGCAGCGCACCGTTGTTGGCTGCGTATTTATTTATTTATTTATTTGTATACACACCAAGTTTATAGGAGAAGAGAACATAAAATAGAAAGGCTGAATGCTAATAGAGGAATTGGATTTAGCTAGTATAAAAGAATGCTAAGAGGGATGAGTGAGTGAGAAAAAGCCAGTTTTGCCTTCTCTAAAAATCTGGCTGCAACCAGAATCTGTTTGTTTGATAAGTTGTCACGTCACCATGTGCGTGTTTCATCATAAAAGTGTAAAAGTCTGACCAGAAGAACACGACCATTAAATAAGCCATTCGAGAGAGGAAGAAAAATCTGGTCATGTTCAGTTCTTCTTAATGTGTGTACAGCCTTTAGCTCTGTCTGTATAGATAATGCATGTAACTAATGTACTAAATTAACCAAGTATTTATTATCTGCATGTAAATACATAAGCAAATGACACAAAAATTTCTCTCAAACGTAAATGATTCCTCTCACAGCAGCCGCAGCAGGGGCAGTGATAACTTGGCTTGACCACGCTCCTCCTCCTCCTACGATATTATTTATGATCATTTTACTGTTTTTAATATTAGCTGCTCCTGCTATATAGCCGTAAGCTAAATAGTCAGTGCAAATCCGTAGGTACGAGCATGTCCTAAATATGTAAGAGTTTTGTTCTTTCGCCCATCATCATCATCATCATCATCATCCCACCCAACACAAAATCATAATTTACAATGAAATCATTTTTCTTCATGGCACGTTATTTCTATATCGTCGCACACCAGAGAGAAGCATTTACATAGCTGCAAACACAATGATGCTTGTCATACTACGTTCTACTATGTCCGTGGTGAATGTCTGTCAAATAATGAGTGGTGCGTTGTTGTGTATTGAGGATAATAGGAAATTTGTCATTATTTATGCAACACCCTAGAAGTTTACAACTCCTATCAAGTGATTGAACCAGTTTTAGCTGGTGTGAATAAAGGACATGGGGATGGGACTCTTCACGAATATGTACATACATATGCAGCCTCATATACTTTTACTCGTGGCATTTAAATTCATCCTCGACTGGTGGAGTTGTGTTCGAATTCGTTGGTTACGGTTAATATGCAGGCCCCCTGTTTTATGTGCGAGTGGTTCCACTTCACCAATGATAAATACAAAGTGATTCACAATTCTGGCCTATGGTAAAGTTGTGCCGTGATCATATTTGCAGGTATATAGCGAGTAGTAGAAGAGTTTTAGGTGGTGGATTTTGCAGGGAAAGTAGACCTTGTTCAGCAGAGGAGTAAATCATACATACACAGTCGAGAGTCGGAGAGAGAAGGAGAGAACTGGTTGTACATTGCACTGAAATCCGGGTAACTTGTACCCAACGAACTGTACATTAAAAGCTAAAAGTATCGTTAAACTTCACAATTTTGCGAATCGATAAGACAATCGAGAGCGACTTTTTTTATTGGGCATTGTACCAGCATGATGACCAGTGACGTTATACTCCGTGGGTTTCAAATGGGGTTAAAAATCGTCGTAAAACGTAAATAGTAAAACGAAACGGTTACACAGTGGGTAGTTAAATATGCCGTAAATTGTGCCAAACTACTACTTTACTACGTTACACGCTTAGTTGTAATACAAAGGAATTATATTACGATTCAGTTATTAAAGAGAAAGAAATACCCAATGTGGAAATTTGCGATACCAAAAATCTGGAGAATTCGTAAAAAAGCTGTGAGAAGTGTATAGAGATTTGTTTCCGTTGTAAGGAAGAAATGTAAGGTTGGAGGACACGACTTCAAAAAAATTGTAAAAGTTTATTCAATTTTGTAATTTTGTCCAAATATTTGGCAATATCGAAATATGTGTCGTTATTCTCATCTCTGTAATTCGCCAGTCTTATTTCAAAGCCTTGTGAAAATTAGGAGAATAAATAGGTTTCCCTAAATTCGTCGTCGTACATAGTCCGAGAGTAACAGTTAACGTGTGTCCATAATAACAGTAGCTTTACCCAAGAAAGAATTGGTGTTATTTGCGCTCATGCATGATACTCCAGCTACCTAATTACTTAAGTTTTTGTCGTACAATTACTGATGACCTGACACCAAAAGATAATTAACTGATTCAAAATGTGTGCTCAAAGTGGTGCTATGTGTCTCCTCAACCAAATTGTTTAACTATTTCACATAATATTACATAGCAAGCTCTTTAATATTTTACCTTATAATTCTGGACAAGCTAAGAAAGTGTTGGACAAAAATGAATTCATCATTAAATATGTAAATACTAGCGATAACTTTTGTCAACCGTGCAGTTAACTTTTCTTCGACATTATTTAATCAATCGTTGAAGGCGTTTCTTTCATAAAAAGGGACACCTAATTAATTCCAGTCTAATGAAGAATATTATGTCCGGATCGATAATCAAGTTAAACGTCAGTGTACATCGCCAATTTAAAAGTGCATTTCACCGAAGAAGTTATCATCCCCGTGTCCGAAGGCGGAAACAGGATCATGGATAACCAAGAATAATTATAATTTGTATACTTAAAAAAACAGTAACAATGAACCATAAACAAATCCCAGTGATAGTTACTAGTTGTTTCTCAATTAAAAAACTACCCGACGACCCACCCCAACAATTCCAGACGCACACAAAAGCATAAAACTTGGCATCACGATCACCACTCTGGTCAACTGTCAACTCTTGAACATTATGGAATATTCCATTTCTAATACATAAACTAAAAGCAGGCTATTTATAGATTGTAATAGATAAGTAAATGACAAGGTCCCTTAGAATTAGCGAAAATAGTGCTGCTAAACTTTTAACAAGACGTTGCTGAGTGAGAGAAAATGTGCAAAATGCTCGAGTTGACAGTGACCTGTTATGCGTGTGGGATGCCATCCTCGTCCCTCTGGGCACGAAGGGTGCGACGTCGTCGAGGTCATGAGAACGGATCATCGTCATCGTCATCATCATCGTCATCATCACCAGCTCCATTTTACCCCCAACTGGAAGCCAAGGATTGTCCCCCAGGAGCAGTGGTCAACGACGATGGCACGGTCCACCTCTGCGCCTTCTGTTTCGCCTTGCTGGATTTCCAGCAGCAATCTTCCATGTCGTCCGATGGTGGGGACAAGGCTTCTGGCAGCACGGACAAAAAAGATGCGGAGAAGAAAGTCAATCCGATTCTGTGGAAATTTGTTTGTGGAGTTTGCGGCGTGGAAACTTACAGGAAACGTGTCCGGGCTTTGCCAATTCAGGTACTAATGATTTAATGATGATGATGGCTAGGGTTGCCCCGGGTAGTGGTACTACCCGGTACCCGGCTACCCGGTACCCGGTCTAAAAATTTTGCCAGGTACCCGGCTACCCGGCCGGGTACCGGGTAATATTTATATGTTAGAAATAACGGGAATTTTGCTACTTTTTTCCTGAATTTCTTATGAATTGTCTCACGCCAATGTCTTACTTATCGTAATCATTAAGCAAACTTGCGAGGCTAAAAAATTTGTTTCTTGAAGGGATTCGATTCGAATTCAAATTGCAGCAACATATTTGGCGACATTTTCGAAGTAATATCTTGCGAATCGATAAAAACGTCCATTTTGATCTTGTTTTCCTCGATTTTCGCAATTTCTCTATATGATGATCGGGGAGACAAGTTTCAGAAATAATCTTGCGAAACAACCAATGGCTGTCTAGCAAAAACTTTGAGACATCTTGCAAATTTCTCAAAACTTCGGAAGTTATGCTTAATTATGCGAGATATGCATTGCCTGATTGCAAAAATTGCAATTTGGCTGACGTGAGTGCGCTCAAAGTAATTTTAAAATTTGAATATTATTGCCACATAAGTTTTGTCCAACCTTGTCCCCATTTTTTCCAAATACATTGTTTTATACCAATTACAAAAATGTAATCCATGGGATTATACACAATTTTTTGTAAGGTTTTGAATTTTAGACAAGATAATTGAATATTTAAATTACCCGGCCGGGTAGACCGGGTACTTAAGTATACCCGGCCGGGTACCGGGTATCCAGAAACAGGCTGGGTATGCCGGGTACCGGGTATCCAGAAACAGGCCGGGTATGCCGGGTACCGGGTAACTACCCGGCACCCGGGGCAACCCTAATGATGGCTCGGTTATGTAAGAATGCAGGCACATTATGCTTCGCTGTTTGCATGCTTAACCCCCTGCATATCTTATTTACCTATTTACATGACTATGCTTCTTCTTCTCAGTGTTAGTATAAAGTATAAAGTGACATGTGATCGTACATGCATATATATCTCCATGCAAGATGTTAATTTCTACCAAAATAGAATAAATAGCATTGTTATTGAGTTGGTCGGATAGAATGGTAACAGCAGGTTAAGCAACTATATATGAATATGAATCAGCCATAACACATAATGAAATGATGGTCTCGTTCACCTTGATGAGAAAATAGCAGCATCTGTCAAATGATTGGGATTATGTGTAGGGTTTGGAGCTATATTTAATTCTCGATTGTTATATTATTTATCATATCGTCCAATTGTCAGTATGTTTTGTTCAAAACAATTTAAGCAGTTTATACTCACAATAATATAATGAACAATAATTGAAAATAATCCATTATATTTATTTATAATCAACTGTATACATAGGAAGAGAAGGATAAATAACAATGCTAGTTATTCAAATTACGATGGATGTACATTTGCTTTCTTTATTGGTTTTACAGAAGTTCCAATTTTTAACGAAAACGAGGAAACCTGGAAGCATCAGCATAACGCTTGGCGAGTCGGAATGTGCCGTGGTGTGCCTGGACTGCTCGGAGACGCTGTGGGTACAGAGTGACGAGTACGACCGGTGGGGGTTACCCGAACACAAGCGTCACTTTAATTGGATGGCAAGACCACCTCCACCCGAAGATAGTGAAGAGGCCAATCTGGCAAGACTGCCTTCGGGAAAATCGCAGGTGAGTTGGTCCACTCGTAATGCAATGACTCATATTTCAAAGTGCAGTATTACTGCGTTCTGAGAATTGCAATGACGTTATTGGAAACCTGATTGAGAAATAATTTGCATAGCAAATTATAAACATTTTTTTTAGTTTGTACTAGAAGGACGTGCAATCTTATTCATAACGTTTTTGTGAATATAACGTTTCGAATTTTAAATAATAAATATTTTTATACTTTCACAGCTACCACGCACTCCACCAACGGAACCAATTTTGCCAATGAGCCCTGTAAAGGAGGCAGAAACCTTGCAAAATTATCGCCACAGGCCAAAGAAGGGTCATAAAATTCATCGTCCTCACCGGTCTGGTTCGGTGAGTAGCAGCAGCAACTCGTCCAGCTCCAATATGCAAATGGATATTGATAGCTTCCAACCACAAGTTAAGCGAAAAAAGATGTTGGATGGTGAAAATGGATCTCCGTCAAACAGAATGATGGTAACTTTGAGTAATTTTATAAAAAAAACATGGATTTTACTAACTTTACCTTTGTAAAATCAGGATCAAACCCTACCCCACTTGGAGTCCCTTGATCTCAGCACTACTACCAGATACAGTCCTCCAATTGGGCGAAGTTCGTCCAAGTCGCCGTCGTCACAGACACTGCTGCATTCAATGACGTTACCATTCCCCCTCCAGTACCCAACTAGCAATATCCCCCACGCGAGGATGGCATATCCAAATGTGTATCCCGCTGCAACCACGTCGCACGACAATACTCCTCGGAACCACAGTCCCACACAATGTCATCAAACTAACGCAAGCATCAGGGGTCAATTACCTGGTGGTGGTAGTGTCGGAAATGTGCGACTACGAAGTGACCCCATCCCAATTCGACAACAACATAGCAGCAGTTCACACAATCAACCCGTGTATGTCTTGTCGTCCAGCATATTGCGTAATGCGGCTGGGTTCACAAGAAGACACGGACATGACCTTATTGGGATGAGTGACAATGGGATGATGCAAGCGAGGTTTGTGGTACTATTTGCATGCAATTATTAAAATTTGAAATTTTATCTAACTCTAACTGTTTATTTCTAGGTATCACACAAACGTTGGCAGACCTACGTTTCAAGAAGAGATTCTTCATCGACCTCATTTTGTGTACACTGCCCGACCGCCGCCTACTTTGATGAGAGACTCGGACCCATTCCATTACAGATTTCTCTCCAGAATTCCAAATTCTGTGAACCAAAATTCGCAAAGGATTCGAGTTCAGAGCCAAAGCCTGAGACAAAGCCAAGATTATCCAATTCTTCAAAGAAAGACTCCATCACAAGCTTCTCCCACGTTCAGGGAAGATTACGGTCCCCCAACTTCACGACGCTTCAGTATTCCAAGTCTTGCCCCGCCTGTCGTAAAAGGTGATGGGATGTCGCCATCAATAGCTCTTCTTCCCAAAAAACGAAGAAGTTGGGACAATCTCAATAAATCTGTACCAAGTGGTCTGGTAACATTTGTCCCATCCGATAGGCCGACAAGCTCAGCCGACAAATCACATTTGCAAAACACTACTATGAAAAATACAGATGCTGTTATCCAAGGAACGAATGTCCACAATTTCAATGATATTCCCAATTATAAAATTTGACATAATTCAAAACGTCATAAAAATTCTTAAAATTATTGTTTGTGGCTGATGTGAGTCTGGACTAGTTAATTTTTATTATTTGCTTGAAAATTTCCTTGAAAAACATTTAAATGTAAAATTAAAATCCTTACGTTTAAAATTTCGTTACTTTTTTTATAATCTCAATTTTTACGTAAACGACAATCTCTTCATGCTGGTATCCATAAGTAAATATAAAAATATTATCGATTATGCGTAAGTATGTAACTCTTATTGTGGTGCTAAACATGCGGGTCAAAGTATTTTTATAGAGACAATGTATAAGGCCATTTAGTTATTTGTCGCATATGTACAACTGTGTTTAAACCAGGCAACATATACCTAAGTACATACATGCATATATAAGTATACGTGTTGTTAAATTCTTATTGGATCAGTATTAAATATCCAGCATCCAGGGGAGAGGTCTTACATAAGCAAATAATTATATAGCGGTATACATATTATTAAGTATGGTAAGGAATTGTACTGTTTGTAGTCGATGGGTCAGTAGTTTTCTGAAATCTATTTGAAAATACTATATTACATCTACAAATGAAGGTTAACTATTTGCCTGCATACTGTTTGATGTATGCACAATAATTATCTAAGTACCTCACCCAGTCAGTCTCAATAATATAATCGAATATTACGACATAGGCTCAATACATGTATGTCTTGATGAATTTGGTTCACTGGTTAAACAAAAAATGTATATTGATGTGATGATAACTGATAATAATGAATTTCTTAAGAAAAAAAGGCTTGAAAGTTGTGCGTCCGGGAGGAAGGAGGACACAGTATTAAAGAAGCAATTGTGCGACATTGTGCTATTACTGTACATGTATAATTGGGGGTTGTTTGTTTATTTCATAATGCGGGTAGATTTCAGTACTATGTGTTTAATTTAAACGTTTCACTCTCAGAAGACATAAATGGCTATATGATTCAAATTAGCGATATTTGATATAAAAATCCCCAAGTTGCCGCAATAAAATTGTTTTCATAAATCTAATCGATAATGCATTTTTATTTCCCACGGTTCCGAGTTTGAATTTCATGCTTGCAACGTATCCAAACAATATCCGATGTAAATTTGCATGGTGTGTGGTCGGAAATAGACGCCATCTTTTTCTGTGCAACATAGATACGAGTATATCAGAATTTTTTGCATGTTGTTTCGGCAATCAGCCCACTCTACGTATATAATGTTACATTTTTTTACGAAGCAGCTAATTATGAATTATGTTGCAAGTGTCTCGATATTATGATGAGATCATTTATTCACAACTTTTCCAAGCCTGTTATTGCACGGAGTAGTCTAAAATTATTGTTGCAGGTCACCTCATTTGCATAAATAAGTCTCACTATGCCCAATTTCGGCGATACGGGCTTTCCATGCAGAATAAGCTCTAATGCGTCAAAATATGCAAATGACGACACGCCGGAATAATTCCAGAGTATTGTTTTCCTTTATTTTTCGTAGGTGAAGCCATGTAAAAATTAATATATATATTTGTGGTAAAGATTTACGGCACACTCGTCGACTCCGTCATTTCATTTCGTCTTAATTTCGAAAACAAGTGTCGCTCACCCTGTCGGAATCCCTAATTATGAAATTACGACAAAAAAAATTATTCTGAACAAGCTCTGTACATCAAGAGTGTAAATATATTAATATTATCCTGAAATTGGGACGATGATGAATCAAAGTCGGAGACACAAAATTGAAAGAAATTTTATCTTTGTAATCGTAAATTCCTTGACAAGCTATCCTAATAAGTACTTCTTTGCGTCGAGTTTTTGTCAGGTTTTCTTGGCGATATGGTATACAGTAAAAATGTAAGGCATTGAGTACAAAGTGCAACATAAATTATGTATACATAACACAGACGCTATTTATACTGACTAATCCAAGTCAACATAACTTATTGTCGCATTGTGTTATTTGTATCTCATCATTTATATGATAATGAATTGCTTGCTATAGCGTCTTCAACGGCGATGATCTGCTTGAATTTGGATGGCTTTGTTGGCTTGCGTTACTTTTCGTGAAGATAAAAAATATCTAGCCTGTGCAGAATAATAAAAGTTGAAATATAATTTCTGAACATTATTTATATTTCCAACTTGACTTTGCTATTCAATTACTTTGGAAGGCATTTTATCCCACTCTGCCGAGATAAAGCTAGAAATACGTATGTACTTGGCATTAATTGCGATTTCTGAATCATAAACTGGTAGAATTATTTGTGTCTACACATTTTAACAAACACTATTTATTTATAACTTTTATATATAAACTGACTATTTATTCAAACAACCACATTGTGTAGCATTGGTTAATTGGATTTGGACGTAGGTGATTTTATTACGGATTCTGTCGATTTTTAGGAAGGACGAGTTGAATTTCTGAATTTGAATAGAGGAACAAGTTTGTAGTGCTGATGGACAATATCCTGCAATTTAATTGTACATGTAAGTAGGATAAATATTTTAGTGAATAATTGTGATATTATGTACATCGGGAGTAGAAAGAAGAGTAAGTGATTTTGCGTGCGTACCGCTCCAATCGCTGCACGTTTTTAAAACGACGCCACGTGGGACCCACTCAACTCCGGGGTCATAAGTATAGCTTGACAAGTCTTCCAAGTACACGATTCCTTCCTTCGGTGTATCACAGCGGTAGTGGGTGTGCAGGGTGCTCAGCTTGTGGTGTGTGGATGGATGAATTAGTGACCATGTTCTTATAACCACCTATTTTTTGTTAATTGAAATACTCACCAGCTCTTGCACCCTTTTGTTATCCCCACTTCCATTATTGTAAGTCACATGGAAGGAAAGTAGTAACACCACCACAAGGAGGAGTGACATGGTGTGACTCGTGTGCAGTGGAAATGTGACAAAGGTGACCATCATACAAACGAGTTTTTTGCATAACATACTTTATTGTACAGATACATACTTCTTATGCGTCATTAAATACATTCTCAAATCATGATCTCTAAATAAAGATGCCACAGCGTCTTACTAGTCGCCAAACATCGATCGTTTCCAAGTAGACCTCCCACCGGCTCCGTGCTCGACCGGTACGTGGAATTAGGGGCACCTATAAAATTGAAGGTACACACTGTACAAATATTGTACATGTGCAGCATATGGTACTCCAATCGTCAGAAGCTTGCATGATTACTATGATTACAGGTCTAATCTAATCCGAAGTCTGATGGTGATAGGTTGTGCTTAGGTGACCTAAGTGGCTGAGACAACTATGGCAGTATGAAGGTGATCCCATAGTTAAAAACAGTATTTTATCAATATTAAGGATTTATTGGCTTTAGTTATCAAAATCTTGTTGAGGCATCGACACTGTCTCAACTTTCCAGATTTATGTGTGGTGATATTTGTATAATTTTTCTACCATTTTGCTTGTTGTAAAGACTAGTATGTATGTATGTATGTATTGGTGGGGTGACGATCCTGCCATTGTTGGACAGGACCGTCAGCTGCGCAAGCACTAAAGGCTTATTGCAGTCTCCCCGTATACACCGCTTTACTGTGCTAAGTCATGACTCTCACGATTTACAGATCTACCTTGACCTACAAACCGCCCTGATCTGATTATGAATTGAATTAGATCGGGCAGAGACATAGTCACTATTTGCTCTGGTGGCAACTCATGCCTCCCAAAGAGTTCTGACCTTAGGGCACAATACTTGTCGCAGGACCCAAGAAAATGAAATACAGTCTCAGGGCCACGGCCACATAGGAAAGACTAGTACAAAATACAAAGATAAACCTAGTGAAGCTTGAAACATTTTAAACAGCTATAATAAAGTAGTGCTCGTATGCGTGTATGGGTAAACAGTGAAGGAGGAGGGAACGTGAGATTATTAATGAGGCAGTTTACCTTACCTGTTTGTTGTTGCAAATTTCTCAGAACTATACGTCATCAAAAAAAAACTAGAGTCGTGAAATGTTATTGTGCGTGATTTCGCATCTACCAATGAAGAAATGTGACAATATTGTAAAAATTCAACTAATTTAAAACCTTCACATTACATAAATTAAATTTGCAAGAAAGTTGGAAGACAAATGAAGCACAAGAACATATTAGGGAATCAGAGGACTCGCAATAAAAAAAATCTCACTTTGTTTATCATTGCTTTAATAACGTTCATTTTAATGTACATGTCCTTGATAAAAAATATTTCAAATTTCTTGCATTGAAGATTGACAAATGATAATTGATGATAATAATGATTGACAAATAAAATGTTCTTAAACAGAAAAATTGTAATTCCAAATGTAAAAACAAGTATAATCATAACTCTGTGAGTGGAACAGTTGAGTGTGGAGAGATAAAGCTTGGAGGTAATACTTTGAGTCACAACTGTACTATTAAACAATTATTTTATGCCTAAAGCACCATCAAGAAACCAGCGAGGTAACAGTGTGTTTAATTTTTTCTCTCCGATACGTTCAGTATTACATTCTATGGTAAACTTTCCATCCTGTATTCCAGATTTACTTTTGGAATATGAAAATTTCTTGACCACTGTCTGGTCGTTTTTTGGAAGTTGAAGTTTCATCCAGACCAAAACTTGATCAACAAAGTCATAGCAAAGATGTCGTGAAGATTTCATGGGTTCTCCTACTCTTGATCTAGTCCATAATTGTGCTTCATTCAGAAATTCGGTCTTGGCCAAGATATGATCTCCACTATTAACGTCTGCAAGACCTAATACAAATTTTGAAGCTGACAAGACCACAATATCTCCCCAATATTTGCGGAATTTGTCTAAAACCGTAAAATAATAAATGAAATTAAGTATAATTAATTATGAATGTATTAATTTCAGTTTGATATGGTTAAATACGCACCACTTTTTTCTCTGCTATTTAATGACTTCATACGAACAATGACATTGTCTCCCATGCTGCCCTCGTTAGCATCCGTGTACATCAAGAGTTGGTGTGAGGGGCGAGATCCGTACTGGAAAGGAATTAGCCCTACCGAATGCACCTTTTCATGTTCCTTCACAACTTCCGGGTTGGAGTGACCTGTCGCCATTTGCTGAAATCTCAATGCGCTATATGATCCAATATCTCCTCCTCGTTTAGTTGGTTTTGCATCCCACAAGAAGATCATGTCGTGAATCCGGATAGCATTAAAGGTCCACGCCTCTCTGCTAATTGGGGTCAGCAGTATGTCTCGCAACCGACCATCGCTACAGATAAAATCTGGTTTGGTTTGTGCAGTTTGAAAGTACCTACAAATGAGCACAATTATTTTAGATTAGTTTCGAAGACCAGAAATGAATCATGTATTTGAAATACAGTACCGATGATCAACGATCCATCTGTAAAAGTGCATAATTTTCATGTCCCTCGCCTTTTGGTAATTTTTGATCAAATTGTTTTTCCTGTTCATTTTGTAGTGGGCAGAGAGATTTGTCCCAACAAGATTATTAATGCTATTTCCCGACAATAATCTGAACGGCTTAACGTCCTGAGTTGCCAATAAGGTTTTGGGTTTACTTGATGTTGAAGGTTGGCCTTTGTTAGGCATGAAATACCCACACTTTTGCATGCCATTGAATGGATTGTCGGTTTTGAATTGATGGTCACCGCCCGTGTCGACAAGATCATTAACAAGATTTATGATAATCTTAGACGATTGTGGCACATTTGATGATGGATCTGGAGGTGGACACGTTGGATTGGAAAGCAAAATGTTCATTTGATTTTTATCCAGGCCAGTAATGTCAAACATTGTTTCAACAATATGCTTCATGTCTTTGTCGTCGGACATTTTATCTCTGTAATATTTATGTACAATAAATATACACATATAAATTCGCAAAACTCACGAAAATATTTATAATGTAATATGCAAAATACCAAAGATTTTCGGTATTGTGTGGCTTTTCTATCGCTGCCTTGCCCTACAAAATTATCGGCTGAATAATAAACTACACTTTAACTTTACTGTAAAATTTAACCGCAACAACCATTACAAATTTCATGCCGCCCGAGAAACTCGAACTTTACCCCAGTTAGTTAGAAGTACGTATGTACGCATTAAAATAATTTATCGACGACATAGGTTTTTTAAATTAAATTTCAGATAGGGAAAAATTTAAAAAAATTTAAATAATTTATGCAAAATGACTGGAAAATTAAGAAATCACGCATTTTGCATATGAAATACAATAACTTAACAAATATGCTTCGTGCATGCGATAAAAGAAATTCATACAAGCGACGCCAAACTCTTGAATGATCTAAACTTGCGATAAATAATCAAAACCGATACTTTGTTCTCTCTTTTTTTTCTTTCAACTACTTTATTTTGCTTTAATTGCATTTTCCTTTTACTTTGAATATTATTTGATTTCTTGAATCATTATTTTTTCCAAGTTGGATTTCATCATGTTAAATACTATAATTAATTTATATATCAGATCATGAAATAATCTTAACTTATCAAATGTTAACTTTAACTCGTTGCTTCTTAAAGATATAGTTCGCTCTAAATAGCACAGTCTTCCTTGCACAAGTCTCAAGTTCATTTTCTAGCGTTACGTACATATGTATATGACATTGACATTTCGTGACGTGTTTTAATTGATTGTCGTATATTTGGCACAACTTATTAAACTCGTAATAATTTCTGAGAGAACACATTTTGTTTCTGTAAATCGATCGGATGACTTAATTTCTTCCTTTCCCTATTTAGTGTACAAACTATATACAGTAAATTAATAATAATAAAATGTAGCATAATATAGATCTCGTTTCTCGTGTGTAGTAACAACCCCAAAGTAAAAAAAAAAGAATTGAGGTTGCTCAGTTAGAGTAAACTTCTTACTTACTGGCTCAGTTACAACAGTGAATATAAATTACATATTTAGCTAGAGGTACAGTGGTTGCTAAAATTCAGCTTTAGTTGAATCATGGAATTTTACCGACATCAAAATAAATTAGATAAGTAAATATAGTTCAGTTAGTGATGATGATGTCGTTTTTAGTTTGCAGGGACACAATGAAAAACGTAGTTTCGCCCACAATTGTTGTCCCAAAATTCGTTCTTCAAGCACTCATATCTGCAGGCGAACGCAAATTTGCACCCAATCCTGGTCCTGCTCGAGTCTACGGTTAAATTAAATTCGAAACGATCACTAAATCCGTCACACGAACCGGGGACATAAGTTGCCTGAATTTGGAAGAAAAATTATGTTAGAGATTTGATTTGATTTATGAGATTTCTATTGAATGAATTATGTAATGTAATAATTACAGGAATTTCCTCAAAGCTGTCCCAATCGTTGTAGGTATATCTAAGAAATACAGCTTTGTTAAAATCCAAATTCTTGACACGGACACATCCCTTGATTTGGTGGCTGTCGGTAAGGTAGCAGTTTTCCAGGAGCACCTAATTCGCATAAAAAGTCGTCGTGTAACTATTTTTGTTAATTTATGATGATGTTTTGTATGCATTTTATATCGTATGTTCGAACCTTTTGAGAATCCACACGATCAAAGAAATCTCCCATTTCAACGGGTTGATGGAAGGAAGGCAAAAGAGTCCTATCCAATTTATTAACCTTATTTCTTTTCTGCACAAAATCTTCTTCCCTTTGATCAATTGCATCTTGCAGGTCACTAAAAAATTATATTATGTATTTTAAAATTATATTTAAAATTCAGACATTTTATTTTTATCCCAGTTTATTTTACCTGAAGGCACTCTTTGGAACATTCGGTATTTCATCAAGAAATAATTTGACATCGACCAAGTCAAGTCCCAAGCAATCGGCAAATCTCACAATTTTCTTGTGTCCCGGTGTCCCAGGCGGAGTCTTATTCGTTTTAAGAGATGAGCTGCGAAGTCTTTTATTATTAGTGTCAGGCTCAGCTATCGTCGTCGCATCATCGTCTTGATCGACATTAAAATTATTATTGTGAGAGTTCGCATCATCATTACTGTTTCCATTCTGGTTAAGAAATTCTAAGCTCGAGGGTCTATTTAATTGGAGGGATTTGTTGCTTTGGTTTTGCTCTGAGGGGTGAGATTTGTCTTCTCCGTTTAATTTATGAAGGACCTCGACGTCATTTTTGTTACTACAATTATTAAGCTTGAGCGTCGTGGGTGTGGGTGGTTGCTCTGTTGGAGGAGGTTTGACTTTAGTGAGGGGGGTCATGACCACTCCGTTGCTGCTGTGATGGTCCTGCGGACTGAACCACTCCATCGTGTGTGGTTCCGTGGTGGTGGGGGCATGGAGAGAAAGCGTGTTCATCCCCCACCCCCACTCGCACAAGTCCCCATCTCCGCAGGGAGAGTGGAGCCCGACATCGGAAGAGGACGTTTCTACCACCTTCAGCCCATTGGTACCGTTGGAGTTGTGGGTTGTCGTCGGGCTCATCTTGCCGTCTGAAGGGGAAGTCGGAGCGTGGGAGTAAATCCGGTTTTGTAAAATGTAATGGTGATTGCTCGCCAGTCCACGGAACGTGAGTCGGTCAGTGTTGGGCACTGGAGATGAATAAGTTGTTATTATTTAAAATCTTGGACCAAGGATTTTCAAGTTCTAATGCACCCTGACTAAATTTGTGCCATTCCCTCTTACCAGTATTGTAATCTGGAAACATTATCATCATCACTTTGGATAAAATTCGGTCAAAAATTGACAGATGATTGGAATCACGCCACTACTATGACTTCCACCCGATAAGCGAGATTATACTTAACTAGTCTTGATAAAGACTAAATGCACACTAAAAGAAGAAGAATTACTTCGTCCCACAATCTCAACCAAGGAACCGGTACATGTGTATGTATGTAGCTAACTCGCTCCAGGTTAATATTTTTGGATACGACTTCCTCCTTCGTAATCAATCAATCGTTTACTAGCTCCTAAATATTTTACATGGTAAACTTCCCTGTTTTACCACTCCTACTAACAAATTGCTTAATTCATAATTAAATAAGTATGAATGAGATCTGGTAAATAATTACTAAATTGCCAAGTAAAAATGTGTTATGTGCAAAAAGATCTGGATGTGAAATGGAAGGAAGTTTCTCATCCTTTTCCAACCACTACCACTGTCAGACTAAGAAGTCAAATCTCTTGATGCCAATCTTTAGCTGCTTCTGTTGGCTTGAAATAAATCTCCAGAGCAGGCAAAACCTGGTCTCATCTTTTGACATTTCTGCTCTCTCCTTCTCTCTCGACAAGGTGGATGTGCATAAGCATCTAAGTACGTAAGTAGTGGATCATGGATGTAGTAATCAGTATACTAAATTACTATTTATTAGTAATATTTAATACTAAGAAGCATGCAAGACCGAAAATGGCATTGTGCTCCCTAAAGTTGTGCAGAATGACCTTAAACCATCTTGAGTTGTGAGGTTAATCTTTGCTAATTAAAATTTGTTTTTCTCCACTATCACTAATTCACCCTTAAGTATGTGTTGTATGCCAAACAAAAACTTGATTACCCTAAAACTATAGCTGGGATGAAATTAGCCTCTTTAGCACTAATTTATTTATACATCGTCCGGCTCATCTGCATATCTATCTACTTCTGTATGTACATTATGCACAAGTCCTAACTAAAAGTTGATAATTACCATAAAATGATTTTGACTTATCCACTACCACAGATAACCATCATCCGATACTACATAATATACCGTATGGAGGAATATCTGACACTCACCTTCTATATCTGAACCCGTACTACTGGGGATGAGCGAAGGTGCTGATGTGTGTTGAATCGAAGTAGCAGCTCCCCGATAAAATTTCATTACACACTAATTGCAGACACAAAATAAACATAGACACTGTTAAGCACAGTACGAAGTAGTAGCATTAGCAGTGCCACTTTCTACTAATGACATGCACTCAAGCCTCGTAATTTAATAACGACATAATGTTGGTCACTGACTGACCACTATAGCGTCAAGTTAAATACTATGCTGTTCCGATCTCGGTGGTGGGGAGCTGGTAGGACACTGCACTCTCTCTGACACTATCTCCTTCACTTAACTTTGCAAAGTGACATTTATTTAATTTAGTTGACTTGACACTGCCAGCAGATAAGTTCAATGTCTTGCGATGTTGGGCAATATGTGGAGGCGATTTTTATTATCAGATGGATAAAAGTGTTTGATTTCTCTGGCGTGACTCGGCGACTACTACTCGCGTTAACTGGAAGAGTAAGAGTGTGATAGCCGTGTTCTGTCGCAGTGCGAGAAAAAGGATTATAAAATAAAGTCAATCTCAGTCAGGCAGAAGAAGCAAAAGTTGAAAGTAATGCAATCCATGAATCCACACACTCGCCAGTCATTTAGTGAACGAGTGGATGTGGTACGAGTGAGACCAGTCTCAAGGAATGGTGGTTGTCTACTTATTAAACGCTACAAGAAGATGAGGCTTATAGGAGAGAAGAAGGGTTGAGAATGAAATACTTGTGCACCAAGTTATGTACGTATGTATGCATGCACGTTTTAGGTTGTACTTATGTACATAGGAGATGATGTTCTCTACTTACTGACTTACTATGTGCTTGGTTAAGAAAGAATGTGTGATGTTGAAGTTTTAAACTTTTAAAGCCTGTAGATACTTACATATCCATAAACTTTAACTCACTTGGCGTATGTACAAACTGTATGGCATGTTCTACCACGACGAGGTTTTCTATGTGACGGTATTCGAATGTGGGTATATGCAGGGTGTTCTAAAAATACATACTTTTAGGAATAATTGTGGCATGATATGAGATGACTATTATCTGATTTTCAATAGACTGCTCCACAAGTATTCTTAGCAGTTTACTCAAGTAAGTCACGGTTAAGACGGAAGGAAAGTAGGTACGATGCACGAGGAAACGGAATGAAATGCTTGGGAAACGGATAATGTGTTGTGTGAGTCATTCATATTTCTTGAAACAGGCGGATTGCCGGAATTCTTGGCGATATTTATAAAAGGACGATGAATACTGCGTTTGTTAAGAATTGTCAACTTTCAGGATTATTAAAATAGGGTGGAGACCCATAAAAGTATGCATAACTTGCGTCGTATTAAGATTAATGAATCCCAATCGTGATGCTGTGGATGGACGTGGTAAGAACACCCTGTTGATGCGAGGACATTCTCTTTTCCTTCCTTGAATAATAAATGAGCATGCACGGACTAAACATGCGTGTAATGTATGGCCTGACTTAATAAGGAAAATTGGTCGTATCATAAAACTAAGCCCAGCAAGAAAGTAGTACTCTTCTTACATATGTATCTTCAAAAGACTTGTTGTGGATGTAAAAATTCTCGCATTTAGATGAAGCAAGCGAAGAAAGTTGTTGCGTTCTGTTCTCTGTTGACGTGCCTAATAAGTTGACTCTCGTTTTGCCTCCTCCTCCTCCTTCGACGATTTATCTGCCGTTGTGGGAATGAAATGAAGCAAGTTGACGCCAGCCAGACTCTTGTTAATCGTTTAATCACTGATGATTGTAATATGTTTGGTGGTGGTGTAATGCTGGTTGGGCAGTCTTTAAGTAATGTATTACGGAATAGCTCCGAAATTATGGACTGTGCACGTGTGATCTTTCACATCTGTGGAGGCTATTGAAATTTATTTTGAATCAAAAGCTCGTTTAGTTAAATAGCTCGTGGAAAGAATGAGACAATGCACAGTGGGCCAGGAATTTAAAAAAAGTGGCCGTTAAGGCAGTGTCGCGATTTAACTTAACTAGTATGGCATCTTACCCGTTGTAACCAACATGACCCTGGTGTAAAATATTAAGGCACAGGTTCAAGCCAATCAGATAAACGAAGGGGTTAAAATATGTCTAATACATTACGGAGATAGGGATTTTACATCTTCTTACTTTGCCGCCCAACGCCGTGCATGTATGACTAACTACTGGCGCCATTAAGTAGGTAATAGTAGTGGGATGATACACTGCTGCGACCAGCTGCGACCATCAAGCTTTGTTCCGACCACACCCACTTTTATTCGTTAAAGTTAAAAAAGTCAAATTTAAGTTTACTTATTTTTACTTAAGTATGCTTTAAGTATACTAAATCATTGGACTTTCTCAGCAAACTGAGGTGGTAGCAGGAAAGTGTCTTGGCTTTAACAACCACACCCGCTATAGTAGAGGAATTTAAATTAAAAACATTTCTTGATGAGAGGCTTAATAGCCGATCTTGTAATGCTTAACAAAACAATATTAACAATTGAAATTCGGATTACTTTTCAAATTGTTGACCGATTTTCAAATTTTTGACTGTTTTGGAAACCTTAGGTCAATGGGCGAAATATTTATTTCCAGATTTTTAAATTCGACCACGCCCCCTCGAAATTAAGGTTGCAAGGTCAAAGAAATTGTAAAATATAATTAATGAATATCGCCAAATTTCAAAGACTAAAAATCGAACTGCAGATCGAAAAAATACCTCGAAACCGTGGGCACTACCTGCAATGTTCAAATGGTCATATGCCGCACCCCCAGTGGGTGAGGCCCTCGACGACTTTTCAATTTTAACGGAACCATGTCATGTGATATATCATTTTTCTCAGCTCGACAAGTGGGTTTCTACGAAGTACCTAAAATTGGGAAACCGCTCCCCTAGTGGGCGTGGTTCTCAGAAAATTCTCGATTTTAATAAAACCATGCGATGTGTTATGTCATGTTTCTCAGCTCCACGAGAGGATCTCGACAGAATAATTAAAATTTAAAAACCACACCCCCATTGGGTGTGACACTGCGATTTTTCAATTTTAATGAAGCCATGTCACGTTATATAGAATTTTGTCAGCTCTACTATTGCTCATGGCTTTTCTAAAGAAATTGCGTTCAAATTTGAAACGGGGCCGCTTATGACTCTTCTGCAGGGTACCAGTGAGATTTTTACTAAGGGCCGTATGCAAACCAGAAACCTACAGTGCAGACTTGATATAGCCCGAGTCAGACCATCGCGGTTATCACTCAATCTCACTTTTTGCCTGAAATTTTATCGTAAATGCATATAAAACAATTTAAAAATTTAAATTGATTATTCCAATTTAAAGATTAAAATTGTTTTTTCCAATTTAAATTCATATTCTTCAAACAGTATCAATTAGCAGCCCATGTAGCAAATTTCAGCTTGATTTACGATTTAAAAAATCAGCTCTATGTGACGATTTTGTAAAATATGTACTGGTCACCATTCTGGGTCCTTATCCTTTTTTACAAAACAAAAAAAGGAATATTGGCCAGTGCATACGGCACTATCTGCACATTCACACGATGGTGGTGGTGTGCGAACGCAAATGAGTTTAAGCGGTGAAAACCCCGATTTCTTTAGATCTGACAAAAGCAATAGGGGATCTCGACAGAATTATTAGAATTTTGAAACCACGCCCCCAGTGGGTGTGGCGTTCAGCGATTTTCTCCGATTTCAAATTTCAAGTTGTTTTCTCCGAGTTCAAATTTCTCCCACACCGAAATAGCACCACCTGTATTTTTGCGTTTCCATGCAGGCTCGTGTTTTCGGTTGTGGCGGTTTTGAGTTCATTTTCAGCTCAAATTTAAATTTGTCAAAAAGTTGTATGTTTTGTAATTTTAACGCTATATCGAAACCGAAAGAACTACAACATTTTTCCCAACAATTACTAAAAATAAAATTATAAAAATACGCTTCTAAAAATTTAAAACTTTGTATGCTACATATTTCGGAATTTTGAAAAATGCAACAAGGAATTGTGAAAAACTAAATTTTTTGAAAGTGGGTTTTTCTTAATTTACGTAATGAAATTCTAATTATTTTTCTTGGGTGATGTAAAAGTCCCTTCATTTAGTTAAGAGAAATGATGACACGACATGACATGGTTTAATTAAAATAGAAAAGTCGGTGAACGCTGATTTTAGGTATACCTTCCAAACCCCCTTGTCGAGCTGAGAAAAATGATATAACACTTGGCATGGTTTTATTAAAATCGAAAGTTTTCTGAGAAACACACCCACTGGGGGTGCGGTTTCCCAATTTTAGGTATTCCGTCGAAACCCCCTCGTCGTGCTGAGAAAAATGATATATTGCATGACATGGTTTCGTTAAAATCGACAATTTGCTTAGAGCCACACCCACTGGGGGTGTGGTGTCAAGATTTTAATGATTCTGTAGAGATCCCCTCGTGGAGCTGAGAAAAATGATATATCATACGATATAGTTTCGTTGAAATCGAAAAGTCGCCGAGAGCCACACCCACTGGGGGTGTGGCAGGTGACTATTAAAAATTTCCTCATATAATATATGCTTTAGGTTATTGTTGCACACCAAAATCTAATTTTTATTTCTTCAAATTCGGCTGATATATATTTTTGGCCAAAATTTATTAAATCTGGCCCACATTGCAATGGAGAGATATTATTAGTGCTGGGTAAAGCCTAGTACTCAGGACGAATGTTCACGCGGAATTTCATCGTGCTTAAATTCTGTTAAATTTTTCGCTGGAGAGAAATTCGTAATCGGGCAGAAAATACCACTATTCCACGTATATTTCGCTCAATTTTCACTCGTAGGTACTCAGGTCATTTGAACTGAAAAACAGGTTTCATTTTGCCCCATTTTAAATTAACCGCCTTGCCATTGAGTTGAAACTGAGATTTTGAGGTTGCTCCGCCCTCTTATTTTGAACTCAGAGGGCCGCGAGTCACTTTCCGCTCACATTTCACGTGAAAGAATTGCCTCGATTTAACGGAAACTTTGAGCTTACATTGAGCGTAAACTGCTCGCGCGGAAAATTCCGCACAAGTTTCACGCGAAGACCTGAGTACCACTCGGGCTTAAATTGAGCAGAATTTCTGCAAAAGTCGTTTTCCGCGCGTAAAGTCCATCGTGAGTACTAAGCTTAATACATGAATACACATACCTACGCAATATGTTTGTACAAATGTATGGAGAAAAAAAGAGATTGACAAACAATAAATAAATTAATTTAACGGCACAGTAAAATGAAAATAAATAATCGACTGTGTGCATACGTGACTATGCGATTGTACATAAAGCCATACTTATCAACAGGACAATAATAAAAGGAGAAATAAGTAAACAAGCTTATATAAATTAATGATCGTTAATAAAAAGAAGAAGAACATTCAAACGCATTCATAGGTTCCAAATTCCAGTTCATAATTGGAAGATAATTGGGATTCGTGTCTACATAATTTTTTAGTAAAATTGGTCGGCGTGAATTGATTGGCAGGACAAGAGTTGAATATGTATTGGCGAAATAAGTAATTATAATGGATACGACTACGTTATGCATACTAAAATAAGACTAAGGTACCAGCCACTGGATATATATTTTACGTATGTATGTATGGACGACGTAAGTGTATTTATATACGACATTATTCTAGACTGTCGCAGATTTATTTACATGTACAACAAACCAATCCTGTCCTAGTCAATAATATTGCACAACATTTGGTGCTTGATGTCACGTATCCAAAAATTCCAAATTGAATGAAATATGACGAGGATAAATTGATAAGTTTTATCCTAATAATGAAATATTGGTAACTTGATGAATTTGGTGGAATGACCAGTAACTCGTGGTTTTTTTCAGCGTTTAGCTCTGTCAATCTTTTGTCGACATGCGGGTTAAATGTGCGATCCAGAATCAATCACTTTTGTGATGCGTTTTATAATATAATGAAGATGATGATACATATAATGATTGATTTTGCTGTTTTTTGAGGAGGAGATAATCAAAGCATTCATTCGGTAATATGTCAATTATTCATCAAGAGAAGAATAGCGTCAGCGTCTGGAAAACATGTACTCAATCCATTAAAACCATTCATATGTATTTGTGTTGTGCATCCATACATATTAAAATGTGTGTGTGTGTATAATGGCAAACGACCAGAAATGAAATAAAAAACGGTGTTTTATTGCTTTCTTCTTCTTGTCCTAGGACAAATAAGAAACATAAAATTCTCGCGATTCTCTGGCGAATTAAAAATAACTTTGACTTTGGTGATCAGGTCAAAGCAGAGTTTATTCTGCTTCGTTGCTCGGTTAAATAGAGGTTGATTTTTCAACGTTGCGATGTTTCCGGTGTATTTAGAGACACGTTTTAAAATCAATCATTTGATTTCAACCCCGCAACAGCAACTTCCTTTTACATTCAACTACGCCAAGTATGATGAATTATGGAATTCTGGAATTAGGAAATACATATGTAAGTATGTAACAAATCTAAATATGAGGAACACAAGCTAAATGAGATCAAATTGTAAGATTTGATAACTTGCAACCCAAGATAACCTACGTTGACAAGCAAAAAATAGTCACAAAAAATTAATGATGGATATTTCTATCAACAACATATTTGCTTATTTACCACGCTATGCCACGCCATTCGGTCATGCTATTCACCACAAAGGGGAACGTTCTTTATTGTACGTTCCCGTTTAGCAATTATTTAATTGAACGAAAAAATACCCACTTGGACTTACCTACTACTATATATCTTTAAATACTTATGCACACAATGCAGGCATATATTTTATGTCTTTTTATACCTACTCTCATTCCACAAATAGAGCAAGAAAGAACAGATCTTTCCATAGAGTTGTGCAGATACTTACGTGCATATATTCTGTGTAAGCACTTATCTACATACATATGTATATATAGTTCTTGTACCTTGTCATCTGTGGACGAATGACGTATAAATCAAGACGTGTGCACTGCACAGAAACGTCATCCATCCAACGCCAAGTACGAAAAACCATACACCACCCCAACCAAGTGTTCGTTCATTAATCAGGTCGGCAGGTTCGATTGCCAAAACAGATTTGGTACAGGATTCAGCTTCTCGTCAGAGTTAGCAAAAAATATCCATAATTCTCGATCACTCTCTCTCTCGTATCTCTGTTTAGTACCTAATAATTAGTCTTTACTTGTATCGCCGCCGCCGTCTCCAGCAGAAATTTTGTCAAACCAGTTTTGATTGGTTATTTGCGCGTGTACAGTAAAATATCATGACCGGCATGCGTGAAAATGTAATGGCATGCTGAAAGGGCCTTGATTTACCTTGAGTGGCACGAAAGGGTGAAGGCGTCATAGTCTTACCATCATCATGAGGACAAATATTTCATCATCATGATGGAAAACCGATTGGTTATGTCGATGATTAATAATGGTGGATGAATTGAATGTGGACACAATCCATTCAGGTTTACCAACGTCTTAGATTTAGTGCATTGATTGATTGAATGATTAAATATTGATTGTTTAATTTACAAACTCCAGTTTCGCAAGGACATGAAGCATTGTATATAAATAAATATGCAATGAATATTAAAACTACTTATGCATGCATGTAACTGGGCGGAGAGAGTGTTGTTGAAAATAGAGAATTAATTTAAAAACTAACCATTAACGATTTTATTATGTTGATTTGCTTCCATTAATCTGTAATTTGGGGTCAAAGATACCAAATTCTACTGGAATAAATAAATTAAGGTCACCTTCCTTTATACTCAAGATTTGACATTTTGACCTCGAGCGGCAACTGCGTGAATGGTCAAAGATTATATTTGTTTGCAGTGTTGCTGAAAGTTAAATAAAGAGTTCCAGTGTTTTTTTATGCATTATTTATTAGTGGGTAGTAAAATTTGCGCTGTGTTCTGGTCGGTCGTTGCTTCAACAGATGCAAAACTTGCAAACATAGTAATAATCTGAGCAATTCATGTCACTCGCAGGCTTAATGTGCAGCAACGTAGAATTATTGTGCATAACTTGACAAATTGCTTTAATTGAATCTGCATTAGAGTGACAAGTGACTTTAAACTCTGCTGATGTCCACGATCTTGACACAGTTTTAGTCGGGTTTCAAGCGAAAGTGGTCAATTTATTTATTTACATGACAAAAAGATGTATAATACAAGTAAAGAGTTCAAGTAAAATAAGTTTGAGGCAGGTTTATGTCCACATTCGTATGTACATTATGATTAGTTTAAGGAACTACTTGGAATTCATGACATAATAATTTATATATGTATTACTAATAACAGGGGATGGAACATACATTACTCGGCCTTGTCCAAAGACAGCAGTAATTCAATGATATTGGTCACATTACATGTTTACCTTGCAGCTTCGTCGTCCTTACTGAACCCTGAACCAGACAACCAAGAAACAGCGTCAAAGAGAGCTTTTTAATAGATTCATAAACCAAGGAATGAAAATTATCCACTTTGAATGAAATTGATAACCATGCTGAATTGTATAACTTTGTCATTACATGTATAATTTTAAACTTGTTAAATAACGTCATTCATTCCTTTGTGAAAGAAACGGATTGAGTTTGAATGAAATGGGCGGATGATTCATAAAATAAATATGCATAATCTCCAGTTTAAATCTTTGTTATCCATGTGTGACAGATATTTATGGATTTGTGAATGCGCGTGTAATCCCAAGTTTCGATAATAACAATCTACTTGACAAATGCCACGGCACCAAGATCCATCAATTTCTGCAATTAAATTGTTATTAAAACTTGATCTTCCAACAGGTAAATCAGGAGCAATAATATCATGCATGCAATTTGCACCGAACTGATACAAAATTTTCGTTCTTGGATTTAAACTGCACACACGAGTTTTGTCATGTGCATGCATATCACACAAACAACAAAATGATCAAAATTATTGACTTCTTATAACATAGCGTAACTCCCAATTTTTGCTATGTGTGTGTATGTAAGGATTTCATGAAAAACCGGTTGCATTATTACTCCTATTATGCATATATAGAAGAATCGACCTTCACTTGCTTCTGCTAAGGTTAAGGTGTACATAATAGCTTTGTATACCTTACGACAACCAAAGCTGGTCTGGAGGCTCAAATTTCAATATCAAGTCAACAATTATTGCCCAACAGATATTTTTTGTCAAAGAGAGTCAGAGATCGAGAGTACAGAGAATTCTTAACTCCATCTGCTTCTCGTGGCACGAAGAAGCATTTTATTATTTTTCACTATTGTTTGTTATCACATATTTCCAACCCCACAAGTTTAAGAATGGAGAACCCAAGTTTTCAAAATGACGATGACGAACCTTCACCTCCAACCACACCTCCACCACCAGTGGAAGAGGAACACATTGAGAAAAAGAAGAAGAAAAAGAACTCGGTCGTGTTCATGGTGAGCGAAGACGAAGTAATTACGGATGGTCCCACAGCCAACGGGGACGGAACAGCGTCGTCACCACAAAGGAAAATTACCCCGGCGATTATTCAAATGCAGCCTGGACTTAACCTTAGCCCACTGATGGACTTGGTAGGGAACACGCTCAGTTTTCACCTAACCACGAAATGTAAGTTGCTACATATGTATTTATGCAACTAAAGTATGCACAAATCTTGAAATGTGTCCACATTGTAGTCCTGGCATGCTGTCCTCAAATGGCGTTGACTCCAGTTCAGTTTACGACAGAAACGTTCAACGCGGAGACAAATGTGGTTTCTTCTGAAAATAATGCAACTTCAGCATCGCCAACAATGGCCGGATGTCAAATACGCTGTCGGGCAGCGAAACGATTGAATTGGTGTCTTTGCTGCTGTATGGGATCTGTCAACTCGCAAGTCGTCACAGTGGCAAAGGGTGATTCTCCCGATGACGTTTTAAGTTTCGTCTATAGTCCACACATCTGGTGCCCTGCATCGAATAACGTATGTGTCACAATGATTTGGTATGAAAGATGAAATATTGAGGCAGTATTTTAACCACGAATTATTTTCAGGAAAGATTGGTGGACATTTTCCTTCCAGGAATGAACGAACCGTTGGGTTGGATTGAGGCAGGACGGGATATTGGCTCGGGATCACGAATCAGTTGTGGGCTAACGAAAGAGGCTTTTATTACGAGACAAGTCCATGAAAAAGGAAGCCCTCGAAGTTTCAAGGTTCGAAATTTCTTATTAAATTTAGAAAAAAATAATTGTAGTATACATTTTGATTTGATTTCGACTATCAAGATTGAAAACTCTGTCGGACTTGAGGTTGCAAATGGAAAAGTGACCACATCAGCGTGGATGGGAAGTCTGGGACTTACTCGATGGACAGGCTTTCAGTTCAATTTTGTGCCATCGGAAGTGGACACGTTGCCTCATCCAACGAGAGCCGTATTGCTGGTGGCGTTTATGCTCTGGGTAATTAAACATGATCATCAAGCAGTGCTGTGTATTTATGAGCTGTTGTAATTTGTGAATTAATGATTTTACAGGTAATTGATGCCAGAGAAAAGAAACAGTGGCAGTACATTTGGTCAATTATATTCGTGTTGTTCCTTCTCTTGTGTTTTTTCCTGATTCAGTTTTACGGTCCAAAAGAATAAGATCAATGCAAATATGTATGTACCAGAAATATGAGCTGGTTTTATTTTTCAGACATTATTTTAGTTATAAATATAGTTTAGGGCGTGTTCAAAATAAATTTGTATCTATCAATTATTGGGCGTGTGAATGTTTTAGCCCTTTTCATAAGAATAAATGGCTGACTATGAATAATATTTACTACCCAAAAACAAGTCGGTTGGTTTTATTTATTTTATTCACGACAAGAAATATCAATGTACGAATATCTGAAATTCCATCAAAGCTTCTCGACTAACTTTTTACAATCGGGTGGAGATTGATTAATTTTTTTCCACATAGCTAATCAAATTTTTCTGTTCTTGTAGCTTTCGCCACTGTTGAATTTCTGGAATTTGCAGGACAGATTCTTTAAGCTGTCGCAGTTTTGGAAATTCGTCCAAGCAATTAGGGTCCACCATGTCCTCAGCGATGTCAAGAAAATTTACTATGCCAAGTATCAACATTAACAACTGACCATAATAATACATCAGTATATGATTATGTACTGGTAAGTATTACCCAAAACAAAGTCACCATATGTCAAATTTGGGCCAGCAATCCATTCTCCAGCACTCATTTCCAACAAAGAATTGAACTTTTTGAAATAGAGTGGTAAAAACATTGTCCGGAAGTCTTCCAGCATTTTTGTTTTTTCATTCGACTCTGGGGCACCTCGTAAATCGCGAAACACTTTTAGAAATCATAAAATAGCATGGATTAATTATCTCTTAGCCTTCAAGTTATCTATTAAATGTGTCACATGAAAATATAAATCAGACCTGTATGACATACGATGTCTGGCGTCTGGCTTTTAAAAGCTTTACCCTCGTATTCAACCGCCCCTGATTTACACATCATTTTAGAACTTAAAAAATTTGCGAATATGAATAGTTAACTTACGCGTCCTTAGATCATACACAAGATCAGAAATTTCTTCAGCTCTTGCCTCCTCCATTTCTGTTTCTCCATTAAAACCACACTTTTTCGCGAGGAATCGGAGAACACAAAGCGGTTGGGTTAGAACAAAGTCATCACCAAGGCAGAGAATTGGGAGCTGGCCGACAAACTGCTTTTTCAAACCTGTTGTTTTAGAAAAGTTACTTAGTGCTGCTGATTAAACTTCAAAAACCGAAATTCAAAATAATGCAATAGTTTATTTACCAAGCGCTGCAGCCGTGTCACTGGCGGATGTTCTTCGCTTCATGATGTTCTCAAAGGTATTTTTTTTCTTAGTCATCCAAGCGGTTAATGCTATGCGATCGTCCGTAAAACCTGACGATTTACGGACGTTAGTTATTAGATGTAATTAAGTTTATCTTGCTTTACAAGGGCTTTGTATATATATGCAATATTTAGTAATAAAGTAATTGTACCTATTCCAGCAATCGTGAGCATCCAACGAATAGGTTCAGCTAAGCCTAAAGTGAGAGTTATGATTAATTAATTGCAGGTACATAAATTTGATGTGATCAGTTAAACAATCAAATCGAACCTCGGATGTCAAAGTACACCAGTCTTACGTCCTGCATGGTTTTGTATGTAGTTGGATACTTGCGACAAAGAATACGAGATTTTGCACAACTGGAAAGATTGTATGAGGGATTGGATTGCCAAATTTTTTAAATGCAAAACCAAGGACTCCGAAGGAATATCGGCTCAACTTGGTTTTAGGACAAAATGTGGAGTGAAAGAGGAGAAAGCTAGAGGAAGACAGCGTTATTGAGCTGGCGATGCCAGTGCTTTTATACCTCAAGAAAGACCAAGTTGAGAAATACCATACAAATGTTGCTTTCACTATTTTGCCTAATTTGATTGTTTACTAGTTGCAATTGTGTCAGGTCATTCTAGAAGCTGCAACCTTTGCTGGATTGTTGTGTTATGATGCGCGATATTATAATGATTACTTTGCGAAATTACGAAGAAAGAACAAAATACTGCGTGTGCCAATATATGTACTGTCCAAAATAATATTGTTATGCTCCTCGAGCTCCTCTCAATATGTGCACACGTCAATCATAAAGACCAGTAAATACCATGTAAGCATGGTCATCTTTGTTTGCTCTTGTAACCCGTATTACAAAATGAGCCAAAAAATCAATTCGTTGCGTGTAAATACCAGACTAAATTTCATAATAGTACCGACCGACCATGTGTGTACATATTTACTTCGTAGTTGATCATTTGCAAGCACACTTTTTATGCTATGCATTATTAGCAGGTTTACTTTCCAGCCCATTATTTATTCAAAATTTTCACAAATCAATTAGAAATTAATCAGTACAAAGGAGTGACGCACAATCCTAAGAAGTAACTAATTTTATTTTTTTAATGCAAAAACAACGCAACCAGGAAAGTTAGCGAAAGTCATAATAAAACATGACGAAAGAGAGTTAAATACATACTACAATTTAGAAATGAGTTTCCCAAACTTGTGGAATCCAACGTAATTCTGCTTCTATAATATTTTTCAATTCATTGAAATCAGGTCTCAATTCAGGATCAATCTTCCAGCATTTCATAAGAATTTTGTTATATCTACAAGTAGAAACATGTTTATATAACTTTATTGATACTTTATGCCCAAGTAAGCACGGTATCAATCTGCATTTGTACATACATTTCATATTTACACAATGTTGGTCTCTCAAGACGTTGCCCATTCTTCAAAATTTTGATAAACTCTGATGTCCACTCGAATTCCGGCCATGGTATTTCGCCCAGTGTGAATATTTCCCAGAGAAGGCAACCATACGACCAAACGTCAGACTTTTTCGAGAATTTTAGGTAAGACAGAGATTCGTAAGCCATCCAACGATAAGGGAGTGCCTAAGGAAGTAATCTGCGCCATGATCTTGTCTCCACAAATTTTAACCCAGTATAACCTACTCACCGTTAGTTTTGTCTTAGCATACGTCTGATAAGCATACAGTCTATACGACATCCCGAAATCTGATATTTTACAAATGAGCTTCCTAGTCAGGACAATATTCCGTGCAGCAATATCACCATGTACCACCTGGATTGGTCATACATAATTTAAAAATATGATTAGCGTCCCCACTTACGGTTTACAATGGTTTAGATACTGGCTAAATTGGTGTACCTTGCGATTACTGAGAAAAGCCATACCATTGGCAATTTGCCAAGACCAAACCAAAAAGACGTTTTGCAGGGGTTCTGGATTTGCAGGTGGTTCCAATTCACGCAGATGACTCTCAAGACTGCCTTCATCGCAAAGTTCGGTGATAATTCCCATTTTAGTTTCTGATAAAGATATACGTATTCATGAAAGATTGTGTTATCGAAATATATTTAATTTATGCTTACTAATTTTTGATACTCCAATCAATTGCACGAGGAAATCGTGTTTTCCTAAAACTTGCATCGTTTTCAGTTCAGAAATTAAGGACTTGAAATAATCTGAGTCAAAGTCATCCTTCATCACTTTGATGGCTACGTTTTTCTTGTGTCGAATAAATGGGAACGTTCTAACCGTTCCTTGATATACTTCTGCAAAATTTCCTTCTCCCAGCTTACTTCCTGAATGTAAAGGATAAATCCAGGCCGTTACAATTTTTTACTATTGATTAGAACCAGAGCAAATGTAATGTACAAATGAAAATATGTCAAAATACCGATTCTCAGTCTCCACGCAGGGATAAGAATCGAGTCTATAAACGTTTTAAAACTCTTGTTTAAAGCAACTAATTGAAAGAAACTGGGAGACTTTTTCTCATCATAATTGACATTGATCTGAAAGTAAGGTACAAATTCTCCTAGGGGCATATTGGCCTCTAAATCGATATAAGTAATCCACCGAAGTACTTGAGCTAGTTGAAATTGAAGAAGAAAACTTATCGGAAGTAATGTAAAATCGGAAATTGTTCGCTCGGATCTGTTGATAAGTTGGAGCCCGTTCTCTTTATATATCATTGCGACCAAAATGCATCTCAAGGACATGACGAGTACAATTTTGATGTAATAGTACAGAGTGAGAACTTTGATGGATTTCTGATTTAAAAAATTATATCAGTAGATGGCAAAAAATTTGTAAGATATACAAACAATCAGTTAGTAAAACTTGCCTTTCTAACTCCAAACATTAATAGGATAGTGTTCAGCCCTACCAGCCAAGAGATACCGACCAATCCAACGAGAGCAATTGCATATACTACATCTGAACATAACATTTGATAACACCAATTATATATCAAAACGGAGATCAGGTTTTTAAATACCATTAACCATTCCATAATATAGAAGAGGTATCGCCTTCCTTTTATTGTAATATATGGTTTGAAATATCAAGAAAGTCTAAATATTGGTGCATATATAGATAATTATGTACACACATATCATCCAATGTTTTCTCAAATTGAGGTAAAGTACTAGGTTGAAGATGACTTGAACTATTAACAGATTCTGCAACGGTATACCAAAAAGGGTCCAATAATTTTGTGCATAAACTCGGTGCATGTGGTTTACTCGAATGTCCTCATAAGTCAAGTCCTCTGCCTGCTCAATCACAGCCTGGGATCCTAAATTTGTGAACAAAATGTAAACCAAATCTAAAATCAAGAACGGTACAGGGTCCGCTGGGATGTTGACCAGTAACATTGACTTTATCCGAAAACAAGACATAATTATGGACAAGTAGATTAGTCGCCATTTGAGGTAGCATTTGGCCTGTAAGTAAATATTTATAATCTGAAATTATTAATGTGTATATTTGAATACGAAGATTAGGCTACCCTTTTATTCCTTCTGTTGATGATGGAGTTTAATACAACCCCAAATAGACACAAGTACATTGGAACAGTAAAAATGATGTATTTTCTACTTGACAAATCTTGCTCAAATGTTCCATCCATGTATGATTCAATATCCAGAGAAATTGTAATAGCTCCCATGATGATCTAGAGAATTTTATACATGATATTCTTTCTACAATAATGGTACGACTTATCTGTGAGATTTAGTGATAAGTATGCACCGGATGGATGTATCTGTCCAGATAAGCAAAATCCTTTAAGAAAAATCTATCCATGATTGTCAAGTATAATTATGATGCTATTTTAGCAAGGCCAATTTGCACAATAATCGAAAAATTACACTGTCCATACTATATATACTCATGCGTATGAAAGCGAAAAGTGTGTTTTATTTTTGTTTTATGTGGTTTTGCGGCAGAATTTCCAAATGTGACTTTCATCTATTTTTAGTTGAAATCCAGTAATTTCTGGAATTTTAAATGAACCGTTGCTAATAATCAGACAGGTGTGTAGCATAACATCAGGTTTCGGACATATACGCCTGAACAAAAACAAAAGGTCGTAACAAGAAAATACTTAATTCCAGTCAAAACGGACGAGACAAGCACGCACAATGCCTGCATGTTTTACGCAAAGGTCATGAAAGATGAAATATTGTGCCAGGATTGGGAAATGCTGGGAAAAACATGAATCCGCTGAAAGTTAATACATATGTATAATTGATTGATTATTATTCGCAACCTACCCTTTCCATTAGAATAATTTATATGAATCAAGTTTTGCAAAACATCAATGTGTATGTAATACATTTGTTGTTCAGTTTCTCATTAGTTCAGATCTTTGCCCTCGCAATGTTTGAAACCTTGTGATGGTTTGCTGACATAAAACTGTCTGTCGTAAACAAGAGACAAAAGATACAAATCCGTGTCCCAATTTGCAACCTACTTTTAAAGAATAAAAGAAACAGAGTCCAATAACTGGATCCCAGTTTTTTTTGCAGTACATTTCACAAGTAATAAATATTACATATTTTCAAAAATTACACAAAACCAAAGCAAAAATAAAAATAAAATATGACTTATTTTTACATTCTCCTTGCTGTCTTTATTACAACAATTGCAGCTTCAAATCGCTTGCATTCCTCTGGTGAGTGATAAAACTAGGAGTATTTGCACTATCACCAGTTTCTCTATTTATAACGAAATTAATAATTTTGCCAACTCGGTAGATTTCTATCATGTTGCTAGAGGCAAAGCGAGGTCAGACACCGTGGATTACCTGTTCAGCCGAAAGCAGGTTAGCTTAGCTAATAATGCCAATTAAGTGTTCACAGTAGATTATCCAACAGCCTACCAATATCCATATTATATAAATGTATTCATGCATTCAGGCCAATTGGGACGCAGCAGTGAAAGGTTGCAAAGGATTCCTGGGATCACGTCTTCTCTCCGTGGAGACTAAGGAAGAAAGCGAGTTGGTATTGGATATGATAAACGATGACCAATTGTTTGATCCAGCATTGCCAATCGGTAGTGTTAATGAACAATGAATCAATAATTCTTGTAGTCTCTGTAAATTGTCCGCTTACGAATTATTTTATTTTTCCGTAACAAGGCACCACGTTCTGGACGAGTGGAGCCTACAATGCTAAATTGTCAACCTGGGAGTGGAAAAGTTCCACAAATAAAGAAGTTATGTTTGGTAATTGGACTGAAAAGTTATGGGCGAAGGGACAACCAACCGAACCAGTTCGGGACGTTGACCGTGTCGCCTTGGAACGGAACAATTTGAATCATTCCAGTTGGAAATCTTTGCCCTCAACGGAAAAAGCATTTTACATTTGCGAATTTTAAAATAAAATGGTTTTAATAAATGTAAATTTAGATAGGAATTCGTTTTATTCTTAACATGCATTAACTGCCATAAACGATAACTGTACTCCAACCACAAAATTATAATTAAACCGACGACTATACAGATTGGAGGTAAATGCATGTACATATTTCCTTTCAGAGCTGGTTAATCAATAACCGCAACTCAGAGCAGATACCGAGTTAATTACTGCGGTCATCAAAGGACATACGTAATGTCGATAATCTAGGAAGACTTGCCAAGAGTCACAATTCCAATTCGGACATTGTCCGTCTGTGCATATTCCGAAATACACAGATTCTCCGCAACTCTTTCATAATATTTAGATTTTCCAGCAGAATCATGGGTATGAATCCGTGTTGTTGTTCACTGCAAAGTGGCGTTAAAGCTATCGCAATTTTTGGAATGGTACACATTTTTTCCGAATTTCAGATTGTTCCTTTTTAAAAAGTTGTATAAATAAATAAATAATTATATTCTCTTGATTCAGGTCAAATCTACGTTTCTTCTCGTCATTTCCATCATTGCACTGGTTTCTGGAATAATTTTGATCAATCATGGGGGCTCTAGATCCTCGGCCTCTGAAGAGACTGACAGTCACAGGAGAGAAATTGCTGCCGCTGTTGGTAAACAAGTAGTTTCCCTCCATTTACAATAATCCAAGCTAATTTGACCGATTCATATTATTTATTTGCTCGGTTTTACAGGGGTTGTGGCAGTCATCGTTGCATGCTTCATCATTGCGATCTGTCTCATCTATTTCGCACTAGCCGTACTCCTTTGGAAAGCTGCTCAAAATGTGGGTTTACTTTTACATATTTGCAAGAACGATAAGGTTGAGAATGACTTTTTTTATCGCATTTATTTTCAGAGGAATGAAAAGTACTCGCGAATCTGGCTCATCATCACGTGCATTCTCTGGGTACTAGCCTTGTTCCAGTTGTTCTGGCTTCTCTCATCCGGAGGTCGATTCGACATTTCACTCACAAGTCTGCAACTGCTCCTCGACATTTACTTCATTTGGGTGGTGATGGCTTTTCGAAAAGAGTTGTTAGAGCAGGAAGCACAAGGTTTTGTGGTTGCGGGCGGTGGTGGTAATGCGGAATCCGGTCCGAGCTCAAGTTATAAAATGGAACAGTAAAATCAAATTTATATGAGACAAAGAATTAAACTCATTTATATGGAGTAAAATATATTGCATTTTACTTGTAGCAACAGCGAATTTAAATATAACAAAAAAAGTGGTAAACCAATCAAATTATTAAATACGCACACACGCACTATTCATCAATGTAACGACACAAATTATTTTCACAATCACCAAATATCCACTGAATCTACGCATAATTAATTATTATAATATTACATAATATATGTTTCATTTGGTATGTCCATGGAATGTTAAGGATTATATAAAATATATGTATAGCTGCACATTTTTAGTAAGTAATTATTAGGAATAATGTCACAGGGTTTATGTACGTTAACCAACTTATTTGAGATATTGAATGAATGAATATCATACAAATTTTACATACGGGCAGTTAAAGTTAAATGCAATAATTTAAATACTTATAAATTATATTATAGTCATAATTGTTATTCCATCCATTTCCATTGCATGTATTAACTACAGTCTATCTAATAATCACTAAATGATGTCATAACATACATACATACAGACGTACGCAGGTATTTTAAGTCACTTTTTAAGCAATGCACTGGTCAAGCCTCTGTGTCATGAATCTCACTTGCAGTCAATTTTTCATATTTGAAATTTCAAAAAAATCAACTCATTATGTTACGCATAATAAAATGAATGGGGAGTCATGTATAAAACAATAAGGGGCAACCTAAATATCTAGAAATAAAAACTGAACACTGTTAGCTTAGTATTTGATTTGAAACAGTTTGAAACAGCCTGATGCTAATTTAAACCTTTCCGCCATGTTGCTCTGGATTAGGTGCAAGGAAATGGATATATCCATAGGCTTGCAGGGATGAGAGCAGAATATATAAGAACCAAAGAGTGAATAGGAAAATTCCAGAAAAATATTTTGGTACAGTTGGTCCTCCTAATTCGGATTTCCCAAAGACGGATGCATACCGCCGGACAAGAATTAAAATAAGAGCGAGAGTAGCAACAATTGCGTAGACAAAGACGGAGAAGGCCAGAGATCCAGCAGGATAGTAAAATCTATCACCCTGTGAAGAAAATAATTTTATTTTTAGACCGATTATACTTTAGTCAGAGATTAAAATTAGTATTTGTTTAGTATGTTACCACAATCGCAACATGATATATTGAAGCCAACACCCAAGGTAAACCAAGGCCAAGAAAAACATTCACAGCGTTCGAGCCAGTCACATTCCCAATAGCGTTGTCTGCATACTTCTCCCCAGTCGCGGCTGCCTTGGAGGCAAAAAGATCGGGGAGAGAGGTACCCAAAGCGACAAAAGTAATTGCCGTCACGGTGTCCGTAAGGCCGATGAGACAACCAAAAATCGTGGCCAAGTCGCCAACAATCGCGGTCAGAAATCCGATAGCTACCAATGAGCTAAAGAAACACAGCCATCCTCCTAGAATAATAATACAAAACAAGTTGCAATACCAATTATGTAGGGATCATGAATTATACACACGTACCCATAATTCCCGGAGGGGGAATCAATGCAAAGATGACCTTCCAGCCAAAAGTTAAGAAGTGCATAACGTAATCCATGCCAGTGGCATTCTCAACATCGCCACCATTAACAGTGAGTGCGACTTGCAGTTGTTCTCCCCAAGTTTCCTTGTGTACCTCCATCGACTTCAAATTACTCGATGTCATGACCATCATCCGTTGCATCACGGAATTAAAATCTGTCGAAGTAATAAATATAATTATTATTATTTCTCTCATTGATACCCTCCCAAGAGATTTAGACACATTTGTTTATATATTATGTACCATCATCATTGGAAATTGTAACTGCCAACTTTCGAATACGTCCTAGAGTACAACCTCCTTGCGGGTTGGAAATCTCGACTTCAAAACACTCATCCTACCATAAAATGATGGAATTATTAGCACACAAAATTCTAGCATTTGGCACAACACATAACACATAAAGCAAGCAAACCCCAACATTGATGAGCATTTGTTTCACCCGCAGATGAAGGAATGATTTGTTGTCCCATGTAGCAGAGAGGCACACCCGCTGGCTGGCGTTCACACTGATAGAATTTGTCATTTTTGTTGCACACAATCAATGTCGGGGTTTACTTACTCTCTTCACCTTTTCCGGGTCTAGGTCATCTACAATCGGAATCTCAATGGTACGAACGAGTTCGCCATGTTTGAAGGTGAGGGTGCCTTCTCCCCCTTGGAAATCAGACGGTGATTTTGCCGATCTGAGAAAATATCACATTTTTGAGTGAAATTATACAGTATGTAACAAAAGTATAGCTACGATGACATATTTTTTATCTTGACATGATGCCTTAATATTTCAACTTTGAAACTCCGTACAAAAATGTCAAAACTATCTGCCGACAATTTCCTCGTCGCCGATTTTTAATGTCGCAGATAGGTCAAAGGTCAGGATTATTTTTCTAAAAAAATTTGAGGCGTCGAAAAAAAAACTTCGTGGATAATTTTTTTTGAACTTTGCAATATTTTTTACTGGATGCGGCATGCGTTTTGAAGAATAATGAGCTTTGGTCGGACCATGTACGATTTTTTTGGCGCCCACAGGAATTTTTCGCCCAGGACAGGTTGGAGGTCTAAAATCGCCGCCTTGGCGAAAATTAAAAAACTGAAATATACGTTTGCATATCCGGACCCTCAATATGCAAACGTATATTTCAATTTTTTAATTTTCGCCAAGGCGGCGATTTTAGACCTCCAACCTGTCCTGGGCGAAAAATTCCTGTGGGCGCCAAAAAAATCTTACATGGTCCGATCAAAGCTCATTATTCTTCAAAACGCATGCCGCATCCAGTAAAAAATATTGCAAAGTTCAAAAAAAATTATCCACGAAGTTTTTTTTTCGATGCCTCAAATTTTTTTAGAAAAATAATCCTGACCTTTGACCTATCTGCGACATTAAAAATCGGCGACGAGGAAATTGTCGGCAGATAGTTTTGACATTTTTGTACGGAGTTTCAAAGTTAAAATATTAAGGCATCATGTCGAGATAAAAAATATGTCATCGTAGCTATACTTTTGTTACATACTGTAGATTCAAAGTTCACACTACATAAACCATTGCAATATAATTGCTTACCCATCAATTGTTTTCCAATCCACGGAAATTTCACCATCCGCCCCATTCGTCCTCTCGACCTCTAGATTGGCTATGTTACAACTTTCCTTTACCAAAATACCTCTCTTCTTGAAGGAAATTACACCAGGGTCTAGAATTATTCAATTTTCATTGAAAACGTACGCAACATTATTTTAAAATTCTCCGTCTTTAGTAAAAATGGCTTACTGTCGTCATTCAATATGACAATTTCCATAATCGGAAGCCGACCTAATGGGACAGAATTAATTAACTAATATTACAGGACAAATAAATAAATAAAGTTACCTAGCACGGCATCTCTCTTTTCAAATCCATCGTCAATGACTGAAAGTCTCAAGAAGAATTCCTCATCGGGTTCCCACTGGTTATCGTCAATTATGGAGATCGAAACCTCCCTCTCCTTTGCATAAGGTCCAAAAACGAGTTGTTCGTTCACCTGAACATAATCACTGCCAGCCTTGGCAGATCCATCAAAGCTTTCGATACGCACTCGGACCGTGTTATCCATCCTGCCATGTCGTACAACAGTAATGTTGAATTTTCCAATATTCTCAGGAACAGCAAACGACGCAGAGTGGAATTCAACAATAGACTTTTCATTGTGGTGGTGATCAGTAACAATTGCGGGCACTTGACCCAGGTCAGGAACATCGGGGGATTGGTTAACGGCATCGTACACCTGATAAAGCATAATAAATCACCAGATAATGAGTTATCATTCCAAGATTAAAAACAATTTCTACAAAAAACGTCATTGACCTCTCTCAGCTTCTCAGAAAGAATGGGATGGATTTTCTTGCTTCCAGCCATACCGCGGACAGCCCCAATTCTGTACCACATCCTTGAATGGGGCTGACTGTCAATGAGTCTAAAAACAAATTGGATAACAATTTTAAGATAGCAAGTACCTAAAATAATTAGTTAATGTAGTTACTTGGTTGCAGCCAAAACTGCGGCATCACTGTCCGAAATATCAGGATATTTTCGCAACTCCTTATAAAACTCGATCAATGCTTCCTTATTGACTTCGCCATGAGCTGTGAATAGCTTTTTCTGCTTCTCCAGCATAGTTTCCGCTATAAAATTGTTGAAATTAGATTAGTCGATTGTCACCAAATAGTGCATCACTTGTAGTGCATTTTTTGCAACAGTTTGTAGTTTGCATTATTGCCACGACAGATAAAAAGGGATACAATTAAAAACATTGATCAGTTTCGCACGTGGTTATTGTGAAGTTATTTGTATACGACTAGTCTATACAATGTAAAGCCCCAACACACAAAAAATAAGAATTTAAGACAACCATTTCCGTCCTCGGAGAAGGTAACACATCAAAAAACATGCTCAAGAACATGGAACACGATATCGAACACGACACATAAAATTACGTGGTTCAGCAGGAGCAGGGTCATCATCTTTGTTGTCGTCTTATAAGTTCCAACAATCCATATTCATATGTTTTGACCATACATTTTTAGTTAGTTATTAATAAGAAAAATTTGGAGAAGAAGAACACATAATTTGTATCTAGCACATGTTGGTTTTGGTTATACAAGAATCTTACGAGCGAACGAATACATCACAGCAGCAGGAAGAAGAGAAGGGGACACAAAAGACAAGAGTAATTAGACTCCTGTCCTCTCATTCTCAGCAGCATTCATCAAGCAGTAGCTCAGCGTCGCTTTTTTGTCCCACCAATAAATTAAAAGATCTTTACTTACACTCACCACCCGGACTACCGTTTGCAACTCCTAACTCAATTTGCTGGTCGGTTGGAACTGGCGTCCTTTTCCCACATTTCCAGTCACGATCTGCCCACCACGCGATGACAACCTGCAGTGATGATGAGACCATGTAATCTGACCCACATTTCGATCACACACTGTATGAAAATTCAACGACATGAAATGCCATGAGGTATACCATAAGTGGGAAGAAGAGGAAGGTCAAAATGGCTTCCCAAAGGTCGATATAATCCGGCGTGAAGAGTTCCAAAACCATGTAGAGCCAGAGATAGGCAAACATGGAGAATGCCGACGTGACCAGGAAAACCTTGATGAGGCGGATAGACCTTTATAAATAATAAATAATAAAAATAAATAATAGACCTACTGCCCAGATAAATTTTGCTACGCCTACCTTCCTTCGCCCGCTGGAATTCCAATGATGCAAACTCCCGTGATTGCAAGGAGATTGAAGGCAGCAGATCCCACGATGGTTCCAGGTCCGAGGTCGCCAGCCTCAAATCTAAGGTTTTATCGAGGGCTTGAAATTAACTTCTGTGCATTTTATAAGTTTTTATCTACAATAACGTACTTGTTCCCAATCACTTCAATGCAGGAGAGTAAGATCTGAGAGGTATACAAAATGAATAGATTAGCAAATTGCACCTCAGGCTCAGCCAATCACAATTATTCATAGATATTAATAGATAAATATTATTACCTCAGGGGCTGATGAACCAAGAGCCATGAGAGTTAAGTTAGCAACAGTGTCATTCCAAATTCGAACTTCGAATACTTCCGGCTCAGAGTCTTTCCCAGTGGAGAGATACAACTGAGAAAACACAGGTCAATTTATTCGTACATAGTCCTTTTCATATTCTTTTGACTTTTTATCCATACCTTTTTGGTTTTGCTAGTAATCTTCTCGATTGCGCTCATAAAAACATCTGCGACTATAGCTACTCCCATGAAGCAGTACATAAGGCCGAAAAAGTAGAGACCGGCTCGGACCCCCGTGTTCCAACTCCTCTCGTAAGGAAAGATGGGGAGGAGGAGGGCCTTGTAACATCGGTCATTGTACGTTCCGGAAAATGACAATGTTTCATTATCCATTTTTAAGATGTTGACGATTCAGTGAGAATCAACCCTTGAAATTTCAGTTTTTTTTTAGATTCTCCTCGCCAATAAGTAACTCAGTTTCCGGTGGTATCCATCAGACCGCAGGTCCCATGAATAATTGATTGGACAAATATAATCTCATTCAAGTATCTGAAATAGAATTTTAAAAAAACACCGGATTCAGTCAGGGGTTGCACAAAGTAAAAAGCTATATGAGATCACACGCGTCGCTTGGCATGAAGGCTCGACTGGTGCATAATATGCACTAAAAAGATACAATTGACATCAGCATACTTCACTCGAAATCAGGGAGAGGAAGTGGAAATGGGTGGAACAGTTTCAACAAAGATACCAATTCACTCTGTCATCGCGTTCACCTCACAATTTGAGTTGGTCGGACATGCAATCAGGGTATTCCGACCCAGGGTTTTATTGGGTTGGGTTTTTTGGGTTTTAATGGGTTTTAATGGGTTGTTAACGAATAAAACCCATTGGGTTTTACCATGTTAAATGGGTTTTATTTGGGTTTTAATGGGTTTTATTCGGGTTTTAATGGGTTTTAACTGTGTTTCAGCTTAAAACTATATTCTAAAAGCTGAAAACAGCTGTCGTACGTTAGACGAAGTTGTTTCATGGCAGCTAAGCAGTTTATTTGATTAATACTGTAAGTTTTAAAAACCAGGAATAAATCAGCGAGTGCCATTACAAGTTTCAAGTGACAAAAATATTTAAAAATAATAATTTCGGAACGAGGTATGTTTAAGTGAGCATACATAATTTAATTACATTTAATTTACATTTTGCTGTCATAATTAATACTTTTTCCCCGAATACTTCCTCTCATCTCAGCGAATAAATTAAACAAAATACTGTAGTATTTTTTTAATTTATAAAGTTTTTTAAAATGTTTCAAGGCGATCTTAATTATCACCTCTGGAAAAATCGAGTACTTATGGACAGCGAAGTACTTTATTGTGAGCAAAAGAAGTGTGTCTGTAAAAAGCACTTATTATATTCTCGATCATAATACATACGTACTTTCATTGTTCATAAGTACTCGATTTTTTCCAGAATTGATAATACACGTTAAGATCGCATTGAAATATTAAATTTTAAAAACTTTTAAACAACTTGGATTTCATTATGATGAGAGGAAGTATTCAGAAAAAGGTAATATATATTCTCATAAAGTATTAAACTATGATCAGTTAAACAGGACTATTTCGAAACGGATACAAATTCTAACATGGACAAGTAGGATTTGCATATTAATTGAAATTGGATTGCAATAGTAGTGAAAATTTTTGTTCAATGTATTACTTATGTAAAACCTAATAAAACCCAATAAAACCCATAAAACCCAAAAAACCCATTAAAACCCATTAAAACCCCTGGGTCGTTACTTTTTGATTAAAACCCTGGGTTTTTCCGAACCCTGCATGCAATCTGTGTAACTACTAACACACCGCTTACACTGCTTACCTCCAATTTACAGTACTGGTTCTTATTTACCGATTTGCCGTATTTCAAATATTTTAGGTAGATAGTATTTACTATGTGTGTAAGTTAATGGGAATTCTTATGTGCAAACACCGGCTGGTTGTTATTTTTATGTGTATGTAGGTAATATCTATGTATACTCTACCTATCTACAACGTACCCTGTTGGACTTGGAAATCTAATCACATCGGAATGTGTGTATATGCATGTCTACTCCTTTTGTACCAATTAGTTGGATAAGTTATGTATGCATGATGATGATATAAATAAATGCAGATAGAATTATTAAATCTTTTCTGGCAGGATGGATGACATGGAGATTGTACATACCAACCAGCACTCCTTCGGTGACTATCTGCATACTCATATGCTTCGTCATGAGCAATACTATTATATTATGATGATGACCATTTTTTTGGGCTAACCCTTTTTTGTAGCTTGCAGTAAATTGCAGCTGCATGCCATCATCAGAGAAACAATCTCATCGTACTTGAAACATATGATCTCACTTTGTCTCAAACACAGGTTGGATGGATATGGTTGGCATCCTTGGTCAAATGTAAAAGGAATTTCAGTGAAAAATTTATCAAAGGCAAATTACTATAGTATATGATATCGATCAGCGTACATGTAATAATAATGACGGCCAATATTATTTAATAACATAACCAGTATAAAGCCATGTCGTAATTGGGCATGTTTTCGGTAATTACGTGAGCAAGCGGTGTCCTGGCACACACATGTATTTATTTACTTACACACTCACGCTAGCATGTTCGGTTGGTTATTAGTTAAACAAATACTGGCAGGTTTCACTTTCTTAAAAATGTTTGACTAATTAAACCTCAAACCAAGGCGTCCTTGAACTCGCAAGAATTTTTGTCATTTCATGTTATTGGTCAAATTTAATAAAGTATCCTCGAAAAACTTGGAAGCAGTCAAAAAACCGGCACAACCACCAGATTTATGTGGAAATTCGAACTACGTAACCAGTTGGCATTGATTTTACAACAAAAATACCTACACACGCAAACTATGCGATTGCATGTAAATAATAAATCCAAACCAAGAGGAATTTTGATGACAAATTAAATGTTTACTACTTTATCGGGCAAAACCAGTTATGTGGTTTAATTCATCACCACAAAAGTAATTTATTATGCTATTTTTAACGAAAAAAGTAGAACTATCCGTCACCTTCCTTGCAAAATGCTGACTCCTGCACTCGCTCACTGGACAATCCAGACAAACACTAGTTGACAAACCTTGAAGAAAGTAGATATACTTACTTTTCTATATTGATTAGAAAAATTGAGCTTATGAAAGTCCTCCCTTTAACACCCGGGTAGTACATTTGGCACACTTTTACATACTTACTTCCTTACTTATGTATAGCCCGAGTTACACAGATTACTATATACGCGACTGTTGACTGTATCGCATATTATTGGAAAAACATTCGCCCACATAAATGGGAGGCAGGCAGTATATTCAAAGTAATAAAATGTCGCTTTCAGCGTGTGAGCTTTCGAGTTTGGTCAACGCTGCTGAAATGAATATTGATTCCCGTTCAATTCAAACCCCTTTATTCCCATGTACATGCATATTTTTTTAATAACCTTTCGCACTCGAGACTCGTTCATGCAAAGCTAAAAGTGTTTGCAGATTGTTGAGGAGATACGGTTTCGTTTGTAAATATGTAGCAGTTGCAGTGCTCGTTTTTTTTTTGCTGCACAAGGTCGATACAGCTATATCTGATTAATATTTTTTGTGTTTGCACAAGACGGAAGGAAGAACATTGTGAATTTTCAATATATTTACGTCAACTATACTCCAAAGCACAGAATAAACAAAATCGAGATAGATTGCCAAGAATAATTTACACGGTTTGATGCGTGTCTTGTCAAGTGATCAGACACAAACCATGTTTGCTTAGCTAACCAGACTAGACTAGAAAAACAATCGCACTTTGAGCATAAAATTGAATTTGAAGAAAACATGCGACACTACTGCTAAATTATGAGTATACAATTCTATATGCCACTTTGGAAAGAATTGTTTTCTAAAGCCACGAGCTGGAATTATGTGTATATACCTAAGAATTTCGAATCCCTCGAATTAGAAGAACGACAGCAGATATAATTGAATCGGTTCAACTTTTCCATGTGCCTACTACCGGTGTCTGAGCCGGTAACAAATCTCCAATTTCAGGGTGGATATGACACGGGATAAGACGAGGCGGAGAATAAATCTTCATGCAAATTTGTAGACTTGAGTTAAAATATGACACAGGTTGAATGGGGTGTGAAATTCGGGTGACTAGTAATAACCACATTTATGTGACAAACATGTAATCCTTGTAGAATGCAGATTCATTTCAACTTTGGAAACTAGGTAAATGCATACTAAAATACTAAGTGGGACAAGTTGTCTTACCTTATGGAAACCAAAACTATTCAACCCGTCTGTCCTCCTGAATTATCTTCCGATCCGAACCGGGTACAACATTTGCAACAAAGCGAATGAAAAATTCCCGCTATGTCAACGTCCACCAGGAATAACAAAGGCTCTCTTCAGAAGGGTACATACACTGCCAAGCAAAATATAGGCAACAAGAAACAGATCAACAAGTGACACACGCCATGCACTTTACACTTTTCCTTTAAACTCACTTATTTCCGTCATTCGTTACTTTATTTCCTCGACCAACTAAAGTAAAACTGACAAGAAATTGGCGTTCCACAAAAGTACAATAATTTCGTTAAAGACCTCTAAATAACCCAACTTTCTACTTAAACCAAACCTCAATTATTTGGTTTTCCTATGTAAAATTCATTCAAAACTACAATAGCTCTCTTTCTACTGTTTATGCGTCTGTCTTCTTCCTTTCCTTCCACAGAAGAACATCCATGCAGGAATAAACGCCACAACAAATATTTAAAGGTCTCCTACCTCGAATAAGGTGCACAATGTAGCAGAAGAATAAACTTACAAGTCCGTGAATACAAAAAGACAATTTAGCACACTCACTTTTTGCCCAATTAATTCACTCCCACAGTAACGCTGTGGCTCAAGGAAGGCTGATAAAATAACCAACAACACCTACAAACATGTATCCCATTTTGTGAGGGAATGAGCGTCTATCTGACTGTGCAGCTACCCAAATTGAATGCCGAATAGAAAACAGTAACTAAATAAGTAAGCCATAAGAGACTTACTTGTTCACGATGTGGTTAATATATCGCCATGCAAAAGTAAGGGCAAAGCAGTGTTGTTATTGCTCTTCTCTCTATCTCTCTGGGGCAGTCAGTGGGGACTGACTGACACTCGCAAAAAACTGAACCATGGAAGTAATGCAATCATATAGACATCGGCGAGCAGATGAGTCTCAGCCATTACGACGATGCGATGTGATGATACCTTCCATAGGTATTGGATCATGGTTTGGATTTTGTAGGTATAAGGATGGATGAACACTAACTTACGTATCCTCCTAAGTCAGTAGTCATATGAATTTGTAGTGTATATTTATATGGTGCCTGAAGGCTTAGAATCAGTAGATTTTCGTTGAAGCTGAATCCATCTAACCAAAGCAGGTTTATAATAAGCTTCAATTGTATCTTTGGCAAAAATAATGATGACTAGACGGCAAAAAATGCTTACGAATTACGATATTTTTGAGGATATATATCGTAAACAGATGGATCTTGCAGATACTTACTTGCTCTTTAATTATGAGAGACTTGTATTATAGTTCATTGGGTTTGTTTATCGTAAATCGGATTCACTTGCTCCGATTTTTATGCATTCTAGCATCGTAAAGTCGTAAATATAGCACATTTCCATTTTTCGCATTCCTCCCCGCACCAGGATATTTTTGCTGACGGAAGAAATATATTATTTTGCAATGACAATGAAGACACGTCGGAACTCGACTGCTTAGAAAAACATGTGCATAGCGCTTTAATGGATGCATTATGCTTATTATACGGGGTTTGTTGTTGCATGCATATGTCAGGTATACATAATGGGTTCAATGCTCGCTATGGATTTTCAGATGCGTGTTACTCGCTTTTTTATGATTTTTGTGGAGATAGGATTTAATCCTGTTAAAGAGGTTTGTACACTGTACATCTCATACATACATGCATTTTTAAGCAGAAAGCATCACAATCTGTTTCAATAGTAGAGAAATAATGTGGTTTCTACTCTCATTCATTTCTGGGACAGAGAACTCTTCCTTTCTGCATTACTGGCACAGTTTGTATAAACTAGATGACAAAATGTATGGGAATCAAAGTTGGTGAAACCTTGTGTTAAAATCATGTAAACATTGCTAAAACTACCGGCACTTGAGCACGCATCTGAATAATTGCAGACTCATCGTACGTACTTTGCTTTACTATCCGAAACGCTCTATTCAAGTTGCGTTATCCACCTTTTGCATACTCTCCGATTTCTGTTGAGCTTCGGCTGAGGTCGGTCCAATGTCATTCGTATGACAGGAGAGCATAGTAGCAAAGAAGACTGTGCAAGTTTTAGACATAGTTGCGTTATAATTCATCATTGGTCGAAGTGTGCTTCTCGAAATAAATAAATCAGCTTCGAGTGAATTTATATTTCTATCAGAAACGGTAAGTCATAGTGTATTTTTTGGTATGTGGGTTGTAAAATTTGTCGTAAAATTGTTCACTGAATTTTATTACATTGTGCTGAAATAGGTAATCCAAAAGAAAGATGCCTAATTGTACTTCCAAAGTTTCCCAATTGCTTTTGGGTGGTTCATGCTTGTCCAGAAATGATCCCCAACTTTTAGCGTTCCAGATTCCGAGTGGATATGGTTACGTGGTTCTGACAGGAGTCGGGTCTATGTTTATGGTCATGTGGAAGGCGTTTCAAGTAATTAGACATTGTTTTGCCAATTTTTTTGTGGGCCGGAGGAGTAAAAGTGATTGATGTTGTCTTTGTCGTCAGGTTGGGAAGGCGAGGAAAGAATTTAAAATCCAGTATCCAATTATGTACTCTCCGGACAATAACAAGTTCAACTGCATCCAGAGGTATGCAATTTATCATTGTATTTTTTTTGTACTTGCAGATCTTATTGTTTTTGTTGAGTATTAAATAAGTATACTTATATAATTTGTTACGTTGCAGAGCGCATCAAAACACGTTAGAAAATTACCCCCAGTTTCTGGCCCTGTTGGCTCTTGGTGGTTTGGAAATGCCAATTTTCACTGCGGTTGGGGGATGGATTTGGATTGCAGGGAAGGTAGCATTTGCCAAAGGGTATTACACTGGAGACCCAGAAAAGAGGTTTGTACCCTCACCAGATTATTGAAATATTAAATATATGTATGTATTCAGAAAGCCTACTTAACTGTATCAAATATACTGCGTTTACAGGCGACAAGGTACATTCGGATATATTGGTCTCCTTATGATGCTCGGGGCTACAACAAAGTTCGCAATTAGACTTATCCGTGGAGGATAAGCTACCTATGATTATTTCATTTCGTCCCGTAATACTGTTGTTGTCTTGTCACATACAGCTAATTATATGTAGTCACTTTACATTAGTCTGTGATATGAGACAACTTAAATATGTTAAACCCATGCCAATTATACAGAAAAAGAGCTACAAAATAAAATTGTTCCTTATATGAATTATTAGAATCGGAAGATGAGTTTGAGTATTTTTTAATTATGCATGCTGCACGGCCATAATGTAGCCATTAAGCTGAAACTTTAAGCAAGGAAAAGAGTTTTCATCTTAAAACAGTCTCGATAAAGATACCCAACAAAATTGGATGATAACTATTCTTTCACTTTTAGAAATTCAATTTTGTCCATTTATTTGTAAATCGTGAATCATTGTAAATATGTAGGTGACATTTTCTGCAAGTGATTCATCTCAAGAAAATAACTTGGATTTGCACTCATAGTACAAACATGAGTGGTGTAATTCTCCACACTATTACAGCACATGTACTCCTATGATTGCAATTTTAGCTTGTCGTACATATTGTATAGCCTTTTTGGATAACGAGATAATCCATCTCATTTACACTGCGAATATTCCCCATATACTGTGTGTAGAGTGAATATCAAGTATTAAGTCACTTCTCATGAAAATGGGCGGAGTTTTGCAAATGTATCATAATCCTGTTGTGTATTCCGTGTGTGCAAAATACTTAATTCCGGCTCAAATGTCGTTTAGCTTTTGGACAGAACGGGTTAAATAATAATACGACTTCCTAATCACTTTTTCTTTGTATTACGAGAAGCAAAGAAATGGCAACCACTATGCCTGCGGAAAACGGAGGAGGTAAGTTATTTGGGTCATATTTAGACTATTTTTTTTGTAATAATGTTCGAAAAAATGTTCAATAATGTATCAAAATTATCTATGCTGAACTATTTCAGTTCAAATCATACCATGGGAGGAGTTTGAGAAAAATGCAATTAATTATGCCCGGATCCTCGAAGAGTTTCCTCTGATAACCCAACTTGCCAGGAAGAAATTTTTTACGATCTCATCAGTGGGATCCAGCGGTTTGGATATAGACCAAATTTATTTGAAGCCACTGTTAGCCTCCTTAGTGGTAATGACAATCAATATTTGCACATATCTACATATATCTGATGAGACTTTATGTATGCACTAATGCATAATAAAATCGGTATATGTACATGTCAGGAAGTCTACAGTAGTCCCAAGATCTACATCAGGTACGGGGATTTAGCTACAGCACATGTGCAAAATGACGTAGAGATGACAAAGACTATTCTATCACGGTCATTAAAGCCAACACATTATGATCAGAATTGGCTTAATATCTTCATTCATGGTAAGAATATTTGCATGCAACTAATGTTTTTTGCATATAGAATGCTTAAATATAGATACTTATAAATTCTCAATCAATCTCAGAAAATGCAGAACGCATAATGAAAAAATGGGAAACCCAGGTGGACATGTTCACATTCACGTCATTCTCACAAGGGCCTGTACAGCCAAATGAATCTGACGATCTATGGGTAAATATTCCTAGATTTAATATAGAACCCCCCCCCACCGAAGTTGTATGCAAGCAGCTACAAATTTTATTTTCCACAGGCTACCAGCCAGCTTAATGAACCAGTTTTACAACAAGTCTTGAATGACTTATATGAATGGATGGATGTCGACACATTGGTCACAGATCAGCAACTAGTTGACATTGCAGAACGACATAATTCAGCAAAATCCGCAGCTCATGTCGCCTTTATCGGAGTACGTCATCGCTTGACGCAACAATACCCGGGCTTGAAGATGAATCCGACTCAAATTATGCAACCTCTCACAAAAGCAACAGTTCCTGGTAACGACGATGTCTTTGTGGTACATACGTGCATAAACAATTTAAAAAACTGGATCAAATAGTTTGACCCCAACATTCTTCGTCTCCCTGTGTTATTAATATAGGCAGGGGGCCAGTTTTCCAAACTACGAGTTGCAAAGGCAATCGAAATTGCAGAGAGAGGAGGTGGGATAGAACTTGTTGCAGAAATTTTATTTCACTCCTTTTTCAGAAACTTTTTCCTGGGTAATGGCATCACATTTTATGACATCCAGAACTGTCCAGGGGTCAATTTGCTGGCTATATACAGTACGTACATAAATCCAATGTAGAAACCTCATATGCCATACCAATCTTAATATCTGACTACATTAAATTACTCCAGGGCTTTCCAAATACATTATGACACCAAACTTGTCATGTTCGCTGGATGAGATAAACTTCAATCTTCTCAACTACATGGGGTTTCCAACCAAGGATGAACAAGAGAAAATTGACGCACATCTGAAGCAAAAAGGTATCGAGATGCAACAACAACCACAGTCACTTCAGCCAGCATATTTCAGTCTCGATGGTGGAAATAGAACAACTGAAAACAATGCTGGATTTCAAGTGTCTCTCGGATTTGAGTCAACTTCAGATCAAGTTCAATTCAATAACAATATCTCAGAAAATTCAAGTGGATTCAGCAGCATTAATGGATCTGTGCATAACTTGAGTCTTACTAATGAGACCTCCCAATCACAGCCAGCGCCACATTTCATCAACATTGTGCCAATTGTACAGAAGCATTAGTATTTCGAATTATATAGATGGCATGTTTTTAATGTTTCAAATAAATAATTTATGTGAATTTTGTCTATACAGCAGCCGTTTCGGTACATTTCGGAAGAGCAGATTAAAACCGCTTATGGAGAATATGTCAGGACTGGTGGTTGCGGAGCTGGTTCTGTTAAAGCTGGGATAAAATTATTTAAGATGATCATGTCACCAAAAGAGCAAACTTACAAGCTCAAACCACCTGAATTGCCCAGAGAAGAACTGGAGATGTACAATACCAAAAAACAGGAAATGTTAAGTAAGCCAAATCTGCACTATCTTCAGCGACTATAAGTTACTATTCAAATATGAGCAAACAATATTTATTTACATGTCATTGTACTTCTTACATAGACCTGTTAAAATTTTGGGAGATACAAGAAAACTTTGAACTTAACTGGGACAGATTTCGACAGGATTACTTGTGTTCCAAAATAATTGTGGATAAATCCAATCAATTAAGACAAAAAAGTAGGGCTGTAACAACGAAGGTGAAAACCAAGAAGACTGCCAATGTCCATCCCGGTGGCTCACAAAACCTTTGCTAAATATAATAGTAGTCCTTTGCAATTTTATTATTTGACTTTGAAATTAAAACTTAATATGTGTCAATAAAATTACAAATATATGTATCTTCTCATAAAAAGTCTGAACACAGAAGTTTTAAGTAACATTATTCACAACACTTTCCATAATTGGAGAAAGCATCCCTGAATCTGGCCGGTTGTCTGGATTACTGTCCAGTAAGCCACTAATTAAATCTTCTAAGTCTTGATTCTCCAGTTTGTTCAGCGCCTCCGTCTTCTTAGCGTCAGCGCTTATGATGATTAGATTGTCCATGTCATCATGAAACGTGTACAATGTATCTCCAGGAACTTGTGAAACCATTACGTCGGGATGAAACATCTCGTACAAAACAACTCCAAATGAGTAGTTGTCACATTTTTGGGTGTATTGCGTTGGAGTTCCAGATCTCTAATAATTTGATATACAATTTTATTTTAATAACCCAACCAAGCAAAAGTTGCAAATAAAATAATACGTATTACTTATGTAAGTTATGTGCATTTCTCTACCTGTTCAGGACACCGGTAATGAAAACAACCAACTTTTGTCGTCAGATTTTCCGAAAGACCAGGAATCAGACGACTTAGACCAAAGTCACCAATTTTTATAACTTCATTGTTATCCAAGTCTACTCGCTTTATGAGAATGTTTCCAGGATTTAAATCCCTGTGCATTACGCCCTTCTTGTGGATGAAGGCTAGACCTTGTGCGATTTGGAGTGCAAATTTTTTCATATTCTCACGTACATAAGTCGGATCCTCTTTTTCGAGCAACCTTTGCCTCAAGGTAGAATCGCAAAGCTCAGTTTGGATATAAAGAAGTTGATCGTACGACGTAAACCTAGTTGAAATGCTTGAAGGAATTTGATGAAAACTTTTATAGGCATCAATGTAATGCAAAATATTGGGATGTCGTTCATTTTGGAGCAGGCTGGCAATGCCCAACTCTCTTGTTTCATTTCTATAAATGCATACGACACCATGTGTAAGTAGGCGTTCATAATAATTCAGCGGATCGAATAAACTTACATTAATTTAATACTATTAAATCTAATTACCCATTTGGTTTTACCACTTTCAAGGCAAACTGTTCTTTATCCGAAATCCTTTCGATTTTGTACACTTCAGCAAATGAGCCACGTCCAATAAAGGAAATGACGTTATGGTTTGATAGGAACTCAACAAAACGGTCCTCAGCCATTTTATTAATGAATGTTAACACGATTGTTAATTTAGGAATAAATGCATCCCATAATGCAAATGATGTTGACATGCAGACTTTTTTCGCAGATTCATTTGCATGAGCGGTATTTTTTGCCAGTAATGATCTGTTGTTTCCTATGGTCTAACATGTTATCGTTCGCGAGTATGTGACTAATGAATGTAGGCAGCAAAATTAAATGAAAAGTTTTTTATTTACCTTTCAAAAATGTCAAACTCACACCCTTCATTTCTGTCAATTCGGCAAGGACGATTAATAGGTGCTGGGAGTTATGGTGTAGTTGTGAGAGGAAAATTTCCATTTTATCATGGAACAACAGCACTCAAAATTACAGGAAGGTATGCAAACAATTGGTTTTTGTTTTAACTTTATCAATAAATAAATAAATAGAATTTCTCAACAGCAATGCTGACTGTTGCAAAGAAGGGGAAATTGGTGGATTGCTACTGGGCCATGAAAATATCCTCAAGTATTATGGGTACTGGAAAGTGGCAAGAAAAGATTTGCACAAAAGCCTGCTCGAAATACATGACACCAATTCAAAAAATAAGTATCCTAAGTCAACATTTTTTATAATTCATACCGAATTTTGCAACGGGGGAAGCTTACAAGACTGGCTTCTTGGCTCATTAAATAACAAGTTACCAAAACGGCACTATAGAAGCAGGGAAAATGCGGAACAATTTTTTGCTCAGATTTTGGAAGGAGTGGCATTCCTGTTCCAAAAGGAAATTGTGCACGGGGACCTCAAGCCTCCAAATATTTTTCTACATCATACAAAATCAGGAACGGTATTAAAAATCGGTGATTTTGGTGGAGCCTTTGTGGCAAGCGGACAGGAGAGACGTGAAATTCATTGGACACCATTATACGCCGATGTCGAGGTATATACATACTTACCTACTTAAGTACAAAGCATGATTAACATTCCTCCCCAGAATGATTCAAAATTAATTTGACAAATATGATTTACAGAGTATTGTCAACAAAAAGGTGTCCTTCAGTTATGACATGTACTCCGTTGGCTGCATCTATTCCATCATGTTCATGTCGAAAATAATGGAGATGGATCAAGATCTAGTAGAGAACAGAGAGAACACGCTCTTCACAAACTATTAGTACAGGTCAAAACTTCCGGATTTTGCAATACTCTAAGATTCCAAAACCAATCTGAAAGGGTACTGCGTGATAATGCACTATTTTATTAAGTAGTAAAATGTAATCTCTACATATTACGCGTTTGTGTATTATGCAGGGACAATTAATTGAGCAAATGTTACATCCCAACGAGACGTACCGACCAAATCCACAAGATGCAAAAACACTGTTCACTAAATTTCTAAAGAGTAAACGATCCGAATCATTCCAAATTCCTGGCCGAAATCCTTTGTTCCGAGGTAGAAATGACGTGTTCTTCAACATATCTCAAAATTTGTCCCCACCTAAACGTTTGCTGCTTTATGGGCTGGCTGGAACTGGAAAAAAATCTATCATTGCAGAATATCTGTATAATTCAGAAATTGTCGATAAACACAATGTCTACTGGTTCCATGCTGACTCGTTGTCAATTTTGGAACGGGAATATGTCAGCTTTATGGAAACCAGAAATTGTGGTGAGTAAAATTGATGTAAATTGCACATAATGTTTTCCTATATACTTAAATTAATAAAATAACTTAACAGGCACAAAAATCCCTCATGTTAAATCGTGGCTTGAAAGTGATAATTCAAATTGGGTAGCCATTTACGAAAATGTCCTCTCGTATGCAAGTATTCAACACCTCCTCCCAAAAAACAACGGTATTGTTGTTTACACATCGCGGAGTGCATCCTTTCCCCCGGAATTCTTTAAAATCAATGTTGGCCTTTTACAATTGTCAGATTGTGCAGAGTTTATACAAAACGCGATAATTCTCTCCGACGTCAAAAACACAATATCTGTCCCCACTCAAGCGGAATGTGCACAACTCTCAAAGGAAATGGGATATCTTCCAACAGCAATTGGACAAGCGTTGGCCTTCATCTGCAGTGATAACAACGAAGTGACTACAGTTCCAGATTTTTTGGAATTCCATCGCAAAAACATGGAACAATTTGACACTGATGGGAAAATTATGAAATTCGCAAAGACGAACTTAAGCCCTATCTATGCCACATTGCTAGGCACACTTTATCAAATTAAGCAAGAAAGCGAACTTGCTTTCCGATTTGTAAAAGCAATTTCATACTTACACTGTGAAAACATACCTGCTTCTTTTATTGACACGTTTTTCGAAGGGCAAGATGAAGGCAATACCAAACTAAAAACTCTGAAAATATTAAACTCTTATTCAATCCTCCAACGTAGTGAAACAAGTGACGCAAAGTTTTCAGTATCTCGAGCTCTTCAAGAAACAGTTACGATAACCTTTTACTACGAATTTAACGAGACGGTGCAAGACATTGGCAAAATATTAAAACAATATTTACCCAGAAGAAGCAACCCGTTGAAAGGGTATGGATGTGTGCTAAAACAGGGAGAATTAATTTCCCATCTCGAATCTATTATTGACCACATTGACAATTATGTATCGTTTGTTCAAAAAGATTCAAAAATTCTTACTGTCGAACAGCAAGAAAACCTCAGAAGCGTGCTGAGGAGACTTTTGAAAAATTTAAAATCACTTAAACGAGCTTACGTAACTCTGCAAAACCGAGAAGCTGTTAAAAGCATAGCAAATCGAATAGAACTACTTGAAACAACCCTGTATGGAGATGAGAGTCGTTTTCTTGGAAATATTCAAATGGCAAATGGCAAATTTATTTTGCAATCTGCAAGCATGACAAGAAATGCCCCACAATTTGAGGAATCAATATTTCAAGCAATTGATAAATTCAAGGAAGCCGTTCCACTAATAGAAGCTCAATGCAATGTAAACTCAAACCGATTTTACCTGGCAGACTGCTACAGTTATTTGGGGGATTGTTACGCAATGTTAGTAGGGAGACAGCATTTTCAAGTTTCATGGAAAGGTTATTCAGACGAGGGAAGAAACGGGGCTGAAGATCGATTACATTTGTCACAAACATACTACTTTAAAGCAATAGATGAACTTCAAAGTGTTTTAAAAGATCATATAAAAGTTTTCTTTCTTCAGAAAATTTCTTCAGTATTTCATAAAATGGCAACGAATTCTAAAAAATTTCCGTCATCATGCGACCAATCATTGAAGGAGGAAGTTTTTCTGGTCCTCTCAATTCACTATGATATGCTTCAAACCCACATAACTGCACGAGGTGTAGACGTTGACGTCGAAAAAGTCTTAAAAAACTACAGACACTTCCAAATTGACCTGGATTTCTTGAAACGTCTGCTCGAGTCTTGGGTAGCTAAGTCTCAAAACACAAAGAAAATGTTATGCCGTCTACATGATTTTTATCACGAGCATCTTTCTGACTACAGAGAACAATACACTCTCGTGCATAACGTACTGGACAACAAAAGTACAAGAAATGTGGTCACATTCGGTAAAAAATATATTAAACCAGATCGCTTAACAGCTGGAAGTGGTACTGAAGTGATATTAAAGGCTTTGGATGATTTGAAATCGTCATCCCCGGACAACCAAATCGCCATAGCAAGCATACATCTACTTCTCGCCAAATCTCTTCGAAAAGAGAGTAGGATAAGAGAATCTTTAACAAGCCTTGATTCTGCATTGTCCATTTATCTCAAACAATACACAGGACATAGTACCACACTTGCTACGTTATACACACGAATGGCCGAGTGTCACGTTCTGCTTAACGAAAAACCTGAAGCTCGTCAACTCTACGAACAGGCTTACAATCTATGGAAAACATTTAATTTATTGGAGAAGAAGAAGAAAATAATTTTTAGCGACTTTCTTCAGAAATATGCTGCCACCATACCGGATGAGGAGATTACATTGAAAATACAACTATGGGAAGAGTGCTTAGCATTTGCAGAAAAAGCTGAAATCAAGAATGATGGGGGACATGTCGGTTACATTAAAGAAATCCTTGGATCACTGTATTTGGACAAGGGGGATTTTTCATCTGCTTGGAAAATGTTGCAGGAGGCTTTGGATATTTTCAACAAGTATGAAGTAATACCAAAGGGGGATGCCTCTAGAGTTGCTTGCATGAAGAAGCTTATCAAATCTGTAGAACACTTAAAGTGCGCAAAGCCTTTGTCAGAACGATATTCAAAAGCTTTGACACTGGAGACCACTACTGACAACGAAAATAGTGTCCCACAACAGGATGAGGAGGGTCAAGGTATTAGGAAGCTCAGGCGGAATCGAAAACCAGCCAGAATAAAATATAAAAAGAGAAGAGAAATCTGGATGAAAAAAATTGATACTACAAATAATTGAATTAGTCATAAAAAATACTGTTGTGATTTATGCTATTTAAATTATATTAGACTTTCCATAATAATACATATAAAAAAACATAGCGGATTGGTTAATACTTAAGTCATAAGTTAATCTGTATTTATTTTCATACAAAATTTCAGAAAGTAAAGTTATAGTTCATTAAAAACATGCGTGTTAATTTCAATTAATGCATTTATTTCCTAAGTATGTCAATCTATGTGATATATTATTAATTAGTTGGTCATTAGGAGTGGATAATTTGCTTGGTTAAAGTTCGACTCTACGTAATGAGTAAAAGTTTTTAACTAAAAATATGTCACGTGTATAATTATTAATCGATAGTTTAAAACATTTAATTCACATCAAACAGAAATCTCTATAAAACGACCTTGAGACATAAAACCTAGCTGTAAATTTATTTCGAGTGTGTACGTATAAATACCTACAAACACACCTTTATCTCCTTCGTAATGCTCTACTCGAATTTCTTATAGGTCAAGCCTCATTTAATTTAATGAAGTAACAATCACTAAAACAATCGCAACCACACCATCGAGAAGCATCGCAAATAAAACAAGGATATTGTTGTCTGTTAAGTAATATCAATGTACATATGCACATCTCATCGTCCGTGTACCTGACATTACTTACGAGCATGTAGGGCTTAGAAGTCAAGGAATATGTTTGTATGACGAAGGGTGTTGTTGCTTCTGTTGGTTTTACATATTGGTGGTGGTGACACAATGGACCTCGAACACCCAGAGCGAGATGCATTTAATAAAGTGTTTTGTTCAAGTTCAAAGTCGTGATTTGATCACATCAATTACACAAGAATGAAATGTAAGCTAGTGTAATGGGATGTTAAACAGGTGGATAAGAAGAGAGATTGAGGTTATCTTGTGAATAATGAAAGTGAATTCAATTGTCTGGTTTCTGGGCCGGCTGGGTCATGTGAGTGATCCATCTTTCTCGATCTATTAAGCAAAATCAATTAATTATTATGAGATAAATGTAGCAAGTTCCTTCCGGGTTGTGATGATGACAATACATACAAAAGTATCTACGTAAGCTACATATGTGTGATGCAACATTATGCAAATTAACTTACGACATTGAAATATTTATAGTCGAATGCTAAACAAAACACTAAAGAAACTTTGTAATTAGAAAATTAATTTCAAAAAATATTTACAAGTAATTTTATTATGGAGATAATCTTGTAGCGACAAATCCTCAAGTTTAAATCTTTATTATTCAGGAACTAGAAATTCCATAAAAATTGGATTGCATTTGTATAAATTTTTTGATCCAGTTTAATATCCATGAATCATGCATGTTTTTCTCATTTTTACGAGCAACTTGTAATAAGTACTTCTATACATATGTTCTGGGTGAATAATCACCATCAAAAGTTTAGTTATCATTTCCTTACTAGATTATTACAGCCTAATCCCAACTGCATTTTGAAATAAATAAATTCTCATCATTTTTCCTAATTCATTACCAGTCCAACTTCTGCATTCCTGCCGCTTGTAGTAATAAAATTCATGAGATAAAAAAACAAGGTATAATAATATACATAATCTTCCAAGAAGATCAGAGGTCAGTAATTCGTCGTGAGGTGCACACCACCACCACCACCGCCAGCCACCTGCCCTCCATAAATTAATAAGTGATGAATTTGTTTAGAGCTGATTAGATGAAGGAGATAAAACTTCCTCTTCCGCACTTCCTTCCGTCCATGCTTGTCTTGTCATGTGACACAACACTACATCAACGTTCGTTCTTTATGGGGAGCAGCTAGTTAGGCAGTTTGTTAATAAACGTCCATTGTTGACGGGCTGCCATTAAAGAAAATGCTGTATGCTGCTGCTACTGCTGCTGTCCATCCATCGACGACCATTCATATTTGCATACTAAGAATATGAAAGTACGCATTATAAATCACACAGGATTAGAGATGCCTTGGGGAGATGACCCACTAACCATTTAGGAAACAATGCGTTCAATTAGTTCACCAAAGTTACCTTCACACTTCACACCTGTGCAAACAATCAATCTCATCCATCTTTCCCGATAACAATGAATGAATCAACTCCATCTAAAAAGTTTTAAGCGCTAAGGTCTCTCCTCTTTCTGTGTGTATGCAAGATTGATTGATCTTTATCTATATGTTACAAAATGTCAGTTCAAATAGCAAATTGATTTTCAAAAGTGGCATTTATTGCGCTTGGAGAAATATAAATGCTACAGTTAACCTTCACAATCCTCCAGAATTAAAATGTGTTTATGCTCTAATCCCAATTAAGTATTTTAATAGCATTGTAGGAGATGTTGTTGGAGTTTTGTAGTGCCACCCCAATTGGCATTTCTACTTCTTCTTCTTCCTTCCTGGCTGCCCACGCCAATTATGAGATTAGACCAAAATCATGACACGAATGAATAAAATTATTTAGTTATGTGATCATTGAGACGGATTAGATTGGGAGTAAGACGTGCACCCATTTTACGCACGACGTAGCACAGGCGTAGAATATTTTCTGCAAGTTCCGTCTCCCCAGGACAGATAATATCTGGCCCACTCTTCAGCATATTATGAAAGCATGACTCATCCAATCGACTATGTATTTGGGCACAAAAAGTAGCGTTTGGTAGTTGAAGATGGGGGACTTTTCCATGATTTAGCAACTAAACAGTTGTATTTGTATGTACATACGTACAAGCAAATGTATGAGACGACGACAAGATCCTGTGCAATAAGAAAATCCTTGTCGACAATTTTCGTTGGCGTCATCAGCATCACACTGTAACCATTAATATGAATGGGTGATGAATATTATGATTATTGGTTTGTTTGATGTTGTGGCCGAGTGGAGAGTCCGTTTGCTTCCTGCCACCTACCTTTCCTTGTTATGATTCACGACAAGGTCAGAGGTTGACTCCAACATGTCAATTAATTAATTGCAGTGATGGGATAATAGTGTAATGGTTTCATGCGTGGATCATTATGGAGGAAGATCGTATACGTATATCTAGTAAATTACGACGGTTTGTTTGCTAAATAATCGTAAATACAAACTTAGTTGTGGGTGTATGTAGCTCAAACGTTAGATTTAATGTGAACATTTTTTTTCTTACAAATTATGGAATGTCGCCAATGCCACTGAACTCATAAAACGGGAGCTGGCCTTGGAGTAAGCACCTTTAAAAAATAATTTTGCATCATTAAAATGGCGGCGTTGCGCTAATGCCACACTATTCACCTCTTTACTGCTGATGCTGCTAATTATCCGGCTACAAACAATATTGCTCTATGATCGAAACGTTAGTTTTGATGGATGGATGGATGGATGGGGACGAATGGTAAATATAGAATTTGTTAATTTACAAGAAAGGTCACAGCCAAACGTAGTTAATAAGTGGTCACTTCACTGTGACACTGGTGGCATTGACATTGGCTTTATGTAATTTATTACAGGCTTTGGAGATAGCGTTAGACTTTGTGTTTAATAAATTGACTCGCTAGTTTCTTCTGTTGGATAACATGACGTACAATAATATCGAAGTGCATACTTACATGAGCGCGTGTATGTATTGATTAGTGATTAAAAGTACGTTCTGAAAATGGCCGCAAGGTTTTAGAAAAATGCACGTCATAATGTTCAAAATTTGTTCTTAGCTCTGTAATTTGCAATTTTTGACTAGATTTAAGGTTAAGCTCCAGTTTTTTTGCGTAACCTTCACGTCTCTCCAGACTTACAAGAAATCTCTATTAAAGCTGGAACATGCATGATTTATTTGCAAGCCCTTCAGCAAAATGAGACGTATTTCGTGGAAATAAATACGTCGTAGAACAGAACCCTTTGATAAGTTACATTTGACAGTACACCAATTATACAATTAAATACTTGGTCGAAAACGTCAACAAATATTACAACATGGACACGTAACATGAACAATTACTTCATGCGATTATGAGCCACAATACATAGTTACGTAAACCTTTACATTCACCATGCCTAATATTACACCATAGGATCCTATTGTTTAGCCAAAACAATTAATAAAGTGTACACACCCTTCAAAATGCAAATTCTATTATCATAATGTAACGTATACCTCAGCAGGAGTGCATTAGAAATATCATAATCAGACCAAATATGTATAAACAAAAAGTTGGGAAAAACGTTAACTTGGAGGAATTTGCAAACTTTTGTACAGCAAAATGACGAAAAAAAGTTCCAGCGACAATATCAATCTCATATTTGCCACAACACCAACGCAGTTCCTTGGCTGACTTTTATGATGACTTGACATGTTGATTCTTGGTCACGTAACCTTTATTTTCTTGCACATGTTCGCAATGGAAGATCGCCAAGATAAAATTGTTTTGCAATATTAGACATGCAGTCATATTATGATGGACTTGATCCAATGAGGAAGTGAATGAAATCTATATAGCTGATGAATGGATGGATTGTATAAAATCGAGAATGAAATGCTGGACAAAATCAAGAAAGTAATATTAATATTTAATTTGTACATATCTCTTCACATTCGTTTCGTTCGTCTCAATTAAACTAGGACAATGAAAAATTGGTTGCGGAGATGATAAAAATGCATGCAACAAAGACCCAAACTAATTTACACAAGGATGAAAAGCATGAAAAGATGAGATCAAACATGAAATATTCAGATACGTATGTGCAGTAGGAAAAAATGAGAGGGTGGATAATAATTACTATGTCTAGTCGAATCGAATCGAACGATCGACTCGCATACACAATAAAAATATTTCGTGGTAATCCTAATGTGAAAGGTATTTGCACACGTACACGTTTTCCATTCCCCGGCTAAATATTTGTTCTTATCCTCATTCTAATCTGTACATAATGAGCATCTTTAGTTTCTGGGGTCCAAATATTCAACGACACATGTACATATTTAGCTATGCAGGAGAATTAAATATTTATTAAGCGTAGTTGACCAACAAAAATTGCGTCTGTTCGTTAGTTGCATCCTTGTCAGATAAATAAATAGTGAATGAATGAATTAATACATGTATGCATCTGAGACAAGGATGCTTTTACAAGTGCACATAATTAACACGGTTCAATTCCAAAAAATGGTGATGTGCTTGGGTCGTAAACTATGCGGTACTGTATGAGTACCTTATGCGAATTTTGAGACTTAAATACCGTAAATTACTAGTAATAACAACTTAAATCCAGATTATTCCAGTATTTATTTGTTCTCCTAGGAAAAATGCAATGAAGAGGAATTTATTGTTTCTTATTCCGTCCTGATTACGTGACGTGACGTTACGTGTTAATATTGGTGGAGGTGGATAAAGACCTCGTTATCAACATGCTGCGACTACACATAAAGCCATCATCACGCCGCTGTGCAGATTATGACTTTGATCTTCAACTTGATTCTTGAAATCAATTTCCCTTTCATCTCACTCTCATCTCGTGTGTGGTTAGCATGGCTGCAGGTATGGATGTATGTACATCAGTTATGCATATTGCTGGCTTATCCCACCGCAAGCAAGACGCCAACTATGGTAAGGTAAGGTAACATCATGGGATGCTCCCTTGAACTTGGCCAGTACTACATTTATTATTACCACGTTGTACTATAACAATATGCAACATCTATCCACCAATGATTTAACATCACTCCATTTCCGGACGTGGATATAAATACGAGTTCAATGCTAACCGGATGTCCAGAACTGTTTTGAAGTCCAAAGTGGACACATCTCTGAAAAGTGTTTAAGAAAGTGAGTGTTTTTTAAAGCAAATTATATCATTACAATGAGAAGATTAGTCGGATTCGTCCTGATAGTGGGATCTGCGGTCGTGTTGACCACCCCAAACCCGAACCCACAATACAGCTTTTTCCCAGCTTACACGTCTGTGGGTCAGTCTTACTACGCTCCGGATCCGTTGATATCTTCCCCCTCCATTTCTCAGTCATCCTTCGTCCCCTCAAACTCATTGGGATTCATGAACGGCGGATTCACGACGAATAATGGATTTTCGAGTAATGGATTTACGAATAGCAGATTCATGACGAGTAATGGGTTCAGCGGGATGGGATTTACCCCAATCCGTATGAATGTTCAGCAACAATCGCAACCGCAATTGCAGCAACAGCAGCAACCACAACCGCAACAACAATCTTCTGGACCAGGTATCAACTCCTTGTTCGAAAGAGTGATTGAAGAAGCCACTCTTTTTGTGGAAAATGCCGAAATTCCAGTTTCCGTTAATAACAGTGCTCATATGCGTAAGTTCTGGTGAAATCTTTTCCCATCCATGCATACTATTAATTCAAGCAATCAAAATATCTATTGTACTTAAACAGCCCATGTCCACACCCCACCACATGCACATGCCGTTGGATCCCATGGCTTTTCTGCGCATCACGGAGGTCACGGTCATGGAATGGGTGGACACAATTATTGCAAATTCACCACCAAATCCCAAAAAGTAGGCAAAGTTTCCAACGTTCATCTCAAGGCGTACGAAATTCTCACCAAACAATACCAAGTGCCAAAAACACAAGCACTTTCATACCTCCGAGCCCGACTTCCCGACTACTGTACTCGAGAACAGAGACCACTTTATTGCGACAGGAATAGCAGATACAGGTTATTACCATTATAATACAATTGCAGATTGTGAAATACTTTTGTACTTATGGAAATTGTACTCCTTTCAGGTCTTTTGATGGAACTTGTAACAATTTGGAGCACCCATTTTGGGGCGCTTCCTACACACAATTCGACCGTCTCGCACCCTCAGTTTACGAAGACGGATGGAACGAACCCCGTGGGGCAGGATTTCACATGGCTGGAGCTCGACTCCCAAACGCACGAATCGTCTCTCTCTCCGTCCATCCCGACTACGTCCACCCTGGTGAGTGAGATTTTAATTTAAAGCAAGCTACACCAAATACGAATGAAAATGGTTGATTATAATCAATTTATCAACACCCCACTTTTAGATAACCGCATGACAAACATGGTGCCGCAATTCGGTATGATCTCATTTTCTGTTCTTTATTACATAGTATGTCCATTCTGACACAACTCTAGTTATCAATTACGATCAGTTATTAAGGTTTTGGCCGCACTAGTCAGTTTTGTGTCATTATGAACATGAATAGATCATTAACTGGAAGAAATAATAGTTGTATGTTAATTCTAATTGTTTAACTTATTTTTTACTCCCCCGGGGGGCCCAAAAACCAAAAAGGCCAATTTATTGATCATGACATGACCCTAACGCCAGAGTCTGACAGACGTTGTTGCTCCCGTGATCAGAACAATGTTGATTGTTTCAACATAAAGATCCCAACGGACGATTATTTCTACTCCAAACTCGATAGCCCACAAAACTGCATGGATTTCACTAGATCAACACCATTCTGTTTCCCCAACGCCCAAGGAACTCGAGAACAGATGAACATAGTCACCGCATTTGTCGACGCTAGCCACGTTTACGCTTCTGAGGAAAATCGAACCCGATTATTGCGAGCGTTTCAAGGGGGACGACTCAAGACTAATACTCAACATCCCGGATTCCTGCCTACTGTTGCCCAAATTCAAGCAGAGACTGGTGAACATTTCGATTTCATGGGTTCCTTCTACGGTGGTGAAGAGAGGTACACAATAATTTCTAATTAATAAAGAGTGAAATTTTTACATGCATAAACACTAATTACTATTTTTTACCCATAAAGAGTGAACGAGATGCCTGGCCTTACAGTCATGCACACGCTTTTATTCCGAGAACACAACCGTCTTGCCGACGCCATCTCGGCGAAACGACCATATTGGGATGACGAAACCATTTTCCAAGAAGCCAGACGATTGTTGATTGCCGAATGGCAGAATGCAGTTTACAGCGAATACCTCCCAATCATTTTGGGAGACAATACGATGAAGAAATATGGAATCAAGTATGACGAAGTCAATCCTTTCACCCAATACAATCCAAATCTCAATCCCACCATCTTCCACTCTTTTGCTGATGCTGCCTACCGATTTGGACACACTTTAATCAATGGACTTATCCGAATGATGAAAGGTTTCCAGGTAGGAATTCATTTTGTCCTATACACACTTACAAAATTTACTAGATGGTCTAATATCACTGTTTCTGATCATCACTTCAGGACGTAAACCGATACCGAATTAGAGACAACTTTTTCAACCATGAGCAAATCACTTATAACGGAGGTGAAGGATACGATCTCATTTTGGTAAGGAGTACAAATTAGTATCCATTGCAGGACCAGATTTGTACTTAATATATTCATTTAAAGGGTGGTCTTATGGCGCAAAATTCTCAAACCTACGATCCCTTCATTACCGAGGATGTCACAAACTTCCTTCTGAAGGAACCCAGCCGTAAGTTTGGCGGAGATTTGATTGCTCGTAACCTCCAACGTGCCAGAGAACACGGTCTTCCCGGCTACAACGTGTACAGAAGTATTTGCGGCCTTGCCGGAATGAGCAACTCTTGGAACAACAGACCTTCAAATATTCCAGAAAACGTGTGGCAAGTTTTGGGGTGAGTACTTTTTATATCTGATTACAACTCTAATTAGGACATTTGAATAATATCGTATAATTTCTTAGCTCCCTATACGAAACACCCATCGACATTGACCTCTTCACCGGAGGTTTAGCCGAGGTCCCTGTCCCCATGGCTGTTACTGGTCACACCTTCAACTGCTTGAAGGCTTTGCAATTCGCCCGAACCAAGTTTGGAGATCGATTCTTCTACACCCACTCCAATCAACCAGCTCCATTCACTATTGAGCAGTTGCGTGAAATTAGGAAGCGAACTTTTGGGGATATTATTTGCCAAAACAGTGTCGTAGAAATGACCACCAGAAACGTCTTTAAGATGCCAGGAGATGAAAATCCCATGATGTATTGCAACGATCCAGCCAGAAACAGCTTTAACATCGATATTTTCCTCTACAATCGGGCTTAATCGGGTTGTTCTCTTCAAAAAACCTATATATTCGCCAATACATTTGCCTATATATTTTACCTACCTATTCATACATACCAATCAACCAACCAAGCTTCGTTTTATGAGTGACAAGTATTGAAATGTGATAATTTATTGCAACTATTTATTTATTTTTTATATATCAATTTACTTATTTGTTTTCGTGTCGTATTGTTTCTGCTGGCAGTTTGTGTGTCTGGATAACTTTTTTACAAGATTTTTATTATATAGAGTACAATTTTTATATACGCCGAGACTTTATTCTGGATGCATGAGAAGTAAGTAAGAGTAACAACTACATACATACAAAAAACTCGAGTGATGTAAACTGAAAATGAATGTGTTCAACGACTACTTGTGCAAAGTAGCCAATAAAATGGAAAAAATGTAAAAATATTTCAACTCTTGGTCAATTATTCAATTTCCTGCAAGGACGACGAGCTCAACTTACATCACAATTACCACTTTTGCTCAAAAATTTACAACGCATAATAGTTGCCCACACAAGTATGATGAGCACATCTACTGACAGCTACATAGGTAAATACACATGCACATCTCTCCTAAATATTAGTGGTACATAACTCTTTGTTATAAGTAATCTATTTTCCTTGTATACAGAAATCAGGATAAGAAAACAAGGTTACAATTCCAGCATTTTTATTACATTTTACACACTGACAGACTACAAAGACAATTAAACTTTATTGGTATAGGGGATTAATAACGCCGGTCATTTGCATAGAATGTTGTTTTATTTACATACTTAAGTAAATAACTTAATATTTTCATAATAAATTTACCAAATATATTTTCATAATTTGTACAATATTACACTTTTCTACCAAAAAAGTTGGCTTTTATAACATAACCAACTATTTAATACCCAACTTTTTTCACTTTTCACTATATAATCATGTTGATAAGCTTTACATGAACTACAAACTACTGCCGAAATTGAACCCTCGAATATGGAGTCATGACAGGCATTTGATTCGGATGTTGCTGATACGACATTTGTGGTGGCATTTGGGGTTGCCCCTGTTGCTTCTTACCAAAAGGAACCCTGGGGACGAACACATTTGCTTTCCACCTTTCCTGTGGCTCAACCCCACCCATTCCCATGCCCATTCCCATGGGACTCGCTTCAATCGTTACCACGTCCCCAGAATCCTCCCCGTCATTGTAGCGTAATTGTGCTCCAATCACGAAAATGTAAAGGAAAGACCCGACTATTGCACCGATAAAGGGTGCAAAGAATCCAACTGACCACCACTGCTCATCCCTTTGGACAAAAATAAATAGTTAATAGCTACAATATTTACTTAAAGGGAGGTCTTCTAATGGGGCAAAACTCTGAAACCTACGATCCCTTCATTACCTTGGACTTGGACTTTTCATCACAATGTTAGAATCCCAACCGAGCGAAAGGGCAGCAAGTCTGGGACAAATATCGCGAGCAGGGTTTATAGCGACCTTAAAAAAATTGACATATTCTAAATACATGAATCATACATAGCTAAATTTGCAAATTTTTTCAACGTGCACTCACGCCGGTCGTATCGCCAAATGAGAGTCCCAACCCTATGACGACGAGTCCGATAAGGATTCCTTGCACATAACGAGGACTTCGAGAATTCCACATATCATTTACAGCCAGGAATGCCATCATGAAGAGGCAGGTGAGTACAATCTGGGACAAAAAACATGATAAGATACAATTAACCAGGATTATTGGATTGGCCTGCCTTATTCATAAATACTTTACCAAGGACATTAATCTTTTATTAATCATCCAGTTACTTCATATAAAGATGTTATCATGCGTACTTGCGTGTATTTGTATTGTTAAATTTTGTTTTGATATTGTGAAATTTATATTTAGTCATGATCGCCATTATTAACAAGTGGATCAAAGTGGAGCGTAGTTATTGTGATGGTTTTGTCCATCTGTCCGTCAGTACGATTACTTTAAGGTCACGGCGCTACGGTGATGAGGTCAAGAGTCTAAAATATCTTAATTTTGGTTTTGACCATTTTAGATGTAGTTTGGGACCGGGATTTCAAAAATCGTCATTATTTTAACGTTTATCGACCTGGAGACGGTGTAAATGAAGTCACAGGTCATAAAATGTCGAAACATTAAAAATGTCAAATTTACTTAGCTACTAACGCACCTCTAGTACACATCTCAAAAGGGAACCTTAAGTACTGTCACATCTCGATTTCCTTTGGGAACGTCTTAATTGATGGATAATTTAGTGTAACTAAGACTTTGTCATAGAACATACGGTGCAAAACCACGTACATAGGACGGTCCTATATTTATGCCGTCCTTTGTAGATGCCATAGTGGAGGGACCCCATAGGGTCCCTCCCAGATGAACGTTTTTCTAGTTTTCCAGTTTTCCAGTTTTAAAAAGCTTAAAGCTCGAATGAGGTATGGAAAAGTGGTTGTGTTAAATATGTTAAAAGCTAACGATACAAATTTCCCAATTTTTTCAACTTACACATATAAATATAGCCAACAATTTTGAAAAATACGTAAAAATAGACAAGCATTGGTCATTATATCTTTTAGCATGAAAAATTTCGAGTTTCAATTTTTGAAAATTTTTGTCAATTTTATTACAATAAGAGAAAAAATTATTTTTTGAAATTTTTTTGCAATGCTTAAAGAAGTTTAACATTTAAATTTTGGCAACATTTAAAAAATGACGAAATTAAAAGCATTGGATAAATTCTACGTTTTGGTGCAGCTTTCGCCAAATATTTCGCGACAACGTGATTTTGCACCATATGTTCTATGACAAAGTTTTAGTTACACTAAATTATCCATCAATTAAGACCATCCGAAAGGAAATCGAGATGTGACAGTACTTAAGGTTATCTTGTCAGTAATTCTGTTTCGGCGAGTTTATTATATCCGTTGCTGGAGTTGATTAATATTTTCCGGGGTTGAATCATGCAGTAAATATTGGTGATAAATGACTCGCACTCACCTCATTGAAAAAGCCGGACCCTAGGCTAATATATCCTGGGGTCGAATTAAAGATGGCTGCAGATGCAGGATTATTTGTCCAGTCTCCAGTGGTCAGAGAATCAAAATAGGCTGTAAAAATTGCAAGATAAGGACAAAACAATTAGAGATTTGCACACACTTTCTAAATCTTACTTAACATAAGCATAAAAAGAGTGAATATGATGAAGCTAACATTTGAACATTGCATAAGCGAAGAGTGAGCCAAGATATCCTCCAAGAATCTGTACTAAGATGAACGCATGCAACTTAACCCAAGATAACCGGCCCGCAATCGCCATGCCGATTGAAATAGCAGGGTTCACGTGTGATCCTGCATTTGACAGCATTTTTTAAGGCTCCTTAAAAAATATGTACGAAAGAGATGTTGTGCACACGTACCAGAAACCCCTCCAAAGAGCAGGGTGGCAAGAAAGTAGCCAAAGGCCACTGGCCACACAGAGGAAGTTGGACTAGACACAAATCTGATAGGTGACCCAACACTATTGATGCTGGCGTTAATATTCATCGTACCTCCCACCGCAAATAACTGAAACATCGAATTTGGAATTTATTTATTTCTTATTACCTTTGATGTAATTCTACTTACGCAGAGTGTAAACGTGGCTAAAAATTCGGCAATAATTTCACGAACATAGCTCTTCTCGATTCGGGCGTTATTTCTCGCCCAGTTAAGAATTGGGGATATTCCTATGGCCATATTGACCTTAGCTTAAGGCCTTAGCTTAAGGCAGTGGAGGTAGAGGATAACGAACTCTTGGACTCGAGGCGACAGACTGATTCAAATTATTTCACGTCCATAAACGCTTTCAAGCTTAATGAGTCAGTATGTACGCACGAAAATATGCAGAAAACTTGGAATTGCATATGGTGTATTGCGGGCAGAGTTTTGCAATGCCAACTTTGTGAATACCAAACTTAACCACGGTAAGGCAACTTGGCCGAAATTTGATAAGGAGGATTATCGGGGATTACTCCGGATGCCATGCACAGGGCCACATATCTTATCGATATGAGCATTGAGCAGCTTATCACAACATTTTTGGCCGGAACCTTTCATGTCTCATTCTGAGTATCATATGCATATTGATTAATTAAGAGAAGTATTGATGTGACGCGATATTATTGGCACCACAGTGCGTAACACGGATGAAATCATCAGCTAAATATGTATCTAATTAAATTAGGTGGTATACAAATACATAAATAGCACATTAACTGAACAGGTCACGTAGTAGATAAGTCTATTAATCATGCAATTTATTGGAAGCATCAATTTGTTTAGATACTGTCAACTTTTGTCAGCTGCGCAATCGGTCCATGTAGGCAGCGAGATCGGTTAGAGTTGAAACCTGAAACATTCATGAAAAGGCAAGTGCACACGAACTTTACGAATATGAAGTGAACAATTATGTATGTATGCTTTTGTTAGAGACCTTCCACTTCACACTGATTTCTGAAATTTAGTAAATAAATCTGAAATTTTGCATGATTGATGATAATAAAGATTTCATTCTTGTATTGATCAAAGTGACCCAAATTATCAGTAGTTTCTGGTATAAAAAAATGGCTGTCTATTTATGTCAAGTCAGCACTATAGTTTTATTTTATTACACACTTGAAAGGCAAAAATGACTGACCACAAGGTTACAATATTTAAAAACAACTCAAATTGTTAAAAGCAACTTCGGTACGAATTACTGGTAAGAATTGGATAAATCCACTTGGGAACTGGCGAAATTTTGCTGACTGGATTGTTTCGGTACTCCGTTCCTTTGGGAGGACAAGAGGTTTCCGTGATGATTCCACAAACATGTGGCTTATCACTGATAAGACCGGATGGACACTCTAACGCACCACCAAGGAAATCGGATTTTGAGCAAAGTGTTCCATGTCGTCCTCCGATCTGAAGACATGACTCTTCCTTTCTTAGCATAAAGCGATGACGTCTCTGGCACACACGTGGGGCTACTGGTTTTATAACCGCAGACTCAATGTTGTCCGAGTGCGAAAAGAATGTGGCTACAAATGCAAAAATATAAGCTTTTACACAGAAATACCCATAAATTCAAAAATGATAAATATCTCACCTCGATTATCTGGTCGACCAAAATCGACACCTTTCCCTTCCCAGACGAGCCTGGCTGGGAAAAAGTTGCCAGTAAAGACAACAGCTCGAGCCAAATTAATGACAGCAATTTCATTCAACTCTTTGGTTGGATTTGGGACAGTGTTATGGACACAAATATGCTCAACGACAAATTCGTCAAAAATCCCTTCCGCTTTCACCGTGACACCGTCTGGATCAACGTTGACCACGGTTTCATACGCATTTCCAGGAACAGGAGAAACAAAGCAGTTTGATGCTGTTAAAACATGTTTGGAATCAACAACCACGCCGGAACAGAAGTGGACGCCATTTCGCCGCAAAGAAACGACATATCGTGAAATAGTAGTTGATGATGGCAAAAGAGGTGATGGTGAAGAAATTGTTTCGTCTGCCTTGACCAGTTTTATGGGTGTTTTTTGGGGTGGCGGTACTGGCGTAGGTGAAGGTGAACGAGGAACTGGCGAAGGAATGGGCAGAGGAGGAATGGGTGAAAGGTCCTTGATATCTTCAGCATCTATTTCATTCTGCAATGGGGGTGGTCTCGGTGAGGTAAAGTTATTTCGACCACGTCGACCTCTGCCTCGACGCGTCCTATATTTTTCAAAAACTTCTTCCTCTCCACTAAAAGGGAGAATTTTGAATGGACGAAATGTCCACGTCCATCCATCATATTGACGATATGAAATTGAAGTATTGAGAAAGTCGTCTACGGTGTCACCCAATTTGTTAATTATTGCTCCAATTTTAGTTTTGGGCTTGCGACGACGCCGTCGCCTTCTTCTACGGCGACGCCCTTGTCCCTGCTGCTGTTGCTGCTGATTTTGACGCGTAGGCTTCCTTATATTGTTAGGAAATTGGATTTGAGTCGAAGTCAATAACTTTTCAGAATCGTCGGATTCTTCCTCACGGGCACGTATTCGACAGCAAAAGACACTCTGCTTAATCAAGGGATTTCTAAGTTTTCGAATAAAAAGCCTCCTCTCAATTACGTTTTTGGGTAGAGGAGGCTTGGCCAAAGGCTGTACTACATATCCAGGAGGACAAGATGTAAATCTTTTCGAATTTAGTGGAAAACAATTTCCAGAAGAGTTTTGAACTTTTTGTGACGATGTGGTGATAATAAATAAAGCTGAAATTATGCCCAATTTCTGTAGCAGCATTTTGAGCAGCAATAACAATAATCTGAAAACGACTAAATTGTGAAACAAGATCGATCCCCATTTTATAACTTTTTTCTGCATTACTTCCGATTTGGTAATTGCACTGTAATTAAATTACCAAAACTTACTTAATTTTGGAAAGTTGCTGTGTTACACATATGTCACATCAAGTGCCATAAAATAAGAACATTTTTTTCTTGTGGGTATGTTTTTCACGATAAAAGTGAGATTTTCACGTTACATGTATTTTGGCGATACATTTTTAGAGTGATGAATGATGGGTAGTGTGTCAAGGTGGTAATTTACGTGTCACAAGAGGGACGCCACACCTTGATAACCATCTCAACGCAGGTTTTACATGATATATAAATCAGTGCTGAAGTGGCTTAAGGGCGAATCAGCAGCCAATAAGTGATATCAGAGCGAAAGAACATGAATTTGTAAGAAAATTGCGTAATACTGCGTAATTTCTATCATAATGAAAAAACTTTACATCAATCAACTAATTTACAATGGTACAAGTTACGCGAACCATACAAATGAACTCTAAAGATATGTGCATACACTGTCCTTGCATAAGTAGGAAAATATGTGCATATGTCTTTATTTATACGACTATGAATGGTGAAACATTGAGAAGCTTGTGTTTTACCCGGATGTAAAAAACACCCGGGTATTTCTGCCAAAATTTATCAAACTTACTAATTCAAACATATTTTCATTTACAAGACAATAATAGTGAATTCGTATCGTGCTTTATTATCGGTAATTTTAGTGATCGTTAATCCCGAAATACATATAGTCACATACTAAGTAAGTATGTACATAAATACAGATATTACAATGTGCATACTACAAATATATACTTCGCAAATGTTGCAATTTCGTAAATATTTACGGCCTACATTCAACCCTAAAATAATAAAATTATTATTACGTGCTAACTCACTTGTCAATTGATTTATGCATGCAGCAACCTCATCTAAAATGCTCATGTTACCGTACTGTGACAATATTGAAGCCAAGTTAAACGTGCAGCTTGGATTTACACGTAACAAGGAAGTAAGTGGTGGATTTGTTTGCTGGGGGAATGCATCCTCTTCTGCATACGATTGGATTGGACGATGTGAATGGACAGACTTATCAAAATCTGGTTCTCTTCTTCTACTTACTTACGTAGTTTGATTGTGGATCGAGTTTTGTACTTGTGATCTGTGAAGTTTGACCCCGTAAGAGTACGCTACACAGCAAATCATCTGGTTTTAAGCTGCTAATTATTTTCCGAAAAAATAAATCTGTTGTTGCATCTGTCAGTTTGATACATAAACTTTTCTGCTTCTTTTTTTGAGTCGTCATTATACTTTTCACATTGGCTGAAGCTGACTTGGTCTTATTTTTTGTCTCCGTATTTTGGTGGCGTTACATAAATTGTTACCAATACGTAAAGCATGAGTGAAAATTGTGGTGGTGTTAAAATACTAAAAAATACTAAAAATGAGACGGAGGACAACGAACCGATAAAGTCGCCTCCGATTATGACGACTACGAACGCCTACATCTCAAGCAGTCCACCAATACACATTTGCTGCTATCGATCCCGACATGTCCAGCTTTGTGGGAAGAGCAATACTCCAGGTGAGATTTTATTTACTGGGTTTGTGGAAAATATGATCATTTATTTATTACGATATCAATAAATGATTTGGCCAAGTGGAGCTGATAGCAGATAGCTTGTCACACTTTATTTACTTAGGTATTTAGATTTAGTTCATTTCATTCCATGTGCGAATTTAAGCGGTCGTCGGTATAATTGAAGTCTTGTATTTTGACCGCAAGGTGATGTCAACTATTTCTGGAAATATCTAGTTGACATTACATATTTCTTCATACTTTTGAGAAATTGAGTACGTATGCATTATGTCTTGCACGAATGACAGCTCTTTTCCCACCAGTTCCAGAGAATCTTTGAAATTATTTTGCTTAATCAATATGTACATGAGGATTTGAGTAGCATTTCCATTCCGTCCTACGATAAGTTTGTCCCATCATCAATGCGTAACGATCCCCTATCCGTAACCAATGATGTATGGAGATTGACGTGGTCTGCTGAAGAATCAGTTACAGAGTGACAGAGTGCAGCTTTTTGTACATCATTGTACGTATCGCTAAGGTTAATCCAAAAATAACCAGCAAATTGTTCGTTACTTCTTAGACGTTCGTCCGTAGTCACAAGACTAAAGTCCATTCATTCTCCCATCCTTGTGGCTTACGGAATTTTGACTACGTGACCAATATTCCATCTATGTTGGGAAGACCAATTAATTAATTAAGTTATGAAGGGATTTTCTTGACATGTATGTAAATACATAATTACAAACTTTTACTCCGGGTCCAAGCTCCATGCTTCTGTGTCAATAAAATGTCTTATTCGCCATCATCATTTATTTATTTATCCTCCTGTCATGTGCCTGTCTCAACAAAAAGTCGAAAGTATTTCTGTCCATTACGAAATATGTTTACCGAAATGTGTATGTTCAGAACATTTGCACATGGGGTATTTCTACTTGAAGAAAGAAAGAAATGCGTTGTGAGATGATAAATTATTGATCGGCCACCCAAAAAGTCACTTCAGCTTTCAAAATGAAAATTTTGAGGCTTGTTCTCAGAGGCATCGTGGTCAGGTGTCAGGTTCCCAGTTTATTTCCATAATTGGCGATGAATGTGCTGAATGTTTAGAATCAGGTTTCATTCAATTCGAATTCTAGGAATTTTTTCGTGGCCACTTTTTCATAAGCTGTTACATGCGTGATACATAATCCGATTCGATTTGAGCAAAGTCTTCATCAGCAAATTACACATGTACTCTTGCCCTCATAACCATAACGAGTATTGAAAATTGACGAACGCATAACTCGCTACCATAATCAAGTTATGTACAATATTTTACACTCCTTAAAATCAACTGCCAACTCTCAACCATAACTTTGACGATTCAGTGGTAGCCACATAATGCATAATCTGGATATTATACATACATAGATTCTGTTACCCAACAACTGTTAAATCACTGCCGATCCCAGTTATTAAATACCACTAACCATCATGCACTGCATTTCATACGTACATAAGTTCCCCTGCATCTCACTCCTTCGTACCAATTCTTCAGGAAACTCCGTCGTCTTCACCAGCACGTTCTACGCCGCGGTCCGGTCTGACCATTATCGTTGCACTCGTTGCCATTCTCTGATATTTTTTAGCATTATGCTCTGGCAAACAAAGTCGTCGAGTTGAGTATATGCATAAAGCAGTCCCCTTGAAATCTCCTGCAATTGGGCCAAGACCAAAGTTATAGCTGTAGCAAAGTCAGACAGAATTCGCCAGAAAACCCGGTATTCGGATTTGTTCGGACAGATCTCGGTGAAAAGTGATTTTGTTTCGAGAACCCATCGTCTAGAGTCAAGTACAAGTCTAGTTGTTGCTTTCATGCCGACGTCGAATCCTGACAATTTATTTCCTCGCCCCTTTGCCAAATTACAGGAAGTTAAACAACTAATCCTAATGAGCATAGTGGTTTCTTCAACCTATGAAAAAAGAGAAACAACAAGGATCTAGATTAGTAAAAATTCCTTTGCTTGGTTGGATTTGCATTTCGTGGAATCATCAACAAGAAGGAATTTCAGCAAGTGGGACAAACAAAGGAGGAACAAGTGGAAGTAGTGATATTAGATCCTGTGCCACGTGTCTGTCTATAGCACGGAGTCTCTTGTGTCACATTTTGCACGGCAAAACCAGCAAAAAACGAATCGATGGGTGTGCTGGGTAGACATCGGCAGTACTCCCTTTCATCCGCAACTCCGGGTTAGTCCGCCAGTGATCTTTCTTTCCTCATAGTTGCAGTATCACGTTGTTATCTTATTTACATATGTACATACATTATTTTTTCAATTAATTTGTCACCTCACATCTTAATAGAGTTCATTCATGAAAATAAATTTGAGTAAAGTAGCATGAGAACAGGTTGAACTTTGGGTTCCTACTCGTACATACATACGTCAATCATACATAGATGTTTAGTTAAGTGAAAAGTGGTTCAAGTTTCAAGTGCAGGTGTGCAACCGTGTGTGTGTAGGAAGAAGATGGATTGTGTCGAAATTAATTTGCAATGAGGTTGACTCATCAATCATCCACAACCCTGGTTGAACGCAATAACTAGATACATAATGCACCAGTTTAGCGTGACCGCATCATCCATAAGTTATTAAGATAAGACAGGTGCACACTGCAAATGGGATGGTACACAGGTGGTTGTGGTGGTCATTAATTATTAGTGGCTTCATTGAGAACACACTGCACTAATCCAAAGTAACTAATTGCACACACACTGGAGAAGGTGACCACCAGACATTGCATAGTACTCTCCTTTCATAAATTAATTCTGATCGCATGTCTCCCTCTTACTTAGAAATGCTAGTTAGCAAATACTTACCAAGCTGCCAGTCAATGTCAGCCTGTAACCATTTAACCTCGTCAAACAAGTCCATTAAAATGATGTAAGTAAAACTTTATTAAAGCAAAAAATAGAATTTTACGACAATACTCATAAATTCTGGACAAATGCGGAGTAGGAGGGTTAGTGGTAGGCAATTTATTTTCAATGCCATACAAATTAACCTATGTAAACTCATACCGCATCAAGATTGACTGACACCATCCTAATTTTCTCATAGTGCTGATTTGAATAGAAATGGTTTAAATATTAACTTTATTACCACACGATGGACAAATTTAGGATTTAGTGTTTGGTCACGTACTCGAAAAAATTGAATACATTCATGAGATTTTTTTTGCTCTCCCCACTTTTACCCTGGTTTGCTTTGTACTCATCACTTAAACACGAAAATGGTTGTCCTTGTCCCACCAATCCGTCGTTCCTACTGTCTCGTTCACTAGTACTTGTCATTCTTGTTTTATTCGTAACAATAATATTTCGTACGTTTACGTATAAATGTAAGGACTCTGAACGGATTTTAGTCAGAGCAACAAACATACTCTGAGGAAGACGAGGGCCCAATATTCTGTTCAACAGGCAGCACCAATACATAATTACATAATTACTCTTTGCATGATAAGATAGCAGCAGCGGCGGCGGCTGTGCGTGCGTACATTTACATTTATCAAAGTATTATTATATTTTAATCACGACATACATAAGATACACATAATAAACAAAGTGACGATTTGCATTATCGAATGAGATAAACTGGATTTTAAGGGATGTTGAGACGACGATCGTTATGCTTCAACAGACTTCAGCAGAAGACTGTCATCACTCGTGATGGGGGTGCGAGATCGCTGAATCCCATCAGTTAGTATTTATCTACTATCCATTGAATACCTTTGTACTTTTTTTAAGTTTTTTGCTCTACAAAGTATTTTGCATTTACTTATTGGCACAAGTAGTCTACACAGGATTCTGACAGTTATGGAAGGTCCTGAGCTTACTTTTTATTAAAAAATCCTAACTTCTTTATTTAGCTATATATATATTTCTGGACAGTTTCCAGAAAATTACTCACCGCATAAAGAAATAAAGTAAAAGAAGAGAGAAGGTCATTCCTGTTATGCTTACATAATGGAAACCTTATCACTTTTTACAGGCGAACGGGCCAACTATGTTAACACTCCGCATATCATTGCGATGGTCGGATTGCCAGCGAGAGGCAAGACCTACATCGCAAAAAAACTGTCTCGCTATCTGAACTGGATTGGGATCAATACGAGAGGTAAATAAATAAATAGTAATATTTAGCTGATTGACGGTAAATTACTTCAATTTAATCGCTGTTAACGTTACAGTGTTTAATCTGGGAGAGTATCGTCGTCAGGCTACGACGGCTTATCGGAGCCATGAGTTTTTCCTAATGAACAACGAGGAGGCTTTGGCCATTCGAAACAAGTGTGCATCTGACGCTCTGGAAGATGTCATTCGCTGGATCGAGAGTGGCGGAGAAGTCGCGGTAAGAACAGGATGTTTTTGTTCCTTATCAACTACCATTACGCATTATAGGATGCATGCGGAAGCTGCATGGAAGTTGAAGTTGAGGTAATCAGGAGGATTGCCAAGTACAGTGATGATCATCATTCTCTTGTCTTTTCCATCCGCCCAGCTCTGACGAGACTTTCATGCTTTCGTGCATGGTTTTGTTGGTATAATAGGAAAGCATGAGCAAAGAACATGCATACAGCAAGAATCTGGAATTAATGTGATTTAGATGCAGACAGAAGGTCAAATATATGTATGTACATACATTTGTATGCATAATATTTAAGCCATACAAACGCGGGTCGGTCCAAGTCCAATGGTCCAACTTATTTATGGTTTCACATCATTAGATCACCGCTTGTCAAACTATTATAATTTGATTTGATTGCAAATAGTTGACGATTCTTGAATGACAATCTAATCTAATTTAAAAAAGAAAAACTTAGAAAAGCATATTGCTAATTGACATGCTCATTCGTATTATTGTCTCCTGTAAAGGTTTTCGATGCCACCAACACAACTCGTGACAGGAGGAAGATAATTTATGAGTGGATCGTTCAGAAAACTGGGTACAAGTTATTCTTTGTCGAGTCGGTTTGTGACGACCCGAATATCGTAGAGCAGAACATCATGGTAAATCTCTTACTTGTGCACATATAACATGTATGCTGTGCCTCATTACTCTTAATGTTCATACAGGAAGTGAAAGTGAACAGTCCCGACTACCGGGACATGGAGAATGAAAAAGCCCTTAGTGATTTTTTGCAACGCATCTCCCATTACGAGGATCAGTACGAGTCCATGTGCGAGCAGGCTGAAGCTCACTACTCATTCATGAAGATTTTTAATACGGTAGACATACTTAATTGCATAACACTTCAATGTAAAGTACTTGAATACTGGATTTTTTTAACAGGGTGAAAAGATACTGGTACATAAGCACGAGGGACACATTCAGTCTAGAATCGTGTACTATCTGATGAATATTCACATAACGCCGAGGACTATTTATCTTACCAGGGTAATAAAATAATATAAATACATGCACCTATACCAGCCTAAGGGGCTTGCTCTGACTAGAATTTAAATTTTATAGCACGGTGAGACGGATTTCAACCAACTTGGTCGAATAGGCGGTGACTCTGACCTCTCTGCCAGGGGTCGATCCTATGCCAAGGCGCTCTCGACCTTTATAACTGAGCAAGACATGCCACACCTCCGAGTGTAAGTGTAATTCTGCATTAGTTTTATTTGAATATGTAGCAAAGTTAAGGCTCTGATACATACTCATCTTCATATATTACAGGTGGACTTCATGGCTTAAGCGCACAATTCAGACTGCAAGTGGCATCGATGCGCCTCAAGAGCGGTGGAAGGCGCTCAACGAGATTGATGCTGTAAGTTGTGCATCCAGACTTATTTTATTATTGAAACAATTACGAGTTATTAACCAATAGCTCCTCTAAACAAAATTAGGGAATCTGTGAGGAAATGACTTATCAAGAGATCCAGACTAAATTTCCAGAAGAATTTGCAGCTCGGGACCAATCAAAATTTAGCTATAGATATCCTCGTGGGGAGTCGTACGAAGACTTGGTGGCTCGCTTGGAGCCAGTTATCATGGAGCTGGAACGTCAAGAAAACGTGTTGGTTGTTGGTCACCAGGCCGTGTTACGCTGCCTTCTTGCCTACTTTTTGGACAAGGCTTCCGGTAATTGTTGTGATGGCTGTTTAAAAACTTTGAAATGCAGCAATCTTGTAAATCTAAGTACTCATAATTACAAATTGCAGAGGAGTTGCCGTACCTCGAGGTCCCTCTTCACACGGTCGTTAAGCTAGTTCCGGTCGCGTATGGTTGTAGAGTTGAGTACATTTCCTTATCGGTTGAAGCAGTCGACACGCATCGTCCCAAACCCAATGTGCCTGGCAGCCTGGATGAGAAGTTCTTATTCGACAGAAATGCCAGTCCTGATCCAGATCACCCTGAAAACTCAGAAGATCGTAGTAATGGTGCTCTAATTCATACCAATGGTAACGGAGATGTAAAAGTTATCAGCGACGGTGCTGCAATTTCAGCTACTGACATTGTCCTGAAGGCAACGGCAGGATTAGAGATAACTTCAAATAATCCCTAATTTTATACGAATTCGATATCGCAATGAGGCGCGGATGATATGAATCTCTCAAAACCATGCAAAGTTGCGAGAATTTAAAAAGACAAGACGATTTCTATTTTACCTTTTATAAAAAATATCTCCTTAATTTTAAAATTATTCTAAACTATCTTAATCTTATTTGATTACATTCATATGGGTACATGTACGCACATTATACAAAAAAATCATTGTCCTACGCTTACACGAAGTAATATAAACTCCGAAGGGTTTCAGTGGTTTTTGTGGGTGTGATTCTGTCTACGGTAATCTTAAGTAAATTTACATATGAAAACCTACATTTCCTTTTTAATCCATAAAATACTCTACATTTTGATTAAGTGGAAAAAGCAACATTCCATATTTTTAAACCTTACTTATCAAAGAAAATTAAATGCGAGACGTTTTACATTTGCGTTTTTCTCTATACTGATTCTAATGTATCAAGAATGTCATCAACTAGAAAGGGAATGGCATATTTTAGACGAATATTTTATGCATGTCGTTGATTAATAATCAACGAAAAAAAGCTTAAAAGCAGCGTTTTGTCTGCATGCTTGAATAATTCTTTGATGGTGTGCATTTGTATTTTATGGAAAGTTTATGATGATAAGAACATTTATCCAAAGTATGAGCAGTTCATATCTAGTTTGATCAGTTTTCTCTCGTCGTTAATAAAATGTCAAATCAAGGGCATCTTGAACCCACGCGCTGACGAACGGATAAGCAGGGTTCCTGTATCTAATCCTAAGTAGTATTTTTCCAAAGAGCTGTACATCTATTATTGTTATAATTTTTATTCATATTTGAACAACGATAGAAATTAAATAATGATAAGATGGGTTTAGTTAGTGAATCGTGTTATTTAGCTTGCATATAAGGTAAATACATAAGCATGCACACGGCGGATGATTGTCCAGATCTATGTGTGCATGCACAATGTAAAACAAACTTTGAACAAAATTACCGTTTATCTTGTTAGATATCCCCGTAATTATTACTTTTATTACTTTCCACAAACTTTATTGTTCTACTCCATATCAGATTTGAATTTCATAACAGGAAATCCTGCCAATTTTTCAATGCTAACCAAAATCACCAATTGGTTTTTTATTTGCTTAAAATCTTCTCGTTCAAGTATGTGCTAACACTGTCTCATTCTTCAATATGAAGAATTTTCGTATTTTTATTACCAGTCTTTTTGCAAATCTTGCTGTATCTCAAGATTACACAGATCAATCGCAACTGCAAAAAATACTTGATCCTAAATTCCAACAAGGCTGTCTAATCCTAATCTACAACCACGGACTTGATACAAATTCCACAGCTTCAAAGTTCTTTATTGACCAAATTATTTCCAAAAGCAAGGATTTATCTCAATTGCTGATACTTTCCGGAACTCTCAATAAAAATCATACAATGAACAATTTGAGAAACGCTTGCTCGGTTACCGTCATTGTCCACCATTACCAGCAGCGTGGGGTTGATGCCAATAAGGAATTGAACAATGTTTTACAAACAACGTTTAAACAGGAAATAATTCCACTCCTACTTCCACAGCACTCCGTCGTAATTCATATTGCAGTAGTGACCGAATTATTGATATCTCCAAAATTAATCCCTACTTTTGAAAGACGTCCAATTACGCTTTTCCTTTTAATCGTGACCACAGAACTGCACCAGCAAGACGCCCGGTTCTTACTTTGCAATGAAGGTGAATGCAAAAGACCGAAACCAACTATTGGAATATTTCTCCCCCCGCAGCAAGTTCATTTTATTCATCTTTGGCATGGTGGGAATATGCCCCATTGTATCGACGCCCCATGGCTGGATGCCATTAAAAGAAGGGTTTGTCCTCTCCCGATCAGTTTCATGGAAATATTAGCAAGTCACATTAACTTTACGGTGAAATTTGACTGGAATTACCGTGCTCTCCAACTCCTACCCAATGGATTTGTCATCCCCACTGCCAAGACTGCATTTTATTCCGCAGAGATACGGCCTGCCCTCAACTTGGTTGGACTGTTTGGCCACAGCATTATCTTTTGCGATAGGAAAGACAGCTTTTACTCCACGTCTGGCAATATGTTTCACACGTTTTTCCATAAAGTTGGAACTTGGACGGGTCCTTTACCTTGGGAACTTTGGGTGTTTATGTTCCTCAATTTCTGCCTCGTGGTGTTTATCCAAGTCGCCGTGATGAAGGGTCGACTCGGCCCTGCGACCTTTGAAGGATTTCGTGTCCTTGTTCGCCAAGATGTTGTATCGGCCAACCCCATGATTTCTAGCATTCTGATATCATTTTCATGGGTATGCTTCACACTGCTGCAGATTTACGAGGGGAGATTTACCAGTTTAGTACTGATTCCATTGGTTCCTGACTTGCCATCAAGTTTGGGTAAGATCCATAATTAGAAATTTTAGCTGCAAATTGCATATATGCTAACCTACAAAAGCTGTGTATGTATATATTTCTGTCTGTATTTTAGCCGAGCTGATTTCTCTCAATTATAAAATAATTGCTGACAATCAAAGTCACAGCTTCACCACGACCTACAGCATTGATTTACAAATTCGATTTCCACACTTGAAGCCATCCGAGTTTGTCAATTTGTTCGAGTTCCGAAAAACGCCGGACGATGCGTATAAAGCTTTTGTCTCCGGGAGTGACAAATTCATTTTCATCGATACCACCAAAGTAAGCGGAGTGGGGGAAAGAAGAAAGGGAATTATAGCTCAGTGGTCAGAGCTGGACATTGGAAAAACGTGTCACGAATTGAACGAAAGGTTGACCAGTTTTATGCACTATTGGATGTTCTTGTCCTCGAGTAGGGACGTTCTCATGAATGCCTTTGTGAGATTGAAGCAATCTGGAATTCCTACTTTTTTTGATGCACACAATACACATTATCAGGATAAATTAGTGCGCGAAAAAAGGAGAGAGAAAAAAAGACGCCATGAGATTGTGGAACCAGTGTCGATTGCATCAATTAAATTGGATCACGTTGTTCCTGTCCTTATTCTGATGGCATTTTGCATGATTGGCGTTGGTGGGATTGGTCTGGGACTGGAAATAAGATGGAAATTGCGATCCACGATACAAGTTCAAAATCATTACATATTTTAATGATTGCAATTAAATTAAATTAAATTAATTTATAAATTAAAATAAATACAATTTCCGATACTGTGATCATTTATTGCCCGATGAACTCTCTCCACTGAAAGAACGTGGTGACGATAGCGTCCATCACTTTGGGAATCTGTCGAATCACTCTTGAAATGATTTTCCGTGCTGAATTGAGCAGTTGGAAGATAAGCTCGATGAAGGGTTCTTCCCGGCGAGTACGAGGATAATTGTTTATCACTCTGGTCAAGCATTTGCTCCCAAAGTTATGCCCGTAAGGAGATGCTGTTATCTGAATTTAGGAAATATACACGAGTGGAGATTCAAAAATTCTAATAAATATTGCATACCTCGAAATTTACTGTTTCTTGTCCTTCCTCTCCTAAAGTTTGGCTTCCTCTCAAATCGTAATGGTTATTCGCAGGGAAATATTCCCCCGGCAGTGGTTCCAATTCACTTTGCTTTTTCCACAATCTTGTGAAACACACTGAGTTGCTGATAAAATTGATAGCTAAAATTCCCAGAATTAATAGCTTCATTTTATTTATCTGAATGCAAAAAACAATTTTGCTAAGAATATTAGAGATGCAGAATGAAATTGAATCAGGTAATAAACGTGGCGAGACTGCGACGTAAACAATGAGCAAAGCAATATTTTAAACAAATACATATTGCGTGTAGCTCAAGTTCAATAGTTTTCACTTTTTACTGAAGAAATTATTGTGCATATATAAAAATGAAATTGACAAGAATATTAATGTGTATGTATTTGACTGAAAATATCTCCAATCTCATTTTTACTAATCAATAAATATCAATCAATAGAAGCAGCCAGTAATCATTCAAATATTGCCAGCATTTTCATGCAAAAACCAGTAAATTGTAACATATTATCCACTTAGGAAGGAGAGAATAATTGTTTAATAACAGTGATTCAGATCAGTGGTATGCGTGTGGATTCATATGAACACATTTGAATTTATTTGGATAATCAACTTTTCATCATTTACTTATTTACTGTATAGTACATACATACTTAGCTTTTGCGACAAATCTCAAGTATTCATCGTGCGCCATTCCTTCAGTTATACACATATTTATAAAAATAAGATATTTAGTTCACCTTTGTGACCTTCTCATAAGTCTACCTTCGCTAAATAGAAAAGTTAATTTTATCAATATTCTCTGTACTCATTCTGAGCTGGATTTTCTGCAATCCTATCCAATTCATCAGATCCGGATTCATCATCTTCGGAAGACTTGTTGTTAATGTTATCCACCTCCTCGTCCAAAGAGTCCTCCAACAATATTTGAGCTGCAAGAAGTACGGCTGGATTTGGTGGCAGTAGTTGTGGTGCAAGCCTTGGCGTTGTCAGAGTACTAGCATTCGTACTTGGAATAGTTGGCAAAGTAATCGTAGTCATCGTGGGTAGTGTGGGAATCATTATTGAAGATTGATTTGAGGGAGTTGTCGTAGTTTGGGGAGGATCAGTGATTGGATTAGGGTGGGTGGGTGGAAGGCTTGTCGTTGTTGGGCGTGTAGAAGGGGAATTTGTTGTGGTGGTGGGATTTTGGGTAGGTCGGACTGTGCTAGTTCCACTTCCACCAGATTGTGGTGGTCTGTGGTTACCATGATTGTCGTGACCGTGGCTGGGACCCAAGGACACGTAAGGGCCGAAGGGATATCCTGCCTGGAAATTGTTTGGAATTTGAGATATTCCATGATGCAGCAGGTCTGGGACAGCGCCTATTTTCGCATATTATGAAAAATTCTGTAATACTTTGTTCTAAAATCACGAATATTGTTCAATTTGTGTACCTCCCACGCCAAACTGGGACAGAAGCGATGCCAATAACTGAACTTTCGCAATTTTCTTTTGAGCTTCCGCAAGCTTGAGCTTTTTTGTCAACTCGTCGTCATCGTCCTCTTCACTACTCGAGTTGTCCTCGTGATGGTATGATGGATGTTTCTTCCTTCTTCGTCTCGAAGGTCCATTGTGATTGTAGAGATGGGTGGGGCCGTGGTAGTGGTGCACCTGCTTGACGCCATCCTTCCATCGCTGGGAATTTCTCAGCCGCTGGATTTCTTCTTTGAGGCGAATTTTTTCCCGAATTAGGTTTACTTCTCGCTTATCGTGGGCAATCTCTTCGGCCGACGTAGGGAATTGTTGTGGTGGGTGCCTTGAAGGGTTGGTATTACGTGCAATGACTCGTTCTTGTGGATTACTACGACCGCTACCAGGAGAAAAGAGCAATTGCTGCTGTTGATTATTGTGATGGATATGGTGAACATAACCGATGCTTGTCCTGAATAAATAATAGTCGTATATTAAATATACTAACAATGGGAGCGTCTCTCACTATTATAGTCTACCAATTACGGGTACGACCAAATATGCATGTACTTTCCACTTACGAGGGGGGTCGGTTCTGGTGATGGTGATGATGACAGTGGTCAGTGTAGTGGTCACATGAGCAGTGGTGCCCCTCGCAAAGATTAGACCACCCTCCATCCTCGTAACCATTCTTCCTTTTATGCGAGAGTGATTTGGTAACAACCAACTCTTTATTTCGTTTGAACGGCCACCAAAATTTCTTCTGGATGGAAGTTAGAGATTTACCTATCCTGGTTTTGGTAGATTTTGTGGGTGTCATTCTTAGAATTCTTTTTCGTTGGGAGGAATGTTTCGTCTTGAGATTCAATGGATAACATTAAATAACGTAAACAAAATCAGCGATTAAATGAACTTTTATATTATTTATATGATAATTATAATTAAATATGTATAAACTACATAAATATGTATATTTAGCAAAAAATTGAAATGCATGGTTTCTATTTTCTTAAAACTTGATGGTGGTAAGTATCCTCCAGTTGCAATAGAGGAGAATAAGCATATCAAACAGTGAGAGGAAATATTCAATTGAGCGTGGACTTAAAAAGGGAAAAATGTTAGAAATCACTTCACCAAGTGGGGACTGGTCAATATATTGTTGGTCATCGATCTCATCATAATCATGAAAATTATCCCCAAATCTAAACTGTCCTTGTATGGTAACTGATGTATCGTTTTTAAACGAGCTATCAGGATAACTGTGGTCGTCATTACTGCCTCCATCATCCAACCAGTCCAGTTTTACCACCTGGATATCATGAATATTTGTTAGTTGTTAGCAGATTGGAGGCAGAAATCACGACCATTGTGCAATTTATAATAACGCAAATTAAAACTTACATTAAGCGATTCCTCTTCTAAAAATAAATCGTGTTCGTCAGAAGCTTGAGATGATGGCGATTTGTGGAAAAGTGAGATCAAATTGTCCAACGGAACATCTCTAGTGATTTCCACCGGAATCGGAACTGAGACCACTGAACCGGAAGGTACGAGCAAAAACATCAAGGAAAACACCAGTCGTCGGAATCTCATTTCGCTTCAGCATTTATAATTACTGCCGAAAAATATTTATTTAAATGCAATGAATGTAACCAGTTTAACAGCAATTAAGATCTGCTACACAGTATCTTTAGTGTACAATTCCTATGCAGTAGTGAACGCATGGTCGAGCACGAATTGAATGGGACTGATTCCTGAAATCACACCTACTTTATAACTTCCATTCATAATGCAAAACTTGAAATCTTAGAATTTACTTTGAATACTTGTATTTTCAGCTGAATTCTGATGTGTAGTTTTTTTGCAAATTTGGTCACTTTGACTGTGCTCATTGATTTATTAATATTATAATAAATCTGTCTTTTCCTAATTAAATATGCATGCGTGTGGTTTAAGAAATTGATTTATCCCATAATTCATGTTTTAGTAGGGACGCACCTCCAAAGTATCATCTTCAATTTAATGCATTTTCGATAATCACTTAAACTAGTTAATTATGGGGTGTCGAATTGAAATTCATTTTTAATCGGTGAAACTTGATTGTTGCGAATTTTTGGGTAATACTTACGAATGACGTGCATAAATTATTCATAAGTAAACATGTGTAGTGACAGAATTTTTTCATCACAAGATATTGATTCCAGAGGTCGACGCCGACAAATTTTCGGCGGCGGCGGCGCCAGTTTTTGGTGATTTTTCGGCGGCGGCGCGGCGCGGCGTCGCAATGGTAAAGGCAGGGTCCTTTGACTGTTTCCTTGGAGGATTTCTAGACAGGGTCATGTCAGTTCAAAAATTCTCCAAATTTTTTTTTGCAGATTTTAATGTTTGGGAATATGCGCAATTTCTACTGACAGAGTTTGGTTGTCAAGAAAAATTAAATATTCTACAACCCTTCGTAAAATGACAACGATTTAATTTAATTGCAAATTAAAATAGTTATAAAATAATTGAACTAGGATCGGTATCAAAAACGGCACCTAAAAATTGTTCGCACTCATTTATGACGTTTTATAGAATATTTTATTTTTCTATGTCAGTTCAAAAATTCGGGTCATGTCAGTTCAAAAATTCTCCAAAATTTTTTTTGCAGATTTTAAAGTTTGAGAATACGGCAATTTTTGCTGGGAGAGCTTGGTTGTCAAGAAAAATAAAATATTCTATAAAACGTCATAAGTGCATGTGAAAAATTGATAGGTACCATTTTTGATACCGATTCTAGTTCAATTATTTTATAACTATTTTAATTTGCAATTAAATTAAATCGTTGTCATTTTACGACGGTTTATAAAATATTTTATTTTTCTTGACAACCAAACTCTCCCAGCAAAAATAGCGCATATTCCCAAACTTTAAAATCTGCAAAAAAAATTTTGGAGAATTTTTGAACTGACATGACCCTGTCTAGAAATCCTCCAAGGAAACAGTCAAAGGACCCTGGGTAAAGGAATAGGAAATCAAATCTTTCGGCGGCGGCGGCGCGGAAAAATCGTCGGCGTATGGCGGCGCGGCGGCGTGAGATCGGCGGCGTCGACCTCTGATTGATTCTTAGAGAAATTTTGAGGAAATTATTGAGTTTTTTGTACTGCTACTTATTATATATGTTTCAAGGTTGATCCCTGACCAACATAAACCAAAGAGCTACATAAGTGCACTTATATCCTCAAATTATGCAGTGATTCAATGCATACGAGTAACAACATCCACGACTTGACGGGCGTCTACTTAGCTGCTGACCTATAACCCACATCTTTTGTTGGACGTTAGTCGGTTAGATTTCTGACATAGGAGAACAAAATTATGTATGTTTGGTACGTGAGCAGATTGATCATTACTGGTGACACGATACTATCAACAATTATGTACAAGTAACGACAATTTAAACCAAGTAACAACAGAATTTTTAAGATTTATTGATACATCAATTCCTATGAATGGGTACAGCAGTTGCCGGTTATCGTTCCTGCCTCACAAAATGTTAATGCAAGTCATGTCTCTCCTTCTAATAGTGCATATGATTACATATTTCTTGACCTTCTTCATAACTTTTTCACTTCACAAAAGCTACACAAAAAGACCGGTCCCTTTTATTTTGCAAATGAGCCCGAATGATTCAATGCTAGGAACCCCATGCCAAAAATAAAATTATGACAACGGCGAAAACGTAACCCGTGCAGATAATCAATTTCCATGTACAGCTCAAGTTAATTCTCATTAGATTAGATGACATTTTATTTTATTAAGCATGATACTTTTCCCTTAAATTGTATCTATAGTTCAATTCTTGACTCAGAAAAGTTGCCATTTTCTCCTTCTCCATCACCTTCACTTTCGTCTTCTTCTTGCATTTGTCTCGCAGCTTCTTCTTCATCTTCTTGTATCAACGCTGCAATGTCAACTTCTTTGCAGAAATTCTCCGATACACTTCCACAACTTTTTTTCGGGGGATTAAAATATGTCTGATCGGGTATTTTTGGACACTCGATCTTATGCCCGGTTCCCTGAATGCAGAGGAAGAAGTAGAGACAGTCCACCGGATTCTCTTGGAGAACGACCCCATCGCGTCGCCCCTCACAATCAACTTCGCCCTCTTCCACTGGTTGAATATTGATTTTGATGGGACCTCCTCCAAGAACTCGTGGTTCGTTGGGGTCTTCAACCTCTGCTCCTGCTTCGGCGTCAAGTTCTTCGGGTTCGCCATCCAACTCCCACGGCTCCTCGTCATCCGAATCTTGTTGTTGTTCTTCGTTCAAACCCTCCCCTTCATTTTCTGAAAAATAACATAAGCAATTATGACCTGATGTTAATACAAAGATTGATAAACAGCGCAATATGTATGTATTGATTTATGAACCTTGTGAATCCTGTGCCTTCACTGTGAAAGTTCCCAGCAGGGCAACCCCAAAGAGAACCAGTAACAAGGAAATGCTCGAAATTTTTAAAATATTTGCCATTTTAAAAATACTAATGCGGTAATACGCTAACTGATGTAAATAAAATATGTGAAATGCACGTGGATCTGGCTTGGACACGTATGTTTGAAGTAATATGGTGCAGTAGCACAAATGGGGTACGCTGTTATCAGGGGGATGTTATCTTATCCTTGCAGAGATAACGGGCATTTTGCAGTGTAGAAAAAGTGGATTAGTCAAATAAACGCGTTAGACGTCATGTTTAAATTTTGGAAGTATAACAGCAGCATTTTTATACGTCACACATAATTTGTATGAACCAATATGCAAAACAAACTCTCGCTTACTGAAATCGAGTAAGGAATGGCTTAAATAATTTAATTGTGATTTGTTGATTTGCGGAAATCTGCCGCCCCTCAAGTGCAGCCCGATGGATTTGCAGCCCATTTTCTGCCCCCTTGATTATCTGCAGCCCACCAATTTGCAGCCTATTAACTGCAGCCCGCGATTATTTGCAGCCCTTATTATTTGCAGCCCACCTCACAAAACGCATAATTCCACCACACAAGAAGGATGATATATGTACATCATATACAAAGGTTCATTTGTTAGATTGAATTATATTTATCTATTTCCCAGAAATAGATAAAAAACATAAAAAAGGTTCTTTCCAACCTTTTTTATCTTTCCACCTTTGTATGACTTGATGCAGTCAACTAGTCTTTTTTGTCAGTTAAAGTAGAGCTCCCAGCCGACATATTTTCGGCGGCGGCGGCTTACTTTTGGCACAACACCGGCGGCGGCGGCGCGCCGGCGTGCGCCGACCAAACTACGGCGGCGGCGTTTAAAATTTTATTTATTTATTTTCTAAATGGTTTAAATAGCGATGAAGGTCCCCTCTCAAATTTTGAAATTTGATATACCAAATTGTTCAGTTTTTCATGTTGATCTCGAATATATAACTTTTTTTGTGGGGCTGACGCATATTAAGGTCAAAAATTAAGGTGACTTCTTATTATTAATTTGTTTTGTATTTGGAACTAACATGCAAAATTTCAAAAAGTACCTTACCTATTTGGGATCCAAGAAACTAACGCTTTTTTATTATTCAAACAGAATAAATTACACATACACAAAACCAATTAGTTTGGCAGAATTTTGGGAACTTATTTTTTTAAAATTTCACTGACACTGTTGGTATTCTCTCCAGTCGATCTACTTCCTTTAACTTAGAGCTCCCAGCCGCCGATATGGTTGCGCCGCCGCCGCCGACGCCGCCCAGAAATGAGACGCCGCCGCCGCCACGGGTAAATCGGCGAGCCGCTGAATTATAAGTGGCGTCAAAACTCCGAGAGGATTTTTTCAAAATTATATTTTAATATATCTTTTTAGCCCGACCCAGGGCTTATGTACCCGTCCTTCTGTTTGTCTATCCGTATTTCGGTAAGTCTCTTCAAACTTATCCGATCGACTTGAAATTTGGCACACACTTAGAACATGCAAAGTTAGGAATCAAATTCAAAGATGGACTTGATCGGTCAAGTGGTTGACCGGTGGGGGCCACTTTAGAGGTATAGGTCAAGGGTGCCGAAAATTCTCAAAAGTGCAATACAGTAAGATGTGTACTGAACTTCATTGCAACTGACTTTATTTTAAAATTGGGGCACAATGATAAATCTTGGGCATCGTTAGATTTATGGGGCAAAGTGAGATTCTTTGGGGCAAGTTGAGAAAAGTCTTAAAATCCTCTGAAACGTGTAAAAATTCATAAAAAGTGAGGGTCAAGTTTTGAACTTTGACCTTAATTTTTGACCTTAATATGCGTCAGCCCCACAAAAAAAGTTATATATTCGAGATCAACATGAAAAACTGAACAATTTGGTATATCAAATTTCAAAATTTGAGAGGGGACCTTCATCGCTATTTAAACCATTTAGAAAATAAATAAATAAAATTTTAAACGCCGCCGCCGTAGTTTGGTCGGCGCACGCCGGCGCGCCGCCGCCGCCGGTGTTGTGCCAAAAGTAAGCCGCCGCCGCCGAAAATATGTCGGCTGGGAGCTCTACTTTAACTGACAAAAAAGACTAGTTGACTGCATCAAGTCATACAAAGGTGGAAAGATAAAAAAGGTTGGAAAGAACCTTTTTTATGTTTTTTATCTATTTCTGGGAAATAGATAAATATAATTCAATCTAACAAATGAACCTTTGTATATGATGTACATATATCATCCTTCTTGTGTGGTGGAATTATGCGTTTTGTGAGGTGGGCTGCAAATAATAAGGGCTGCAAATAATCGCGGGCTGCAGTTAATAGGCTGCAAATTGGTGGGCTGCAGATAATCAAGGGGGCAGAAAATGGGCTGCAAATCCATCGGGCTGCACTTGAGGGGCGGCAGATTTCCGTACACCGATTTGTTAAGCAGGCGCCAGTTGTTTTTATTGCTTTAATAAAATGCTTATTACATGGATCTACAGTATCAGTCGCGGCCTATGTGACGATGAAACCGTTAACCGTGCATCCCAAATATTGATAACATTATAGAGGATCATCCCAATCTTTGCGTGCGTTGTTGTTCTCTACTGCAGATTGTATACAATGACATTGACCGTTTCAAACCTCAAAGATTTTCCAATATTTGATAATACATGATTGATAAAACTCTAAATTTTTTGGTTTTCCATAAAAATGGTATAACAGATAAATAAATATGTAGATTTTTATATTTCATTTTTGTGTCATTGAAGTACGGGGTTTAATTTACCTACAAATTTTAATTTTACGGACAGGCACACAATATCCGTTCAAAGTCTGAAGTCAAAGTCCAATCTCATCAGGATCATTGTGCAAATATTATGAAAAATAATGCACTAGCTTTGCAAAAACGTGACCAAGTACTGCATGACGTGGATCAGAGAACAGTGGTTTTGGAGAACGCTAGCCATCAATTGTACCAAACAACGACGAATATTAAGGAGGTATCTCTACTTGGAAAATATAAATTTTACTTGATCTTTGGTTCGTTATCAATCTTACTCTTGGTTTTAGTCATAATTCTTATAATTGTTTATGCTACGTAATGAGGCTGATTAAAATTACAAGTTGTATTAACCTATATCAATAATTATAAATTTTTACTTTAAATCCGTATGAAAGAGCCGAGTAAATTTAATTTAAATAAAATATGAATGCAACGACTGAGAAATATTTGCATATAAACAATTTATTTTATCGCTGCGTATGCATATAAGTTCATTCTAAAAACATACGAATAGTGACATGAAAGTCATTAATTTTTAAACAGTTAAAACAGTTAAAACAAATAAAACTTAGTATAAAATTTGTTAAATAATTATTATGGATTAAAGCAGTGGACATTTATGGTTCCGTTGGTGGTGACAGGAAGTTTAGGTGCGTTTTCGGTCAAGAGGTCGACCAGAGCTGACATCATGGTTGGAAATTGTAGCGTCTTCTGAAATATTGGAATCCGTGACAGGACGAGAGTCATCCTCACCATGGTCAGATTCAAGATGAGCTCTAAGTTGGTCAATCCGCACTCTCTCCTCCTCCTCGTCAACGTCTTCAACATTGAGCTCATCGTCATCGGAAACTGGCTGAAAAACATAATTCGACGTATTAATAATTTATCTATCATAGTTTATCCATGTTTACAAATAAGTACTTCATTTTGTGGTGGTTGAGGTGACCGACGTGCCTCTTCCACGGCCGACGTGTTGCCCCCAATGGATTCTGATTCACGTCGACGAATCTCCCTGCGTTCCTTCGCTTTCTTCTTTGCAGCTCGTTCCTCGGCTTTCCTTTTTTCAAAATCTTCAATTAGTTCGTTGCAGTTTATATGGTCGACACTTTCCCAGGTATCCTCGTCACTGAAATATAACATAGTTTCAATTTATTTGCATACAAATTGTGAGTGCATTGTTTACTATTATTTTATCTTGCTTACGATGAATATCCAGCCCAACGAAGTAAATACTCATTTCCGCTGGCTCGAGTCCTTTTGGCCATTATAGCTTCCACCTCGTATGATTCGCTGGACAGCCCCTTCTCACTTCGTGTTTTCCATTTAACGGCTTTTGTGCTCGATGAACTCCGTTTCGAGGTCCGATCGGACCTTTGAGATCGAGTTGGGCTTGAAGGAGTAGATTTATTCTTAGAGGTTCTTGGCAGTGGAGATGGCGAAGTCGATGGGGGCGACGGCGTGGGTGGATCGACGACATCAAAATCTTGGCTCCTTGCGATGATTTCTTTTGCTAAAGCTTCTGCGATTCGCCTCACGGCTTCCGACACGTATTGATTAGTTTCTCCCATGCTAATTTTTTGGTTATTTTTGTATTTCTTTGAAACAAATTTTCTAAGCTAAAATTATTATGGAGATCTTAGTCTCATGTACAGAATTTAAGAGATGCTTCCTGTTCTCTGGATCAACGCAAAGTGCAAGCAAACTGAGAATGGAGAAGCAATCAGGGTACTTCTCAAGCTGGTGGACAAGAATGTGGCTTGGAGTTGGGACGCGACGCGCTGTCAGACTCGCTCTCTTTTTGCATCCCTTGTCTTGCTTAACTCGGAATGCTTATCAAAATTTATGCGAAATAAGAAAAGGACACGAAAAGCAAATTTATGAATATCACTCTTTTTTTCTTTTTACTATTCATTTAATCGGTTTTACATATATAACGATTTGTAACATGTATTTGTTTAACACTGCAAGATTTAATTTGTAACCTATGTATTAAAAGATTTTATCCAACAGTGTGTAGAGAGTGAATCCTCACCCTTTCTCCATGTTACAGTATACATAATAATAATATAGTTATTACAATTATCACAATATAGATAAATGCCTACCTCGCAGTATTCACAGTGATCGAGTTTGCAAACTATACAAACAACCTATTAAAAGATCTGTCACACAGACGTACAACTAATTAATCAATATAATAATTCGTCGACGGTGTTACTAAATTAGAAAAGTACTTGTTGACCATCATACTTAATAAAATAATGTAAAATACTACATATGTAATAACAACAACTGGTGATAACAGCAATTCAAGGAGGCGCTTGACCCTGATCAATCAAAATACAACATTTCAAGGTAGTAAATTAAACATCTTTTTTAAAAGTGTGTGTGTATGTATAGAGTGTTAGAATTAGAATACATATTGTAGGCTTTGCTTTTCTTTATACAAATAAGCTATGTATTTTTCTTTTGAGATATTTATCGATATAAAACTTGGCTCTTATCTAAATAATGTTTCCCCGACGCGATATGACTGATTAATATTAGTACTTTTCATTTGTATTATTAATAATAGTTTTGTTAGTATGAATGCGGTCAATGATTGTTCTCCTGCTCGTATTTTTCTTTGTATATATGCATATTACCAACGCATACTGCGATCCATACATCTATAGCATCGCACCATACGTCGGGTTAATACATTTATGTAAGTAGGTATATACCATCGGTATAAAACGGTTTTACACTACCAAAAATTTTGTTCAAATAGTTAGTTATAAACAATAACTCAACGACCTGATTTGCTGAGCTTGAATTGTTGGAAAACAAAGCGAGCGATTGTAATTGTCCGATACATGACGTGAGATGAATGAGTTTCAATTATTCTAAATTAATGACAGGAGTGAGATGAGATATTTTTTTTAAATAACAGTACAATTACTAACTATGATGAGCTAGTTAATTAACATCGGTAGCTGGTATCTCGCATAGTCTTGGATTTGAGGATGTCGTTTTCGAAAATTGTTGTTGTTTCTTTCCCATTTTCCGTCACTTTTTTTGTGGTAATCTTCTTCCCATTTACGAATCGTGTCGAGGTTGACGTTTTCTTTACGTTTCCTCCCCCACCTGATCCAGCTCCAACGCCCCAGAAATCTTCGTCGTCGAACGCTCCGAACCCGAATCCTCCTAAATTCAGTCCTAAACTCATTCCCATTGGCGAGTCGAACACTGATTGAAGTGACCCTCCAGTGGAGTGGCGATTATTTCCGTGATGCCCTCGACTTCTGCTGCCTCGGTTGAAATGGTGATCAAACAGATCAGCGAAGGGGTCTCCTCGGAAAAATTCTGTGTCAAGAATTATAAGTTTGATTAGTACACTTAAACTAAATATTTACGTGCTGATAAATTGGCGTATGTACCTCGGAAAACTTCTTCTGGTGTGCGGAATTTGAAGGAAGAAAATTCGAAATCAAAATCCCCTGAGCGTCGAGAGTGGCCGTTCATCCCGGTGAAGCCAGCGTTTGGAGCAAATCCACTTCCTCCCATATCGTAGTTGCGACGCCTTTTGTCTGTAACAAGACAAGAAAAGTATTTAATTATAACGAGATGAAGCAACTTCACGGCGGACATACATTTTTATTCATACATAAATTTTTAAGATATTAGTAGTGTGAGACACATAATATTAGTGATTTAGGTAAATGACAAAACACAGTTATGAGAATGGCATATAGTAAAGTTATTAATTTCAAGTCAAGTAATTTCGATCGTTGTCTAATTATGTAAAGTCATTCTGTAATTTTAGCAGCAAATGAAGACAATTCACATGGAACTTATTATTTCCAGGATTTCTTGTGCTTCCCAATGTCCTACATGACCAAAATTGTCCATCAACGCGGACAACTCATGACGACATCGTCTTACAGTTAGAAAAAATCGACGACGACGTCATCATACGTGGATAAAAAATAATGTGTACAGCCAAAACTACACACACCTCACACCTCCTCTGCTAAATCTACCTCTCCCTTTGTTTGGATTTGCATGTATTGACCTTCGCAATTTTTTTAATAACAAATAATAAACTATTTCTGCAAGAATAAACCATTGAAATTAGTGTCGTGGTTGGATTTGCATGAGGTGTTTACAAGCCCATTCTACTCAAACTACTCTCACTATTTTTATTTACCTGGGTCTTAGGACCTTACAGTAGTCTTATTAATTTAACAATGCGGTACTCAAATTTGGATGAACAAGCGTGCAAGTACCAACAACCAATTATTGGCTTTTATTATTTATACTGAACTTGGACTCAAACATCAACAACAACAAATCATTTATGAGATTAGGACACACGAAAGGCACTCCATCCGAAGTCAAGCCTTTTGTATGTTGACCCCATTTCACGTCATTAGTAGAAGAGGGATTTATTGGAAGAGATTACAAATCTCCTTAATGCAGGACGGATAGAGATAGAGAAACGGATCTTTTATATAAAAAATCGTAATTAACAAATTTAATGGGTTTCCAATCATATTAAAAAAGTTTTAAGCCTTTCAACAGTAATCATAAATTCGACATAGATGGATTTACCACCAGCAAGTTGCATATTTATAAAAACTCTTAACCCACGCACAACGAAAACTATATTCACTTAAGCATCCCAACCAAACCATGGCATATTATGCATGTAGACGAAACGAAGGCTCTCTTCGGCCAGCATTAAATATTAGCTAGTTGTATGTACCACTTTTTATTTAATCAAGTCTTATCAAGCAGAACATCACATTAACCAAGTGCCAACCAATTCCATTTTCCTGATCGCCCACCATTCTAACTGTATTCAACTTGGTAATACAATAATAAAAATGTGAATGCACTTCACCCTCGCACTACTCAGGCGAGATTCAATTCAATGCTATTCTAATTTATACCCCTGCAAATAGATCTCCATCAATAAATCCAACACCAACCGACACCATGACCGTACAGAATCAAAAATAGAATTGAATAGAATTGTCGCTCTTCTTGATACAAAATCAAAGTACACGACAATCTTTAAAATCAATTGCTATTAAATCAATAGTGAATAGTTTTCCGTCGGCGACACTCAATTGTACTTACACACATTCACTTCTTAACAGTTGAAAATTCGTTTGTCAATTTGCCGCAGAGCAATAACAGTGCTTGTGTGAAACATCTTTTCGTAATTATCGATGATTGCATATTATTATAAAATTATCGGATCCATCTGCTGCTGCAGTGATTGAAAGCATGAAGGGAGGAAAGGGCGATACGAAGATGTGAAAAGTATTTAAATGATTAATCATGGTTAACCAAATACTTGGTACCAGCAGTAGGCTAATTGGTAGCCAATAAGTATTACAATCTACTTAAACAACCTCGTCATCAATTGCACAAACCCACATTTTGTTTGGAGAAATTAAGTGACACTTGACACGACATGATTGACCACTAATCGATGCCAGCATGTCACGAATTCCACTTAGGATATGAGGTTGACCTGATTGACCAATTTTTAAAGGTTGTCACTTTTATATACTATAGCGAATTGCTACTTGTTGTTCAAATTATTTATCATTGCTCATAAAACCGCAGGTGGGTTAAGTCGTGCAAAAGTAAAGAATTTCAATTTTGTAAAGAGCAAAAGCTGGTCATTTCTTTACAAAAATGTAAGAAAAATGTGCACTTGAATTAAGCGAGACACATTTTTCTTAAATAATTACCCTAACGAAATATCAAAAAAACTTCATCTAATCCTTTATTTGGATGTCACCGTCACTTTTATGAAGATGAGTGTGTCGCCCTCAATTTTCATATTTGGTCCGAATGGATGGATGGAGAGGATCATTAAGTCAAGACGCTCACTTTCCACGATTCAACAAACGCTGATACAGACAGAAAGCCATTTTGACATTTGTAACACACAAGCAGAAATCTGTTACCACTAAAAATATTCAAATACATATATGCAATTCGTCGATTCGACCATGTCACCTTCACCATAATCTCGAAAACAATAATTCAGAACCTGTTAAATTAAAATCCTCCCTTACATTTAATAAATGTTATTTATGTCATCACATTTATAATTGAGTCAACATTTATGACTAAACTCCTATTGTTTTCGTCTATAAATGGCATGCGTAGTAACAAATTGGCATCAAATTGACACGTTTATTTGCAGAATGGAAGTGACGTCGCTGGTTGGCCACGACAGCAATTAGTCAGCCCAATTATAACAGTCAAGTAAAGAAATTTGAATAATACTTAAATATTTAACAACAGACGAGACCAAGTAGTGCATAGTAGTAAATCTTTGCAAAATTGCATGCATACTTATTTACTTGTCCCTGAGGAAATTAAAAATAATGCAAAAATTCCAAATTGCATCAGTTATGAAAGATTACCACAAACAACCTTAAAATCCACACATAGCCAGGCCAGCCACCAACCAGCCAAGATAATAAATATATAACTGTATCTAATCTAGGTAGCAGTCAAAGTCGAACCAAGTCATAAAGCAATGTTTATCTTCGTCAGGTTGAATTAATGAGTGGAGTCAATGTCATCACAGCAGTTAATAATGGTTCCCCACTATCTCACCCTCACATTCAGTCAGTGAATCAGTATTCGTCACGATTAAATTAAAAATGTTATGTTATTCATTACTTATTGTTAGAAGAGTGAATCGATTCTCACCAACCGACTACATATTTAGAAAAACCAAACCAACCCCACCACGTCAACTACTATTCTACTCTGATTAGTGCTTTTAGAAAAACTTGCAAGATGTGTTTCTGTACCAAAATATCTGGAGAAGGGCGATTCGTAATAATTTCTAGTTGCATGAGTACGCGAGCTCCGACCGGAGCGACGGTCATACAATCTCCGCTTCGATTCTATACGACGAAGAAGAAGGAAATAAATAAAGAAATCATATTATTTTCACTTCACGCTGTTTGTGTTCGTAATAGGAATGCCGAGATTTATTTGGAGAATATATTCCAAACAATGACCAAATAATGGCGACGAAGAGCATTACATATGAACAAACTTGATACTTACATATGTATGTATTTACATTAACATATTATACTTAATTTTCGCTAAAACGATGCCATGTTCACTTACCATCTGACAATACTTCATATGCTTCAGAGATCTCTTTAAATTTGCGAGTGGCTTCGTCCTGATTGTCTGGATTTTTGTCGGGATGCCATTTCAAGGCAAGGCGGCGATATCTGGAAACAGGAAAAAAAATAATCATTAGTCCACTCATCCAGACAAAAATATCCTTTTGAAATATTCCACGCTATAGTACATATGCTATAAATTTGCCATCTTTTTTTCTATTGTATATGCACAACCATGCTAAACATAGATGGCACATTAAATATTTGTAGAACAGATATAATCATGATCTCCGCCTCCAGTAAACAACATTAAAGTTATGATTCATGTTCACGGCCACTACTCGCAAATTACAAAACTGACCTAGAAATATTTAAAAATATTTGACATTTTCCCCATCATGCGATAATGACAGTGACTCTGACAAAGCAAATAAGCATATTTCAGCACTGGACTAAAAAAATGGTCAGGTTGCAACCTTGCACCACTTACAATGCCAACATTAAAATACGGAACGGAGCAAATACGTCAGTCTAAATTTCGTACTCGAAAATGGCTCGTCGTCCATTAAAAAAAACTTAGACAATGAAAATCTTAACCCAACCAAATTACATAAAACCGGGTGCAAACGTCAATGAAATCTCCTTGTCCTGTTCATCAAACTCCTTGCTATCTCTCATTCAACGCCTTAACCTACTCCACACTACAGACTACACACATGAATGACCTTACAAACAACCGGCAAATAAATGTCCAACCTTATCCCTCCTCCGTATTTTAAACTGATGTGACCTTCATTCCTATTTCCACCGGGTCGTTTTATATTTTATCGTCACTTATATACTCGCTTACGTAGTTCAATGCAACTTTTGCATGAGATCATGACATAATCTTCTGCAACAGCATCACCAACTTTATCTTTGCCAAATCCATATTGAATGGAACAAAAAATCCTTGAAATGTATCCAAAAGAATTTTCATCACTTGGGTGCGTGTAACCTTTAAATCAGCACGATCTGCCAAATGCTAAGAATTCGACCGTTTACATTATATTATTAAAACCAATTGGCCACGCTTTTACTTGGCCATTAACAAATTCTCTAGATAGGCTGTTAATTTAATGTAGGTAATCGCAAGTAAGTTTTACAATTAAATATGTAGTTTCTTAATTTGGGCACCACCATCTAATTTCACGCTCGATAAAGTGAAATGTTGATAAGTAAGATGCAACCATATGACATGCAGTAAGACGAGGTTACTTTTATCGTTTCATTTGTTCTTCTGGTTTAATTTCGTTTAGTTTGCATCGTAAAACCGCCTGTAGTTTACATTGGTTGCCCTTTAAGAATCCTTAAAAAAAGAGATTACCAGAACAACTGGGTACTAATCGTAAGTAAGTGATCGATATAATCTCCACCAGCCAAAAGGATGAACATGTTTATTATTGGCATATGTTCCACATTTGCTATTCCAGTGCCACACGTGTATACACTAAATTTATGCAACCACCAAAACATTTGCAGCAGTAAATCCAATACCAAAACCTTTAAACTCCTCGGAACGACAGTTATGGCTTCCACATAGCCACTCCCGTTATTACAAGTATTTAGTTCAACAGTGAGTTGCGGTAAATATTAAGAAAAGTTACTCTTTTACGAGGAGTGAGGAACAACATATTCAATCTTCACTCTCCTACCCCACCCAGGATGACATGTTAATGATTAATTACACCACCAGGACCAGCAAATAATTACAAAACATAAAGTAGGCTTCTTTGAGTCAATATAACACAAACATTATGCGAAATATCTGTATCAACATTATCCAAGCTAAAATGTGCCAAGTAACCTTATTTTCTACAACAGGCTGACTAAAGAAAGCTCATTATTCATGATTCATCTATATTTCGAAAGCTTAGCATAACGGTTTCTATTTCCTTATCGCACTTGACTCATCTTGCGCATATGCACATAATTGACCACCACAGTCCCATTTTTTGTAGGTATTTCATTCCGTAAATTATGGCAAAAAACCCTAAGAGAAATTACTGTATCGAGTACCGTAACGAAGAAGGCAAGAAAGAAAGAGTGACTTCGGAGTAGCACTGCGCAAACATTTCTCTTATAGGCAACCACCTGAGAAATTGGATCCATCCATTGTCGCATCCGGAGGTGACATGATTTTTAATGGCTTTAATCTCCACCACCACAATGTCCATCTGATGTTATATTCGTCACCGAAAGCCTATGCTTGCGTAACCACAATTTAAGTGGTGCAACGAGTCATTCTCACTCCGTCATAATGACTTTAAAAACCGGCAGAGTGAATTAAAAAACAAATGTGGCAACAAAATAAGATGATGAAGCCATTCATTCCGTATTATTCAGTCGATGCATCCATACCTCGCCAGGCTATTTTTATCTCTCACCTCTCTGTGTGATTTGATTTCCGCACAAGCAGATGAAACGGTGGTGCAACTTTTTATAGTGGGACAGGATTTAACACCGTAATTAACATAAAAATAGTATTCAACATCGCATAAATGAAACCATTAACTTTTTTAGGTGCAACTGCACACCCTTTTACTATTCCGATGACCATGCAAAAAATACATAAGCAACAATGCTCCGAGTTAATTTAATATTTTATTTAGTTCCAGGTATCAATTTCTACTTTTAAATCAAGATTCAAACTAATAAAACTGTCGAAAAAGATAAATTTTAATTTCGCTTATGCGTCAACTTTCTCTCGTCTTATTCATTCCAAGCTCCCCACAGGTGTGCAATTCAAGGAATGCAGTTTCAAGTTTATTGCCAGATATGGAGCCAATTCCTTGAAAACTACTCCTAAATGAACCACCCACACACAATTCACATCCCTTTTACTTGAGCCATTCGACACGTCCCACCAAGCAGTCAAGGCAAAGTATGCAAACATCTCCATGCTCGATACATATAAATGGAAGTAAAGCAGTAAAATTTGATATGAGTTATTGCTCCAATTATCAAAATACAAATGGAAAAATGAAATTGGAGGATGACCGCTGAGAGGAAACATATTAATTTAATATGGAGGATGAGGAGGAAGTACCACATACGTACATACATATAGCGGTAATAATGTCTCCCGTCTGTCTCACAGTGTATGTAGCGACTGCATTAAGAAGATCCGACACGATCATTATGGCTCGTAGACTAAACGGAATTATGTAAAAGAAGAAATTAAGCTAGCAATTACATTACGAAAAAGACACGGTCGACACAATGGACAATGCCATCGTGTCGTTGACACCCATCCACTCCAATCCAACACCTTGATTTGATTTAGTAAGTATATCACATTCGTTCCTCGCACTAATATGCTGTCTCCACACCCATGGCAACCCACCCAAATAGCTCATTATGCATAATAGTCTAAACCAACAATCTGTTATCTTATCTTTAAATAAACCATAAATATTACGATTACACCATATGGAAGTATGCATGCATCTGTACGGTATCGTCTCACGCCAGTCAATCCAGCCAAACAAATTATGAACTACCTTTGACATTTCACTCTAAATGAGTACGGAACTGATAAGCGTTAACTATACTGCAACAAATTCATCAACTTTAGTGAAATGTATCAAGTGAAGGCGGTTTTGTATGTGAGATAAGTTACATTAAGGCTAGTGGCAGTGTTTATGAAATGCATGCACACACTTTTTGTATGAAGTGCATGGTTAAGAAGACTCGTAAGTCATTTGGGTTGACCATCAATCAAAATCACGTCCCATCACGAACAACAAAGGGTCATCGGCAATGGAGATTGTAATTTATTGTAACAAAAGTAGTAGGAGTGAGCTAAGGAAGGAAGAAGGCATGCACGTGATGTGATATATCACAAGATAATAATAATTACTAATTTGCCGCATATATAAGGAATGATTAGGCCAGGTAGGTACGTATGTAAATATTTTGGGTGGATAATAAAATTGCTCTTAGTTCCAGCTACTCTTATCGATGCGAAGATATTGGACACCAGCTATTTTGTCATAGAGCGTCGCATACCGCTCTCTGATGCTGCTTATCAAGATCATTAATTAATGCAAATTAACACGGCTCGTTTCTTCCTTGTCTTTAACAGACATGTGCATAAACACGACCGCCACGGAAGCAATTTTCTTTGCAACTACATAATATTCCTTTCATTCAATTATGCGAAATTGTGAATAATTAAACACAACAATTTTCCCATAGTATTATTATTATTATGATCCATCTTGTAATGATTACGGTCATATTCACATAAAATTAATGTCATTTCCAAACCAGGCAAATAATAATGATAATAATAATGTGAGGTAAAGGTCAGAGCAGAACCACACGCATTCTCTGAGAGGTCTCTCTCAAGCCTCTCTCGTGCATGAATGGATTGAATGCTAGTGGGTGGGTCCATTTACCGTCGAAAAAGTAGGAAGACATTGAATTAGTTAAGACAATGCAATGGGATAAGTGCAAATTTAGACCCACGCCATTCAATAATCCAATCTTCTTTCAAAACTAAATAGTCAGACGAACTGCAATGTTTACATTCATCACTCATCCGCGATGAAGCGAGAGATGCGGAGAAGATGGGGGAGGCACATTGGCAGAACTAATTACTTATGTTCCAATTTGGGTTTGTTATTATCAAATCAGCGATGTCGTGACATATGAGAACCGACAAAATAAGCATGTACACCATCCTGGCTGACCCTACATAGCATATGATTCTCCTATCATAAATGATAACCTTTTCATATTATTGCAAACAACTTAATAAGAACTGACGGGCGGTTCCCTGTAATAAGAAATGAAAAAAAGAAGCCGTGATCAAAATCTTGGAGCATTATTTTGTATAATGCCATCAATACATGCTCGTAAATTTTTATGTGCGTACATGCATACATAGTTCTTTCAATGCAAGGTAAACCAAATCTTGTAATACGACGAATTTGTCACTCCTTATTTTTCACGACTTGGATTAGATGCGTCATTGACATTTTCTTAATGCTCCAGTGATTTTTTATGTATTGGGTAAAAATAAGCTTGACATTTTTGAAACAATTGGTAATTAGTTTGAAGAG